TCTCTGGTCCCGCAGGTTTCAAATCCTTCCTGTTAATTTATCTAATTCTGCATAGTCCATTAATTTCATTTGCCATTCTTCTTTCGTCGGTAATTCTTCTTGCTTCCATTTTTGTGCCAATAGTATTCTTGCCGCCGTTACTGCATATAAAAACAACTTACAGTCCTGGATGTCCTGCTCCTCCATTCAGTTTTAACCACCCCAAAAAAATCTGATATTACCAGCAAACTTGGCCATGTGGCTGTTCATCCCTAATACTACCATGAATAAAGAAGTTTAAAAGCTTTTGGAATGGATGTCCAAAAAGGAGACTTGCTTTGGGGAAGACTTAGCCCGACACTGGAGTTCCGCCACTCCTTCAAAGGCAGCTAAACCAAATTGTTGTTCAACGTCTTTATAAATGACTTGAATTGAAGGGATTTGCAGATGACACCAAACTGGGAGGGGTAGCTAATGAGACATAAAACAGGATTGGGATTCAATATGACTGTAACAGATTGGAGAATTAGGTCCAAACTAACACAATGAAAGGGATGTGGGTGGCGCCGTGGGTTAAACCACAGAGCCTAGGACTTGCCGATCAGAAGGTTGGTGGTTCGAATCCCCGCGACGGGGTGAGCTCCCGCTGCTTGGTCCCTGCTCCTGCCAACCTAGCAGTTCGAAAGCACGTCAAAGTGCAAGTAGATAAATAGGTACCGCTCTGGCGGGAAGGTAAACGGCGTTTCCGTGCACTGCTCTGGTTCGCCAGAAGTGGCTTAGTCATGCTGGCCACATGACCCGGATGCTGTACACCGGCTCCCTCGGCCAATAAAGAGAGATGAGCGCCGCAACCCCAGAGTCGGCCACAACTGGACCTAATGGTCAGGGGTCCCTTTAGTAACCTTTACTAACACAATGAATAGGGACAAATGTCAGGTTCTGCACTTAGGCAGGAGGAACCAGATGCACCAATATAAAATGAGGGACGCATGGCTTGCCAATAGTACATATGAAAAGGATCTAGAGGTCTTAATAGACCACAAGCTTAACACGAGTCAACAAGGTGATGCAGCAGCAAAAAAGGTAATGCTGTTCTAGGCTGCATCCACAGAAATATAGTGTCCCGATCAAGGGAAGTCAAAGTACCACTCTATTCTGCCTTGGTCAGACCACACCTGGTGTATTGTGTTCAATTCCAGGCGCCATAATTTAAGAACGATATTGACAGGCTGGAACATGTGCAGAAGAAGGCAACCAATATGATCAAGAGCTTGTAAACCAAGCCTTATGAGGAGCGGTTGAGGAAGTTGGGTATGTTTAGCCTGGGTAAAAGGAGAGGAGACTGTGAGGTGATATGATAGCCAAATATCTGAAAGGCTGTCACATGGAAGAGGGGACAAGCGTGTTTTCTCCTGCTCTGGAGGGTAGGACCCAAATCAATGGATTCAAGTTACAATAAAGGAGATTCTGAATCAACCCCAGGAATAACTTTCTGATAGTAAGAGCCGTTCAGAAGTTGGTGGACTCACCTTCCTTTGAGGTTTTTAAGCAGAGGATAGATCATAGGTAGGCAAACTAAGGCCCAGGGGCCTGATCTGGCCCAATTGCCTTCTTAATCCGGCCTGTGGATGGTCCTGGAATCAGCATGTTTTTACATGAGTAGAATGTGTGCTTTTATTTAAAATGCACCTCTGGGTTATTTGTGGGGTCTGCCTGGTGTTTTCACATGAGTAGAATGTGTCCTTTTATTCAAAATGCATCTCTGGGTTATTTGTGGGGCATAGGAATTCATTCATTTCCCCCCCTTCAAAATATAGTGTGGCCGCCCACAAGGTCTGAGGGACAGTGGACTGGCCCCCTGATGAAAAAGTTTGCTGACCCCTGAGATAGATGGTCACCTGTTTTGCTTGGACTAGATCTTTTCCAATTCTATGAGCTGATAGCTTCTAAGAGCCACAGGTGAGCGATGAGAGTGCAGGATGGTGACCAAAGGTAGACAAACTACCCCAGAAGGAATGTGATTTGCTAATACCCTATCACCCCGGAGGTCCTATATGAATGCAAGTAATCACAACCGTGTATTAATGCATTGTCAATAATTAGGCACTTAAATTTTCAGTAAGTTAAATATATTTACAAACTGGAAAAACTCCTAGGTCAGCGGTTGTTGCGGAACTGAAATCAAAAGCCCCAATGAACTCTTAATGACGCATCATAATTTTTAACACTGCTCGCCTACTATAAATATCAACTGCACTCGAGGAGTCCTTCACTTCCTTGGCTTCGATCCTAGACTGAATGGGTCAGTCGGAATGGTTACCAAATTAAGTAGGAACAGGAAAAAAGGAGCTATAAAAGGCATATGAGGATCTGGAATTATTCTTATTTCCTTCAAGCCAAAGAACAGCAAGAAAAAAATATGGGGAGAAAAACATCTGTATTTCACAGACTGAGGTTAAGTCGGGGAGGGAGTAGGACTAGGGTCATTTTGGATATTTGGGAAGCGGCGGGCTATTTGCATAGCTGTCAACTTTTCCCTTTTCTTGCAAGGAATCCTATTAGGAATAAGGGAATTTCCCTTAAAAAAAGGGAAACGTTGACAGCTATGGCTATTTGATGGTAATAAGACTGGGTGGGAACAGGGGGAATAAATGGGGAATGAATTGTTATGATTGGGGGAAGGGTTTAGTCTGGATGATGCCCTGGGTCCCTTCCAAACCTGCAATCTTGTATCTGTGAGGTATCTATTGGAGAAGGCTTGCCAAACCCATTGAACCAGATCCTATGTCCAGAAGGGAAACTGCAACTTGCTGCTAAGCTAGGTAACCTCATTTGCATCTTTAAGAATAAGCTCTTTTAGGATAGAGACAAATGGGGGGGGGGTTCCCACCTCATCTGGCTGGATGGGATGTCATCCTACCAGAGGAGCAATAGCCTCTGTGTGCAATGTGCATCATGTGTGTGTATGTTGTGTATCGTGTGTGTATGTTGGAGTGATGCTGGAAGTTGGAGACACAAAGACTTGTCTGCTCTGTGCTGGGCCCAAGGCTGTGATTTGGCTGCTTCTCTGCTCAGAGATGGGTTGATGTGCAATAATATTTGGAGGGAAATGTGGATTATGGAAGACACGAGCTCTTGTTGCTGATACGTGCCACCGATGTGCTTCGCGTTTTGCAGTGCGAGGAAAAACATAGGGTCCAGCCCTTTGGAGTGAGGAGTGGGGTACCTTAAGCCCTAGAGGGGTCACAAGTCCAGCATTTGCTAATGTTTTCTTCTGGATTGTTTTATTCAATCGTTGAATTTTGGTTGTGAACCTAATAATAATAACAGGAATATTTGTTGTTGTTGTTGTTGTAGGCAAAACCTCAGGAAAGCTTTCTAAGCATCTGCGTGGGCATGTCTGAGCAACAATGCCTCCAGCAGGCAACGGAAAGAACGCACTGCAGGCGCCTACTTGAATATCAATAGGCGGGGAGTTCCAAAGTGTACGGTGTGGCCACACATGTTGTTGTTGTTTAGTCGTTTAGTCGTGTCCGACTCTTTGTGACCCCCTGGACCAGAGCACGCCAGGCACTCCTGTCTTCCACTGCCTCCTGCAGTTTGGTCAAACTCATGCGGGTAGCTTCGAGAACACTGTCCAACCATCTCATCCTCTGTCGTCCCCTTCTCCTTGTGAATCTTTCCCAACATCAGGGTCTTTTCCAGGGAGTCTTCTCTTCTCATGAGGTGGCCAAAGTATTGGAGCCTCAGCTTCAGGATCTGTCCTTCCAGTGAGCACTCAGGGCTGATTTCCTTCAGAATGGAGAGGTATGATCTTCTTGCAGTCCATGGGACTCTCAAGAGTCTCCTCCAGCACCAGAATTCAAAAGCATCAATTCTTTGGCGATCAGCCTTCTTTATGGTCCAGCTCTCACTTCCATACATCACTACTGGGAAAACCATAGCTTTAAGTATACAGACCTTTGTCGGCAAGGTGGTGTCTCTGCTTTTTAAGATGCTGTCTAGGTTTGTCATTGCTTTTCTCCCAAGAAGCAGGCGTCTTTTAATTTCGTGACTGCTGTCACCATCTGCAGTGATCATGGAACCCAAGAAAGTAAAATAATAATAATAATAATAATAATAATAATAATAATAATTTATTATTTATACCCCGCCCATCTGGCTGGGCTTCCCCGGCCACTCTGGGCGGCTTCCAAAAGAATATTAAAATACTATAATACATCAAACACTAAAAGCTTCCCGAAACAGGGCTGCCTTCAGATGTCTTCTAAAAGCCTGGTAGTTGTTGTTCTCTTTGACATCTGGTGGGAGGGTGTTCCACAGGGAAGGCGCCACTACCGAGAAGGCCCTCTGCCTGGTTCCCTGTAACTTGGCTTCTCGCAGTGAGGGAACCGCCAGAATCTCTCACTGCCTCCATTTCTTCCCCTTCTATTTGCCTGGAGGTGATGGGACCAGTGGCCATGATCTTAGTTAATTTTTGATGTTGAGCTTCAGACCATATTTTGCGCTCTTTCACCCTCATTAAAAGGTCCACATACTGCATACAAATAATAATACTAATAATTAAAAAAAATGCCTTGCAAACCACCCGACGGCAGTCTGACCCCAGAAACACCGAGCACGGGCAGCAACCGAGCAACAACTCCTGGCAGATGTGCAAACACGTTAGCAGCTGGAGGCAAGCGGCAAAGTGCGCGGCGGCCCCTTTAAGAGCGGCGTCGTCGCTCCGTCACTCTCTTCCCCCCTCCCCTCGCTTCGATCCCTCTCGGTCCTTCTAAACTTCCTCCGGCCAGCGCAGCCTACGCTTGCGAGCGTACGCTTCCGGTTCCCAAGCGAACACCTCCCGTTCCCGCTTCTGTTGTTGCGTGGCCCAGCCCCTCAGAACGCCGCTTGGGCTAACGCGTCATTCCCCACTCGCATTCATTCTCCGGCCTCCCCCTTGCCTCGAACGGAATCCGGAAGTGTGCGCGCGTGTGTTGTGCGCGCGCGCTCTCGCCCGCCCGCCCGCGTTGCGTGCCTGCGCGTTTCACCTTACCTCTAGGGCGCCTCCCTCTCCTGTTTCCCCGTCGCTGCTGCTACGGACGACAAGATGGCGGCGGCGGCGGCGGCGGCGGGCCCAGGCTTCGGCCCGGCGGGCGCCCTGGAGAGCCGCGTCCTGGCCTACACCCTGCACCGCTGGAGCAGCTTCTCCTCCACCTACCTGCCCGAGTGAGTCTCCGTCGCGACCGGCTTGGCGGAGGCCAGAAGGGCCTGGCCGAGGGAGGGTCGCTTGGGGCTGCGGGGCCTCCCTCCCTCCCTGTGGTACTTATGGGGAAGAAGGCGGAGCAAGGGGGCGCCCCATTTAAGAGGGGCTCCGGGGAAGGAGGAAGAAAGCTTGGGGGGGGGGGAGTCTTTCTGTGGGGTGGAGGGTCTTTGGGGAGGCTGGCCTTGAGTAGACGGGGGGGGGGGAATTCGGTTTTTTTTGGGGGGGCTTCTGAGTTGTTCTTGAAGGGGGGTTCACATGGGGGGATTAGTCATGGGGGTTGTTTTTGAAGTGGGGGTGGTCTTCAGAGTTCTGGGGGGGGGCCCTTTGAGATTGTTCTTGGGGTGGTCGTCTTTGAGGAGGTGTTCATGGAGTTCACATTGAGGGGGGATTGTCATGGGAGTTCTTGGGGTCTTTGAGGGGTGGTCTTCAGAGTTGTTCTTGGGGTGGTCTTGGAGGGGGTTTGTCGAAGGGGCCTTCAGAATTGTTGGCGTGGTGGTCTTTGAGGGGGTGTTCTTGGGGGAGTTCACATTGGGGGAGGGGCCAGTCCTGGGAGTTGTTTTTGGGGCAGCGGTGGTCGGGTAGATTTGGGGGTTCGTTTTGGAAGGGTTTGTCTTGGGATGGGGTGGCATTTGGGCTTCTTTTTGGGCTTCTTTTTGCTGTTATCTTGGGGTGGGGATTTTTAACAGGGTGGTCTTGGGGGTTGTTCTTGGAGGGGGTGGCTCTGGAGGGAGTTGGTCTTGGGGCTGGTCTTGCTTAGGAAGGAAAAGGCTGGTCCCTGCTGCAACAGGATGCAGAGTTGGGTCTCTGTGTGGTTAGGAAGCCTAAAGGTTGTCATTATGAAGGGGGCAATATGGTAGGGTGTGTTGGTTTTTTTTTGTTGGAGTGGGGGTCACATGGGGGCAGACATGGATGAGAGTACCTATGGGACCTATCAGTGCTTGCTGGGCATAGTTGTCAACATTTCCCTTTTTTTAAGGGAAATTCCCTTATTCCGAATAGGATTCCTCGCAAGAAAAGGGAAAAGTTGACAGCTATGTTGCTGGGTCTTGCAGGACCTAGAGAGTGAAGAGCCAAGGGAGAGGGGCATTATAGGGGACTTTGGGTGGGGTGGGGTAAGCCACCCACCCTTTCTTTCCCTTTTGTTATAGGAACATGGAAAGAGGCCAGGCTTAGACCAAGTAGGAGCATTGGTCTGCCCACCTCAGTGCTGTGTGCACAGACTGGCAGAGGCTAGCCAGGGTTTTAGGCCGGGAGTCTTTTCCCAGTCCTATCTGAGAGATGCCAGAGATTGAAGCTGGGGTCTTAGTATGCGAAAGTCCCACCAAAAAGAAGAGTGTGTGTCACAGGAGCATGATTTGGAAAGGGCTTTGTTGATGACAGCACCCAGATTATGGAACACCTTGACCTGTGAAGTGTGGTTGGCCCCCTTTCTCACTTTTTTCTGCAGGTTATTGAAGACCTCCTTATTCTGGAAGTTTTTGACAATGGCCTTATTTTATCAGATAGTTGTTGTTTTTTTAATGCCATGGTTGAACAAGGCAGCTTCTGACCTTGCTCCTTTATTCTGTAACAGTTTGATATTCTGTGAAATTGTAATGTTATATATGGCTCCAGCTATCCTGTGTGGTAGTTTTACACCAGAAGTGAAAGATAGAAATGTTTATTAAAACAAACAAAATTGGGAAAATTGAGGGGCTTGGGCAAGTAATTCAAGCACTTGAAAAAGCTCAGTTGCAGGTCTGCATTTAGAGTGAGGCATCAGGTGGGTGGGTTTCATTAATGCCCCCCCTTTTCTCTCTCCATTTTTCTAGCACTGGTGGAAGCTGTGTTTGGTTCTGGTTTCATGAGTCTCTTAAGGAAGGCATGGCTAAAGGTGGAAAGGAAGTGAGCTGGGCATGTGGTCTGTTGCCAGAATCCCCTTGTGATGTTTTGTTTTTAACTGCCATTTAATGGGGCTTGTAAACCCTGGTACTGTAATGGGGAAACAACCTGCAAACTTGGTGCATTTGATGGAGTGAGCTTCCATGATCCAGGCCAGGCAGCTGAAGATCTAACAGTTAAGTTGCCTTTTAAGGTACCACAGAGCCATTGGTGACTCTGTGTGTTTTTTTGCTCCCTACAGCAGATCTAACATCTTTGTACCTCTGAAATGTGTGCATTGAAAACTGGCAAAAGGGGTAGTGCAGTATTGTGCTGGGGAGGTGAGAATGTTGGTAACCTTGGTTCCTGGTACTGTATGAAGCAGATGCAAGGAGCAGTGAAGATGTTGGAAACCACAGGAGGAAACAGTGTCCTTGTGCTCGAATCCTGCTTGCTGGTTTCCCACAGGTACACAATGAGAACAGGATGCTGGACTAGATGGGCCAGTGTCCTGGTCCAGCAGGCTCTTATGTTCTTAGGGCAAAATAAAGCAGAGTGTTCTGAGTAGGCTATTAAGGAGAAAGGAGCAAGGGATGCAATGTGGAGAGCTATGCAGAGATATGGAAAGACAGGTATAGTAGGGGTTGGTTGATGTGCAATGTGAGAGGAAATTTTGATTATGTGTGGGCTGATTTATGCAGACACAGGATGTGACAGAGTAGGACAGTAGACCTAATTAGTGGTTGTGGTGTGGGGAGTAGTGATATGGTGATATAGGGAGCAGAGGGCATGAAAAATGAAAGCATGGTTTGCAGGAACAAATGGGCTGTCCTTGAAGGTCCCAATTGCTGCTGCAGAAATTTCACCTTCTTGCTAGAATACCTGTGAAGTGTATCACAGGTGCACCATCTCCTTTGCACTATTCATGCATGAAATCTGTTTTGAATTTCTGCAAACATTTGTTCTCTAAATATTTCTAATTGCTTTGCAAAATATTGTCTCGTCTCTTTGTTATGCCCAGTATGACAGGTCTTGCTAGATCATTTGCAGGTTCAATTTGCTAGTCTGCCTTGAAGGGCATGTTGTTTCACTTCCAAGTTGACAAGGACCATGAAATTAGATGCTTGATGAAAACATAGGCTTCTCAACCCTATGTTTCCTTTGTAAGAGAAATGGGGGGAGGGGGAGGGCGGCGGCATTTTTTTAGGGGAACCTTGGTGGTGATGGTGGGAGAAGGTCGTTTAACCCTTCCCCTGCTGACTCTGTCTACAAATGCCAATCCAGGATGTTTTAAAATCATGCTGGATTCTGAAAACAATTGATTCCAGATTGTGGGGATGGGTGGACTGGCCTTTGAAGAAGGGAGGCATTTGCAGGGGACTGCTGATGGACGCAGGTGGGATTAAACTCCCCTCCCTTCCTCTTGTTCCCCACAAGGCATTCCCCTCACCCACCTTTTGCATTATAATCAAACTTGGATTTGCTGATATGTCAACTTCCACTCTGAGCAGATGCTTTGGAAATGAGGAGAGGCAGGTGGGTCGAAAGTGAGGCAGGAGTGAGGCGTACAAGACAGAATCAGAGTTTCCTGGTGTGTAGAGTTAAAGCAGGGGTCAGCAACCTAAGGCCCATGGGCTGGAAGCGGCCCGTGGAGGTAGTTTGACTGGCCCATGAGCCGTCCACGAACCGAATTGCCCGCTTGCGCACAGCGCTAAGCCGACACAGCGCAGTACTAAGCCAGTGCAGCGTGGCACAGGGAGTTGCTTCCACAGTGCCGGAAATTGCATCAACACAGACGCCGGAAATCACTCACATGTGCACACGATCCGGCCCACGGAGTGATCTCCGTGAGACCAATCTGGCCCAGGCAAGATAAACCTTGCTGATCCCTGAGTTAAAGCCTGATGAAGGACATTATAGGGTTATGAGTAAGATGAAAATAATTGAAAGCTGATGAGGATTCAAGAGGTCAGGCAGGCTAGGTATGGAGTAGGAGAAATGAAAGGCTATTTGATGGTAGGGTAAATTTGTTTTGCTGTAGCAAAATTGGAAAAGTGATTGGTAAGGTTAGAGCCAACAATAAGAAATGTTTAAATTTTCTGGTGCCAGTTACCCTAGTTTGTGTAGGATTTTCCCCCTACACAAATTAGGGTAATTAGCATCAGAAAAATATCGGTTTTCATCATATTTCCCCCCCCCCCCATGCCCTAGAGAGTGATCTAATTTGGCATGTTTATTTTACTTGTATTTCCTAAACAAAGCTAAAAACTTGGAAGCAGCCAAACTTGCCTAATGTTTTGTTTAGCCACCCATTCATCATTTTTAGTGAACTTATGAAATGGAAAGGTTTCCATGAAAAAATAAAGGACTGGGAATTTTTCCATCCTGGGCCACCGCTTAAAGCAAATGGGTTGGTGAATGGAATGCTAAGGGAAGAACTATAGATATAACATATGTATAACCCCTTAGAGTCTGTCCCCAACTGAAATGAAATCTGTAAGATAGCTGTGCGAAAAGGTACTGGTTTTCAGAAGAGGACCAGAATGGATGTCTCTGACGCTGAGGCTCTGGGTAAATGGGGAACGAAGTTATCTAGTACTTTGACTTGTGCATGTAGCCTTTGCATGACTGCTGCAGCCTGTGCATGATTAGTTTACATTACAACATAAGGGTGTTAGCATCCACTCTCATTGTCTCTCTTAAAGTTGTTCAACCAAAGCAGGTGGTGAAAAAGGGGGCTTTTAACATTAATTAGAGCTTGATTCTCTCTTTAATATTTGTAGACATACTTTGGTGCTTGGGGAAGAGTGATGATTGTGTCCTTTTTACCACTCAGCTCTGCCTGAGGGTTTCCGCATGAGCGAGAGAATGCAGAACTAGATTCCTGTGACATTAGTTCACCTTTCACTTTTGGACTCTGAAGTGAACTTGGACTTGCATGCCTGTGTGCTGCAAGTGTTTTCTTACTTGATGCTGACTGTTGTAAGTGAACTCTGGACTCCATGTGTATGGGATTTTGTCTTAGACAAAAGATGCCTTGAACTGGGAAGCTATTCCTGTTTGTTTTGCTCACTTGCATGAAGGGAGGAGTGGTGGCGCTGAGTGCATAGTCAGAACTTTTATTCATATCTTGGCTTGTGCCTGATTGTGGCCACTCTCTTCTTCTATTCAGACTCATGTTGCATGACCGTGCATTTAGCACTTGCTTTTCAGGTCTTGCTCTTTAAAAAAAGAAACTGTCGTTCTATTTAATGTCATTGTACAGTTACTGAGCCTCAGTCCTTTTCACCATCAATCTTTTATCAGCTATGACGTTCAAGTTTCTGGAAGGTTATTGACAAATGCACAGTTGCATGGAGTAGGCAATGAGATACCCAGTGGAGTGCCGTAATGATCTCCCTTTGAGAGTGGTGGTTTGGGACGCAGCTCAAGCACAAACAATGCAAGTAAAAACAAGGTGTCTTGTTGCTTAGGCTGCAGAAAAATATTAGCTCTCAAATGGCAAATGCAAAGTGCTAACAGTACGAGGGGGAGGCAGAATTTTGAAATGGATGTGTAGGAACAGGAGATGGTGTGGTTCACAGATGTCATTTAACTCTCCCGGTGCTTGAAGCTTACACAGAGTTCCCCAGGGACGCGTTTTGTTTGGAAATTTTGCAGAAATTGCATCTACGTTATCTTTGTGGCCTTGCACCACTGTGTTTGGGTTTGGTGACGCTCTGGAGGCTTCCTAATAATATGTTGAGGTACAGTTTGTACAGATTGTATTGGTTATCTCAAAGGGAATTGCTGCTGTACTGAGAGCCATGTAAAAGCTAAACCTGCTAGTACGGGTGACTGCCGTGGTCCACATTCAGTCTTTTACAGTTCTCACATGAGCCATATTCTGCCCCCATAACACCGAGGGACCAGTTTCAAATATGGCATTGTCAGCACTCATTGGCTGAGCAAAGTGAGATTTTTAGTTGGGCTTGTTTAGCATTCTCTCCTTATTTGTTGTTAAGACAACAAATGGTGAGAGAATAGAATAGAATTTGGTACAGATATTCCAGAAGTACTGTATTTTTTGCTCTAAGACTCACTTTTTCCTTCCTAAAAAGTAAGGGGAAATGTGTGTGCGTCTTATGGAGCGAATGCAGGCTGTGCAGCTATCCCAGAAGCCAGAACAGCAAGAGGGATTGCTGCTTTCACTGCACAGCGATCCCTCTTGCTGTTCTGGCTTCTGAGAGTCAGAATATTTTTTTTCTTGTTTTCCCTCTCCAAAAACTAGGTGCGTCTTGTGGTCTGGTGCGTCTTATAGAAAAATATGGTAGGTTTCGAGTACAAATACCAGCTTGATCTCTGCACTCTTTTTATTGGAAGAGGAGGAATGTTGCAAAACACATTGATGAAATTTCTGCCTTGAAAATGGATTTTAGAATGAAAACAATGTTTAATTTTTAGCAATTCTTAGTTTCTACTTCAGCTTAATATCCTAATTTCAAGGAGACCTGGGAAGGTGTTAAGCACTACTATCTCCTTTGAGCATTGGGAACATCTTGCATGGTGTCAGTCCTAGTTGTACCTTTGTGCTAAATTCCATGGTAATGGAGTTGGAGTACTGGGCATTATAGAATCATAGAATCATAGAGTTGGAAGAGACCACAAGGGCCATCGAGTCCAACCCCCTGCCAAGCAGGAAACACCGTCAGAGCACTCCTGACATATGGTCGTCAAGCCTCTGCTTAAGGACCTCCAAAGAAGAAGACTCCACCACACTCCTTGGCAGCAAATTCCACTGTCGAACAGCTCTTACTGTCAGGAAGTTCTTCCTAATGTTTAGGTGGAATCTTCTTTCTTGTAGTTTGGATCCATTGCTCCGTGTCCGCTTCTCTGGAGCAGCAGAAAACAACCTTTCTCCCTCCTCTATGTGACATCCTTTTATATATTTGAACATGGCTATCATATCACCCCTTAACCTCCTCTTCTCCAGGCTAAACATGCCCAGCTCTCTTAGCCGTTCCTCATAAGGCATCGTTTCCAGGCCTTTGACCATTTTGGGTGCCCTCCTCTGGACACGTTCCAGTTTGTCAATGTCCTTCTTGAACTGTGGTGCCCAGAACTGGACCCAGTACTCCAGGTGAGGTCTGACCAGAGCAGAATCCAGTGGCACTATTACTTCCCTTGATCTAGATTCTATACTCCTATTGATGCAGCCCAGAATTGCATTGGCTTTTTTAGCTGCCGCGTCACACACATTATAGATGGGTTTGGCAGCCAAAGAACATTTAGTTTGTTTCAGTGGTGTGGAGTGGAATATTTTTCCATTGCTTAATTTTTCTGCAGAAGATGTTAAGTTTCATGAGTGCATTGGTAACAAAGAATGGATTCCAGTTGCAAATAAATGTTACATTGCATAAGCTTGTCAGGTCCAAAGGTTTTTAGCTTTGTTTATCAATTACAAGTAAAATAAACATGCTAAATTAGACCACTCTCTAGGGCATGAGAATTTTACAAAGCAAATTATGCTAATTTGCATAGGATAATTTCCCAGAAAATTTTCCAGTTCAAAATTTTCCAGACTTGAAACACCAGAGGAGGGAATATTTCAGTAAGAACTATCAAAATTGCTAGTGGAGGAACAACTGCTGTTTCTTGGCAAGCTGAATCACAGAGGTGCTTTGTTTCAGATGCATATTTGCTTTGTTTTACTTTTTCCATCTTGTATTTTTCAGCAGTGTAATCAGAAATTGCAAAACTTGAAATTATCAAGTCTTGTGTTGTCCTTTTAAATCTGTGGACAGGTTTCTGAAGGCTGTCATTTGGGGGCTGGTTCACTGAATACTTCTCCCTGCAATTTACCACCCTGTAATTTCTTGTCATTTACCCCCACACATTTGGCATGGAGAAACAAATAAGCACTAAAATGAGATAAATATTTGGTTTTGCCCATGACAATATCTCGGTCAGTGCCATGGAAGCTCAGAAACTGTCTTATTTGTTTAGCTAGCACATTCCCCACTTTTCTAAATGGGACACAGGGTAGTATATTAATCCTTGCAAAAATGATGCAAGGTTGAGGTAGATTAGGCTGAGAGAGCACTTTGGGCAAGTCACTGCACATAGAGCTTCATCACAGGAGTGAGAATATGAACGGAGGCTTCTCTGGTCCAAGCATCTGTACACCTGTGTACAGGAAGGGCTTTTCCTTGGCACTTCTTTCTGGGAGTTCCCAACACAGCATTCTGTGTTCCTCACTGTAATCTTTGTAAATACTGTATGTCGCCAGTAAAAGGTAGAAGGAATTGGGGGGGACGGACCAGGGACCGGACCAAGGGGGAATTAACAAAACTTGCAGAAATGTAATGTGAAAGAGAACATCAATACATTTTGTGAGCTCTTCCCTTTTTTTTGCAGGGTATTTTTCATTTTACTACTTGTACAAAGACAGCAGAAGAATCCATAATGTAGCACACAGCAAAACCTGCCTTGATGCCCTTAAAGAAGAGAAAAAAATTGTGTGGGACTGGCTACGGCTGTTGCCCCTTAGCTGATCAGTGTAGGTTTGCGCGGCTGAGACTGTCTTCTGGAAAAAGTTTTGCTTCTGTCAGTTCATACATAATAATTTTAAGTTACTTATGTTAGACTAGAGAGTTAGATAAAGCGATGAAAGGGTGCATTTTCCTCCTTGTTATAAATACATCTTGCTTTTTGGTTTTGGACCAAGTTTTTGCTCCGTGCACCTGAGCAAATCAAGAACTAAGGCAGTGGTTTCCCACCTTTCTGGACCTGGGACCTACCTCCAATCCATACCAGCATTTGAGAACCCATTTCTCAATTTTTGGCCGTTTATTTATATGGTGGTAGTGGTGGTGTTGTGACCCATCTTGGATTAGATTGTAGCCTGCTAGTGATTCCTGATCTGTCAGTTGAAGTCCAGTGCTGTAGGGTATTCTAGCAAGGTTGGCCTAAGACCAGAGCCCACAGAAAGTAGATATTGCATAATATCACAGCAAGAATACAGCAGCTGCTAGTTGATCTCTCAAAATGTCACAGAGTGTCTGGCAGTAAGGCTGTGTTGCTTTTGCTAGAACATGAGATGATGACTCTCTGCCAGGAGCTATGAGACAGGGAAATACCAATTGCAAACCTGGCCTTACCTGAGTTGAAGTGTTGACTTTGATTGCTGTTTTCAGCCATGCTCCAAAAAACCCACCCTTTTTCTTTTTCTTGTAACTGAAAGTAACCCAGGTGCCATTATTTATTACTAATAACTAAAGTGCTGTGTCATTGGCATATATAATAAATGTACAAAATTAAAATAAGCATATAGGAGCTGAGGGAGAAAAAAGTTTTCTTGAAAATTGTAGGCTTCCTAACATACAGCTGTTGGTGTCACCATGTAAATGAGGACGATTTATTTTTTTGGTCCTTGTTATGTATGGAAGATTTTAATGACTTAACGATTCTAATCAATTATGTCTGAGAACACCATTCAAGATTTTCAAAGGACAAGATTTGTTACTTGAGTGCTTCTTTAGTCAATTCCATTTCTTGTCTCCTTTGCAAACATGCCAGTGTGTTTGAAAAGTAAGAAAATTGCAGCGATGCTGTTTTCTTCAGCTGTGCCTTCAGAATAAATGGTGAAAAGCTTATTTTCTAACAATTTAGGGGCCTCACTGGTCCCTCCCCCAGTATTAAAAATGAGCACATTTTACAGCTCTCTGCTTGGCACTGGGAGTTGCAGTTGTTCCTGGATCATCTCATGTTTTTCATTTCTTTTAATAAGAATTCTATTTTATCCATGATAAAGCCCTCCAGGTACATTAGATTGGGAGCTATGTAACTTGCCAGGGCCACCCTGTGGTCTTCACGGTTGAGAGAGAATTTGAATATTCTTACTAGGAGGGCTGCAGGCTTTTCTTTTTTTAAAAATGAGTTCTTGGTCTGGGGCACCTCCAGCCTATGGTCACCATTTGAGGCCTTCATGGAAGTCATGTTGATGACCTTGGCCTGCATTCAGAAAAAACAAATCGGGTTCAGGGCCAAGTAGAGATATGAACTACTGAGCCACAGCCTTTCAGCTTACCACCTGCAATTTCTTGGACCACAGTTTGAGAATCTCTTTTATATGCTGCTTCTGCTATGGCTATCTTCATTGCATACAGATAAAACTCACTAAGACCCCCAAAACATAACTTTTTAGTACATAAAGCATTCTTACAATTAAGAGTGCGGGATTTTTTTTGAAAATGACTGAAGGGTGTGTGGATCTTTTTGAAGGAGATGCATTACTACTTAGAAGGGTGCACGCTGATATTTTAGCAATTGGAAGTCTCTGGCTCCCATGCGGATACCAGAATTAAGGCAGACTATAAAATGCCCCATAAAACAAATAGCAGTGATTTGAGCATCACGAAAGTACTGCATAAGAAGGCTTAAGAGCCAATTGAACATTGTTTGGCTTTTTAAAAATAAGATGATGTCTGTATTGTGCTAATTTAGAGCTCTGTTGCGGATGCAAATGCCAGGCCTAAACAATTATCTGTGAGAGATGCTTTTATTGGGCATGGATCTTCCTGGAAACCTTGCCTGCTTAGGTTGAGACAAGACCTGGACGAGAGCTTGAAAGATCTTGCTGCAAACAAGACAAGCTTTACCCGCTCCTGTTGCTTAGTCTCAGTTTATAGAATACTTGCACAATGCTGTCTTCTAATCTTGGTTGGCTGATGGTACTCTGCCCCTGTATCTGAAGGCCTAGGGTGGGTAGCCTCTGTGTTAAACCTTTAAAAATAATTATACATCTGTGTGTGGTTTTCTCGGACGCGGCGTCTTCATGCTTCTGCGTCTGCTTGGCCAGGTGCTTCTCCCTCTTCTACCCCTTTATAGCAATGGTCCTTCTGAGCAATGTACATCTAGCATTGCACAGCATAGAAGCACAGGCTATACTTCCTCGTAGGTGGACTTGCGGCTCTTTGTGCTTATTACACAAAGTACTTTACCTCCAGTGTTAGAAACTCAGGTATACACACTAGGTGCCAAATGGTTCCATAACCAGGGTTATAGTCGTCAAAACGGAATGCCTGGTTGCCATTTTTGGGCCAGGTGGCTCAAAGGTCGTGTTTTTAATACGACTTTTTAGTTGCTGAAACACATTCTGATTGTGCAGATAAAATATACGGGATAAAATTCTGCAGGATGTGTTGCTAGTGTAAGAAAACTGTCAAGATCCAAGGATCCCCAAGCATGCACCTCTAGATGGTGGAGAGGTCAGGCGCCATCCTGGCAGCCAGGTATCTTCACTTGGTTCCAAGTGGCTGATAACCAGGTGCAAAATGCTGCTGAATTTTGAATGCTGTTTACCTCCAAGGTGTTCAAATGGGCATGTTTGTTAGATTGGGATAATACTATTTGCCCAAATGCTACTCAGTGAACTTCACAGCTGAGCAGGGATGTCAGCTTGGGTTTCCAAGGCTTGCTACACAGTCAGTTGTGCAGACTCCAGAACCTTGGTAACTGGTGTCATAGATTGTCAGGTACCCAGAACTGGTCAGACTTTGTTTTTATTGCTGGTTCTTAGCAGTATCTTGGGCTGTAGTGCTTAGTTGGCTGCGAGCTTGCATTAATCCATGGGGGAACATCTTTCAGCCTGAGGTCCACATTCCCTTCCGGGGATGTGTGTCAGTGGTTGGTAGGACCAAAGCAGTCAGAAAACAAACAAACAAATGTGAAATTTAATTTGTACAGTAGGACAGTTTCTACACACTCTTGTACCCCCTACTCGGTCCCCCATCTGAGCAGTCAATAAGCGTTATTGGAGAGTGCACAGAAGGCCGGGAAGGAGTGTGTCCTGGGGAGAGTGTTTGTATGGCTTGGAGGATTCTAAGGTTCAGATAATAATTGTAGAGATGGAAGAGACCAGGAGGATCATCTAGTCCACCTCTTCAACACAGGAATCTTTTGTCAAGCTTGAGGCTCGAACCCACAACCCTGAGATTAAGGGTGGCGCTGTGGGTTAAACCACAGAGCCTAGGGCTTGCAAATCAAAAGGTTGGCGGTTCAAATCCCCGTGACGGGGTGAGCTCCCGTTTCTCGGTCCCTGCTCCTGCCAACCTAGCAGTTCGAAAGCACGTCAAAGTGCAAGTAGATAAATAAGTACCGCTCTGGCAGGAAGGTAAACGGCGTTTCTGTGTGCTGCTCTGGTTTGCCAGAAGCGGCTTAGTCATGCTGGCCACATGACCCGGAATCTGTACGCCGGCTCCCTCGGCCAATAAAGCGAGATGAGCGCCGCAACCCCAGAGTCCGCGACTGGACCTAATGGTCAGGGGTCCCTTTACCCTTTATCTTTACCCACTGTGCTCTCCCACATCCTAGGACAGAGAGGCCCAGAGGGCCTGAGCTTCCCCATCCCTGCATTAAACAAAAACCCTTTCACCAGTTTGAAATAGGTCCCTGGTAGTTGAAAACGTTTGTGTTTCTAGTCCTTTTAGGTGGCAGGAAGAAAGTGCGTAGAGGAAGCGTGTAACGCATACATGCATGCTCCAAAGCAGCTGTGCTTTCTTTGAAATGTTTTTTCTTCTTAACTCAATTCTATATTGATTGACATTAAAAACAAACCAACAAACCAGAATGCTAACTTTAGTTGCATATTTTTAATGTTGTTTGTGCTTCTTTGAAAATAATCCCTGAGATGTGTGTTTATATCTATGGTTAGCTTTACCATAAGAGCAAAATCGTCGTGGCCAGTCCATCATGAAACAATTTGACCTATTGACTTAAAGCTCTCTGTGACTTTAGCTTTGCTAGATGTTTATGATGATGCAGACTGCTACTTGGCAATAAGTAGAGCCAAAGGAATATGGAAATATGCCTCTTCAGGCTAGGATTGCAGAGCTCTGCAAATCATTTCCCTAGCTTGCTAGAAGCACAACACTTATTTGATTCTGTCTCAACGCTTGGGCAGTTTTAGGTAGCTCTTTGAGATTATAAGAAGCACCATCGAAATAGGATTTAAACGTTGAGAGTGGCTCAACCAAACTGGAATAGTGTTTAGGTTTGGTGGCCTCTAACAGAGAATACAGCTATTATCATGTGTATTTAACATGTTCAACTGCAATACAGTTTGCTCAGTTGCGTGAAATAAAAGACAAGTTCCTAGCTTAGCAGGTTTGGCTATGGAACAGAGCAAGTACATATATGTATCTTGGGCCTCTCGTCCCCCCCCCCTTCCCTGGTTGCCAAATGTTATTTAAGACATGCAGAGTTTTCTGAGATGGAGGGGTATTAAATACAGATGATACCTTGGCTGACATTTTGTGCTGTGTGTTAAAATTTCTAGAGCGTTTGCTTTATTAGTCTGTTACAGCAAACCCCAGAAAGAGTGCTGTGACACCTTAAAGACTAATGTATTTATTATGATGTGGTCCATGAAAGCTAATGCTGTAATAAATACATTTGTTCATCTTTAAGGTGCCACAGAACTCTTCGTTGCTTTTGTTCTGTGTGTATTTCAGCCATACAAAAACTTGACAGCTGGGGAGAAGGGTTGTTGGAAGTTTGAAACCTAGGTTTGAGGTACTTCAAGACCTGTAGGTATAAGGTTCTCATCTGGTTGCTTGCGTGAGAAGAGTGTTTAGGTTCTCAAAGAGGCTTTAGTAAAGTTTAATTGCTCTGGTATCTTTTATTTACAATTTAAGGGTGAATAGTGACTGTCTTGCATGGACACACCTCAAAGAGCCCATCCAGGGAAAGGCAATAGCTCAGTAGTAGATCATTTGCTTTCCATGAAAAAGGTCCCTAGGATCTCCTGGTAGGTTGGGAATGTCCTCTGTGTGGAGCCTTGGAGAGCTGTTTCCACCCTGTGATCTGACTCTGAATCAGGAGCTTCCTATGTTCCATGGTCTTTAGTGGGGGAAATGACAAAGATTGAATCTTCCAGATGAAACATTCCACCTGTCTTGGCTGCCTACTGTAGCCTCAGGGAGGATAGTGCGTCTTCAGACGGTCCTTGTGTATGTGGGTAAGGGAAAAAACCTGCATTGGATTGCGAAGTAGTTTTTATTCAGATTGGGTTTAGGGAAGGAGTTGCATTGACCTCTAGTACAGGGTATTAAGTGGGTAACATACAAGTGCTTTGAGCCTTTCTTTGTGTATGTGTTTTTAGGAATATTTTAGTAGACAAGCCCAATGATCAGTCTTCGCGGTGGTCTTCTGAAAGCAACTACCCTCCCCAGGTAAGTGTTTGAATTTTCCCTCAGTATCTCGAACCCTTCAGTTACCACCACCACCAATACTTCTATTATTTATCAGAATAAATGGTGCCATTGTTGCAAGACCATTCTTTCTGGGTTGGTTTTTCAGAGGGCCAGGTTAAGTTGGTGTTTGCATTTAAATTCCGAATGGTGTCTCATTGGTTCTGTGTTCTTACGATGAAGTCTTGGTGCTTTGCTCTGAGACCCTGGAGTAGAACAGGAAGAACCAGCAGGCTGAGGCATCCCTTGGAGAAGCAGGACCAGTACAATAGCTCTCCATAATACTACTGGAAATAGCCAGCTTTTCAATGTGTGTGCATGTTTATTTACATTTGCGATAAGTATCAATACACTGGAACGAGGATCTATTCTAGGAATGAGACTGCATTGGGAAATTCTGGGTGCTTTGCCTCCCTCCACAATGTCAACGAAAATAGACATTTCTTCTCTATCTTGATGTACTTTCTCCTCTTCATGTTTTGTTGCAATTGCTTGGACATGGGTGTGCAGAAAGATTGGCAAGGTCTGATTGATCCTGTTGGGAAGGGGGCATTATTTCTGGAGAGGTAACCCAGACCTGCTGCAAAAGGGCCTCTCCTAATTATGATTAAGACACACTGAACAGGTAAAACACCTCTGTAAGTGCCAGCATAACCTACCTTTGTTAGGCAAGTACCGGAGACATTTACAGTTGCCTGTCTTCCAATTACTACTTTATTAGCTTTTCCTGTGGAGTGTAGGAAGTCATGGTGCTGGGATAAGGGCACCATGGCCAAGGAAATAGCTCAAGCCAACATTAATATTATTGGGAATAAAATGAATCTGGATTCTCCTCAACCCCCACTCCCTTTGCCACTTGCAAATAACTCATCCAGTCCCCAAAGGAGCACTGGTTTTAATGTCCATGGCACCTAAGCTACTGGCAAAATTCCAGCTTGTTTATTTTTAGCATTAATTTTGGGGGGAAAAAAGCCAACATTTCTGAACGTAGGTTTTCCTAAGCTAGTATTTCAGCTAAAAATAACCAGCTAAATAGTCATGTTCTGCTCTTCCTGCATGCGTCTACCAGATGGTCTTTAATAGTTCTTCTTGGCAGAGATTCCTTTTTCTGATATTCAGCAGTGTAAAAATGATATGTTAACATTGTCTTGAGAATATAATGTAGTCTTGAGTTAGTATGATGCCCTAGAGGCCTTAAGTGAATTTGGTGGATGGTGGTGGTTGGCATCTCTTGATGAGTGGAATTTAATTTTTGAATGGTTGAGTGTATAATTATTAGGCTGGATCTTGCCAAAAAGAATGACCAGATGAGGAGCATACATCTTACTTCCCCTCTTACAGGGACCTGGCCATCTAAATTTTTAAGGCGAGCAAATACATTTTGTAAATCAGGCATCTTTGCATGATACATCTTGGTTCATGTTGTGAGGTAGTCTTTGCAGTGGTATTGACTATTAGAGCAAGTGGCAGACAAAATATTTTAATCTCAAGGCAATTTTCTTGGCCACAGTGATGCACTCAAGCTATGTACAAACAAGCATATTTATATACTGTGGCTCAGTGCGCACTTCAGGTCAAGCCACAAACCATGATTTTTGTTCATTGCTGGAACTATCATTTATGTTGTAAGTAGACTTAACACCCAAGGACTTTAAAATAATAATTTTTTTGAAATGCCTATCTTGCAGTCATCACCTTCAGGGTGGCTTACAAAATGTACAATTTTTTAAAAAATGTCCTAACCCAGTCTTGCAAATGAAATGCAGAACTGCATAAGTATAACATTCCAGAGCAGGCAGAAATTTCCCAATTAAAAAATGTGAAAGCCTCCACACTAACATTTATATCTAAAGACATGATGCATGGAATAAGTTTAGAGTTGTGTATACACAGTCGTTGCCTACTTGGAGCCCCCTCCCACAATGTTTTGGGCTACCACTCTCATCAACCCCAGCCCCAGTGGTAGTCCAAAACATCTGGCGGTCACCAGGTAGGCTGCTGTATGCCATTCACATATACCCAGCTGTGAGCCCAGATGGTCTGGGCTGCATCTCCTTGCCATGGACATTCTCCATCACAAGCCTGTCTTTGCTGCCATGGAAGCTGTCAGAGACTTTCCTCCCAGTTTCTTTTCATTAGTGTGGCAAGAAACAGCGCAGAGCAGAATTTCCACACCTGCAAAACGCCTTCTGCTTACATCCTCTCTTGGTTTGTTTTAAGGTTCTACTTAGCTCTAGGCCTTGTTTGCGGTGTGATACACTTAAAACAAGAACAAAGACCCATGTGCATTCTTTTTCCATCCCTTACAGTATCTGATCCTGAAACTTGAAAGGCCTGCCATAGTCCAGAGCATCACATTTGGAAAATATGAGAAGACCCATGTCTGTAATTTAAAGAAGTTTAAAGTTTTTGGCGGGATGAATGAAGAAAACATGACAGATCTCTTATCAAGGTAAGAAGGATATTCAAATGTGCTTTGGGCATTTGCTTAATGTCTTCCATCGCAGGACTGATAAGGTGGAGTATAGGCAGCCGTGAGATGTGCTTTAGGCCACGATTCCCAGTCTTTCCCCCTATAGACCACTTGAAAATTGGTGAGGGTTTTGGCAGACCTCTTAATTACTTTTCTGCCTTCTGTAGCAATTCTAATGCACCGTGTGCTAGAAGCTATGTGCTTTTTTATTGTCATTGATTGCTTCTTTTATTACATATTGCATTCCATAGAATTCAAATGGCAATATGGTAAAATACAAGAAACAAAAGGAATGAAAATACATTTAAAAATAAAGATGAATATTTAATTTGATGAATGTGCCATCTCCCGTCTTCAACCACAGATCCATAGACCACCTGAATGAAGCTCACTGACCACTGGGAACTCCCTCCCCTCTGCCTGGTTTATGCTTTAACTCCCTCTTCCCCATTACTATTGGTGATAAAAATGACATTATTGGAGTGAGGCTATTCTCTGTGTGCTTCCGGATGCCTTATAGCACTGGTTTGGTGAGCCAACTATACACTTCCCCCAATGAATCGAAAGCAAATTCTTTTTGGTTTACATGGGACAGCCTCAGGTTCATCCCCGTTTCCATCTGAATTCCAGAAAAGCAAGCTAACTCATTTCAGAATGTTGGACAGCTCACTGCTTTGCAAGCCACTGGCAAGACCAAATCTGTTGCCTCAAGCAAAGCTTCTTGGCAGATCACAACACTAGCAGCCTAATAATATTTATATTTATATTTATACCCTGCCCATCTGGCTGGGTTGCCCAGCCACTGGACTGGCTGTTCCAAAAGGTGAAAGGTGGTTCTCTTCTGTGCTCATTCTGCATTTAAGCTTTCCTTCTCATCTCTGATTCCTTGCACTGGCTCACTCCCTCTGTCCCAGGCTCTCGCTTACTCTTCTGCTTTGCGTCAAATGATTATTTCTGTTCTGCTTTTCCATGAACACTGACCCCATAACATGACTTGGAGATAATAAAAAATTAGCATAAAAGCACAGCACCTGAGCAGAGCTAACAAACTTGTAAGCTTAAAAAGAAAAAAGCAGAAGCAGTTGAGAATAAGCACTCCCTCAAAATGTACTCCCTCAAAAGCTTGATGGGAAATGATAGCCTGCCCAGGAGCTTAAAAGGGAAGAAGCCAGGCGAGTCTCCATGGGGAGAGAGTTGCAAATCCTGTACACCAGGAAAGAGCAAGCAGCATCTGGTGACAGGCGACACCTTACCAGTGTTTGTATCCTCCCCTGTTAAAAAACATTTATTTTCTATATAGAAGTATGAATATATCACATTTTCACGTATCTACATTCACTTGAGCTCCTCGGACTTTTCTGTGCCATATGGGCTTGCTTTGTTTTTTGGTGTGTGAGAAAGAAAGCATTAATTTATGTGTTCCCATCATGTTTATAAAGATAGCCGGATGGCTTTCCTGTGCAAGACCTTAGCAGGTGGCGGAGTCTGGCTGCTGACCTGAATGTTAAACTTGGCCACTTCTTGAACCTGAACTAGTAAATGGTGCAATGTGGCTTTAGGCGCCACAGCACTTAAAATCTCTGCTCTGCCTACCTGCTATAGAAGGGAAATCCCTGTCCCTTGTTAAGCTCTCTCTACGCTGCGGAGCGTAGGTTCATATGGGCGTAGTTGGTCCCTGCCCTACAAAAAAACAAAAACAAAAAAACTTGCAGTGAAGAAGCAGTGGGGAAACTTGCATTGGGGAATAAGGTCTCCTGATCCTTATTCCCCACTTATAAATGTTCCCTGAGGGTGGTGATGGCATATTTTGTAGCAGCATGTCTATTTACAAATTGAAGCGAAACGAAAATTATCTCCTACTTAGCCATAAAATCATTTATTAACCTTGTGTCCTTCCCTCCACAGTGGCTTAAAGAATGACTATAATAAAGAAACGTTCACCTTGAAGCATAAGATTGATGAGCAGATGTTCCCTTGTCGATTTATTAAGATAGGTAAATATATCCCTCCCCCCCCCCCCCAAAGTATACATGCTACCAGTTTGCTAGTCTCTGTTCAGGCAGCTTATGCACCCAGTGGTGTTATAAAGGGCCTCTGCAGTGCCCTTTGTTTTGGACGAATCTGCCGCTGGTGCGAAATGTGGTGTCTACCTTGTGTCAGGAGCAAATTCCCAGGGCCTAGTCTTTCTTTTTGAAGTCCTTACAGTGCAATTGGAGAGTGTGTTGTTTCAGCCTACAAACCTACCATTGGCTTGGGGCTCGTGTCTTGGTGCATTCCTCTGCCTCTAGTGTGGCATATTAGCTGAGAGCATCCTGCTGGCAATTATTGATGAAGGGTGGTAAGGAAGACTCTTATTGCTGGGCTCGGTATGTAAACTAGTCATAGATCCTCCATTTGCAGGGTGTGGACCAGGGGTCTGCATAGTTTTTGTGGCATGGGCTGGTTCATGGTCCCGCAGACGCTGCGGTGAACCGGAGGTGCACACGGACGCACGGATGTGCAAACACTATTTCCAGCGCTCCTTCTGGCACAGAGAAGGTGTGCGCAGCTTCTCATTGGCTGCAGGAACTTCCTGCAGCCAATGGGAAGCCGGCCAGCGTCACGGAAGGCGGTTCCCGCTCTGTTCTGTGCCAGTTTAGCGTGGTGCACGGGAGCCGACTGAGTGGGCGGCGGGGGTCCATGGGCCGGTTAAACAACCCCCATGGGCCGCTTGTTGCCGACCCCTGGTGTGGACCCTTAACTAGAGTAACTAGAGCCATTTCTGGGACCCTGAACAGCTAAGGGCTGTTGCTGCATTTGGTGGCAGCACAGTTCCATGTATTAAATGATAGCCATGTGAAGCAGTACTTCCTTTTGTCACGCCTGCATCTACTTGCCAGTATAGAAATAGAATTTTTGTCAGCGTTATTGAGAGCAGCTTGGTGGGCAGTGGCCACCAAGAGTGTCTTTCTAGTCATGCTTTGGTGGCTTTTTTAGAGATGGTCCTGGGCCAAAAGGGAGGAAGTGGGCTCAAATGTTAACAAGTGTTAAGTGTTTTGGGCCTTTGGGTTAAAACCAGCCCCATGAACTCTGCCTGGAATGCTTTGGAGAAAGTGGTTCAAACTTTGTAAAGTGTATAAAACACTTAGAGTAAAAAAGTGCTATATAAACAACCCATTCGGAAATTGCAGTTGAAAGACAGGGAATAAATATTGGATTGTAGCCAAATGAGTTCTGCTCAGAGTAGACCCATTAAAATTAACTGGAGTTACTCATGTCCATTGATTTCAATGGGTCTGCTGTGAGGTTGACTATCATTGGATACAGACCATTTAAAATAAATACTTAAACCAAGTACTTTTACTTTCCAAACATTGTCCTCAATTTATGGCAGCCTTCATTTTGGTCTAAAATAATGTGGTTGACCAAAACACCAGTTGATGCTAGACTTGTATAAGAACAGGAATAACACCGTGAATTCTTGGCCCTCCTGCTTGAGTGGGGACAATTCTTGCAGATGGGTATCTGTCTTGGAATCTGTGGGATGCTGGGCAGCAATCTCTGGATTAAGTGAATTAGATCTGTTTAATAATAAAAAAAAGGACATTTGCTTTGCCTTATGCTTGCTGGGTGGCCTTGCCTGTAAAACATTACAAGCTGGCAAGTTTTTTCCTAATCTGAGCTCATGTCCTGATTATGTTTGTTTTGCTTTAAAAGAATTTGCGCAACAGATGAGCAGCTACACCAGTACTCTTGTTTTGCCTTAACTTCATTGATTACTTGGGTATTTTGCTCATTGCTCTCCTTCTCATTTTAGAATCTTTATTCGCCACCCTCCCCCACTTTCACCCCTTATTCACACTTGCTTGAATTGTGAAGTTTTGTGTAGATTATCTAATAATAATAGATTTAGGGGAAGCAATATCTTGTGTGGAATAATGTCAGCATTTGCATGGAGGCTACGTATATAACGATAGTTTTTTCCCTTCCTGCACTCTCCCCACCCCCCCTTGTCAAAAAATCCACTCTAGTGTTGGAGTTTGGTAATACAGAGTATATTAGCCTTCCTCCAGATGTTTTGGACTACAACTCGGAGCTACAATCTAAAACAACTGGAGGGCACCAGGTTGCAGTTAGGTGAAATAGGCAGATCCAAGTGAAATAAATGGAAAGAAATGGCCACTCTGAGTGGCGCCATCATTCTTTTGAGTTCTGTTTGGTCATTCATTATTCTGGAATCTTGAATTATAGAATCCTAGAACCAGGGCCATCTTGTTCAACTCCCTGCAATGCAGGAATCTCAACTAGATCATGCATGACAGATGCCTATCCAGCCTCTGCTTAAAGCCCTCCAAGGAATTGCAGCTGTCCACACTGCAATGTGCCTACACACTGTGTTTGCAGCACCAAAGTGATCTCCATAGGTGGCAGGCCTGGGCAATGTGTGTGTAAGTCCTGGGCTACCTAGATGACAAGTCCAATGTCTTGGCCTCATTGATGTGGTCCAAAGGAAAGCAGAGCAAGACGTTTAACACCAACTTAGCTGCAGGACTTGCAGGGCGCCTCCCTAATTCACCACCGGCTACCCTCACCTGGTTTAGCCGGCCAGACGAAGCTGTTCCCGGGGTGTGGATGCTGTCGTATGCCAACAACTTCTAGGAGCCACAGATGAGAGTTGAGTGCAGGCGGGGGGTCGGCTAATGGTGGATGAGCTACCCAGAAGGAGCACGCCATGTCCCCCACCAGAGATATTGCCCCTTCCTTAACACCCCCTACGCCTCCCCTATACACTAGTGACACAAATATAGCCTAGCAGTGCTGTGCCATACCGGCCCCAGCCCGACCTGCCAGTAAACCATGATAGCTGAAGGAAGCATCCATGTTCAGGGGCTGTACACTTTCGTGCCAGATGCCGGGTGCAAACAGGGAGAATTGCTGCTTTCATGCCCTGCTTTGGAGCTTAGAAGCATCTGTCTGGATGACAGTGGCGCTGGAACACTCTGGTGAGATGGACCTTTGGGTCTGCTCCAGCAGAGCAGCTGTTAGGTTAAAAGAAACTGCGATACAGTGTCTGGAGGGGAGAGGTCAGGAAGGGGGAGTTGGTTATGGAGAAGGAGGTTCTAAAAGTACGACGGAATGGATGATTCTGTGCTCCGGCGCTGTGGATTGAAGATGGCAGGGTAGAGATGATCCAAGCTCGAAAAGACCCACTTGATTTTCCGTGGATCTGAAGGTGTTCTCAGCCCGTGACATTCACAGCACAGCCTGTAAGCTGTCTACGTGCAGTGCGTGGGCTGTACTGGGAACATGGCTCGTTAGCAGTCGCTCCGTCTGTTCTTTTCATTCCAGGCTCTTGGGTCTAAAATGCTAAGATGTAGGAAATGCCCTTTCTGTTAGCCACTTGCCACTGGCAAACGTCTTTTAAGCAGCTGGTGCGAAAAGACCCTTTTGATGTGAGCGCGTGAAGAGGAGTTCTGTGCAACTCAAAAGCTTGCTTTTGATTTTTAAGGTCGGCTAGTTCAGTCGGAGGGATTGCTGGGCTTGCATTGTGTTTCTCACTGTGTGGATCTGATGTGACTGCAGAGGGACAATTTGTGCGTTACTGTAATCTCTGTGAAAGGGAAATTGTGGTGTACACACAAGTTTGAGTACACACGAAGTGCATTGCAGGCGTTTTTCATGGCAGGTACACTGTGTGATGGGGCTCTCATTCCACCCTGGAATCTTGATAATTATCCCTCTATGATTGGATGATTATCAGGGCTAATGTCTTGGAAAAACTACCATTGCCGGGATCCTTTCTAAGGGAGGCATCGGCACTTAAAGCAATCAGGCTTGTCAGGCAGAACACCAGACACTTAAGATTGCAGAACCAAGAATGCGGTCTAGAACACCTGCTAAATCTGGACTGCAGGGAAAAATCCATAGTGATGGGCAAGCTCTCCACTATTACCTTATTGATAACTTTATGAAACATGAAAAGCGACCACTCTGGACCATTTTAACTGCATTTGCTTATTGCTGATCCATGGGCAAGATTTGTTTTTCAAAGTGCACCGCTTAATTTAATTCTAAGCTTCCATTTTTGGAGCTGGGAACCACTAGCCTCCAGAACTGGGAACTTGGCCAAGATAAGCTGAGTCAGTGGCCCTTTCCTTAGGTGCCACAGAAGTACTTTACTCAAAATGATCAAAGGCTGGTGTCAGGAATATAATTGCTTCCATACAAAACTGTGCCTGTGCGCCTTTATAGCTACTTTTCACACAATACTGCATCTCCATTATTTCAGATTTATGCAGAACCTCCAGGACAGGTGTCTAAATGATGTATTCTTCTAAATGCTAATGGCACTCATTGGGTTTCGTTTGTATTTTAACTGCTTGTGCATCTGCACATTCTAGACAGCTATATTTTAATGACAGGAATCACAGGTCTCCTGGAGAGCTGGCTTTTCAGAGGATCCTATCAAAAGATCTGATTTTTTTTTTAAAAAAAAATCATTTCCTCCAAGGAACTCGGGCCCTTTTTACCTTACATCATCTCTGTAGGGTAGGTGAGATTGAGACATGGTGACGGGCTGCTTCTAAAACTCATAGTACAGTGGTACCTTGGGTTAAGTGCTTAATTCATTCTGGAGGTCCGTTCTTAACTTGAAACTGTTCTTAACCTGAAGCACCACTTTAGCTAATGGGGCCTCCTGCTACCACCGCGCCGCCGAAGCACGATTTCTGTTCTCATCTTGAAGCAAAGTTCTTAACCTGAGGTACTATTTCTAGATTAGCGGAGTCTGTAACCTGAAGCGCATGTAATCTGAAGCGTATGTAACCCGAGGTACCACTGTATTGTATTTCTTCTGCAATTTGAAAGTGCGCTTTATGGATCACAGTTTATGCACCATTCTGCATGTTCTGGAAGGTGGCCTTTGGCCTTTGCCCACAGGTACTCAAAAGCTTAATTTGACGCAGAGGCTTAGTTTCGGCACTTTAGGCTTTAAGCCTGGGGTGTGTGGTGAAGGGCAGTGTGTGCAGTTAGCCCAAGCAGAATCTGCACACCTGGAAGTGAAAGTGAAGGGTTTTCCCAGGTGAGAGGATGTGACGTTTTGAGCTTGTCTTTGGAAACTTTCAAGTAATGCTCTGGCATCTAAGAGATCTTGAGGATTGACTGGGTAGGGAGAGGGAGAGAGCTCAAACAGAAGTGGGTGGAAATCTAAAGAAATCGTAGCTGGCACACATGGCTTCAGTACCCAGCATGTAGAAGGCAATTGCAGATTACAGATGGAATTCAGAGGCCCTGAGTGACTGTGGGATGTGCCATATAGGACAGGGCAATGGATTTCTATCTTCTGCGTGGTAGGGAGTATGCACACAGGGCACAAACCTTTCAAAAGGGGATTGGGCTTGCATGCACAGGTCATATAACCCATTGTGACTGGGGCCTGTAGAGTGGCACTTGTTTTTACCGTGGGAATCTATGAATGAGTTCACTGTATTTGATGCACATTTAAGTGGTGAATAGTGAGATGGACAAAGCTGCCTTGCAGGCCACTTGTCTTCAGTTGCTTGACTTGAACTGTAACTCTCAATTTTCGAGGGTCCCGTGGATTCTGGTACCTCCTTCCCCGAGTGAGATAATGCAATGGAACTGGGCTACACAAAAACAGTCCATGTTGTCCTCCTACTGTTTATGCACGCTTAATAACTGTTGCCTTGCCCTATTTTCTTTAACGGCCCAGTGATGCTTTTAAATTGTCTGGGAGGAATGATGGCAGACAAGCCAGTGCCTGCCACCTGTGGTCAATAGAAACCAGCATGTCAGTACATAATGTCTTTTTCTCCTCTCTTGTTATTCCTCAGTTCCGTTGCTGTCGTGGGGTCCCAGCTTCAATTTTAGCATCTGGTACGTTGAACTTAACGGCATCGACGATCCGGATGTGGTACAACCCTGCCTCAATTGGTACAGCAAGGTAGGCTGCAGAACTGCTGGAGGTTTTTGTGAGAGAAAGAAATTCAATTTTCTGGTTGGTGGATAAGTTACCCTGTTTGAATTCAAGCAGTCAACTATTGTATGACACTTGCAGCATCAATATCATTATTTCTATAGACATAGCTGTTTGACGTGGTGCTTTAGGTTTGGCAGTGTCTCTGTGAATCTGGGGAATGTGAAATGCTTTGGAAAAATATCCCGCTTTTTGTGAGAAGCGTGAGCATTTCATAATGGAAGAACTTTTGTGTGACAGCATATTTATAGCTTGCCTCAGTTCCAAAAGAAGATATTATTTAATAAGAACGACAATGATATTGATATTATTGTCCTGGTTTGACCTTTCTGCAATTGAAAAAGATCCCAGGTACCTAGTATTGGGGGGGGGGGGGGAGAGCCTATACATGCTATCTCTGAAAGCTTTGGGCATTCCGAGTAGTCAATAGTGGTTAGATACACCAACACTCTGCCTCGGTATATGGAAGGTTCAAATATTTCTGCAGGTAGTTGATGGACGTATCTTTTTGCCCAGTTTTTCCTTGGCCCATAAAATCAGATCCTGCTTGATATGTTTGAAACCCTTGATTCCTGTTTTATATTGCTCTAGTTTCGATTTTAGGCTGTATTTTTTAATGATACAGTTTTTAAAAATATTGGACACCGCTTGTAGATTTTTAAAACATGAAACAGTTTATAAATGCTTCTAAGCATGTGTGGTTAGGGCTGGTTTCTGAACTGTCTGACAATACAGAAGTTGCAATAATCGTTTTAGGGTTAAAAATATGCTTGATGAAAGCAGTATGGAACTTTTAAATTTCCTGGCTATTAGACACTACCAAGAGCTCTTCCCTTCCGAGGGCCCTCATGGTATAGCTGATAAAGTGGTTGACATGGACCCAGGGGATACAGATCCAAATCCTCACTTGGGCCCGATCCTACCTTGCAAGGTAGTTGTGCGGATAAAATCGGTGCAAATCCATCAGCACTGCAGCTAAGCAGGTCTGAGCCTGATCAGCGCCTGGGTGTCTGACTGCCTGGTTCCATGTTGGAAGGGAAGGCTGGATATAAATGTAATTTAAAAAGTAGGTAACTAAATCAGTAAGAAGGTATATGTGTAAAATTAAAATTGGGCATTGCTTTCTCATCCGGTCCCAAGGGCTTAGGTAAAGGTAAAGGGACCCCTGACCATTAGGTCCAGTCGTGGCTGACTCTGGGGTTGCGGCACTCATCTCGCTTTATCGGCCGAGGGAGCCGGCGTACAGCTTCCGGGTCATGTGGCCAGCATGACTAAGCCGCTTCTGGCAAACCAGAGCAGCACACGGAAACACCATTTACCTTCCCGCCAGAGTGGTACCTATTTATCTACTTGCACTTTGACTTGCTTTTGAACTGCTAGGTTGGCAGGAGCAGGGACCGAGCAATGGGAGCTCATCGTCACGGGGATTCGAACCGCTGACCTTCCGATCAGCAAGTCCTAGGCTCTGTGGTTTAACCCACAGTGCCACCGCGTCCCTTTTCCCTTTCCCAAGGGCTTAGGTCCCTATTTAATCCAACCCAGTGCCGGAGGCATATCCTGCAGCATTTGACTGGGAGATCCACAGTGCTGTTCTCATAAATTTCCTTGTGTTCCAGTAGTACCGTGAACAGGAAGCCATTCGCCTCTGCCTGAAGCACTTTCGCCAGCACAACTACACAGAGGCCTTTGAGTCCCTGCAGAAGAAAACCAAGATTGCGCTGGAGCACCCCATGCTGACAGACCTTCATGACAAGCTAGTCCTGAAGGGCGACTTCAATGCCTGCGAAGAGTTGATAGAGAAAGCTGTGAATGGTAAGGGCAGAGCAGGGAGCAAGGCACGTTTTGAATTAGATTGGCAAATGAATGGACGTCTTAGCTGTAGCTGGGCTTTTGGGGTCCCTTTATATTCTTGATCTCTGTAAGTCGTCAGTGAAACAGGACCCGTCACCCTCCCAAGCTTCAGTCGAGGGCTGGGCAGTATATCAATAGATTGTCCAAAATCGGTTTGAAGACCATGTCATGATAGCAGTTTCATAATTTTTCACCTGGCAATATATCGCGAATCTTGATGTGTGTGTGTGTGCACGTGCGCTGTGCAAAAATCAGAATGTGGGGAAAACCGTGAAGCCAGCCAATGCTTCTCTCAGTTCCTGCAACCCCTGTTAACTGTGCCACATGCAGGGAGCATCGAATCACAAGAGCAAATATCACAATGCAGGAAAAACTCTACATAGTTCCATCCTTATTTCAGACATCGTGATATATTGGTACATCACAATGTTTAGCCGGTGATATATCATAGTGTTGAAAACCAGAAATCGCCCAGCCCTATGTCATTCAGATTATTGGCAGTGCCAAACAATTGCAAGTTGCTTTGAGACCCTTCCGAGTAAAAGAGGGATGAATGAATATAAATAATATAAATACAACCTTCTTTGCAGCTTGGCAGACAGCCAACCCAGAACAAATTTTACAGAACTAAATCTTCCTGTTAACAAACTCCCCACTTGCCCCGCTCAGAGGAGTGTTCCCTAATGTGGCTGCGTGTCATGTCCATCACGTCCAAAGTACTCATCATGTGTAAGCCTGGCTCTGGCTGACGCTGCTGCAGCTGCCCTGGAGGCAAGCAGTTGACTCTGGAGGGAATAGCAGGGGAATGCAGAGAGGGAGTGGCTACCTTTCTGCATCCCTCTGTTGTTCTGCTGATCTTATCTTTCCTTTAACAGCCAATTGTCCCCTAGGGTTTGTGTGAGGGGAAGGAACGGGGATAATTGGCTGTTAAAGGAAAGATAAGATAAGCAGAGAAATAATGCATGAAAGAAGGTGGTTAGAGGCTCCTGTTTCCCTGCATGCTTGCCTGTGATCCCCTCTAGATTCCTCTGTCCTTCTCCTGGGGATTGCCATAGTTACTGGACCTGGCTTGCACGTGGCTTCTTGTAATGTGACAAACGGAATGGGTAGCTGGGATCTTGGAGTTCTGGTGCAAGAGGAGCTCCACATTACTGACCCATCTTGCCCCGGCTAGATTTATTGCCATGGAGCCAGGAGCATTCTGCCTTTGGGAAACAATTTCCAGATGCAGCGCCTTGGAGGGATGTGATGCTTACATTTATGGGTTGACCGTTGAGTCTGGGAAACAGGGGGGTAGCCTCACCATCACAAGGGCGAACATTTTTGAAGCCTGCAAAATATAGTTCCCCGTAGGCATGGTAGGGGTGCACAAGCATTTGTATTCCTATTCTTGGAGGTATGTGGCCTGGCCCATAACGTCTCACTGTAATACAGGGGTAGGCAACCTAAGGACCATGGGCCGGATCTGGCCCAATCGCCTTCTCAATCCGGCCTGTGGATGGTCTGGGAATCAGCATGTTTTTACATGAGTAGAATGTGTCCTTTTATTTAAAATGCACCTCTGGCTTATCTGTGGGGCATAGGAATTCGCATTTTTTTTCTTCCAAAATATAGTCCGGCCCACCACATGGTCTGAGGGACAGTGGGCCGGCCCACAGCTAAAAAAGGTTGCTGACCCCTGCTGTAATATATGGTATAGGCTGGCCACTTGTATCATGTGACTTATTCAACTTATTCCTGGTCACACAGGTCAGGAGGCCTAAGCTAGCTTAGCAGGGTTGACTGCAGCCTTTTGGGTCTCAGGGCTGTTACCAAATGGCAGGTGTCTCCTCCCCTTCCCTCTCTGGTTAAGGAGCAGTGGGTGGCGCGCCAGGTGTGTGGGGAGAGAGCCAGGGACAGGAGCATGAAATAGCCCCCCCAGTGAGAGTGCTCAGATTGCCTTGGAATGAACTTTAACCAAAGAAGTGCTTGTCAGTGGCTGGGACTGAGCCCAGGGATGCTTTTTCCACAGGTGACTCCCTCAACTGCATGAGCTAAATCCAGGGCAAAACCTGGGGCAGCTCATACATAAACACCTCCTTGTGGCTGCGTGCTTCCTTGAAGATCTTACCAGGATGCCAAAGCACTAGTTTTCTTACCAAGTCCTCCTCCTCCAGGGAATTTCTCAAGTTCCCTGGGCCTGCATTCCCCCCTTGCCTTACCTGGCCAAAGCAGAAATGAAGCTTTCTGGAAAACTAAACTGATGGCTTTTGTACACATGGCTTGGAAATGGGTTTGGGCTTGCACATGTGCTTGAAAGTGCCACATATTTATTTTTCTCACAATATTGCAGAGGGTGCTTGATTGGGTGGAGAGAAGCGGTGAGGAACCCAGGGCTAGAGTTGGCTGTAGCTGGGACCAGTCCATGGCAGGCTGACACCCCTTTGCCCTGCATCCAGATAATGTGTTTTCAGTGTCTGTTGGCCATCGGCCACGCATGCTTCCTCAGTCCCCCTCCCCTCCAGTGTCTTCTGAAATTCTCAGAAAATGTGCAGATGGAAACTCAGGCAGCTGCCGGACTTCCTCTTGGAAATAATAACAAAAAAAGGTTTCCCTGAAACTCAGCTGTTTCGCAGCCGGGGCTTAAATACCTCATATTTGGATTCATTCCTAGAGCTTCCAGGCAGCCTATATTCTGGCTAGCTCTCAAGAAAGTTCAGTCATATGGTGGAAATGCCAAATGCAGGGTTACCTTAATGGTGCTGCTTGGAAGCGCCTCCAGATGCAGGCACCAAGCGTTCCAAATAATTCATCTCGCCAGAGCTGCAAAAACTTGTAAATTCACAAACACCCACCTGCTCCTGCCCCTGAGTCAAGACTCTGTTTGGATGACTTCTTGCCCATTTCCGATGACTGCGTATCTGTTGGCAGAGGACTGCTAGGGGCTGATTCTGATGCAATGCTTTCCCTTTTCCAAGTAATACATGTGGAAAGCATACATCTGAATGACCATTCCTTAGGCTTTTGTAAGAGGGGTTGGTCCCCATGACTAGACAGGAAGTTAGTATCTTCTTAGCCAGGTGGGATTTCACCAATTCCGCACATGGATGCTCATCTGACGTATGAAAGAATTCTCTAAATTGGTTATAGGCAGTCCTTTTTTAAAAAAGGAGCTTGTGCTGTTTGGGGAATGTGGGTATTGATTACAAAGTGATGGTAATAAGGGAGACAGCTGGATCCTGGCAACCAGTTGCAACAGGCTCCATCTTTTCCTTAGCTTGGCACAAGTGTTTGGGTGCTCTAAGAGGTAGGGTTTATTGAGTCAGGCAAGTGTTGAGGAGGTGCCTTTGGATAGGCATAGAGGAGTGACACAAAGGACACGAGGAGTCTGGAGGTTTCTGCAGTGGCTCCCTGTCTGTGGAATTCTCTCCCTAGGTGGGCTCACCTGGCACCTATACACCTTTAGGTGCCAGGCAGAAACGTTCCTCTTTAACTAGGCCCTGTGCCGATAGACATCCAATGCCCTTTTAAAATGTGTTTTTGTTTTTATTACGTATTTTGTCTTTATATTGTGATTTTATGTTGTAACTACCCTGAGATCTGCGGGTACAGGGCAATATACAAATTTAATTAAAAGAAGAAATAAAATAGCCTTCATGACCCATAAGAAAACAAATCCCAGTTGGGCAATATATTTGCCAAAATCTCTAGTTCTAATAAAGTATGGCAAGCTTTCAAGTTCTCCAGAACACTTCCATCAGGGAAGATGTTACACAATGCAAGCAGTGAGGAGGACAAGGAAAAACAACATGCAACAATTAGCTTTGAGGTCAACTTGCAAGCTCTGTTCCAAGATGGAGATTGCTGGCAGAATAAGTCTCAGATATCAGGTTGCACAACTAGTATTCTGGGCATAAAGAGGAAATGGCTGCTTCCCATCTCTTGAGAAATCATTAAGTCTGGTTTATAACCCGGATCTGTGTCAAACCTTTTAAAAAAACCCTGCACAGGTTCCTGGGATAGGCAGATAGCAGATAGCAGATAGGTTCCTGGGATAGGCAGATAGCAGAAATAAAGAGGAATGTGGCTGCCTTTTAACAAAGCAGCCAGACTTTAATTTACCAGGCTGCAATTTAGTTGGTTCCAATAAAGGAGGGGTAGAAAACCTCCAGACATTGCTGGCCTGTAGCTCCCATCATCCCTGTCTATTGGTCATGCTGGTTGGGGCTGATGGGAGTTGGATAACATCTGGAGGGCCACAGGCTAGCCATCTCTGCAATAGACATATTGACCAGCTGGGGAAAGTGGTGAGAGTTAGTGGGAATACTCTATTTTCTATGAAGCAGAGGTAGAACAGCAATGCAGGAATCCTTTGCCCAACTTGGGGCTCGAACCCACCACCCTAATGCTCTAATGACTGAGCTATAGTTTTGTATAAGCCTATGGCATCCAGTATTCCCAGGCAGTCTCCCATCCAAGTACTAACCAGGCCTGACCCTGCTTAGCTTCCAAGATCAGATGAGATATCAAGTCTGTTCAGGGTAGTATTTTGACATAGGGTCTGCAACTTTTCTGTATTCTGGCTTTGGTAGCAATGTGGGACTGTCAGGGAGCTTGGACTGGTTAAAGGGGAGAACTGGCTCTGATGTAGACTTAACACATCATCTGTGGCCCCCCTGACCTTCATTTCTTCCCTGGGTCCGAGTCCCACTTTGTGTCTGTGAGGCTTGGTAAGGTCACACTGCCCCTGAACTCCCCACTTTGTAGTGGGAGAACAAGCCTTGAACTGTTTCAAGCTGCTATCGGGTCAGTGATTTTGCCTTTCTGAGCCTGCCAAACATCTGTTTCCAGCTCAGTTATGTGTACACTCTTGAAAAGACTGCAGTGCATTGTGAAATGCTCGGTTAGCAGCAAGCTAAATTTATTTAGAACTGAAAGAATTGTTCTGCTTCTTGAGAAAATATGTGCTTAGTCTCAAAAGTGGTAGGCAAGCAAGTTGCTACTTGAGGAACTGTCCTTATGTCGTGGAAGCTGGATAAGGGGGCATTTCTTTGCTATTTCTCCTCAGTTCCTGGCCTAGAGCCCCTTCCCCAACTTGGTGCCCTCCAGATGCTGCTGGACTACAAATCCCATCATCCCTGACAATGGCCAATGGGAGTTGTAGTCTGGAACATCTGGAGGCCACCAAGTAGGGATGCTGGTCAGGGCTGAATAAGATACAGTCTTTTGGGTGGATGGGGGCGTCAGATGTTGGAGATCTGTGGAATGAGCTAGATTAGCAGGAGAGTCTTTCAGAACTGGAGGGCTGTAGCTTGGTAGTAGAGCATCTTCAACCATTCCTCATAATGCTTTGTTTCCTTGATCATCTTGGTCGCCCCCTCTGCACACCTTCCAGCTTATCAACACCCTTCTTAAATTTTGGTGCCATGGATGAAACCCATCCTTGGGGAGACTTGCACAGTTTCCCCCCCTCCTGCCCTTAGCTTCAAGATGTATGCTGGGATACTTGCAGTTTCTCCTGCTAGAGGTCTCCTCTAGCCATTCTTTTCTCTTAGCTCCTTTCTATCACTTGAATTAAAGGTAGGCAACTCAGCCTGCTTAAAAAAATAATAATGAAGAGAGTTGGTAGGTCATTTGTGCACATCCCAGAAATCCCCTGCTCTGAAGCCAAGCCACTTCAAGAGGCACCAGTGTCCCTTCTGTGAAATGATGAACTTGCTGTGTCCCAGCAAGGTACATTTTGCAAAGCACCTAAAAGCCCCAATCCTGGCACCAGCTGCCTTAAGTAACAGTCTGTCCCAAATTGCTGCTGCTGAGGGCTTTGGAGACATGTTTTGGTAACCAAGCCGGTTGAGAACTGTTTCTAAAAATCAGCCGAAAGCCTTATTTCTAAACCGCCGTTTCGTTATAAGTGGACGATGGCCCTAAACAGATGCAGGTTGGCTCCTTGGTGCAGGGGACGGAGGAATCCAGTGCATTGCGGTGGCATTTTTTCTTGAGCGGTTTGGCAGCGAGAGGAATGGGAGGAGAGGGGTCAGGTGCTTTCTACAAGATTGAACCAACTCACCCTCCCTGCCTCCCTCCCTCCCCTGGCCAGTGCCAGCTCAAAACAAGCCTTTGTTGGTGTTTAGCACAAGGAGATTGAAAGTGGAGTGGCTGCCAAGGGAGAAATATTTCTGGGAAGAAGCCTGGAAGAACTCCAGGCCCAGCATCCTGCGCAAGAGAAGCCGGGTTATAAGGAAGTCACAAACACAGCTGGAGGTGGGAGAGCGTTGTATGTGACACAAGTCATCCTGGGGGGTGTTGATTGGAGATCCTGACCTGACCCTTTAAAAAAGCACCATGCTGCGTTTTGGTCTTAAGAGCTGCCAGGGGAATTCTGCAGGCATGAGATGCAAAGGCTTTTGCGCTTTGAAGCATTCTCATCCATCCTCAACACAAGGACAGGATCCAGCTTGCCTGAGCAGGAGCACACATTCTGACATCCTGAGCCGCTAGCGATGCTCTCCAGCAGCTTCTCTGACTGAACTCCCCTCCTGTCTCCACATAGTGAGATCTCTCCTGGTCAAAGGGTATTATTACTGTTGCCATTTAATTATAGGCTCTTTTCAGCCCAGAAGCCACCAAAGTGATGAGCGGCTGATTAAAAGGAAATATGCAACGGGTGCAATAAAATACCATAAATCGGGGGTGGAGAAACTCAACCCTTGGGGCCCAGTGTGGTCCTCCAAGCCTCTCTTTCTGCGCCTTAGGACTGCCTCCAGTCATGCCCCCTCTCCAGAAAAACCACTAAGTTTGGCTCCCCACCTTTTCTGAGGAGTTATATCCTTCTTAACTGACATGCGTTTGATTGTGAGTGATACCTCATCATGCCACTTGGTGGTTTTGCCCAATTTCTCTTACCAAGATTTCTGCTTTAAAATGCTCAAGGTGCCTTTTGATCAGTTTTTAATTAATGCTATTTACTTTTTAGCACAGTTTATTAATTATTAATTTTTTTAAAGTGATGTTTTCTGTGAAGCGGCTGGCTGCTGACATTTTCTCTTGTTTTTGTCCCCCCCCCCTTTAAAACAGATGGCTTGTTCAACCAGTACATCAGTCAGCAGGAATACAAACCACGGTGGGGTCAGATAATCCCCAAAAGCACCAAAGGTGAGACAATTGGATTCGCTGCAACGCAGTCTGTAGCAGGCTATTCCTGGACGATCTTAAGAAGTTAGTGCAGAATGTGTAAGAATCATGGTCCAAACAGGAGCTGACCGCAGGGATTTTAATGCCTTCTTTCACTGGCTGTATGTGCACTTCAGATCCCATAAAGGTAAAGGGACCCCTGACCATTAGGTCCAGTCGCGGACGACTCTGGGGTTGCGGCGCTCATCTCGCTTTATTGGCCGAGGGGGCTGGTGTACAGCTTCCTGGTCATGTGGTCAGCATGACTAAGCTGCCTCTGGCGAACCAGAGCAGCTCACAGAAATGCTGTTTACCTTCCCGCCAGAGTGGTACCTATTTATCTACTTGCACTTTGACGTGCTTTTGAACTGCTAGGTTGGCAGGAGCAGGGACTCAGCAACGGGAGCTCACCCCGTCGCGGGGATTCGAACCGCCGACCTTCTGATCGGCAAGCCCTAGGTTCTATGGTTTAGACCACAGCGCCACCTACGTCCCTCAGATCCCATAAGGTCATGAAAATAATATAGTCACCTGGTCAGTGAGAATACCCTCCACCCTTTTCATTTCATTTTGTTTTCAGAAGAGGAAAATGTCCTTTCAAGATGCACATATTTCACATGGGGTTGATGGGAAAAAAAGTTGCATTATTATCCCACCCCAGGCTCTCAGGGTGGCATACATGGTCTTCTCAAGTTATCCCTGCGACAATCTGGGGAGGGACTAACTCAAAGCTATCCAATAACTTTGAATCCAAGTAGAAATTCAAACCTAAGTCTCCCCAGTCTCATTCCAACACTCTAGCCAGTACAGTGTATCATGTTGGATTTCAGCATTCTGTTTTGACGCCTGCATGTTTTGTGTTACAATAGCCAGTGCTGTCGTTTTCATTCTTGGAATTATGTAAGTTTGCGCATCTTGAATCCAGTTAAATACGTGCGTCGGGAAACTCACAACCATGTAGAATAATGAGGATTTCTCTCCCTTAAACATGAACAAGGTGATGGCGAGGACAGCAGGCCTGGAATGAGAGGCGGCCATCAAATGGTCATTGACGTGCAGACAGGTGAGCAGCCTTTAGTTTTTTGTTTTCTTTTTAAAAATAAAACTATAATTGGTTTTTGCATCTGGCTATAGTTCTGTGGATGACCTTATTTCAAGGTTCAGCTTAAACTGTTGAGAAACCAGTGAAAGGTTGCAAAAGGAGGACCATTGCTGAATTAGGCAGGGAGCTTTTGACCTCAGCTCCTTCCCCTTCCAGTGCATTGGAGCAGACAGATGTGTTTAACTGGAGGAACGCAACACGATCACAGACCAGAAGCAGATTCACTTAAAACAAAATTGTTCTGCACCATGCAATGTTGGGATCAGGCTCTTGGGGCTGGAGTTCTCGGGACCTGTCTTACTCAGACCCGCCTAGTTTTGCAGCCTGAATAATTGCCAGGAGTCTTGCATAGCTTCATGGGAACTCCACGCAGACTTGGCACCAGAGGTTTCCTGCCTTCCCTGTGTGAGGCAGTTGGTTTAGCTCCACTAGGCTTCCTCTGCCTGTCTCTTCCTCCTTTCTTCCTGGCCCTTCTCTCTGCTCGCCTACATACCTTGTTTGCCTGGCCTACTGAACCTTCGTCCATCTACAACCCCGGCTGGTGGGTAGGACTGTGCCCGTCTGATCCTAGCCTGGAGTGTCCTGATTTTGGCTGCTTGATGGCCTGTGGTTCTTGAGCTTTCCTTCTGTCAAGACAGGTGTGTTTGGGGCTTCATTCCAGGGACTGGTTCAGGTTCATAGCTCCGGGGATCAGTGTGTGGTCCCTTGCCCAGTGTACAAAGCAGGCTTGGTTTAACTGGTTATTTTTTAATTTGGTGGATCCGTTGAGGAGCCCCTAAGGGTCAGGGAAGGCTGGCTGCCTTTGCCTGAGGTTTCTGCGGCTGCTTCGGCCAGAGACGTGATGTCACTGAGTGGGGTGGACATCTGGCTGAGGACCAAGAGAAAGTTCTCTTTGAGGTCCTTGGTGGATGGGGTTTTTACTTTGTGCTTTGGGGTCTGATTGCTGGGAGGAAACCTTTCTGCTGGGGAGATTGACTAATGGTCTGCAGTTATTTTTTGCTTTCCATTACCTCAGCCACGATAAACATTTTTTTAAGTGAATCCCAATTTTCTTTGGTGCTTGCGTAAATAGCACTCCTATTGGGTGATTTCAGATCACCCAAATATGTTTTGGTATCCCAGAGCCATCTGTTTAAGAGGTTGCTCTGAAATAGACTCACTCACCCTTCTTATTTTCATTGAACACTGAAGACTTTATTCAATCTTAGCTGCAATTTTTCACGTCACTGTGATCATACCAGCTCCCCAGTTTTGTAACCTGTTATAAGGGCTTCGAAGAGCACAGTAAAAAGTAAATAAATCTCTGAATAGAAAAGCTATTTCATTCTGAAGTACAGCTTGCTTGCTTTTAACCTCTACCAGAGAGTTTCCAGGGTAGATATATGTGTACAAGGAATGCTGAATTAAGAGAAATGACCTAGAGTAGGCTTTAAAATACTAAAGTATTTCAGGCTGTGTTTGGGCTAAAATGATGGCCTGGATTTTTAAACTTTTGCTGCTCTCTGTTAAAAATTGTAAGCATTCTTTTATAGGGTCTAGATTCGGAATTGTCTTATACTGCTGTTTCAGTTTTAACTTTTTAGATACTGGTTTAGATACTGATTCTAAGCTACCTTGGACAAACTTTTGTTTCAAAAGGCAGCATATAAACCCTATAAATAAACGAAAAACAACTTTAAAGCAATCCAAGGGCTTTCTGGTTATATATATATGCCTCCTAACAGTTCCTCCTCATTTTCTTTCCTCCCTCATGGTTTGTTTTGTTAGTTCATAGTATTTTGTGTGGGGACATTGTTTTATCATTTTTGTGCAGCTTCTAGTTAACAGCCACATAATAAATAATAGTTATACCGTTAAATGCCAGAGGGATTGTTAATGCAGCAGGGAAGCGCCCTCTAGTGGACAGAAATCGGAATACTTTTTAACGTTATTATTCTGGCAGAAATAGAATAGGAAATTTCCTTCTGACGTGCATGACAGAAGTTACTTTGTAGGGAGGCCAGTTTCTGGAATTCTGCAGTTTGTCTCAACAAATTATGACGTACACCCGCTGTCGTTTTAAAACTGCCACGTGTTCGGGGAAGGTACTGGTGATCAGTGGCTATTTGCCTGATTTTTCTGGGCAAATAGTACCAGGACATTTCGTGCTCCCGCTATTTCAAGCTTGTTTGACACTTTTGGGATGTGCAAGCTGGAACAATCCAAGGGTGGCTGAGGAATTTTAAAGGTGTGTCAGTCGCTGCCAGAATTTCAAGGTGGACTGCTCTTGTTGCTTGCTGCTCTCCTCTCAGCAGCCCCTCGTCAGTATATTCAGTCTGTATTTCCTGCCAGCCCAATGTTCAGTGGCTGTAAGTGATTTACCGGCCAACGAAAAGCTCTTCTCTGCTTGCTACCACATCCCATAAGTCTCTGATAAAGCTGAGCTATGTAGCTTTCCATCTGCCGCCCTGAAGATGCATATTTCAGTTATTCCAAGCTGAAAAAGTAAGTGTTAGCTGCCTTAACGTCATCTGGAAAACTTCCAATTTGCTACGTGACCTTTGGGGCCTATTTTGAGCACAGGAGAGCTTCCCCTTCTGACCCACCCCCCATCCTAGTTTTTCTACTGCCCAAGACTTACCTTGATCCATGGAACGTGACATTGGCCTTCTCCATCCTGAACAATCCCTTGCTAAATGGAAATTCCGTCTCCATTGCATCGGACTTAAGCTTCCTTTTTCTTTAGTTAAGAAGGGCCCAGAGGATGTTTCCTCGGGAATCTCACTGAGAAACAACACATCCCTGGTTTGCTCGAGGCAGACGGACACCTGTACTTTATTCTTTTCCATAAACATGCCCCTCTTCTTCTCATTATGGGCATAAAGACTGGTTCTGGCCAGTCTAGTGCAAATGGCTGCCTGGGGTCCCAGAGTTGGAGGCAGCCTCCCACCACCACCACCGAGATAAAAATGACACGATATTGCTAAGCTATGAATAGCAAAGCGCCTGGCGTGGGGATGAATCAGCACTTGGCCAGCTACCTGACGGAGGAGATCCCTCCTGCCAATTTATTGCATGTCTTGTGGGCATCCATTTTAATATTTTGCTTAGTGCCTCGCGGAGCCAGGAGACATCACTGTAGACGCTTTGTTAGGGGCAACCGTGTGCGTGTTTGCTCTCACAGTGCTATGGAAGTGATGATAATTCCTGTCAGAGGAGGGTGGTTACGTAACCCGTCAGCGTTGCTGCAAGCAGCAATACGGGGATGTGCTTTCATAACCGGAGGTCAGGCCTCTTGTCTCCGATGGCATCAAGCAAGCTTAAAGCTTAAAATCTTAGGGAGCATCTCCTAGTCTATAAATCCTGCCCCACCTTCCAAATTAAGATCTCCTAATCAAGCCGACTCCCAAGTACTAGTGGTTTGTCTTTTTAACCAGAAACAGGGCTTCTAGCATTGTGTCTCTAGAATAAGGAACTCATAGAATCGTAGAGTTGGAAGGGACCCCAAGGGTCATCTATTCCAACCCCCTGCAGTGCAGGAATCTCAACTGAAGCATCCCTGACAGATGGCCATCCAACCTCTGCTTCGAAACCTCCAAGGAAGGAGAGACCACAGTTTCTCAAGGAGGTCCGTTCTACTGTCAAACAGCTCTTACTTTCAGAAAGTTCTTCCTTCCTCTCCTTGTAAGTTTTGAGGGTGTCACCCCTTTCTTCCTCCCACCCCCCCAAACTGGGAAGCGAAGCTGCATTTTTTTAGATGGTGATTCTAGAGCAGGCATAGGCAAACTCGGCCCTCCAGATGTTTTGAAACTACAATTCCCATCATCCCTGACCACTGGTCCTGTTAGCTAGGGATGATGGGAGTTGTAGTCCCGAAACATCTGGAGGGCCGTGTTTGCCTATGCCTGTTCTAGAGAATAACCACCACTAATTTTTCTGTTAGTAAAATTGGTGGTTCCTGTATTCTGCTGTGGTAATTTGGACTGCTGTTGCATGGTTTGATCACTGGGGGTTTGGTATTCCCGTGTTAGTATAGTTAAAGCTATGGTTTCCCCAGTAGTGATGTATGGAAGTGAGAGCTGGTCGTAAAGAATGCTGATCACTGAAGAATTGATGCTTTTGAATTCTGGTGCTGGAGGAGACTCTTGAGAGTCCCATGGACTGCAAGAAGATCAAACCTATCCATTCTGAAGGAAATCAGCCCTGAGTGCTCACTGGAAGGACAGATCCTGAAGCTGAGGCTCCAAGACTTTGGCCACCTCATGAGAAGAGAAGACTCCCTGGAAAAGACCCTGATGATGGGAAAGAAGGAGGGCACAAGGAGAAGGGGACGACAGAGGACGAGATGGTTGGACAGTGGTCTCGAAGCTACCAGCATGAGTTTGACCAAACTGCGGGAGGCAGTGGAAGATAGGAGTGCCTGGCGTGCTCTGGTCCATGGGGTCACGAAGAGTCGGACACGACTAAACGACTAAACAACAACAACATTCCCGTGTTAATTGGGAGGGGTTGTAGCTCAGTGGCAAGAGCATCTGCTTTGCATTCCTGACATCTCCAGTTGGAGCTGGGACAGGCTTCTGCCTGGAACCCTGGGGAGCCACTTCAAACCAGCCTGAGATCTTTTGATGAAGGGTGGTATATAAATCAAATAAATAAGTCAGTCAGTCGGTCAGCATGGATTATTTAAGAGCTAGCTGAACCCGATAGTCTGATTCCGAATAATGTAGCTTCCTAATGTTCCTATGTTTTACTGCTCTAAAAATGAGCTTACATTTACGTAAGCAGCTGTGCTTTATGCTCCTATAAAAGGAAAGCTCAGCTGGTTAGACTATGATGCTGATAATGCCAGGGCTGCAAGTTTGATCCCCGTATGAGACAGCTGCATATCCTTGCATTGCAGGGGGTTGAACTAGATGATCCTCAGGGTCCTCTCCCCGCAAACTCTGTGATTGTATGAAAAGGAGTTGGCACATGTTCTGTTAACTTCGTTTCTTGGCTATATGCATGTTTTGCATAGCAGAAGCAGAAGCTACTGGTTGTGATGTCAAAGTAGCTGGGGTGGCGTCAGGCAGGGACAATGCTTGAAAGGTATGTATTGGAACAATAGGCTTCGGAGACTGTAGAGCCTATAAGTGGAAGACACGGGAATATTAGCCTGTTTTGAAAACGCTTCCTTGGGAGCAGTGCGTGTGTTGTGTTCCGGTGAAGCATATCAGGCAAATGGTTAATTACGGACGAGGCTGGCCTGACTGTGATTGTGCGAGCAAAGGTTGACTGTCAAAATACCTCCCTGCCCCTTGGGCCTTTTTCATGAAAGAAACAAATGCTTTTCTTAGAAGGGGGAAATTTCCAAGGAGCATTTTAACAGCCGTTAAATATTCAGAGGAGATGCAGGCAATCACCTTAAGGACTCAGCAGAATGGCGTGAAAGGGCTTGAAGGAGAAAAGAGCTCTATCTTAAACATGGGGAAAGAGCTTTCTAATTAAGAGCAATTCACCAGTAGAATATTCTACCTGGCAAGATAATCCTTCATAGGAAACGTGGATGGGCAGACACTTGTGGAGAGATGTTTAAGGGGTGGTGGGAATAAAATGGCCTTCCTGGTTCTGATTTATTTATAAATGAGGGCTTCGAAATTTGGAATGGGGCGGGGGCTTTGTTCTACCTGTCAGAATGCTCCTGAATCCCACTTGCCGGAAACGGCAGGAGCAGAGAGTGATGTTGCGATCCGGTCTTGATTCCAGGCTTCCTATAGGCCCCTGGTCGTCCACTGAGAGAACAGGATGCTGTGCTAGACGGGCCATTGGGCTATTGATTCATCTAGGTTCTCTTCCCATTCCTATGGGGACTGATGCAAATTCTGGAGCAAGGATCTGCATCAAGATAATACTTCATTACAAAGGCAGCGCTTGTTCCGTACTTCTTAAGTTAAATTGCAGACCAAAAATAACTTTTGTTATTTATAGTATCAGCTAAGGAGACAAGAGGAGAGAGAGGCAAACGTTGCTCATTCCGCTGAGGAGGTATGGTGCCTCTGTCTTTTGAGCTGGGGGGCGGGCGCAGTTGCAAAGTGAGATGCAAAGCAAGCTTGCCTCTCTTCTGTCCCTTCTGCGATCTTAAGAGTTCAGTCTAGGATGGTGATGGATCCAGTTCTTGCGCATGCTATTCCCACCAGCTCCCACCAGATTCAGTTCAGGTTTGTGATCGGCGCAGCCTCTCTGTGCTTTGCATGGCGTTTTGCCCGAGGTCCAGTAGGATATGCACCGTGTGCCAAATCTCTGTGTTTTTTCCTCAGTTATCAATCGGGCCATTGTGGCAAATGTGGGTTTTGTGAGCTGTGAGAACTTAGGCACACAAAAGGACTTGCTCTTTGCAAGGAACATTGGCTGCCCTGTGCCCAGAAAGGAAGGGTAATTAAAGTTAATGACCCAAGGTAACCTCCTGGCGATGGTGCCAGTGGCAGCCACTACCACTGCTGCAGACAGGGGTCAATAATTCCTATCCTCCTCCTTTTAAAATCCCTTTCTAAAACAGATGCGTTGTTGCTGTCGGGTGGAAAGCTGCCCAGATGTCTTTGAATTAATATGTTAATATTAAGTAGTTTTGGCGTGGAATCATTTGGGTCGGCTTAAGCACCTACCATGACAAAGCAGCCATTTCGCCCCAAATGTCTTTAGGGAACACTTTCCACACCAGCCTGTCTGCTAAGACAGAAGGCTCTGAGGCCTGCCGTCACCCTACGTGAACCGAGAAGAGAGGCCAGAAACACCCAGCACTTTCTCTCCTGCGTCTGCATGTTGCTTGAGAAGATCAGCTGTGGGAGGCAGGTGTTCTGCTTCCCTCCAGTGTTTTAGACTACAATTCCCATCAGCCTCAGCCAGCAGCTGGTCTAAATGCTATATTCTGTGCCAGCTGCATTACAGTTGCCAAAAGATGCTAACTTAAAATAAAGTTAAAAAATGGAGCAGGATTTCTTTTTCTTTACATTGCAGGGGATTGGACTAGGTGACCCTCGGGATCCCTTCCGACTCCACAATTCTATTATTCTTCTCTTACCTCTTTCACCTGTTTTGTGGTAGTTGAGAGGCTCTTAACCAGTGACCTGGGCAGCCCTTGTGTAGCGTTTTTCATTCTCTAGCAGTAGGGAAAAAAGCAGTAGCGCTCTGTCTGGAGAAAGCATAAAGCCATTGGGGAGCAGGTTGCGGTAGAAATTCCCTTGGCACAATAGCTCCTCCAGCTGCCATCACGACCTCCCTACTCCTCTTCCTCCTGAGGTCCACCGGGTTTATCTGTGGTTGTGATTCTGCTCCATTGCTCTTTCCAAAGTGGTTTCCTTCTCTGATAGGTGTAAAACTGAGCCACACTCAGTATAAAGGTTTGGGAACTGGAGGAAATGTGCGACCAGGTGCCAAGTAACTACTGACTAACTCCCCCATCACTTCTGGATAACTGATATTTTACAGGGCCAAGTGCAGCTCTTCGGGCTTCTGTATCTGCCCCTCGGATGTCTCTCCTGGCCATACTCCACTCTAGCCCTACTTTGTACCCCAATTGTTTTCACCTATAACTCTGATAATGCTTCCTGCTTGTCTGGTTGGAAGATAGAAAGGGGTGTGTGTGTGTGTGTGTGTGTAAAGAAAAGACCCTACAGCAAATATAAAATTTGCATTTGTTGCTCCATCCACTTTTGCTGTCTCCAGAGGGCGTGTGAGCAGAACTGGCCTAGGTGCTACCACTTGCCAACCTATAATGTAATTGTCTTATGACTGAGATGAACTCCCTCCATTCACTAAAGTATAGACTCAGAAATTGCAACTTCACTTTGCTGTTTGTGAAGGAACGTAAGAAGTCAAGACATCTCTTGGGGCCTCTGTGCACTTACCCTGCTTGAATCCTAGGTGTGTAAGAGGTTCACTTGAGTGTCCATCTATCCTTTCTTTTTTATCTGATTGGACAGCATTGTTTAATCCCACCTCTCTTTGGTCCGTTAGAGCTATTCAGTGCCTCTCTTAGCACAAAACCAGATCCTTTTCATATAGATAGTATCAAAGCCTATATGCTTCTAAAACTTCCAAATGGTTAGGGACACAGCCCACCAGGAACGTCTTGACCCATTAGAATACAACTAGCTTTTTACATTAAGTGTTTGCCACCAGCTTCCTAGTGGATAAGAGGATATTCCAAAGGAAGTGATACTCAGGCAAGTTCTCCTTGGAGTCGACCCGTTGAAATTAAGGAACATGACCAAATTAGGTCCATTAATTTCAGTAGACCTCCACTGATTTAAACTTGGTTGAGTGCCACCCTAAAATTTGGAAAGTGTTTATAGATGTTGCAAGCAAACATTCTAACGATGATCTCATGCTTCAATCTGTTTTGTTCACAAACTAATGCCTTTCTTTCCTGAAATTTTGATTAGAAACAGTATATTTGTTTGGCGGCTGGGACGGGACTCAGGACCTGGCTGACTTCTGGGCCTACAGCGTGAAGGAGAACCAGTGGGCGTGTATATCAAGAGATACTGAAAAAGAGGCAAGTTTCAAGCATTTTCTTATGAGTGTGCCATGTGACCAGAGCCTGGTGTTTGCCAAGGCAACACAATTCTTAAAAATACCCTGATTGTAGCTCAGCCTTGAGCCAGCAGTGATGTCGGAAACTTAACATCCCCATCCCCTCCCTGCTTGTTCTAAGAGAATATGAAGTCATGACCCTTTTTGGATTTCAAATGCATTTCATAATAGTTGATGGAAAAGTTTGGCCGTTCCATTGCCGAGAAATAAACAAGATGCTTTGGCAGAACAGAATGATAAAAAAATTTTAATGAAGAATTTGGAGCTGATGGGAGACATCAGCACCGAAAGCTACTACTGGATGTCTCCAAATATACACGCAGAAGAAGCACTTAACTAAATGAAACTTTGGGAAGAGACGAGTATCTGGAAGTTGGATGATTTTTAAATGGGTTTTACTTGAGTAAAACTTGGAAGACTTTTCTCTTCTCCCCTCCCCTCTCCTCTCCCAGGGACTGAACTGGTGCAGCAGAATGGCTAAGAGAGAGTGAGGAGTGAATCAGGGAGTCCTTGGCTTAACTCTCCTCCAGGCAGTCCAAAGGTGGCCTTGGAGAAGTCTCTCTCAGCCTTGGGCTTCTGTATCGGGGGTACAGTACTGGCCTGCCTTCCAGGATTGTTGCAGAAATGGCACAAAAAATTGTAGGCAGAATATGTTGGACATATTTGAAAGCAGCATGTAAATGCTAAGGATTAGTTCCTAACCAAGCTTCCACTAGTGGGAGCATCTCAGGAGCAGAGTTCTGCTCATGGGACGTATCTACCAGTGGAAGGTATAGGGGAAGACTTTGATCAATTTCCCCTTGTCCTTATACCCCTGGAGGGTCGGGTCACAGTGTTAGAAACTCAGATATATAAGCTAGGTGCCAAATGACTCCTTAAACAAAGGTTGCAGTCTCCAAAACAGAATGTCTTGTTGCCATTTTGGGGCAAGATGACTCCAAAGTCTTATTTTTCAGGCAATGGACTGACTGATCTGGCTAGTTCAGATGACAACCTTCAGCTAGGTTGAGAGCTTTGAGAACTTGAAGAAGAAAAGTCACTTGATCCAGGGACAGACCACATGTCCATCAACCTATTTCACCCTCTTTTTCTTAACGGTGACTGCTCCTGCTCAGGCTGCACAGAAAAAGCATTTTGGTTCTCGAAATTCATTCCGATTGTGCAGATAAAATAGAACTGATGGGGTAGTAGCATGTGAAAACAGTGCAGATCCAATGATTCCCCAGATGGTGCAGATGTCAGGCACAATCCTGTCGCCCTGGCATCCTCACTTGGTCCCAAGTGGCTGATAGCTAGGTGCAAAATGCACCTGGCGCCTGGCTAATTTCGAACACCGTTGGGCAGCCCTCTGAGAGCCACCTTCTCCCTTGTATGCTCTGCTGGATCCCCATTCCTTCTGCAAATGGAAGGAGGCCTCCTGATCATAGAGGGTTAGTTAAGGAGGAGATCTAAGTATATGCTGTGTGTGTTAAATCTGCTGCGTAAGCCAGTATTTTACAGGAGGGTATGGTGTAGCTCTCCTCTTGCAGATGAGGAGCAAACTCCCTACGAAAAGCAGTCGGTGTGCTTCTGGGCCAGGAAACTCACGCTTCTGGACTGTGACAAAAATCTCGAGGCCAACTGCAAAGGTCACGGTTGGAACGGGATAAATAAGCTCAACAAGGGAGATGCTTCCAATGTTCTTGCGAGAGGAAGGGCAGCTTGTTCATAAACAAGCCACTAAAAGGAACAATCTGTTGCACTGAGTTGTTGAGAATATCAAATGGATTCTAAGAAAAAAAATGTTTTGCTTTTGAATTATAACATGTTTATTCAAATCCTGAACCTCAACGCTGGTATTGCATGTGAGGCTTCGGCTGCAATCTTGTTCAGTTATTTGGGGGGTAAACTCCAGTGAGCTTAGTTAGACTTACTTCTCAGTAGGAACAGGCTATTAATTGCCACTTTAAAGGCTGTGAATGGGGATCTTCTTGGGCAGGCAACTACAGGTTGCCAGAAAGCTTTAGAATAAGTTATTCTCTTGGTGTCTCCAGATTTGTAACGCCCTTAGTGAAAATATGTTGAAACCCCTGCTCTGTATCACCTTGATCTTGGCTTCTTGCGCCAGCTTGCCTGCAGGATCAAAGCATGGGGCTGGGAAGAAGAGAAGAAGGTACATTTGACCAGAGTTTAGATGGCCTGACTTGGGTTATGTGCCCATTACTGTAAAGAAACAACTGAGGCCAAATTGTAGCTAATGCTTGAGGATGCTCATGCAAGCTTATTTCCCTATATTCAGTTAAGATCTTGCAGGATTTGCAGCAGCCTGAGTTGGTGGCCTGGGCTGTTCTGTGGACAGGGTTGGAGAGAGCATGCATGTTTGTATAGGTAACGAGGATGGTCTTCCTAAGACAGCATGTCAACTAAGATGGCACATACCTGTGCCTCCCAAACTATGCGATGTCCCAGAGCTGGGAGGAGCTAACAGGGTGTGGCAGCATGAGGAAGGAGCAAGCATTGTAATAATTGGGGACATTTGAGATCCCAGGAGGGGGTGGGATTCCATCCTGCTGATAGGCTTCACATACAATGAAACATGAACGGCCAAATGACACGTGCACCTCAAAAGAACTGACACTGGGACCTGAAAACTGAACCCAGAGCACGGAAGAGGATTTTTCACTTGTTTATGGTTAGTATCCACCACCGTGAGATGGCTGTGCATGACTATAGATGCAATCAGGCAGTAGTGTAAAGCGCTTTAAACAAAGGGACCAAAGGAAGTTCAGGGACAACAGTCAGTCCATCCTATTTTACCAAACAGGTGAGAGAACTTGGGGTAGAACAGGGCTTATATTGCAAGCCTGTTGAGTCCGCATGTGGAGAAACCTAGACTTGATCGCTGATCAGCCATGAAATTTAGCAGATAACTTCAGGCCAAGTCTCTTGACGGAGGACTTGTTCACGTGCATCTTCCTCAATGCCTTAGGAACACTTTCAGCTGCCCTTTGAACTGCCACCACGGTGTTGTCGGGTGATGTGAAAGCTTTCAGCTGCGTCTTCCTAGTATATGCAGGTGATCGGGCAAGGTTGGGACCAAATGGAGAAGGTGTGTGTTTGAATGGTGGTGTGCCTATAGCCTTCAGTTTGGTAGTGGCTCCGTTATAAACTTGCCTAATTTTTTGCTCTCAAAAAAAATAAGCCAAGATTGCCAAGGGATGTAACAGAATGGCTGAAAAAGAAGCCATGGGGACCCATTGCTGAATCCTACCGTGATCTATTTTGCATTTCTTCCCTTTTGTCAGAGCTGACTGACTTAATCTTTCCTCATTGCAGCTGTTTGGCATCCCTAAGGTCTTGTTTGAACATTTGGGTCTTTGGTTCTGTGTTTATCCTGCCCTGAGGATAGAAAAGTGAGAGCATGGCTGCTGGAATGTTGGAGGAGGATAAAAATTGTTGTCTGGTGACGGCTTACGATGCAGAAGCACATGTTTGTTTTTGCAAGGACACGGCAAAGGTTGATGTCATAGTATCCTCCTGGTAATGTCTCTCATGCAATAGAAGCCTCTGGTGGCCTAGACTTCGCGGTGGATCAGTCTCCAAAGGAGCTTGCTAGTCCTAAAGCTAGCTGGAATCCAGACATTGTGTAACAAGGTGATCCAGCGTAAAGAGGTCACAGTATAGTCCACAGTTTTTTAACCTTGGGTCCAGATATTGTTGGATTCCAACCACTCATCATCTCCAGCCAGATGAGACAGTGGTCACGGATGATGGGAGTTGTAGTCCAACAATACCTGGGAACCCAAGGTTGAAGAAAGTTTATATAGCCAAATGTATGAAAGTAAAGCTTCTACACCCATGCACAGTAATTATGTAAGCTTTCCAGGAGGAGGAGATGGGTTTACTAGTCAAAAATAAGATTACATACTGAAATTGTAATCATGTGTGGTTTTTATAAAGGGACTTGGGCCAGGTTTACATATTATATTAAAAGCAGTGCCAAAAAGTCAGCAACTGTTTCATTCTTCCCTCCCTCTCTGTAGCATCTAGGGTGACTTACCCACATATCTTGATGTTGAATGTCACCCAGGAAATTTAATGCAGCACAGCAGATTGGACTCTTCAAATAGGTGCAGGGAATAAAATCACCACCCTAAAATCACCATTCTAAAAATGAGGCAACGCCAGCCGAAAGCCTGAAAAATATTTCAGATTTCTTGGCGGCAGCATCAGTTTAGGCAGTTGGGCAATCAGTCAATCAAGTTACGCTTGTCATCTCTTGGAACTATGGGACACATCTTTTGTGGTTATTCCTGAGCTACAATTCATTGTGATGTTCCTAGAACGATTTGCTCCTTTTGGCTGTCATGCGATTTTTCATGCCATGTTGGTGGTCTGTCTGAGAAATGGTGGAATGACTTCCTTTTTGCATTGATAGGCATAAAACCTCAAAACAGGCCTAGGACAAACTGTGCTGAGCACTTGGAGCATGAAACAGTGCCCCCGCTTTGGTTTTGAGTTGTCTGGTCCCAGTGCTCTTCCCTTGCTAAATCATAAATTGTATTTTGGTTGTTTGTATTAAAGGAAACACCAATAAAAAACATTTAAAAAATAAATAAATTATTCATTAGCGTTTAATAGAAGCAGCACAATAAACAAATTAGTTGAACTGTTTTCTGCGTTGGGTTTGATCTCTTGTCCTGTTTTGGTAGGAGTCGCTGTGCCATTAATATTTTGTGGATTGGGGCCCCCACCGGAATAATCAGAGGAGGTGGAAATGACGGACAAACTAATAAACAACTAGCTGTGCAAATAGTTGGAATTTACAATACATTTGTTGCTTGCCGTCAGTGGTAACAGCCCTTTTTTATCACTGCATTTTGATTGCATGTCAGAATTCTATGTGGGGGCGGGGGGAAGGAAACACAGCACAGACTTGTTTCTTGGGTCTTCTGACTACTTGGTCTGCCAAAGGAGCTAAAGGGGACGGACTTTAAAGATGCTGATCTCGAAGATAGTCTTGCTTCAGAAGGAATGGAAATAAATATTTTAAGCAGAGTCGAATACTTCTGGAACACAGAACAAAACGGAAGCAGTAAATAAAAACTTTCAGAACCAGTTCATGGTTAGGGCTTAAATTTTAATTACAAGAGGGAGGTGTGGGGGTTATTTCTTATTTTGTTGTTGTTTAGTCGTGTCCAACTCTTCGTGACCCCATGGACCAGAGCACGCCAGGCACTCCTGTCTTCCACTGCCTCCTGCAGTTTGGTCAAACTCATGTTGGTAGCTTCGAGAACACTGCCCAACCATCTCGTCCTCTGTCGTCCCCTTCTCCTTGTGCCCTCCATCTTTCCCAACATCAGGGTCTTTTCCAGGGAGTCTTCTCTTCTCATGAGGTGGCCAAAGTATTGGAGCCTCAGCTTCAGGATCTGTCCTTCCGGTGAGCACTCAGGGCTGATTTCCTTCAGAATGGATAGGTTTGATCTTTTTGTAGTCCATGGGACTCTCAAGAGTCTCCTCCAGCACCAGAATTCAAAAGCATCAATTCTTTGGCGATCAGCCTTCTTTATGGTCCATATGGTCTTTAATTTCTCTGTCTATGATTTGGTTGCTACCCATAAAGCAGGTGTAGCTAACCGGTGGCGTTTTAGATTTTGCTGAAGAATTAAGAATACTGTATAAAGTGCAATAACGTTAAATAAATACAAATGAGACAATATCGTACAGTAACATTGTGATAGTCTGTCTGAAACTACTTATTTTTAAAGATTATGGATGAGATCCAAATACATCAGAGAAGACCCATTGTCAAGTCCATTGATGTAAGTGGGTCTGCTCTCACTATGCCTAACATTGGATTGTTCCAAAGGGGTAATTTAAATTCTTTAAAATCTAATTTTGCACTATGTGCTCACTCTATGTTTTCTTTCTGTGAGAGCTACATTCTAAAATGAGGAGGGGATATGAATAAAGAACAGCAATCATTCTCCAAAGAATTGAATTCTGAGATTTCAGAGCTGTCGCCTGCACATAAACTGTGCTGTGTTCTGCTGCACCTTTTAAGCTTGTTCCGGACAGAATTGTTATCTGTAAATAAGACCAGCATAACACAATATACTTGCCCCCTATGAAGAAAGCATGCATTCTACCATTTGACAACTGCCTGTTTTTTGCCGCCTGTTCTTTTATTTTGAATTGGCAGCAGCTCCCTGGCATGTCTCCACACAGCAAAGCAAACATTTGGCTGCGCTTATTTTACACCACAATGTTCCCAGGTGCCGCTCTTGTGGACCTGAGAAGAATCCTCCTGAATCGGATGAAATCATCTATCCAGTTCACCATAAACAGTCCATTGTTTTCAATGCTGCACTTAAACGGACCCCTGTCTAAATTGGCACTGCTTTGCTTTAATACTATTTCATTTCAAAATAGAAACTGCCACGAAGAACTCATTTGAATATCGGACAGCAAAATGATTTGCAGAGTGTCGTCACAGACTTTAAATGGCGTTGAAAAATGCTACGTTTGGATGTAGCACTAAAACGTAGTTGGCATCTGGAGAACAAGTGTGAGCTTCCTAGGGACTGAAATTAATTTGAGTTGGGGACTTTCCTAGTATACTAGCTCTCTGTCCTACATTTCCAGAGGGGGGTAGGGAGAGTCCCGAATAGCACTGGAGATAGAGAAATGCCTTGTTATGGTCACTCCCATTTTCTCCATTTCCCCTTCACTCCTTTGTATCCGGCAGTTCTCAAGTGTTCTGAGCGGAGCCAAAGTATTTGCAGTCGAATGCAGTCTCTGTTCCAGACTTCCTGTTCCTTTCTTGTGAAAAGCGCTACCAAGATCTCTCAGCAGCCCGGGCATGTCGCATCCTGCAGCATGTTACGAGATCAGCGTTCTTAAGAGCCTTTCCGCCTCAACTCCTTCGCAGGCAAAGCTCCTTAAGACCAAACATTTCGTTTGAAAGCTTGATTCCAAAATCGAGAAGGCCAATATTCTGCCTCCCAAAGTTCAGTTCCTTTCTTATTCATGCAAGTGGTTTGGAGGGTGATGTGTTGTGAAGTCCGCAGGGACATGAATTCAAGCTTTCCCTTCTAGAAGCAGGGCTTAAGTCTATCATAAACACACATCACACCATTTACTACATTTACTTTCTTCTTAAATAGGCGAAGGTAAACAAGGCATTTTGGCATGCTAGGAACTGCCTTGCTTTTGATCTTGTTCTTCCGTGTTTTGAATTATAACTGGAGAAAGGACCTTTGGTCACAGCAAAACCTACTTGTTTGCATTGGCAGGGACTTGTTCATAGAACAGCCTGGACCAAAATATTGTGCTTGGGCGCAGGATACGTGACTCTTGAAAATGTGGTCCGTCCACTCGCTCTTGCATTTGGGGATTTTGGTTTCAAATCAGGGAATTAACTAGAAACAGTCCATATTGCTATTCTGAGTCAGGTTGACATTGTCTAGAATAGAGTCCTTAGTTGCTTGTTCTCTTTTAGCTCATGCTATATGAAATTTCAAAGCGGTTTTTTTTTTTAAAAAAGGTTCTGACTAAGATTTTAGCTCACTCATTCTTTCAGCCTCAAGCCTAAAAGAAGTATATTGCTGTAGTTATGAATAGATGTTTCTAGGGCTAGGCCTGCCAAAACATTCCCATGGGAAGGCTTTGGAGTGATTCCCAGGAAGGAATGAAGAATCAATTGGATTTTGCAAGGAAAGGTCAGCAGGGTCTTCTATGTTACGTTCTTCCATCAACCCAGCGCACTTCCATGGAAGGGGAAAAGTTGCGTTGGAATTGGCTTCTCCTCTTGGCTTTTGTGGAAAGGCAATCCTAACACTTCATAAGTAGCTATGCATTGCGTTAACTTGGCTGCCTTGGAGCAAAGGCTTGGCTGTTTCTTGTAGAATTTCTTTTCTGGGGGAGGTTTTCCAGGCTCGTTCTGATGAGGGTTTTGGAAGATGAGTGAAAGCGTTAAAATTCCACACGCTGTGCTTGCATTGGGACTCGTGTCACCCCAGTTCTCACAAAGTAACGTGCAAGGTGATAAACCAATGTGTGGACTGTACTCATAAAAGACTGTCCATGGAGGCTTGCGTTATCAAATGCATTGGAAAAAAAATACATCATTGCATATAGGAGGCTTGGCACATCCAGATTTTAATTCATCATCACCATCATTTTATGTAATCCCTTCCCACTCTACAATTCTATGATTTTACAACAAAAACAGTCATAACCAATAAATAAAACACATCAAAAAGTAAAGAATATTGAACAAGTTCAACATCAATCATAAGATCTAAAAGTAAAGATACAAAAAATTAATATCAACAACAGCAAGAAAAACCCATAAGCAATACCCCAGCCCAAGAGTCAGCTTTTGTAGCTGGAGTCAGTCAGGGTCCCATCTTCCCAGGCTAGGTGTGAAAAGACCAGCAGTTGAGTCATCACTTCACATTGAAAACTGGACGTTCAGAGTGAATGTTGTTATGTAAGAGGAGCATTCATACAAGTGAGTGCCTCCCTGCTGTGTGAGTTGGTACAGTCCAGACCCTGGTTGATCACCTTATAGCTTGGTTGTGAGAAGGGCCATAGAGAACTTGGGCTGCTGAGTTACTAGATTACTTTTGTTAAGTTGCCATGCTTGTTGGATTTTAAAGGTTTTCATAGCTGTAAAGAGGATATTGAAAAACCAGAGAAGGGCAACAGAAATGAAGAGGGCCGTGGAGGCAGATTTCCTGTGAGCAAAAGGTTGAAGGAGTTGAGACTGTTTAGCCTGGAGAAGAGATAATTAAGAGGCAATATTACAGCAATCCAGATGTTTGAGGGGCATACATGTAGATGATGGCTTGAATCAGTTCATTTTGCTCTACAGCAGGGTTTTCCAGCTGTTTTGGGACTACAGTTTCTTCATCCCTGACCACTGGTCCCGCTAGCTAGGGATGATGGGAGTTGTAGTCCAAAAACAGCTGGAGACCCAACTTTGGGAAACCCTGGGCTGGATGAACCAGGAAGCTGGCCCTGTGTAAGGAAGCTTCATGCAGCTGTATACCCTGCAAAATTCAGACTCTTCCCTCTTACAACGGTCGATAAAATGGCCAGTTGTTTTCAGGGTGGTGGGAAAGCAGGTTGGATTTTCTGACCAGGCTCAAACCCCAACTTCGCCATATTGCTCTTTGGATGACCACATTTTCTTTCAACCTAGCTCACATCTCAGGGTTGTTGTTGTGGTTTTCTTTCTTTCTTTTTAAAGTACCATGCACACTGCTGTAAGCTACTTGGACAAAAGGTGTGCTAGAGCTGCTTGGGTTGAAATAGGCTTTTAAAATTTAACTGTGAGCTACAAAGGTCGGCATGCTTCTTGTAAAATTTGGTATGGATACTGAGGGCAAGTGTGTCTAAGGAGAATGTCATCTTACGGATTTGTCTTCCCACTCCTAGTGAACCTTCCCATGTTCCATATCAGGTTTTAGTCACTCAGGAGCTTACGTCATGTCAAAGGCCACTGTCCCAAAAGCAGTTTTATTCCTGTAAATTTTGGCTGAATGCTGCAGCTCTTAAATTCCCTGCATAGCTTGACTTACTGGTATCCACTCTTGCATGGTATAACAAAGAGCAGCTCGGGGGAATTATTTTCTTCACTGTAAATAAAATGGGGGAATACAGGTGAGCATAAAAGCATGAACATTATCCTTGGGGAAGAAATGGTGGCATTCTGGAGATGTGCAATGGAGCACGTTCACCCCCAAAATTGCCACTGGGTGCTAATACGTGATAATTCTTATTTTTATTTTACATCACACTTCCTTCAGAGTTCTCCTTGTTTCCTCAGCTCCAGGAACCCTGTAATGTTAGTCGGACTGAGAAAAGTGAGTCTAGTCTAGTCCAGTCTAGTATTAGAAATTAAGTAGGTAAAATAAATATGGGGAAAGCAAAATGACACTTAGAGAAGGATCTGAAATATTTCCCTTGAAGCTTGAATTTGTTTTATTCTGGATTTGATGTTTTAATTGCCTTGATATTTCCCCCCTCTAAAATATAAAGCGGTCAGTGTTAGAAACGGAGATTTGAAAGCTAGGAGCGAAGAAACTGCTCAGAAACCTCTCGCGCTAATGAAATTCCCTGTCGCAAAATGCACCTAGAACAATGGGAGTTTCGAACACTGAAAGTGGTATAGAAATGAAATTAGCAGCAGCAGCAGCAGCAGCAAATCTCACTGCTAGAAAGGCCCCTTGTCATTCCATTGTGGCAACCGTAACCCACATTTAAGGTGCCATTTGGCAATTAGCTTATGTACATGAGTTTCTAACACCCCTAGGCCATGTTGGCTGTGAGACGTGACTAGCTTCCTGTTTTCTCTCTGCTCCATAGAATGGCCCCAGCGCCAGGTCCTGCCACAAGATGTGCATCGACATCCAGCGGAGGCAGATCTACACGCTGGGCCGTTACCTGGATTCCTCCGTGAGGAACAGCAAGTCTCTGAAAAGCGACTTCTATCGCTACGACATCGACACAAACACGTGGATGTTGCTCAGCGAGGACACTGCTGCGGACGGAGGACCCAAGCTCGTGTTTGACCATCAGGTCTGCAGGTGTTACAAACCATGAAGGGCGGGGAGGTCCCTGCCCCAAGGGGTTTACAGTCAGGAAACCAACACAGACAGAGGATGGGAAGGAAACGTAATTTCAGTTAGGGGTTTGTTGAAGTAGGTTATTGGGACTGGGGGCTGAATGGAACGGAGGCTGCAGCTACTGTTCAGCAAGGCTGTTTTACTTGATTGGCCCCGTTAGAAGTTTGAATGGAGATTTGGTGTCTTCAGTACAGTGGTACCTCAGGTTAAGTACTTAATTCGTTCCGGAGGTCCGTTCTTAACCTGAAACTGTTCTTAACCTGAAGTACCACTTTAGCTAATGGGGCCTCCCGCTACCACCGCGCGATTTCTGTTCTCATCCTGAAGCAAAGTTCTTAACCCGAGGTACTATTTCTGGGTTAGCGGAGTCTGTAACCTGAAGCATATGTAACCCAAGGTACCACTGTATTCTGATTCTTAAAGGCTCTCTTCTCTGTTCACTGTGCTACTCTGTCTGCCCAGTTGTGGCTTTTTGAAGAAAAGAGGGCCTTCTGAATCCAGTTACTCCTGGCCAACTTCAGAGCACCAAGTCAGCGGCCTCAACGAGCACTACTTGATATTTCTAAACATTGGTTTTGACATTGCATTCGTTATAGAAAAGCGCACCATTAAGCGGTTTTTAAGCACGCTTCCTCTCCTTTCAGATGTGCATGGATTCCGAGAAGCACATGATCTACACCTTTGGAGGAAGGATTTTGACCTGCAACGGGAGCGTGGACGACAGCCGAGCCAGCGAGCCACAATTCAGTGGCCTCTTCGCCTTCGACTGCCGGTGCCGGACGTGGAAACTCTTGCGAGAGGATTCCTGTAATGCTGGCCCTGAAGACATCCAGTCCAGAATAGGGCACTGCATGTTGTTCCATTCAGTAAGAGCTAGCACTAAGCCCAGGCACTATTCCATCACCCCTTGGCCTCAGTTGCATTGCAGCACTTGAAAACGAGTGCAAAGGCAGGCCTTACAGTTGATTAACCGACAGAAGGCCAAATTTTAATCTCCGGTATTGTGAACTAAGGGAATGTTGGCTTCCTTGTTTCCAAATTGCTGTGGATCTGGTATGCTATTGTAATAGGAAATGAGAGAAAGTTTGAAAGGTTGCTTTTTCTTCTGAACAAGTGCCAGCTTTTGCTTGTTGAAAGGTGTCTCTCTTTTCTCTTAACTCAAAAATACATTGAGCAGCTGGGGATAATGTTGGGATTTTAATTTCATCTATGGAATCTTTCGAGTTAACATCAAGGTAGTGTAGCAATCCCTGTTACTCACACTTTTTTTGCCCGCATAATCCTTTTGAGGTCCCTTTTCTAAGCTCCCAGAAAGCAGCTGCTGAGCCCTTCTTAATGTTCGGCCAGAATAGTAGGTTGGCTGTAACCTTACAAGTTAGCATAAATACATAACTTTAAAATTGGACCAGTTTGCTGTTTTAGCAGCTGAACGTCTGGCAGGATTCTGTGAACAGCAGATTGTAATAGTGACATTTAAAGTTCTCATTTTTCTCCCCCTCTGCTTAAATTATGTTAGTCTATTGTTATCATATATTGTATATATTATTAAAGTGTACTTCTTTGTAATAAATTCCTAAATTTAATCAACAAATTAATAAATCAATTATACAGTTAAAGGGCAAAAATAGCTTAACCACAGGGTCCATTTTTGAGTGGTTCCCACTAAGATTCCAGAGAGGTTTGGCTTGAGAGCAGCTGAGGTGCGCTGCATTGGCATCTGAACTGCAAGCCGCGTGCTCACAAGTTTCCTCCTGGTCACTCAAATGCCACCTTTTCTTTCCTTCAGAAAAATCGTTGCCTGTACGTGTTTGGAGGCCAGAGGTCGAAAACATACCTGAACGATTTCTTCAGTTACGATGTAGACAGCGATCACGTGGATATCATCTCGGATGGAACCAAGAAAGATTCAGGGATGGGTGAGTGGCTTTGCTGCATATGTTTGAATTCCTGTCTGTGCTAATGGTAAGAAGCTGGCCTCCATATGATGTGGTACTTCAACGGCTCGTTTGCACAGCCAGAGATACCTAGCATTGTTTCAGAGGCAATTTGGCGATACTCTCAGGGTTGCAACACAGAATTGGCAGCCCTCCCCCTATTCCATAGCACCTCACGTTGCTGTCTAAGATACTTGTGGGGTCAGATCATGCAGTGTGTTCATCGCACAAAAGCAAATGACATGTTAAATACCTTATGCGGAGTCCCTTTGTAGGATCAGGACTGTGGTGTGTGGAGCCGATGGAAACTTCTCTACTGAGGGTAGCTTTGGTTTGGGGTGGATTTTTGTCGGAGCTGCAGAATGAGGAAAGGATTAACCCACAACCCCATGCTTTCCACATCCCTGAGCCATCTGAGCCTCCGCCTGTTCCTCACGCTGTGGCAGCTTTTTGCATTTTCAAAACTGCACATATTAATTGCTTTCGTGCAATTGAAGGGAATAATAATAATAATAATAATAATAATAATTTATTTGTACCCCGCCCATCTGGCTGGGTTTCCGCAGCCACTCTGGGCGGCTTCCAACAGAACACTAAATACAATAGTCTATTAAACATTGAAAGCTTCCCTAAACAGGGCTGCCTTCAGTAGCCTTCTAAAAGTATGGTAGTTGTTTTTCTCTTTGACATCTGGTGGGAGGGCATTCCACAGGGCGGGCGCCACTACCGAGAAGGCCCTCTGCCTGGTTCCCTGTAACTTGACTTCTCGCAATGAGGGAACCGCCAGAAGGCCCTCAGCGCTGGACGGGCAGAACGAGAACACGTAGTCCAGCCTCCGTCCCTAGAAAAGTAACATTTTTCATCATCGTAAATGGTGCAGTTGTTGATCCAGAGAGAGGGAAAGAGGGGGTGAAATGAGAATTATTCCAAAGTTGTAATTTGATAACTAGCTTTACCAAGCAGAGAATTATGTATATAAATGAGCAGGGCTGCAAACAACAGTGCTGTCTTTCCCGAGCTCCTCTTAGATTACAAAGAGTTGTGCTGGTCTTTAGGTGCGTGAATGGTATCTCACTGGATCATAGTGATGATTGTTGCTGAAATAAGGTGTAGAGGGCTTTCAGATTCCCAAAAGAAAAGTGTGAGTTAGGTTGGGTGATGTCAGGTGGACAGCTTAACCCTTGAAGCCTGCCTTCCCTACCACACCACCAGGAGTGAGTGCCATGGCCCCCTCTCTTGAAATTGCACCTCCTTTTGGTACGACTGCATGTGGCTTCTTGTTTTTAGCAAACACCTGTGATTAGTTCACTTTCCGTTGACAACAGACCCCGTCTTCTGGCCAAGCACATTCAGCCATGTTCTCCTGGCCAGATACATTAATTGCATGTTCTAGTTAGACAAAGGAGAACAACATAATTAGCCTCTGCCATTTTTTTTAAAAGAAAAGCTGTCCTCCTTACTTTGAATAGCAGACTTTGTTATCAAGTGACTCATTTAGAAATCATGAATGAATAGTATGCCAGTTTTACCGTCCTCGTGTGTCTACGAAAGTAAATAAACAGCTCTGAACATTTCCCTTGTTTGTGAAGGGAAACATTAGAATTAGCCTCCCAACAAGGAAGAACAAAAGCCCATTATAGTCAAAACTGCAAATGCTGACGACAAGTTGCTTTCGTTAGAGGGGCTCGGTTTTCAGTGATTTTGAACACAAGCAGAGGTCCCTCTTCCCATCCTCTCCCCTAGTTTGACTTCCCGGGAGAAGCTGCGCGGGGCTAAAGAAGCCATAGCCACGTGCAGCCTCTCCCTGCCGGAGGGGCTGCGCGCGGCTATCCCTGAAGCCTGGAGAGCAAGAGGGGTCAGTGCGCACCGACGCCTCTCACTCTCCAGGCTTCAGCGAAAGCAACGCGAAGCCTTTGGAGCACGGAGGGAGTGCTCCCTCTCCACTTCGGAGGCTTAGTGTTGCTATCGCTGAAGCCAATGATCCTGCATTCGCTCCATAGGACGCACACACATTTTCCCTCAATTTTTGGAGGGGAAAAAGTGCGTCCTATAGAGTGAAAAATACGGTACCTCAAATTTCCCAAGGGTTGCAGAGGGACATCATCTGGTTGGGGCATCTGCACATAAAGAAGATACAAAAGCATGTCTGGCACATCAAAATTCCAGACTGGCCCCTTTGGCACCTAGACTTGTTTTCTTTTGTTTCCTTACTGTTCATTTTATCTGTTGCTGTAACCTGCCCCAGTGTCCCGAGTTTCTAATTTTCATGGATAAGGCTTTTTGGTTTCACAACACCTTAACAGCTTTATAAATAAAATAAAAAATAAAGCTGCCATTTCACAACTGTGGCTCCTTTTCAAGAACAACATGCTTTGTTTTGCTTCATAGTTGGGACTGGAGCCTAGAATATTATCATGCAGCCAGCATTATCAAGCAACTTTCTGTTGTTAAATGTACGATGAGTTCAATGCCTTACAGAGAATCATAATTCTTGTCGGGTGTGGGGAGGCCCTGCAAATTGGCTGTACAAATATTGTGGGCACCTGCCCCAAACCCAGTTATTTAAGCTCTTGCCTACTGATCGGAGAACAGGGAGGCTTTAGATTTAAGTCCGTGCGCTCAGCGCTTACTGCACAGTGCTGAACGTTCATCCCCCTACCTTTTCCCCTTTGGTTGCCAGCAATAAGACTGTGGGTGGGAACATACCTAGTAATTTTAACTTGTAAGCCAGAAAAATAGCTGGCTCAACAGCATCTTAATGAGGGAAGCAGCTGTGACCCAGACTTGTTCAGGAAGTAGGTGCCATTTTTATGTTGCGCCTCTCTCCTTTCTGGCAGTGCTGTTTCATGTATAAAAGCTGGACTTGAGAGCATTTTTGGTTCTCTCCAGCTTTGGCGGAATGCATGATAGCGTGGATAGCTTCAGTTAAGAGGCCAAGTTTTGCATAGTCATGCCATGCAAATTGAGAAGAAGGAAAAAGCGAGAGGAGAGTTCTGCACACGCAATATAAACTTCTGTACTTTTGTGCCTGGGGGACCCCTTTATTTTCTTATAAAGATGGCGCCTTAAAATTTCAATAGCTGCCAGTAATCCAATTAAAGAAATCTTAATGGATTAATCAGATGAGGTTTGAATTAATGGATTAAATCTGCATACATTTGAGTCTAGAGTAAAACGGTCTTTAAGAAAAAGCATGCTTTCTATGTTCTTTGATATGCACATGAACCACTCACATTACCCCTAACATATATATTGTAAAAGAAACCTTAGGAAAGTAGTTTTCAAATCGAGGACCCACCTTTAGCCCATGCATGCAGAGTGGCTGGGGAAGCCCAGCCAGATGGGCGGGGTATAAATAATAAGTTGTTGTTGTTGTTGTTGTTGTTGTTGAGGACCCACTTCTTAATACGTCAGGATGTGACCCAGTAAGTGAGCCCTGATCCACCAGTTGAAGGTAAATGCCTTAGGAGAAGAGGTATTTTACCTTTGGGTAATTATTTAAATTGAAAAACAAAACATTTGAAACCTAATTGGTTGCTCAGTTCATTTTTTTAAAAAAAGTTTTACATCAAAAGATCTAATTGATCACTTAAAGGCTGCAGTCTTAAGGCTGCAGTACATTGGACCAGCCTATGACAACAGGGGCACCCTAATGCAAAACAATGAGACAATGTCTAGATCCAGGCCCTTGAGCAGCTGAACAGCAGCTGCCAAGAGCTTCTGTCTGGTATACCTTGCTGTAACACCTTTGTGGAAGAGCTTGCACCCCCTAGTGACCCACAAAACTTGTTTAATAGCCCAATAGACGTATCTGACGAGGCAGACGATGGACTATAATGGACCCAAGCCCAGTTTGTAAAACGCTTGCTGTTTCTCTCTGCTTTAATGAGGCAGAGCTTTTAACTTCATGCAGCAGCTTCTGTTTCAGTGTCCTTTGTTAGGGCAGCGGCCCGTATGTCTTGACAGCGACCCTGGCTAGAGTATTCCCGAATAGGACTGTTTAACAACAGTTGGTGCAAGGCATGCCTGCCTTACCCTTTTGCTGTTGCAAAAGAATCCCCATTAAAACTCACAAACGTAGGTGTGTGTGAACCAGCAGGCTACACAATCATAGCCTCTCAGTTGAATTAGTTGCACATACCTTTTTTTGAGAGTAGGGTCGGTAAAGTTGACTAAATCCCTGAAAGACAGAAGATCTTGGCTCACGTCTACCTTCTTTGCTGCACCAGCTTGCAGCCCGGCCAGCTTAATTGCTGTGAAGTACTTTCTGTTCTGGTACACCGGGCTGCCCGTCAAACTCCTGCAGGGCGACCCGTTGGAGTTCGTTGATGAGATGTTGCTGTGGTTGTTGTGAACGTGGCCTCTTCTGTCGTGCTATCGGCCAAAGTTTTGGCAACTTAGTTCTGCATAAGGCAGCTTCCTGAGATCGCTAAGCGCCATTACTTGTCTACCTTAATGGAAGCGAGGCCATCCCTGTTTCCACCACCTGCTCCTGACCTGATTTAGCCGTAACCAGAGGCACCGCTTCTGCGCACGTGCACGGCGCGATAGAGCGCTTCTGCGCATGCGCAAGTGGTGAAACCTGGAAAAATACTTCCGGGTTTGCTGCTTTCGCAACCCGAAGATTACGAATCCAGAGAGGTACGTAACCCGAGGGTCCACTGTATCACTTTATTTCTTTATAATAGAAAACTTTTCAATAAAACATTAATACCAAATAGATACTCGGTACTGGCATGTGCAGAGGGACGCATGCAGGGAGTAGTAGCTTTTTAAAATGTTCTCCCTGTTAAGTATGTTGGTGCAAGAAATGGGCTTGCTTATGGTCTGCATGTGGGGTAGTTAAATTGGAGCCCTGGGCCTAGAATAAACCAAGAGAATCTTCAATAAAAATTATAGATAGATAGATACACAAATAGATCGTGCTGTTATTCCAGTGTGACTGGGGGTACCCAAGTTGTTAATCTTTGCAAATAATGCTCTTTAATTCGCCTGCCGTTACAGAATAGTTTTTATTCCTTAGGGCTACTCTTCTGGCATTTTTGTGTGTGTGATCCTTCTTCGTTTTTAAAATTCAAAGCGTGCTTTTGCTAAAGGGGAAAAAATGCCTGATTTACAGTAACATTTAATCTGAGATGCTGCGGTGTGTGGGAGGGCCCCCTTTCCTGTCTCTGGCAGGAGATTGATTGTCCTGCAAAGAGGAGGTGTCCATTTAAAAGCAAGAAGGAATGCCCATCCATTGTGCTGTTTTGATATGGCTCAGCCCACATGGCCCATGCGTCATATTCCACTTTGTCACACTCTCTATAAACAACTTCCTAAAGTCCTCCTGTGAACTCTGAGCTCCGTTTCTCGAGGCAAAGTTTAACTCCCACCCTACATGCTGTGTGTAACTGGCTGTGTTTGCTTTTGCCATCCGGCTATTTGCTGGCTGCTTGGCTCGGTAAAACTTGTTTTGATAAAACTGCGCATGGGGCAGAGGAAGTGGACAGACTTTCCCCCTCCTTTTTCCTCCCATAACACTAAAACTCCCAGGGTCATCGAATGAAATTGGTTAGCAGGAAATCCTTGACGGACAAAAGGAAGCCTTCACACTGGAGTTACAGAATTAGCTTCCACAATGTGTTGACGGTCGCCACTACTTTTGATGGTTTTCAGAAAAGGATGAAACTACCTTTTTTCAGGGCAGACGTAGCCCAGTGGTACGGATTGGCTGTAGCTCCCATTTATTCATTCAGAAGGTCCCAGGTTCAGTCACCTGCATCTCCAGCTACGGTTGGGAGAGACTTTCATCTGAAACCCCGGGGACTTGCTGCCAGTCAGTGTAGGTCATACTAAGCTAGATGGAACTAATGGTCAGATTCGGGATAAAAGCCCAATGTGTGAAGGCCGAGAACCGTTAAAAACATCCCTTAATGAAAAGAAGATTTTCCTATCCAGTCTGCATCTCTAGTTCGGCCTTGACCGAATTGCACTGCATCCCATGGCTGCTGTTTTTAACACCCTTGAAAACCCTGGGAGGTCTAGTTCATAGCTGTCAACTTTTCCCTTTTCTTGCGAGGAATCCTATTCGGAATAAGGGAATTTCCCTTAAAAAGAGGGAAACATTTACAGCTATGGTCTAGTCACAGGTCTTTTACTGACCCTTCTAGTTCGGTCTTAAACCAGGGATAAATGCAACATGCCAAAAGTTGAGAACAGCTTAAAGCCCCTTTCTTTGCAGCATCCGGACGCATCCCTTGTTTCGGACGCCGGCCTTGGGCCATGCCAGTTTTTTAATGCTTTTCTTGGATCCCAAAAAGCTCAGGGGGATAACCCTGTTTTCCACTGCCGTGCTAATGAGGTAGCGAATTTGAACCAAATGGAAGGCAGATGGGTTTGGATGAGGGTTGTTCTCTCCCTCCGACGAGCCACGTGCTGCTTTCTCTTGTTTTGTGGGGGAGCCGAGCATTGTCTAGAACTGCTTAGTCACGGCGCAATGTTTCCCCTGCTTTTAAGAGGAGGAAAAACAGCAGCAACCGGCAGAGCTCGGCTGCTTGCACGCTGTGCTCCTTTGCATGGAAACGGCCGTAAACCAAGATTATCCGCAGACCGAATTTTCGCTCCTTGGGAAGGGGCCTTCTGTGCACAAAATTACCTTCTTGCAGGTGGCTTTCAAAGTGTTAAGTTGTGTGATTTGGCGGCGTCTGCAAACCGTGTCTTTTCTGAGCAACGTGCCTCGGATAACCAGGTACTTTCTCCCGGGCGTTTCTCCTCCGGCCCCCACCTCGCACCTCACCCCAAACAATGCCTGTAAGCTGATCCAGAAGGAGGGGGAGAGAAAAACAGAACCAGCACAGAGATCACATGTTGGTCACACATGCCTGCTGTAAGCCTGGTTGCCCAGGGAAACAGGAGCAGGGACTTGCCCAACAAACAACGGGGAGCGGCCAATTATTTGATTATGCTTTTATGGGAATTAAAGAGAAACCTCCAGTAATCCTCTGCGGGGAAAGCGGAAGCGGGGGCAGCTTTGGTATGCCCCTTTCGTGGTTTTTGTGAGAATTGTTGCAAGAGGGACCTTTCCTTTTAAATACCTGTTCAGGTTTTTTTTGGGGGGGTGGAGGGGGTGGAATAGTACAGTGAACAGCATGCCAGCGAGGCCAAAATTTCTAAGGCCAATGGCCACATTCTAATGATCACATCTCAACTTACATGTGAGCCTTGTGCCGGCAGGTGTGGCCACTTCCTTCACCTTTCTGGCAGGCCTGGATGCGATGTGGAAGTCCCTAATCAACTGTAGTTTCCCATTTCACCCAAAACATTCTGCCCTCCGCTTTCCTGTTCACTGAGACATAAGGGTCCTGGAGATTAACCGAACCATGAAATTGTGTGGTTCCAGTCAATTTCCATTCCAGGAGGAGCAGATCTGACGGTGGGGATGGAAGAGATTGTGTTGGGGGGGGGGGGAAAGAAAAGACTCTTGATAAAATAGGAAATCTCCACGCAGTCGGTGTCTGGTGCAAGGCAAAGGATGTGCAAAAAGTCCGTATCTGTGCCTTTGGCATGCATATTGATTTTGGAATAAGAATTGCATTCCTGGATTGTTTCTGAACTTTTTAAAGCTCTGCTGTGAAGTTTAAAGCAATGCCATCCGTCGTTCCAAGCTCCATTTAGCACCCTGTCTCACACCAATTGACTTTGATAAGCATGAATTTAAAAAGAGCAGATGCAGTAAAATTAGTCCTAAAAGAAATTACTTTCGCAAAATGTAGCATACATGAAGGCACAGGAGATGAGCTGGATGGGTTGCAAAAGGATTTGTGGCTGGATCTGGAGGGTTTGTCGATCCTGCACTAGGGCAAGAAATTTGGAGTAGCTTCTTTGGGTCTCTTCAGGGCCTGTGATTTTCCTGCCATCTAGTGGTTCATTTTCTGCAGTTCAAATAGCCATGCTTAGCAAGACGCCACCAGCAGCTACCGCCGTACACTGACTGTGTTGCTTTGCTCTTCTCTCCCCGCAACCAACAGTCCCAATGACCGGCTTCACCCAAAGAGCTACCATCGACCCGGAACTGAATGAAATCCATGTGTTGTCTGGACTTAGCAAAGACAAGGAGAAAAGGGAAGAGAATGTTCGGAATTCCTTCTGGATTTATGACATTGTACGGAACAGCTGGTAAGTGGCAGAAGATTCCCCTCCGCCCTCCTCCTGGAGTGAAATAGTATTTGCCTCTTCATGTTAATTCGCAAAGTGTGTGTATTCCTGTAGCCGCATGTAAGCGGAAGCGATACCAGGTTTTTTTCACCCCAGGCCTGAGAAAGTGGCATTTTGTCCACACTCCTCAAACATCACTGCCATTAGTTACTTCCCTGGAAAGAAACATCAGATCCTTGCAGGGAAGCAGTGTCCCGTATCTACCCCATAAGCTGCTCTCAGTTTTGCAGACAAGAGACCCAGTAAAAAGTCTGGTTTTGCATATATTTGTAAACGTGCACCAGGAACAGGTTCATTTGCACTTCCTAGTGTTCTTCAGCACTTTCTGTTCATACGAAGTAGAGGTTTTAGAGGAGTGAGAGCCAGTGTGGTGCAGTGGTTAAGAGCGGTGGACTCGTAATCTGGGGAACCAGGTTCATGTCTCCGCTCCTCCACATGCAGCTGCTGGGTGACCATGGGCCAGTCACACTTCTCTGAAGTCTCTTAGCCCCACTCACCTCACAGAGTGTTTGTTGTGGGGGAGGAAGGGAAAGGAGATTGTGAGCCGCTTTGAGACTCCTTCGGGTAGTGATAAAGCGGGATATCAAATCCAAACTCTTCTTCTTCTAGAAAAAAATGCATGGAGGAAGAGCTGATGGTCATGAAAATTCAGCCTTCCAACAGCTACCCTGATGAGACGATCAAAAAGGAGTGAATGCTTTTCAAAATGTGGCCGGGAACAATTACTTTTAGTACAGTGGAACCTTGGTTCTTGAACTTAATCTGTTCCAGGAGTCTGTTTGACTCCCGAAATCATTCGAAAACCAAGGCGCGGCTTCTGATTGGCTGCAGGAGCTTCCTGCACTCAAGCGGAAGCCACGTTGGATGTTCGGCTTCTGAAAAACGTTTGAAAACCAGAACACACGCTTCTGGGTTTTCGACGTCCGGGAGCCAAAACGGACAAATACTAAGGTGTTTGATAACCAAGATAGGACTGTATTCACATAGCATCAGCTGTTAACTTGTAACATGAATGCTAAGTAATCTACTGCCGCTGTCAGAAAGAATATCACAAACAGCAGCTGTGATAGGTCAGTCGGTGAAGCGTGAGACTTTTAATCTCAGGGTCATGGCTTCGAGCCCTGGCTTGGGCGAAAAATTACTGTATTGCAGGGAGTTGGACTAGATGACCCACATGGTCCCTTCCAACTCTACAATTCTATGGTTCTGCTTGGGGACTTTCATTGGCCACTGAGAATAGGATGGCTGCCTTAGATGGGCCTTTGGTCCTGTCCAGCAGGGCTGATTTCTTAGACCTACTCAGGTGGAGGGATGGGAGTGTTACAGCTTGCCAACACACACACACACACACACACACACACACACAGGTCACCTGTGCTTTTGGGTATAGCTTTAGCATCACAGCCTGTGTGTGTAGCGTCAGAGGTGTGTGGGTCCCAAGCCACACCGTATTTTCCCTCTCTGGTTTTGTTGTGAACTGGTTGGAAATCTGGGTCCTCAGTGCCTTTAGTCTCTGAGCATGTAGGTTCCTGTGTGGATGTGAGGCCCATCACACAGTGACCAAGGAGCAGGCAAACCCAAGTTCTCCTAATTCCTCAGTTCTTTCCCTTTGTTTGGATGCCTGTATTGGGGGCATTTCTGAACAGAACCCGCTGGTGGCATTTGTTCTGGATGTCTTAATCCAGACTTGTGCTTTTGTGACTTGGAATGTGCCTCCCAGATAGTTTCTGTTGCAAGACCAGGACTTTGCATATTGTCTGTGTGGATTCTGGCATAGCATCAGGAATGCCAAGCATCTCGGCACTTTTTGAGAAGGGGAAAAATGTTCTGGTGCTCATGGGTTGCTGAGAAAAACTCGAAGGGGACAGCGCTGGCAAAAGGAGTTACGAATGCCGGGCAGTTAAGGGCCAATTTTCCTGTAGGGAATGTTTAATGGGGACATTTTTGCCGTGGTGTCTGGTTCACCAGTGGCCTCTGAAAGGGGAGCGTAGGTGCTGTTGGGTATTTGGAATTGCTCCATGTATATATTATACATGTTAACAAAGATTAAATAATAAACCAGTTTCCTTACATGATTAATAGTCAGTGCTAAAACCATGGTAGGCCTTGCTTGGAAGTGATGCAGAGGCCATCTATGCTCTGATAATATCCCGTATAGAACACTATAAGGCACTGAATGTGGAGCTGCTTTTGAAGGCGACCTGGAAAACAAGAACTTCTCTCCTTTTGAGAGCCCTGAATGGGCTGGGAACTGGATATCTTAAAGGATGATCTGAGGAAGAACAGTCATCATAGTGCAGACAGACCCTTCTCTGAATAAGATGGATGGTGACTGGGAGAAAAGGGGGTGGCTTTTCAGATGTGACCCCTTCCAATGTGGAATTCTGTATGCAGAAAGGCTCATTTGGGACTGAAGTTTATGTGTTCAAGGTGCCTGTTGACTCACACAGGTTTTCCAGCAGGTCAAAGCTGGATTTACTGAGATGAGTTTTTTTGCAGCATTGCTGTTTTTATCCCTGCTTGCATTTTACAGTTCTGCTGCGTGCGGCATTCTTACCACTGTTAAAGAGCTGCCCTTTTGTTAAACCGGCGAGTGGCATTAAAATGTGTTGAAGCATATGGGCAAGCCTACAATGTGGGAGGGGGCGGGAAGGGCAGGAATTGTTCCCAGTAGTGATGAGTGGGGATACCTGGAAGCATAGGAGGAGTCGGCAAGGGGAAGCTTAAGGTGTTACCTTGACAGATAAAGGCCATTCAAAGTACAAGGGGGATGAGAAAAGTGAAGATGGACATGCAGGGAGTCGGTAGACTTGTGCTATATAGATTAGCATCCTATGACACTTCCTAGCCATTTAATGTTCTCTTCCAGGGCTGGTCATCCTGAGGATCTCCAGCTGTTGCTGGGCTCCCATTATCCCTAGCCAGCATGGCCAGCAATCAGGACTGTGGGGAGTTGGAGTTCAGCAGCATCTAGTCAGCCACAGGTTCTCCAGCCCTGATCCATGCTCACCTACTCTAGCATTCCGTTTCCAACACTGGCCAACTATTATTCTCCAGACGAGGCCCATGAGCAGTGTGCAAAGTTTGCAGCCCTCCCTGTTGCTTGCAACTAACAAATGATATTTCGGAGGTACAGTTATACCTTGGAATTCGAACTGAATCCATTCCGGAAGTCCGTTCGACTTCCAAAACGTTCGAAAACCAAAGCGTTCCGGCAACCAATTGGAAGCCCTGTTGGACGCTCAGCTTCCAAAAGAACATTCGAAAACCAGAACACTCATTTCCGGGTTTGGATTGTTCAGGAGCCAAATCATTCAAGAACGAGGCTATTTGAAAACCAAGGTACACCTGTATTCTGCAATTCTGCTTTTGAAGTTCCATTTAGTTATCATGCCTAATAACCATGGATAGGCACCACTCCTCCTCCTCCTCATCATCATCCATGAGCTTTGTCTATTCCTAGTTTTCGTTTCTTCCTCTTGCCTGAGAACCATCCTGGCATCGTTCTTTGGTATTCTGGCTCTTGTTGATTGCAGTTCACAATAGCTCTTTTCATTTTTCAGAGCAGCTTTTTTTAAAAAACGAGTGCTTATAAATGCCGCAAGTTTATTAGAGAGGGGTAGATGACAGCACCCAGGTAGTCTTTATTTGGCAAATAGGTAGTTTGAATCCTGATGGCGGCGGTGGTGCAAGCCGCTGCTAAACAGGTGCCAGCTAGCCATGAGTTGATGCCTGGCAACTCTGAATCGCTTCATCTCATATTGTATTGCAGGTCTTGTGTCTACAAGAATGACCAGGCCGCCAAAGAGAATCCAAGCAAAAGCCTTCAAGAGGAAGAGCCCTGCCCGCGTTTTGCACACCAGCTTGTGTATGATGAATTACACAAGGTAAGCCTGTCTGGACACAGGGTGGGAATCGGGGCCAACCATGCTAAGTATGTAGGGGCATTTGCAAGGGTGCCCATCCCAGTGCCAACGGAATGTGCAAAAGACTAGAGAAACACCCAACGCTTCTAAAAAGAGTCAATTGCTTTACTGGCAATAATTCAGCTCTAGGAACATACATAAAGCATACAGTTGTAGATACAGCCTAGAGCCTCATTCCAGCATAGATACTGCGCTCTGGCCCAGAACAAACTTGCCTTAAATGCAATAGCCTTTATAATGTAGATTGTGCCGAGTCATTCTCACATGATTGCTGACTCATTCTCACATGTTTAACTAGCTACAGGTGCATGCAAACACACCCAAATTAAACAGCACACCTAAAGTAACCCTTCCTTGCCCCTTTTCTCTGCATGCATAAACATACATTTGCAAAGCAAGCATTGAGTGCAGGATAAGGTGGCACCATGGCACCAAGAGGAGCAAAACTGGGCTCCATTTTGATGCATCGGAGCATGCCCTTCTTTCTCTGTGCTGCTGGTGGCCTGGAGCTCCGGGGGTGGTGGGGTGGGCATCAGGCCAGTGCATGCGTGTGGATGAGCTGTGCCATAGACCAAAAGTGTCCCCCTCCCTCCTCTTGTAAAACAAGTCCTGCCTATCGATGCCTGGCTTGTCTCTGGGAAGCCAGGCCAAATATAATGGCCGCCAGGGGGCTGAGGCTTGAGTTCAAGCCCTCTGTGGGCCTTTTGATACATGTGTGCTCCCTGGAGGACAGGTGAGTATGTCACGTGACTGGGGCCCCAGAATCCAGCAGCTGGTTTCATATCCGATTCATTGGCATAATGATTTTCAGCATATGTATTGGGTCTACAGGGACACGGGTGGCGCTGTGGGTAAAACCACAGAGCCTAGGACTTGCCGATCAGAAGGTCGGCGGTTCAAATCCCCGCTATAGGGTGAGCTCCCGTTGCTCGGTCCCTGCTCCTGCCAACCTAGCAGTTCGAAAGCACGTCAAAGTGCAAGTAGATAAATAGGTACCACTCTGGCAGGAAGCTAAACGGCGTTTTCGTGCACTGCTCTGGTTCGCCAGAAGCGGCTTAGTCATGCTGGCCACATGACCCGGAAGCTGTACGCTGGCTCCCTCGGCCAATAAAGTGAGATGAGCGCTGCAACCCCAGAGTCAGCCACGACTGGACCTAATGGTCAGGGGTCCCTTTACCTTTACCTTTATTGGGTCTACAGTCATCTCTCTTTTCACTGAACTCATTGCAGTTTATCTCTTTCTTACTGCCCAGCTTGCTGTATAGTTTCTCATTTGACCAGTGGTGGTTTGCCAGAAATAGTTGAACAGAGGGTTTGTGTCTGCGCATGCTTCCTATACGCTGCATTGTCCTTTACACCGCTTTACCACAAAGCAGGTGATTCAGAGCAGTTGCGGCTTTACTTCTCTGCACCTTGAGGGGAATGCAAGAGGCGTGCGGGATAAACCCAACAACCTGGGCACGCATCACCCCACCCCTCGTCCCCCAAGCAGCTGCTCAGGTGGAGCTCCTTTGGGGGGGGGGGAGCACATCAAAGGTTGGGCTGGCTCACCCAGCCGTCTTGATTGAACCATGCTGGCGTTTATGACTCGACATCTCAATTCTTGTCTTTCAAGGTCCATTATTTGTTTGGAGGGAATCCAGGCAAATCCTGTTCTCCAAAGATGCGGCTGGATGATTTCTGGTCCCTGAAGCTTTGCCGGCCTTCAAAAGAATACCTTCTACGCCACTGCAAATACCTAATTAGGAAGCACAGGTACAGGCTTGCAAGAGACTGCAGAAGCGAGTCCCTTGGCATTAAGAAGCAAGAGTGTGTGGGAGTATGCCAGAAACCCTATGCGATTATTTTTTAAAAAATGCTCAGCCTTGTTGCTTTAATAGGGCTCAAGGTTCCTTCCTATTGTCATCAAAATGTGTGTATTTTTTAGAAAAGGTTCCCATAATCATAAAATCATAGAATTGTAGTGTTGGAAGCAACGGTCTCTAAGCATCACCTAGTCCAACTCCCTGCAATGCAGGAATCTCAGCTTTTGAAATCACAATTTAGAGGCCTTAAGGCACATGGTTGGCAGGTATAGAACTGGCTCTGTGGAACTTGGCGCTCCCTGTGTCTCAGCTCCCCTTTGCAGCAAAGGTGCACCATTTCACCACGACCCCAAGGGAGGCTGTCCCCTATAAATATATGGTTACCAGCCATGATAGGTGGATGACTGCTGCCCCGCTGCCCAGCCATTGCAGTCCTTTCCAGAAGGAAAACTCAAGCGCTGCCGTTTCGTTTTAGTGTTGCTTCAGTGGGCTAAGGATGCACGACACAGCCATGCAGTTCATTTTCCTCCCAGCCATCAAGAATGATAGTGCAGCTAGGGGCTACCTGGGAGTAAAATATTTGCATTTGTGGCGTGATGAGCTTCAAGGTATGGGTTGTTTACGTCTGCAGCTGGAAGCGAGTGTAGCCGTTGGGAAATGAATCTCAAGAAGCAGACTACTCTGGATGCACTGCTTTCCCAACATACATGAGGGACGACAACAGTGGAACATGGCTGCAGTCGATGAGACACCCCTGAGCACTGAAATTTCACCAGACTGCTCAGATATTGCTGCCACAAAAAGAGCGGCACTGGCTCACCCGGATGGTGATTCCCCCCCCCCCCTTTTAAGGGTTAGGCAAAGGGAAACAGGGCTACTTCTTTGACTCTGCTGGCAGGCTTCTCATAATAATAATAATAATAATAATAATAATTTTTATTAATACCCTGCCCACCCCAGCCAAGACCGGGCTCAGGGCGGCTAACACCAGGTATGAAACAATTGATTAAAATACAACTTAAAAAACAAGATTAAAATATAACATTAAAATGCAGCCTCATTTCAATGGAAACTCAAATCAAAAACTTCTTGACGTCAAATCTTCACCAAGGCCAACTATCCAGACTGGTCCTACGTGGGCCACAAAAAAAGCCAAGGAAGTCCCCAAATAAGAGTTCCGTCACAGAAGGAGAAAGGAAAAAAGGAAAGAGGGGAAGGGGATCAAGTTGATTCCAAGCCAAAGGCTGGGCGGAACAACTCTGTCTTACAGGCCCTGCGGAAAGAAATCAGATCCCGCAGGGCGCTGGTCTCATGAGACAGAGCGTTCCACCAGGCCGGAGCCAGTCTTGAAAAGGCCCTGGCTCTGGTTGAAGCTAATCTAACTTCCTTAGGGCCCAGGACCTCTAGGGTGTTGCTATTTATGGACTTTAAGGTCCTCTGTGGGGCATATTGGGAGACAGCTTCCATCCCAGCCAGCCCTTAGAATAACTTTCTAACTGGTGCCTGTCTTTGCTTGGTCCCCCCCCCATCCACCCCCCTTCCCCCCCTCTGTGTCTTTTAGATTATAAGCCTGAGGGGCTGGGACTGACTTGGACTTTAAATGATCTGTATAGCACTCTGGGAGCTTTTTTTGGCTGAAGAGCAGGATAAAAATGCTAAAAGCAGATAAGATCACAGCTGCAATGCGTTTGTGCAATGAAGAGCTGGAGGCATGGCAGCTGAATGCCTTTCTGGTCCAGCATCCATTTCTCATAGTGTCCAACCAGATACCTGTGGGAAGTCTGGAAGCAGGACCCGAGTGCAATAGCACTCTTGCCTCCTTGGGATTCCCATCCTCTGGTATTATTCGGAGGCATACTGCCTCAGAGAGCAGAGGGAGAACATGGCTATCCTGCCTAGTAACTGTTTGCTTATAGGGTGGAAATCCAGCGTAGTTCAGTGAAATGATCTCCTCTCTAATCCACCTGCCCTCTTCTTGGCTAGCAGGGAGAGGGATCCTTTCTTTCTCATAAATCCTTTCTCTTTCTCTACTTTGTGCCCCATCATTCGAAAAGCTAAACTTTCCCATGATCTATACTCACACATGTCAGATATTGCAAGCTTGAATTCAGATATGGGGAGCCTATAGCTGCCGTGGTAGAATTAAGCCCGGCAGGATGTGGTCGTTTGAGGCTGCTGCTCTTTTCTGTGGAAGAAGGGAAGAATCTTGTAGCGTGTCAACAACAAGGGGATATGGCCCATTTTAGTACTTTCTGCTTTCAAGGAGAAGTTAACATTAGAGCCACTTGGATTTCGGAATCGGGAATTACTACAAGTTGTTGACATGTATAGCCTCTCCTCTGAGCTTGTTAGACTTTGAGGTGGTCCCTCGCCACATGGAAACTCATATTTTAAAGCAGTGTTTCTGGAACTTGGGTCGCCAGCTCTTGTTGGACTACAACTCCCATCACCCCGAGCACTGGTCCTGTTAGCAAGGGATGATGGGGTTTGTAGTCCAGCAACAGCTGAGGACCTAGTTTTAAAGCATGATTTTTGTGCTGATTGCACTGCTGTCTGCCTGCCTGTCTAAATGTGCCCCTTGCTATTCCAAACTACCCATTCAGACCCCAGTCTATGCACTCTGCCATAAGTCGAAGGACGCTATCGCCCAATTCCTTGCAAAAAAGTTCTTGTCCGTGGAGAGGCAAAGTGCCAGAAGTTTTACCCCACTACTTACTGGTTTGCCCAGTTTGCAAAGACTTTCGAGCAGCCTTGTTCAAAGATCTACATCTCCAAGTTGAGAGAGAGATTCACTTTTTAAATTATTATTATTAGAGGGCAGTTCCTCCCTATACCTCTGAAAAAGAGGCCTGTTTTGCCTTTGGAGAGGCATGCTGAGGATCAAGGTTTGTGGGGATGATAGGTTAAATTCCTCAGTGGAGCAAACCCTTATGCAATAGAACGCCTGGTTTTTGTAGTTATTCTAACCCTATAATGTATTTTATTCTGCTTTATGCGTTCGTTATTTGCTGTGGCTTCGGTTACACAAATGAATACCATAATCTTCGTACAACAACAAGGCAAACCTGAAGCTACCCAGTAAAATAATGAATCGAGGTCGGCATTCTATCTTCCTCTCGCTGCCCCACACCATTTCCCAGGAATCCCTGTTGTGGCCTTGTTGTTGTCTTGCCTCTAAGGGAAACATTGCTGTTGCAAAGCATCCTGATTAAAACTTGTTCAGTATCTTGATCGCAGGATCAGCAGCCTGCGTCCCTCCCAGATGTCTCTGGACTCCGTCTCCCATCATCCTTGAACTTTAGCCATGTTGGAATTGAGTCCAGTAACATCCAGAGGACTGCAGGTTCCCCATCCCTGACCAAGGCCAATCTTGCATGCTGGGTTGCCAAGATTAAAATGGGTGGGGGATGCTTGTCTTCCTGGGCTCCTTGCAAGGCGGCGAGATATAAATTATTTGCTCAATAATTTATTATTTACCAAGTAATAATCATGGAGAGCTTGTCTTGTGCATTTTGGGGTTTCTGTGCCTTTCTGAAGACAGCATTTCTCAATGAGTGGCTTCCTGTGACATCATAGAGTTGCAAGGGACCCCCTGGGTCATCTAGTCCAACCCCCTGCAATGCAGGAATCTCAGCTAAAGCATCCCTGACAGGTGACCATCCAACCTCTGCTTAAAAACCTCCAAGGAAGGAGAGTCCACAACCCCCGGAGGGAGACTTATTTCACTCTCGAACAGCTCTTACTGTCAGAAAGTTTTGCCGCATGTTTAGTCGGAATCTCCTTTCTTTTGTCACTTGAAGCCATGGGTTCAAATCCTACCTTCCGGAACAGGAGAAAACAAGCTTGCTCCATCTTCCATGTGACAGCCCTTAAGACAGGCTTAAGCAAACTTGGTCCTCCAGATGTTTTGGGACTACAACTCCCATCATCCCTGACCTCCTGTTATCTAGGGATCATGGGTTTTGTAGTCCAAAAACATCTGGAGGGCCGAGTTTGCCTATGCCTGCCTTAAGATATTTAAAGATGGCTATTGTATCTTGTGCAGAGTTGGAAGGGATTCTAAGGATCATCTAGTCCAACCCCCTGCAATGCAGCTGCCCCATACGGGGATCAAACCTGCAACCTGGGCATCCTGATCAAATTTGCAGATGACACCAAACTGGGAGGGGTGGCAAACACCCCAGAGGACAGGATCACACTTCAAAACGACCTTGACAGATTAGAGAACTGGGCCAAAACAAACAAGATGAATTTTAACAGGGAGAAATGTAAAGTATTGCACTTGGGCAAAAAAATGAGAGGCACAAATACAAGATGGGTGACACCTGGCTTGAGAGCAGTACATGTGAAAAGGATCTAGGAGTCTTGGTTGACCACAAACTTGACATGAGCCAACAGTGTGACGCGGCAGCTAAAAAGCCAATGCAATTCTGGGCTACATCAATAGGAGTATAGCATCTAGATCAAGGGAAGTAATAGTGCCACTGTATTCTGCTCTGGTCAGACCTCACCTGGAGTACTGTGTCCAGTTCTGGGCACCACAGTTCAAGAAGGACACTGACAAACTGGAACGTGTCCAGAGGAGGACAACCAAAATGGTCAAAGGCCTGGAAACGATGCCTTATGAGGAACGGCTAAGGGAGCTGGGCATGTTTAGCCTGGAGAAGAGGAGGTTAAGGGGTGATATGATAGCCATGTTCAAATATATAAAAGGATGTCACCTAGAGGAGGGAGAAAGGTTGTTTTCTGCTGCTCCAGAGAAGCGGACACGGAGCAATGGATCCAAACTACAAGAAAGAAGATTCCACCTAAACATTAGGAAGAACTTCCTGACAGTAAGAGCTGTTCGACAGTGGAATTTGCTGCCAAGGAGTGTGGTGGAGTCTCCTTCTTTGGAGGTCTTTAAGCAGAGGCTTGACAACCATATGTCAGGAGTGCTCTGATGGTGTTTCCTGCTTGGCAGGGGGTTGGACTCGATGGCCCTTGTCGTCTCTTCCAACTCTATGATTCTATGATTCTATGAACCCTGGTATTATCTAACCAATTGAGCTGACTTAAGGATGAGGCTTGGCCTTGTCTTACCATTCCTGTAGCTAAATTTCCACAAGGACAGATGGCCCTTAAAAATAATTCCATTTTAGAGGCTGACACTAACATCTCTGGCTATGTTTCCTTCCCCTCAAAAGAAGAACCCTTTCCGGGTGCAATGATAAAAGTTTTGTTTGCAACCTCAGTAGTTTGAAAGCACTATGGAGTGGGCGGTGGGGGTGGGGGGGGACCTTGTTCTGAACTGGATTGCCCCTACTGTTTCATATTGCTTCAGTCAAGCCAAAATCCAAGTAAATCCCCCCTGATCTAGCCTTCTCCCAAACACCTTTAAACTTGAGCCCTTGTTTTGCACGGAGGCCTGAGCCTGAGCTCAGGCTTTCATCAGGCAGCCTTGCAGAAATGACCCTGGGTAGCTTTGCATCACTTAAGTAGGTGATAGGCTATTTCTTTTTAGCAGCCTAGCTTTTCGAAAGAAAGATCTCTTAAGCCGCCTCCAGCAATCTGTAAACTATAAACCCTTTGCCTCGCATGTCTCTCCCCAGGTTTGAAGAAAAGGCCCAGACAGACCCACTAAGTGCCCTGAAATACCTTCAGAATGACTTGTTCGTCACTGTAGACCACTCGGACCCAGAGGAGACAAAAGAGGTAAGGGGTGGGGAGATTGGCTAGCTTTCTTCGATACAATACGAATCTTTATTGTCATTGTCCCATACAGGACAACGAAACTGGAAAAGAAAAAAAAATCTACATAAGACATTCAAAACCAACAAGCCTGCTATCCCTGCTATCCCAAAAACTCTGATACCCCATTTTAAAAATACAATATACTCCCATAGAGACCCTTACACTGCGCTTAAAACCCAAATCACATTTGGATAGAAACTGTTTCTCAGGCGGCTAGTCCTAGTCTTTATAACCCTGTACCTTCTTCCAGAAGGCAGAATCTGAAAGAGATCATTTCTGGGGTGCACACTATCCTGCACTATCTCTGCTGCTTTCTTATGGCACCTGGAAGCATAGATTTGATCCAAGGTGGGAAGAGTGCACCCAGTTATTCTCTCCGCAGTCTTTACAACCCTGGACAGCATTGTTTTTCCCCTGACCGTGCAGCTCCCAAACCACACACACAGACCATAAGTCTTCCCATTGATGTAGGAAGATTCATGTTGCAGAGTTCTCAGAGCGACCTGGCTGCCTCTATGATGCAGCTCAGGGCCAAAGCCCCTTGGTGCCCTAGCTAGCGTGGTGGATGAGTGTCACAGTTCCATCTCCTGAAAAGCTAAATATGCTCTGCATTTGGATGGATTGATATATCAAGGCTTCAGCTTGTCCTAGATCTCTTGCCCTTACATTTTTTTATTTTTTCCATCTTCAGCTCCTGACGGCGGAAAGGCCTCTTTGTTAATCTGCAATGTGTCGCATGCATTGAAAACACACCACAGTGGACGCTCGGGTTGCGAACGTGATCCGTGCAGGATGCATGTTCGCAACCCGCAGCGTCCGCAACCTGCAGCAGCGCGTCTGTGCACGCACGGGTCGTGATTCGGCGCTTCTGTGCATGTGCAAAGTGCAATTTAGCGCTTCTGTGCATGCATGACCACTGAATCCTGGAAGTAACCCATTCCAGTACTTCTGGGTTTTGGTGGTCTGTAAACTGAAAAAATGCAACCTGAAGTGTCTGTAACCCGAGGTATGACTGTATATATTTTTTAATTGCTGGTTTCTGTAGCCTTCTTAATCACTGGTGCACCGTAGCCTTAGAGTCTGATCCTTGCTGTCAGCTGTACTTGATGGTTCAGTTACTCCTGCCGGTTTGCCCCGCATGTCTCTCCTTTTCCTCTCCTGCTTGCCACCCGAGCTTCCTTGTTCCTTTGTTGCGAGTGGCTCTTCATAACTCATGGAGCAGCTTTCTATTTGCAGTTCCATTCCTCCTCACCACGAGCCAACAACCCCCATTTTACAGGTAGGAAAGAGGAGCTTGGATCTGTGATATCTCCAAGGTTTAAGTCCCAACTTCTTGGAACATGTTGGGGCCTCATGCTTTTCTAGCAACCTTGTTGAGTAGTGCAGCATAAATGCCACAGCTTTGACATTAAGTCTATGGGATATGTAGTCTTCCGGACAGGCAACTTCCTGTAAAAAGAGAAGGAATCACCCTGTTCTCTGAACTGGACGCATAGGGTAGGTTGATGCTACACTTCCAGGGCAGCCTAGAGGTTTATGGGAGTTGTAGTCCTAAACATCTAGAGGCCACCGAGGATGCTGTAGGGAAGTGCTTCCCAAATTTGGGTCTCCAACTGTTTTTGGACTACGCCACCTATCAGCGCTAGCTAGCAGGACCGTAGGTCAGGGATGATGGGAATTGTAGTCCAAAAACTGCCCCACTCTAGGGCAGTTGGAACTCTCAGGCTCCTTCATATCAAGCAGAATCAAGGGGTGACACTTTCCTTGGAATGTACCATTTCAATTCAGGCTGCAGGGGTGTATGTGGTGTGTTAGTGTGTTCCAATGCTTTATGGAGAAAGAACATGCCGGAGAGAGAAGTTCAGTCTAGCCCTCTCCCTGCAACACTAGTTTTCTACGTGCAGACGATTAAAAAATAAAACATGGGCAGAAGTTGGACCTGTGATCCTCCCACTTTCATCCCAGAGTGATATATTTTAGTGCCGGGGTGGGGAACTCCAAATGTTACCGAACTCCCAGCTTCTGCTGTTTTTGACCATTGGCCAGGCTAGCTGGGGCTGCCGGGAGTTTCAGTGCAACACTGCCCGGAGGGCCGCAGGTTTCAGGGAAAGCTTTATGGTGCAATTCTGAGTATTAACCAGGGGGCAGAGAGAAGCTTTTGCCTCACTTGACACTCGCTTATGTTTCTCCTGGGAGGTCTGCCTAGCAAATTGCAAACAATAACTGCAGAAAAGGTAGAGTTACGTATCAGAGAGAGAGAGAGAGAGAGCGCGCCTGACGTTAATAAATGGAAACTAGTTCAGCGGCTTGAGGCCACGCAGCCAAATGAAACAAACGCCGTGTTCTGGACAGAACAGTTTTTGGCCAGGCATCTGGTCTAATACGGTGTAAATGAAAGATCCCAGAAAGAGAAGGCAAAGTTGTTGTTTTTAAAAATGAGTGTTAAAATGCAACTCTGAAACAGGTCCCATTGAGTTCCATGGGATATACTTGCCAATAGAACTGCAGTCCACAGTTATAGCTTACTTCCTGGAGAGAACTTGCAGACGCTCCTGTAGCCCCTGACGGTTGATGGTTTTGAATCCTCTGTTCCTGACGGTATTTAAACCCCTTTGCTGACTTTAAAGAGGCAAAGCTTTCCAGAAGCAACTAGGATCTCACCTGCGGATGTCTTGAAACTGCTGTGGTCATTCAGTGGGGACTGAAGCAACGGTCCTCCTAATTCAGTGTTGTGTTTCCCTTGGTGCCTTACAAAATGCCCCCTGGGTGCTGTCAAGCAGAATATGGGCCAACAACATTTGGTATTCAAACGCTCCGCACAAAGCTATTGATACGGACTGTGCAGTTGTCCTGCTGTGTGTGTGTGTGTGTGTGTGTGTGTGTGTACATGTACACAATTTTCAAAAAGCTGGCTGTCAACGAGACCCCTCTTGGTACCATGTACATCTGAAGGTAGCTGGTCAGGGAGCATCCCTCTGCTGCGTGGTCTAGCTTTTAACGATTGCAATTCAAAGTGTTGATGCTGACCTTTAAAACCCTAAATGGCCTCAGGCCAGTATACCTGAAGGAGCGTCTCCACCCCCATCGTTCAGCCCAGACACTGAGGTCCAGCTCTGAGGGCCTTCTGGCAGTTCCCTCGCTGAGAGAAGTGAGATTACAGGGAACCAGGCAGAGGGCCTTCTCGGTAGTGGTGCCCGCCCTGTGGAATGCCTTCCAATCAGATCTCAAGCAGATAAACAACTATATGACTTTTAAAAGACATCTGAAGGTAGCCCTGTATCAGGAAATTTTTAATGGTTGATCTTCTATTGTGTTTTTCATATTTTGTTGGGAGTCACCCAGAGTGGCTGGGGCAACCCAGTCAGATGGGTGGGGTATAAATTATAAAATTATTACTGTATTTAACACAACACCTTTTTGGGGAGGGGGCACCAGGTTGGGAGAGGCTGATTTCAGCTGGCTTCCTCCACAGCCCAGGGAAGTCTGCCATCTGCATAAAACTCAGCAAGAGAGCAAGCCATTTCAGGGCTTGCATTAAGGATGCATAAATCTGTCCTCCTAGCTTTTGCCTGACAAGAGAACGGGTCTTTCTTTCCGTCGTAATAGCTGAGAGAGTCCTCATGCTGCCACTGCCTATATATCTCCATTCCGACGAGAATCGGGCTTCATATTTTAGTCTGGCTTGCTTGCAGTGAGCAGTGGTTTTTCTTGAAAGCTCGGCCATGTTTGTGAAATGCCAAAGATGACAGCGTAATAAATTGATGCGGTCAGAAAGACCTGGTTTTAAAAGTAGAATTCCTTAGCAATAGAACATTAATCCTCCGTGTGGCGGCATTAGATGTGTCAAGAAACATTTCCCCCCACCAAAATAATAATAATAAAAATGAACCACCCCAACCTTCAACCAAAGTGATTTCATTGTTGTTGATCAAGAAGCCTTTATGCCCCTCATGGGAACATGTTGAACCCTTTAAAAAATAATAATAACATCTTGTTTGTTTTCCTCTCCAGTTCCAGTTACTTGCTTCAGCCCTCTTCAAGTCCGGCTCCGACCTGAGCACTCTGGGTGAGTATGCTTCAGATCAGCAGGAATTGGTGCTTTTCAAAAGCCTCAGTCCTAAATCCCCAGAAACGCCATGGGGATCAGTTTCAGGCTGTCAGTACGCCAGACATGGGAAGGTGGTGTTAGCCACACAAGCGCGGAGGGACCGGTCAAAACAAATTAACTTGTGCCATATCACCCTGGCAGCCACCAGCAAGCCTTGCCTCATGGAGACGGGGGCAGAGACCGGCCCTCTTCTTGCTGTGGCAAAGTGTGTCACTCAAGTGCATGAGCTCAGGCCGTTCTTCCCAGTCGTGGGCACGTTTCTCTCTTCAGGCAGCGTGTCAAGGGAAACAGCAAAGTTTTCAAACTTCCCAGAACCAGAAAGTCTGGAGTTGAGCTCCCAAAACTATAATAATCCCCTGTTCGCATTCCTTCTGCCACGACCCCCTGAAGTGAGCGCTTTTTATAACAGCAACTTGAGTGATAGCTGGGCCTCTTGCCGGGGGGAGAGAGGTGAGACCCCTGCTGTAAAAGCAGGGTTTGGACTGCTTAAACCACATCTTCCTCCCCTCCCATGAATTGCTAATCTGCAAGGTAGATTAGAATTGAAGGCTTGTTGGCAGTGCCGGATTTACATATAAGCTAAACAAGCTATAGCTTAGGGTCTCAGTCTCTTGGGGGCCCCCAAAAAAATTAAAGAAAAAAAACACCTGGATGTACATTTCCAAAATATAAGATAAAAAACAAATAAAATAAAACTTACATACAGCAACAGTGTTTTGTGTTGTGTAGGCTCCTATTTTGTTACGTGCAAATGGCTTTAGATACCTATTAGGTCCATAAATTACCATGTAGCATATATTCAACACAAAAAACAGTGACCATTTGTTGTTGGCAAAGGACAGCTGGACATATAAAGGGCCCCATTACCTTCAGCAGCTTAGGGCCTCATGAAACCTATATCCGGTTCCGCTTGTTGGCATCGAACCTTGAAATGGAATGTGAAGACTAGAGTCAGCCTTCGAAGCTCGATCCCTGTTAGGGTCCTCATTCCATCAGGCTCTGTTTAAAGTGCTGTGGGAACCGCTGTCCCTTGGATTCACCCCACTGTGCTGTTGCCTGTGTTGTGTTACGAAAGCCTGTGAACTACTTAGGGGGAGCACAAAGCCCTCACCTCTGGTTCTGGCTGGCTTACATTTGGCCTTGCTCCTGCGGCTGCAGGGCAATTGCGTTCCACCAAAGCATTTGTGGGATGAACAGGCAGGATGAACTTGCAGCTCTTAAGTTCGGCTGCAATTCAGCCTTCCCCATCTTGGCCTCTCCTCTGGATATTTAAGGCTGCAGGTTCCCCTTCAGCTCCGGCCAGCATGGCAGACCGTTTTGCAGTCCAAAAATACAATAATCAAAATCCGGGAAGCCTGGTTCAACATTTCAAGGACATCTCACAGAGTCCAAGGATAGGTTTGTTTACAGCATTTGGTCCCTTGTGTGATGTACACAATGTGCAATGGCACTTTGTTGGCCTGTCATCCAGCTAGCTGTTCCATCTTAATTAATATTCCCCTCCCCCTCTATTTTTGGGTGGCGGGGGAGGGGGGTAAAAGTGAAAGTTTAGTCCTCTTTAGACAAACTCTTGGAGAAGGCTCCTAAGCATTTATTTGGACCCAACTGCTTGTAAGCTTTTACAAGCATAGTTGCATAGTTTACAAGCATGGTTGCATAGTTCTGGTGCACATTCCACTGGCTACAAACTATGCAGCCTTTTGCTAACTCAGCAGTAGATAAAAAAAGAAGTTACGATTGTGTATAAAACCCATAATTTGTCGGACTGTACAAGATATGGGTGGTGCTGTGGGTTAAACCACAGAGCCTAGGGCTTGCCAATCAGAAGGTCAGCGGTTTGAATCCCCGCAACGGGGTGAGCTCTCGTTGCTTGGTCCCAGCTCCTGCCAACCTAGCAGTTCGAAAGCATGCCAGTGCAAGTAGATAAATAGTTTACCTCCAGCGGGAAGGTAAATGGTGTTTCTGTGCGCTGCTCTGGTTTGCCAGAAGCAGCTTAGTCATGCTGGCCACATGACCCAGAAGCTGTACACCAGCTCCCTTGGCCAGTAAAGTGAGATGGGCGCCGCAACCCCAGAGTTGTTCGCGACTGGACCTAACAGTCAGGGGTCCCTTTACCTTTTTTACAGGATATCTGCCTAACAAGCCATAATATAATTCCTTCAGATTGTATCCAAGAAAAAATATAGCCATATATCTTAAAAAACCTAGACGCATTCACCCATCTTTGGCTCTGAGGAGCATAAGTTGCATATATGAGGCTGAATGTTCTCTTTTTAAAAAATGATTTTTGATTTCAAGTAGCAAAACATACTCATGCAAGGGAAATAGAGCTTAGTGGTGTAAGGCAAAGAGACAGAAACTTGATGGCTGTAGTTTCCGATGTTCCAAGAAAGGCAGTCAAATGAAAGTGTCTCTCCATAAGGTTCCATGAGTTTGATTGTATTAACAAAGTCAATAAAAGGATACTGTGTTGTATAAAAGGTGTGAGTCTTCCTGCCCCCCCCCATCAATGTTCCCTTTGTTAAATGCTTAATCTGTTCATAAGGACCATGTCCCATACTTGTGAAATCCAGGCTTCAGAAAGATACGTGTTTAAAGTTTTCCCGTTTTTTTCCAACCGCTGATCTAGCTGCAGGTAATAAATGCAGGATAAAGTCTTTATTGGCTCTGTTCTTAATCTGAGATAGCAGGGCTAATTTAGGCTCCGGTTCTAGTGATTGTCCCATCGTTTGAATGGGGCTGTATTTTCCATCTTTGCAGTTACCTTGTGGGGGGTAGGCTAGGGCAGGTGCACGTGTCCCAAGACAACCAGTGGGCTGCATGGCTGAGGAAGGGCCGAAAACCTTATACGCAGATCTCGGGTGTGGCTGGGATCAGTCCTTGCCTGAAACCTTGGGGAGCCGCTGCCAGTCACTGGGGACCCAGGGTGGGGAGCATCTGAGCAAACAGGGCCCTCCAAGCCTGCCCATTTGCCCTCCCCACCCCTGGGCCATTTTCAGGGTGTCACGCCCACTACATGGTTTAAAGGAGAAGCACAGAGGCTGTTTGTGTTTGAAGGAACACTCCCCCTCTGTCAGCTGATGGGTGATCGGAAGTGTTTGAATGCAAGGACGCTTAGCAAGAGCTGTTTGAACACTCTTTGCAGTCCCAGCAGTTGGGATTTCGAAGCGGGTCATCACCTGTTGGCAGGTGGGCAGCGCTCCCACCTTTGGACCTCCAGGAGCGTAGGAGATAAACATCTAGAATACACACCTGGGCCATGTTTTCAACGATTCTTCTCTTCTTCCTCATCTCCAGGGTTTTCTGATGTCGACCATATCTATGCCCAGCGGACTCAGCTCTTTGATACCTTAGTGAACTTCTTTCCCGACAACATGACGCCGCCCAAGGGCAACCTGGTAGACCTCATCACCCTGTGACAGGGGCACTGGCTGGACACATGGAAGGAGGAGGGGAGGGCAGCAGGGCGGGGGCCGGGAGAAGGACATGTTTTGCTTTTCAGTATTTTTAATTTTTGTGTGTGTGTGTGTGTGTGTGCGCGCGCGCACGCCTGCCTTGATTGACCGAGCGACTGGCGGACTGCACTATAATAAGAGTAACGTGGTTTCAGAGCAGGGAGGGAGGTGGCTTCACGGATAAATACCAAATGGGCTAATAAAAGGCAACTGATGTACTTCTGATGGAAATACATACATAGATATATTTTCTGACCTTGGCTTTTTAAAAAAGTGAATGAACGTTGATGAGAAGAAAGCAAATCACATGGTCACCTGAGTTATGTATACTTACCAGTACCCCTTCCCTCCCGCCACTTGTTGTGTGTGTATGCAAAATGAAGTCTTGGAGAATTTTTTTTTGGGGGGTGGTGGGGGTCGTTTGGGTTTTATTTGGGGCCTCATTGTAATTTTGTCCCAACGTTTGTCTGGCTGAGTTTAGCGTTACTTCTCAGCGTTTGTGAACACCGGCAGTGGGTTCTGGTGTACGCAAGGGGTCCGTGTGTGCGTCTCTCTCTCTGTGGGCTTTGATCATAAACTGCAGCCGTGACCTTGTCGGAGGAAAAGCGAAATCCAAGAAAGAAGCTTAGCCCCCTCTAGCGGACAACTTTTAGATCTTGTGAAGAAGAAACAAATAGGAGCATAAACACAGTTCCGGGAGGGAACTACTCTTCAAACGCGAACTCGTGTGACAAAATGACAACAGCCCCACTTCTGCCGGGAAGAAGATACGAGTGGGGAAGTGGGTGGCGCTTGAATTTTCCCCCACTGCCACAGCTTTTGTGCTAGAAATACGCACACACATACCTCTTTCCAGGTACATGTTGGTGGAGATAAACATGTTGATGGAGGGAAGTGGGATTTGGGGCAGTTTTCAGCAGAGGGCAGGGGGGAAAGTTTGAGCAATTTGCTCCCCTTCCGAAGTTGCTTCCTTCCCCCTCGTTTTTAAACAAGAAGCAGCTGCTGCAGTTTTTGCATTCAGTTCATGTATGATGAGTAGTTCCATCTGTTGCTTGGTGCTACCACAGTTGCCTGGCTTCTGGGGTTTTTATTGCTTTTTGTTTTTAATGCAGTCTGATCCCACCTTAGCCACGCGCCATCCAGAAACCTCAAAAGTGAAGAACACTGGCCACACCTGCATTTCGTGAGCTTTGTATCCATTCTGTTTTTCAAACAGAATCTTGTAAGTAGACGTTGGGCAGAGCTTGGGGCAGGTGTAGCCGATCTGCTGACCTTCCAGATGTTTGGGGCAACATCTTCCATCATCCTTACTATGCATTGGCTTGGCTGACTTGGGGTTGATGGGAATTGTAGTCCGAAACGCTGGCTGCCCTCTGGTTTAGAGCTTCTCTCTTCTACGCCCCACCTCCCCGCAACTTGCACAGGTCCATCCTAAGCTCTGCTGAATTTGCCTCTTTGCAAACGCAGGTTGTAGCAAAAAAAAAAGTTTGCTGTTTTCACCAGGTGTTTGTATTGATACAGGCTGGTTGCTTTTAAAACCCTCCACCTTGTTCATCCACTCAGCGACCTGTTTCCACAGGAAATGCCTGAGTTAACGCCTTAGCACTGGCCTGAAAAGTTGAGGGCAGGCATGGGGCAAAAATCCCACACCAACACTCTCCCCAGCAGGCTGTGCAGACAACGTAGCTCACGTATCTCCTGTAGTCGTAATGCTGGGTGAGTTGAAGGGGGCTGTGCACTTGTTGGATGTGCATTTACCTCGCCTTTAGATGCTCATGCAGGTTTGCCTGTCTTTAGACACGCTTTTGATAACATAAGCACATGAATTTGAAAGCAGCTTATTCCTTCCCTTCCACCTCCCCCAGGCCTTTACACTAAAACTTCAGTACTAAGGTGTGTATTGCTAGGTTTTGGGATGCTCGCCCCATCAGTAAGAATGCGATCCCCAAATACATGCAGTTTAAATAGACTGGGTTAAAGGCACGCACATGCTTTAAGAATAGGTTAGTGCTCGAAATTCCCCAGCGGCCAGTCACATTTTGAGACTGGCAACCGACCCTTTGCGAGCAAGTGGAGATGTCTTGTCGCCAGGTTTGGCTGCTGACAACTCTTCTCTAGTTGGATGGCGCTGCTGCGATGCCACATCAGCTGGCTTGCGGGGCAGTGCAGCAGCAAAGGAGACACCTCTTTTGGTATTGAACTGCCCCACAAATCAGCTGGCTCGCGGAGCACCAAAAGACCTGCCCGCTGATTTGTGCAAAAAAGAAAAGAAAAAAGAAAGACAACGACTAGATATTTGGTTGTGGCGCCCATAACATAAGTTTAAGGGGCCATTTGGGGAAGAGCCTGCAAATCTGAGTTTCTAATACTGCTTCTACCTCCCCCAGGTTTTACACCAAAACTTCAGTACCAAGATGTGTGTTGCTAGGTTGCAGGATGTTTGCCCCCCAAAGTAAGAGTGTGATCCCCAGATAAACGCAGTTTAAGTAGACTGGGTTCATGGCATTTGCTTTAAGATTAAGCGATGTGATAGCTTGGGAGGATGAAGGTAAAAACCAGATCACAGTCCCCACCACCACCTGTTTCAGCAACAGTTCTCATGATGGGAGGGCCATCTTGGTGAACAGGGCAGAGATGAAAACCTCTCGCCCAGAAGCCTTTGAAATGGAAGCTGCGGAAGGTTAAGCTGGCATGTTAATTCCCTGTGCTGCACCGTACAGCCCTTTTGCACAGGGGAAATGTGGGGAGGGAGAGGGGGCTGGGGAAAACGCAAGGGGGTTGATCTTTAACTATTTCTAGGTGCTTGTATCCAGCAACTTCCTAGGCCTCTAGAGCCAGCGTGGTGCAGTGGTGAAGAGCGGCGGACTCGTAATCTGGTGAACCGGGTTCGCTTCCCCACTCCTCCACATGCTGGGTGACCTTGGGCCAGTCACACTTCTCTGAAGTCTCTCAGCCCCACTCACCTCACAGAGTGTTCGTTGTGGGGGAGGAAGGGAAAGGAGATTGTTAGCCGCTATGAGACTCCTTTGGGTAGTGATAAAGTGGGATATCAAATCCAACCTCCTCCTCCTCCTCTTCTTCTTCTCTTCTTCTTCTTCTTCTTCTTCTTCTTCTTCTTCTTTCAAATTATTCTGGTCTTCACAAAGAATTCACTTCCCCAACTTAGTTATTTGCATCACACACACCCCCACATAAGTTTTTTGAATTTTTCCATTTGTTTCCCCCTTCAGCCTGCATATGTTCAATATTTTCAGCTCTTGGGGAAGTTGTAGAGTTGGAACGGATCCCAAGGGCCATCTAGTCCAACTAAAGAATCTCTGGCAGACGGCTGTCAAACCTCTTGTTTAGGAACCTCCAATGAAGGAGAATCCACCACCTTCTGAGGGAGTCCGTTCCACTCTTGAGCAGCTCTTGCCATCAGAAAGTTATTCTTTATGTTTAGTCGGAAACTCCTTCCTTGTAATTTGAACCCACTTGTTCAAGTCCTACCTTTTGGAGCTGCAGAAAACAAGTGTTCCACCTGACACACTTTTAGATATTTCATAGAATTGTAGAGTTGGAAGGGACCCCGAGGGTCATCTAGTCCAACCCTCCACAATGCGGGAATTTCAGCTCAAGCATCCATGACAGATGGCCATCCATCATATATCCTCTCGGTCTCCTCTTTTCCAGGCGAAACATACCCAGCTCCTTCAACCAATTTTCATAAGGCTTGGTTTCCAGAGCCTTGATCATCTTGGTTGCCCTCCTCTGCACACGTTCCGGCTTGTCAACATCCTTCTTAAATTGTGATGCCCAGAATTGGACCCGGTATTTCAGGTGTGGTCTGACCAAGGCAGAATGGAGTGGTACTATCACTTCCCTTGATCTGGACACTATACTTCTGTTGATGCAGCCTAGAATAGCATTAGCTTTTTTGCTGCTGCATCACATTGTTGACTCAATATTAAGCTGGTGGTCCACCAAGACCCCTAGATCCTTTTCAAATGTACTGCTAGTAAGCCAGACATCCACCATTTTGTATTTCAGCATCTTGTTCTCCCTGCCTAAGTGCAGAACCTTACATTTGTCCCTGTTGAAATTCGTTTTGTTAACTTGAAGATGGCTAGCATCTCAGCCTTCTCTTCCATCTATATCAAGCTCCCTCAATCGTTCCTCATAAGCACTTCCCAACCACATCAGGTTTGTAAAGTGTAGGAAACCAAACATCACATCAATATCAGGCTTTCGTTCCATCAATTAAGTGGTTGAGGCTATGTAATGGGGAGGGAAGAGGAATATAAAATCCGTATTAACCTGCTCCGTTGTATTTGCAGTATCATAAACATGGCTCTTAAAGGTTTCTTTTGTGTTGGAGGAAATGTATTTTTGCCTCCACAGATTTTCCCCTTGGAATAGTGAACAGTAAAACGCCTACAGGTCTCGAATGATTAGGATTCCTTTTGTGCACGTTGCTCCGTCGTCATGAAAACACTACAGCTCCCGGCTTGTTAAGGTGCTGCTGCTTCATTGAACCTCACATGCACACACTGGTGTGGATGCTTGTTTCAGGAACTTGTCTTACTGTCAGCTTGAAATCCGTGTTGGTTTCTTAGACGTGCGTTGCACGTTGGCTGGGTCTGTACTAGTTCAACTCCTCTGCTGACCCTCCCCTCTCCCCAGAGAAAACGTTAAAAGCTGAAGTCCCAAGCGGTGGGTAGGGAGGCAGTTATTTCCAATTCTAAATCCAATTCCCAACTAAAATCCTCAAGATTATTTGGAGGAAACTGCTATTATGAAGGAAGTGGCGTGAAGTTATCAAGGCTTCTCCTTGTAGGACGTACCTTGGGAGAACTTGCCCATCAGCAAATCTGCTTGGTCCACTTTTATGGTCTGCTATCTGAGGGCGTGACCATAAGGGAGGTGTAGGGGTATAAATAATAACATTATTATTAATTATTATTATTATTAAAACGTCCTCCAAAGCTGAGCTAGGGCAGCTTGTCCTGCTGGATGCATTTTAGAGCTAGGATGGGCAAGAGGTAGATGGGGAACTGTTGGCTCTTGGTGATTTTTCAGTAGAGGGGGAAAGGGTTTCTGACAGCAGCAACAAGAAGGCTCCTCTCTCCAAATTAAGCTGCTAAGAACATAGGAAGAGCCCTGCTGGCTGTCCAGGTCAACATCTTGTTTTGCACAATGGCCAACCACATTCAGGACACAGCACCCCTAAGAACAGTTGTGGGAAAACCAGGACTGTGTCTCTGCCCGAAAAGACTGGAGTCAGTTCTGAGACCAAAATGTTTTTTGTGGTCTGTGCAGATGTTTAGCAGAACCTTATTCCTTCAAAGTGTTTCCCAGTGTTTTGCACTTAGCTCCTGAGTTTCTTTGTGAATACCACAGTTCTTGTCAGCCTGAAGATGGCTTACACCTGGCTTTAGAGACTCCCAATTCTGGTATGGATGTGTATATATGTTTGTGGAAGAAAACGGATATTAAAAAGAAAAAAAAACCTGAAATGGGGAACAATTGGGGATCAGAGACAAGGTGGCCCCAAGACATGGTTCCAGAGGCACAAAAAACCCCCAAGCGCTGCCCACTCACATGTGCCCATCTGGATTGAAATCTACCACAGCCCCACAAACAGCTGGTGATACCATTTTTTAGGACTGCAGCTGCAGATATGCTGTCTGGGGCTGATGGCAGCTGTAGCCCAAAACATCTGGATTCACCAGCTTGGGAAATGCCAATCTTCCAGGAAGTTCTCTTGGAGAAACCTCACTGGAGTGGACAACTCCGATTCATTTTCAGCGCAGTTGACGGAGGCAGACAAGGGTTTATAAGAGTCTGTGCCCCAGTGGAGTCAGACATACCCATTTCCTACCCTGCTCCCCGTAATCTAGCTCCCGATCCGGCCTCCAGCAAAGATCAGAGGCAGCAGTTTGGTGACGCCTGTGGCTAGGGCTCTGGGCTACTGATTCTGCCTGCATTGCGGGGGGTTGGACTAGATGACCCTTGGGTCCCTTCCAGCTCTACAGTTCTATGATTCTGCCTTTCACGCCAGGAGAGACCTGGACTGCACTTAACATGGGACGTTTTGCATGACTCGAAATCTACCGCCGGGTGAGCCGAGAGTTAAATCCTTCCTTCCTTCCTTCTACAGTGACGTCTTCAGGGGAGGGTGGGATTTTTGGAGCCAAGTTGTGTCATATACTGTGCTCACTGCTGTTGGCCGTTTTTGGGTACTTCCTCCCCATTTTCTCAGCCTGCAGTATAAATTTCCCCTTGTGTTTCCCCCCCGTCCTCCCTCCTTCTATCTTGGCATAAGGAAAATGGTTGTGACCCCAGGTTGAAGTATTAAGGATTGCTTTGGAATGATATGAGAGCATTTACCAATGTAGAATTATGCTGTATGTAATGTATATACGGAGAGAGAATGTATTTTGTTCATTTTTTTTCTTAATAAAAACAAAAATCAATGCCCATCTTGTCACGGGAATCACTTCTTGCAGCGCTTCGGTTGAAATTTTGGTTTTGCTGCTTAAGTTACCTAAAGGTAAAGGGACGCCTGACCATTAGGTCCAGTCGTGACCGACTCTGGGGTTGCGACGCTCATCTCGCTTTATTGGCCGAGGGAGCCGGAGTACAGCTTCCGGGTCATGTGGCCAGTTCTAAGCCACTTCTGGCGAACCAGAGCAGCGCACGGAAACGCCGTTTAACTTCCCACCGGAGCGGTACCTATTTATCTACTTGCACTTTGACGTGCTTTCGAGGTGCTAGGTTGGCAGGAGCCGGGACTGAGCAATGGGAGCTCACCCCGTCACGGGGATTTGAACCATCGACCTTCTGATCGGCAAGCCCTAAGTGCTGGTTTAACCCACAGCACCACTCCACATCCCCATAAGTTACCTAGCGGGATTTAAAACATGGACCTCGATTTCATATGTAAATGTATCACAAATTGATAACCCCATTCCGATACGGAAGTCAGACAACCCATATCTATCCAGTTGGCTCTCCTCTTGCAGCGACTGCTGTCCAGTGTTAAAAGTCACTTGAGTGTGCATCCATTGAAATGACTGGACGAGAACCTTTCTCAGGCTGAGGGCCACATTGACTTCTAGATCATGTGCTAGGGGCCACTGGCCAGTGATGGGGAGAGGGAAGCAAAAGCAGGTGCAGCGATGGGGTATAGATTTTATCTTTGTATATTAGGCCCCTTTTTGTAATCACACATCCTTTGCCCACATGTACCGTATTTTTCGCTCTATAAGACGCACTTAAGGGGGAAATGTGTGCGCATCTTATGGAGCGAATGCAGGCTGCGCAGCTATCGCTGAAGCCAGGAGAGCAAGAGGGATCGGCGCGCACTGATCCCTTTCGCTCCCCTGGCTTCAGGCCTAGCCACGCAAAGCCTCTTGAGGGCAATGGGAGGAACGTTCTCCCTGCCCTGAAGAGGCTTGGCACGGCTATCCCAGAAGCCAGAACAGCAATAGGGATAGCTGCTTTTGCTGCGCAGCGATCCCTCTTACTGTTCTGCCTTTGCTTTGCTGGAGAGGCACTGCGCAGAGAGGGAGAGAATTTTTTTTTCTTTTTCTCCTCTAAAACTAGATGTGTCTTATGGTCGGGTGCGTCTTATAGAGCGGAAAATATGGTACATTCTGTTCTCCCTACCCCACATTGCACTTCTTGGTTTTGAGATCCAGATATAAGCCGGTTTAATCGGCCAAGTTTAGAAACTGGAAAAGAGATTTTGCAACATGAGAAAGTCGTAAGATTTCCCAACCACCGCCAACTCGTGTGACCGTGGGGGGGGGGAGGAAAAGAGGGGCCACCAGCCCTTCACAAAAGAAACTTTTATTGACAGAAATAAGTGGTGTCTTCAAAATATACTTTGTAGGAAAATGCAACGATAATCTTTACAATCCAGTTCCTCTGTTAAAATCCCAGTGTATATCAGACTCCTGTTTCAGCGCAGTTAAGTGTGCGCTGAGGAAGCTGCACAGTGCATTAAAAGTAGCATTCAGACGCATTATCACAACCGAAAGGGGCTAGGCGCACATTGCAGTCCATTTGCAAACGAAAACTCGCATCGAGGACCCGCAGGGTACAGTTGAAAACACATTGGCTCTGGATGTAGGAAACTCGGTGTCAAACCTGGGGGCGGCTCTGCCTTCTCTCCCCCCACTTTTTTAAAAAATAAATTTTTATTAACTTTCTTTTCTGTCATTGCAAACATATCAATAACATAGATATGACACATCTTCACACCTCCTCTCTCCCCTCAACCTGCTTCGCCGTGTGGTTTTAAATCATAACGACACCAGAATCCTGGAGCCTCTCGCACACCAGAAAGTACGATTTAACAAAAAATAGTAAATTGCAGTAGCAGCAATAAAAAACAAACTGGGCAATTGGAGGATCTAGCAGTGTTCCCAAGTTGCTAGTACCTTCGTAGTGCCAGGTTGAAGGGGTAATTAGTATTCTCAAAATTTAAACTTTGCGGTCGCTTTTGGGTCCTTGTCTTAACCAGAAGTTCACATCTTTCATTTGCATGAACCGTGTGTGTGTGTGTGTGTGTGACTTATTTTTGCAATCTCGGTCTCCTTTGCAACACATTAAAGCACCCTCCCATCCCTTTCGAGTAACAGCACACCTGAAAAATAGCTGGAGCAGAGCAACTAACATAACCAAATCTAACTTTTTGGGGGACTGAATTGTTGATAGTCTAGTTGTAGAGGAAGAAAATTGGGGAAGTTGCAAGAAAGTCCGTTCTCCTGCCCCCCGTCCCCTTCAGATTGTCTTATATCTCCACAGACTAGTAACTGGGGGGAAATCTATTTGCAATACTTTCATATTTTGTCCCCCTGACCCAATATCAGAAAGAGGTACATATTTTTTGGTTGTTTGAATAGGTCTGCTCTACATTATATTAAAAAGAAGGGTTGTAAGCCAACCCCTGATCTCTTGACTTACTCTGCAGATCTGGCAAACAGGCAAAGGACTCTCTAACGCCGTCCGTTTCCATGGTGACAATAGCAAAGTGCCCTTTGTCCTTCGGTGGAGCCCTTTGCCTTTAATGTGCACCACAGCTGCTCCCAAGGCACATAATACAACAGGAAGTCTCTCCTGCAAGGATGGAGACTCATGAAATCAAAGAGTGCAACCCTATGCAATACAGGAATCTCAACGCATCCAGTGTGAAACTATGCCAAATCCTGCTCAGCTTTGCAAATGTGCTAGCTATTTTATTGCTGCACCTTTTATTGCTGGGGGTGGTGGACTAGATGACCCTTGCCCCCCCAAAAAACACACACACACTACAATTCTAACTTTCTGTGACCTTTGGACCACATCAGCCAGGCTAAGGGTGGGTGTTTTGTCATCTGGGTAGCCCATGACCTCCATGCACACTGCCCAGGTTTGTGTCCCGGGGAGGTCATTTTGGTGCGGCTTACACAGCGGTTTGACTTCACCCCCAGAAGCGCACTCCATTGTCTCTCGAGACAAAAACCAGTGGCACTTCTGCTGGACTCCAGCTCCCATCAACCCCAGCCTGCAAGGGATGATGGGAGTTGTAGTCCTGCAACACCTCGAGGGCCACATTAGCTTCGGCTGCTTTGTTGAGGAAACGACGCTTTCACTGGAAGGTGAAGTAAGTGGGCTACTGATGTCACTGCCCCAGCCCAGAGCTGGTACCCACTTGAAAGATCTGAGCTGCGCAGAATTACACTCCGATCTCCCCCATGCCATCACTACCTCGGTCCAGTATATCTGAAGGAGCGTCTCCACCCCCATGGTTCTACCCGAACACTGAGGTCCAGCTCCGAGGGCCTTCTGGCGGTTCCCTCACTGCGAGAAGCCAAGTTACAGGGAACCAGGCAGAGGGCCTTCTCGGTAGTGGCACCCTCCCACCAGATGTCAAAGAGAACAACTACTACCAGACTTTTTGATGACATTTGAAGGCAGCCCTGTTTAGGGAAGCTTTTAATGTTTGAGGCCTTAGTGTATTTTAATATTGTGTTGGAAGCTGCCCAGAGTGGCTGGGGAAACCCAGCCAGATGGGCGGGGTATAAATGATAAATTATTATTATACCTCTTGACACACCTGGCTGAAGAGAACAGGTTCCTCTCCATCCACTAGGAGCCATGCACTAAGAAACAAGGGTCTCAGAAGCCCTTTGCTTGGAATGGCAAGGGTGGGTGAGTGATGGAGGCAGAGATTGGGATAAGGGGACATATTGCCATTTTTGGCCCCCTCAAAGCTTCCAGTTGCCAGTCTCTTAAGAAGAGACCTTGGTGTGAGCCTACAAGACAACATTAATTTTCTTATGGCTATAGCAGAATGCCAGAAATAGTTCCTTTAAAAAAAAATCAGTGTGGCACAGCCACACACAGCCACTCTAGTATTTATCGATGAAGATAGGAAAATGTTACACTGATCTTTTCTGCAAAGGCAAGGTATTTAATAGGAGCTGCTAGAATCCCCTTTTTCCTGGAATCTCCCTGGGCCGATACATGAAGATGCAAGTTCTGAGCACTCTGACATTTGAACGCTTCCTTCCTCCTGCTCCGAACTCAAGCCGGGCCAGTAAGAGACTCTAAATTTACAGCCTCTAAATTTACATCTCCTGCCCAGAGAATTGGCTTTGCCAATGTTTGGGAGTTGGGAGTTCCTGTTCAAATGGATTAGGAACCTACCGATTTTTGACGGCGGGTTCCAAAGTTATATTTGACCTAAGATACAATCCAAACAGCTGTCATAAATCTGCTTTTAAAAAAGAGGGAGGGAAGGAAATATCGAAGGATCCACCCATCTTCCCATTGTCTCTCCTCAGAGGCCCCACAGCTGAGGGAAGACAAAGGGGCAGATTCATCAAAAGCCATCACATTGTCTTTTATTAATGGGACTTAAGGCATGTTTTATCTCATCCTTAATCTTTGCCTTCTGAATAGGACTAGGACAGGGTCTCATTTTTTTTTAGCTGTTTCCGTTCCTATAACTTATCTCGAAAAGCATGATGAGATGTTCTCAACAACTTTCCTGTATCAAATGTGCAAGGAGACGAAGAAGCAACTTGTGATGGGTTCAGAACAGTTGTAGGGTTGGTTCCTTCTGCCCACGGCGATTTGTGTAAAGTCCTTAAGAGCATCTCATTCGATGATTGTGAAATCCAATAGAGGTAGAGGTAGAGGGACCCCTGACTATTAGGTCCAGTCATGACCGACTCTGGGGTTGCGGCGCTCATCTCGCTTTATTGGCTGAGGGAGCCGGCGTACAGCTTCCGGGTCATGTGGCCAGCATGACTAAGCCGCTTCTGGTGAACCAGAGCAACGCACGGAAGCGGCATTTTACCTTCCTGCCGGAGTGGTACCTCTTTATCTACTTGCACTTTGACATGCTTTTGAACTGCTAGGTTGGCAGGAGCTGGGACCGAGCAATGGGAGCTCACCCCATCGCGGGGATTCGAACCGCCGACCTTCTGATCGGCATGTCCTAGGCTCTGTGGTTTAACCCACAGCGCCACCCGCGTCCCGTGAAATCCAATAACTAGGCTTAAATTAATCGGCGCTTTGGAAAGGTCATGCCTGCAGCGTGGCAAGAACAATGTGGAATTTTTTTTTAAAGGGCAAATTTGGGAGCATGAAAGAGCCCAACAAGGCTTTGGGGCAATTCCCTTTCCACAGAGATACAAGCTTCCCTTTGCAAACGTTCCACTGTTTCAGACCCCACAGCTAAGATCCCCTATTGCACATGCAAAGTTAGCTCACTCAGTAGCTTTACACCCTAAATTGCACCATTAAATGGGTTTATGGATCATCCATGCATGTCAAAGGCACAAAACCCTCCACCTTCCTTCTCTTTCAATAAAAGCAACGGGGGGCTGTTTCAACCTGAAATTGACTAAATATTGCTATAGCTATTATTAAGAAGAAAAACATGAGATGCTCTTGGAAGGGGAAGTGTGCAGATTAATGCTGATCTCTTTAGCTCATGCATTATTATATCCTCCCCTCTACAGAACGTCCCAGGTTGGATGCCCCGCATCTCCAGGTAAAACTGGTCAAACCCTGGAGAATCGCTGCCGGCCAGTGTAGAACAGTATTGAGCTAGATGAGCCCAGTGTCTTCTAGTCAAGTATAAGGCAGCTCCTATGTTCCTGCATACAAATCTCTTTCCTGAAATCTGAAGTTGTGCCGCTGGGCTAATGCTCCAGTCGTAGCCCGTTTGGGTTTTGCGGTGCTTCATTCTTACACACACAAAAACCCCGGCCCCAAATTTGCATTCTACAGGAAGAACGCAAAAAACGAAAAAACCTGAATCCTCCTTGCATGGCTGGCACAGATTCACTGCAGGCGCCAGCTGTTGCAAAAAGCTTACGTACTGGAACGGGCTAGTTAATGGCCAGATCCTGACCTACGAAGATCGGGAGAATGTTTTTTAATGTGTGGAGAAAACAAGTGGAGTGATAGGACGACCTGGGGTGGGGCAGGTAGAGAGAGACAGCCTTTTTTAGCTGTGCCCTGCTGCCAATATTCAGAGTCTCCTGTACGCCGGAGCCCATTGCACCTCGGGTTTTGCATATCTGGTTGAGTTTTTGCATAATGCGCCCCCCTGCGGCCGCTAACCGTGAGGGAGCGATGCCTTGTCAAGCTGCCTGCAAATGGCAGAAGTTAAGCTCCAACTCTGTCCTCTGAACAGGCGCTCCCATCTTGTTCTCTGCAGACATGAGGACCTTGACTCCAGTTAAAATGAGCAGTACATCCAGCCCTGCTCTCATGGTCCCTTGGCATCTGGAGGGGAAAGGGAGTGGGAGAATCTCCTGTCTGCCCTGCTCAACACTTAAATAGGAGGCACAGTCATTAAAAATATATATATATATGTACACATATACACACACCAACACATAGAATTTGCTTAGAAAGCTAATGGGATTTTAGAAAAACAAAACCAAACAAACAAAACAAAAAGGATTTGGCCACGGCAGACGCCCCCTAGACAAATCCTCTTGCCCAATAACCGTGAGGCTCCTTCTGCATGTCGGCACTTGTGGCTGCAAGTTTTGAGTTTTCCGTGTTTTCGAAATTTTTGCTTAGCACAAAGTTTGTTCTCTCTTTAAAAAATGAAACAAAAAGCCCCAAACAATTATAAATGTGTGTCCTCTTCGTCCTCCAGATCCTCTTTCGTTAGGCTGTCCATGGGGACGATCCAACTGTCTCCAAGCTCCCCGTTCAGGTTGACCTTCTTCTCCTGCATCTCCGAGGAGGTCTCCATCACCTCCAGGGTCGGGTTGTCGTGGTAACCGTTCTCCATCGTCTGAAGTTCCTCGGTCAGGCGCTGCTGTAAGGCGGGGACCGGGGGGTTTGGGTAGGAGACATATGAACAGGGACTGAAAAAGCTGAAACCATAGAGTTGCAGTAAGGTAAAGGTAAAGGTTTTCCCAGTAGTGATGTATGGAAGTGAGAGTTGGACCATAAAGAAGGCTGATCACCGAAGAATTGATGCTTTTGAATTATAGTGCTGGAGGAGACTCTTGAGAGTCCCATGGACTGCAAGAAGAACAAACCTATCCATTCTGAAACAAATCAGCCCTGAGTGCTCACTGGAAGGACAGATCCTGAAGCTGAGGCAACTATGGGGTTGTGGCGCTCATCTCGCTTACCGGCCAAGGGAGCTGGTGTTTGTCCACAGACAGCTTTCTGGGTCATGTGGCCAGCATGGCTAAACCGTTTCTGAGTGCACAGAAACACTGTTTGCTTTCCCGCCACAGTGCACAGAAACACTGTTTGCTTTCCCGCCACAGTGGTACCTATTTATCTACTTGCACTGGTATGCTTTCGAACTGCTAGATAGGCAGGAGCTGGGACAGAGCAACAGGAGCTCACCCTGTTGTGCGAATTTGAACCGCCAACCTTCTGACCGGCAAGCCCAAGAGGCTCAGTGGTTTAGACCATAGCGCCACCTGCATCCTATAGAGTTTACCACAGAGTTGAAAGGAACCCAGGGGTCACTTAGTCCAAACTCCTGCTGGATGTAGAGGAGCGGTAGCAGGCAGAAGCTGGGGAACCCCCAAGGGAAGAAGGCTCAGAGTGGTGGTGGGAATGATGAGTGGTCAGAGGGAGAAGGCTGGGAGGAGGAGGTGTAGGAAGCTGGCGAGGCAACAGGGCTTAGTGAGCAGGGAGAGTCTGTGGCGGAGAGAAGTCCAGAATGAGAAGCTGAAGAGGCAGAGATGAGTCAGGCTGGTGAAGATGCCAGGAGGGTCTACCCTCCTGCTACGACCAGCTCTGCTCCTCCCTGATCTCCCAGGACCAGAAGAGGTATGAAGAGGGCAGAGCAGAGACAAAGTGATGAGTGTGGTGTAAAATGCGGAAGACAATTGTGTTGGGAATCTGTGTACGTGCAGCTACTCACACAGAGTCAATTAAGGTTTGGCAGACAGCCAGAAGGCAATCTGAAGGAGTAAGTCTGCCTGGTGATAACAGAGACATGGAGACAACTCCATGATTGGTCAAGCTCTCTCAAGGGAGTGATAATTAATGGCCTACTAACTGGAATGTGTTAGTTCAGTATTCAGAGGTTCAGAATTCTGTGTGTGAGTGTAGGAGTTGTGAGTCATGTCAGAGAGAGCTAGCAAAAGATCCGTGTTCTGTTCCTGTAAATAGTCCACTGTATATAATAAACACCTAACTACAAGTTCCTGGTTCCTGCTTCGTCTATCCTGTCTGCAGCCAAGTCGCCAATTGCTTCCGTGGATTCTGCGTTGACTCTGCTAGGTCTGGCTAAGGTCCTGCAACTAGTCAGAAAGTTGCGAAACACCAAATAGGTTTTGCCAATAAACTGTATTTTGAGGAGTTAGGTGGCATGTCCCTTTCCCTTTAACATCCCCAGTTTGATTCTTGTGTTTCACGCACCTGTCGGGAGTTTCTTGGGTTCTTCTGTGTTGCAAGTGCTGGCTGGATGCCCGGCTGCAGGTAGTGGGAGACTCTCAGCTGCTCTGTATTAGTTCCATCTCAGGGTCCTGGGCTAATCATGAGTAATGCCCGGTGCACTTGATTACATCAAGGCAGGCTATAAAAGCCATAGGTGGGAGGGGCCTGGAGAGCTTCTGCCCAGATCAAAGGACCTGATGCTGGGAGACCGACGGTCAGGGTCTTTCTCCTGCTGCTCTACCTGGGGCTCCGGGCAGCTGAAGGGGAGATTGGGTAGCCCCTGTCGGGTATGTTTTAGTTTATGCTTTCCATGCCTGCTGTTTATTTGTTAATAAAACTGTTCCCCTTCCACCTCCTCATTCCTTTTGTCCTGATATTCTTGGAAAGAACTGCTGTGTTTGGCAGCACATGAGTCTCAGATTGCTTGGGAAAGACCCAGGTGAGGAGACGACTCTGGAAAGGCAGAGACTTTTGGTCCTCGCCCCTGTCCATTGGGGCAAGACCTACTGGGAAGAGCTGCCGCGCTCACGGGACCTGAGCTGTTTTGTTTCACTGACGCATTGCGAATTGTGGCAGATAGGCTACCGACACCCGAAATCGACACTCTGCAATGCAGAGGGTTAGGGTGAGTACTGCCAATGTCTGCAAATGAAGTGGGATATGGGAGACCCCGGCCATAGCGGTCAACTTACAGATTTGAATATAAGGGACCAGCAGCCTCGAAAATAAGGGATCAGCAGCCAAAATAAGGGATCAACAATTACTTTGATAAAATACATATTTTGTTGCGTGCAAATGGCTTTAGATACCTATTAGGTCCATAAATCACCATATAGCATATATTCAACACAAAAAACCAGCAACAATTTGTTGTTGACAAAGGACAGCTGGACATAGAAAGGGCCCCATTACCTTCAGTAGCTTATTTAAGGGACATCATCAATAAGGGACAGCAGTGGGACATGGTGCTGGGATAAGGGACTGTCCCGCCAAATAAGGGACGCTTGACAGCTATGACTCTGGCTCAGAGCAGATAACTCAAGGGTCGGTGGGTGTGAAGCTTGGCCCTACAACTCCTGCTAGGTCCATTTTGATGGCGCAAAATGCAAAAAGCCTGTTTACCTGGTCCTTCCTTTGGGAGAGGCGCTGGTGGCAACAGCCGTAGATGGCGGCACCAAGTAGCAGGGAGGCAGCCATGCAGACAATGGTGATGATCAGAGGCATGCTGAAGCGGTCCTCTATGTCGGGGTCCCTGCTCCTGCCGCCGTGGGTGATGTTCTTCACTCCAATCTGTCAAAGGAAGAGGGGGGTGAATGGCTGGGAGCAGAGGAGTCGCCACGGAGAGAGGGGCATTGGCTGGGCTACTGCAATGCAAGCTACGTGGGCCTGCCCTTGGAGACTTACCCGAAAACATCAACTGGCGCAAAACGCCGCGGCCAAATTACTGGCCAGGGTTCCAAGACAGCAAAAGCCCTGTTTCAAAACACCTACGCTGGTGGCCACTTTGTCCCATGGCCCGATTCAAGGTGATTAAACCCCTAAAAGACTTAAGCCCCCAATATCTGAAATGCCATCTGCATGGCTACTGACAGAGGGGCTCTGTGTCTGGTTCCTGCCCTTGGAAGCGTGGGGGATAATGGCCTGGGAGAGGATTTTCTCTGTGGAAACCCCTAAATTGTGAAAACTCCGCTCCACATCAGTGCATTTAGCATCTTCCTCGTACAGCTCTGGAAGAGCGTTGCAAACACACATCAGTTATCTTTGTTTTGGGGGACCCTCCTCTTTTGATGAATCTGTCCTGTCCTGTTTTGGTTGCTGCCGTTTTTCTTACTTAATTGTAACTCATTTACTCTAATTTTTGAAGTATTAGAGAGATGATGATGATTATGCGCCCCCTTGGATTGGCACCCTATGTGCAGTCACCACCACTCTAAATTGGACACTGAGAGGGAGAACCAACTGGAGCTCCCTGGAGAGAAAGCTAGCATATAAATGCAATGAATAAATGCAATTTTCAGGAGTGTTACTCCCCAGAGGGAGTGGGATTTTACTACTTTCAGGAGACAGCGGGGGCCTGTCCCTTAAAATACCTTTTCTAATTATTAAATAAAAAACCAGGCTGATCATCTGACTTAGAAGATGAGATGACTGAAGGAAGGTTAGCGTGTTCGCCACATTTTTTTTTTAAAAAAGCTCCATTGTGGTTGCTCACACAATGGCCCCATCAAGGCTCTCCACCCTGCCAGCTGCGTTTCCTGGACCAGCAGGAAGGGACAAAATGTGCCTTGTTCCCAGGGCATCCTGGCCCAGGAAATGCAAACTTGATGGAGGGGGTCTGCTGTGGTTGCTGTACGAGCAGTTGCAATGGGTGCAGCAGTGAAGAGCGTTGGACTGGGACTTGCGGAGACCTGTGTTCAAATTGACACTCAGCCCTGAAGCTCAGTTGGTGACCTGGGGCCAGGCACTGTCTCTCGGACTAACCCACCCCGCAGGACAAAATGACTGGAGCGAGAGAGCCTTGCATGGTGCACTTTGCACTTCTGGGAGGAAAACTGGGATGCAAACGTATTAAATAAGGCTCTTTTTCATTTTTAAGTGTGTGTGGAGAGGAGGGGAGAAACGCCATTGGGTGTTATTCAACTAAGTTTTGCTCAAGTAAAGGCCCACTGAAATTGACAAACATGAGCTAGGTCCATTAATTTCACAGGGCTTAAAAAGGTAAAGGGACCCCTGACCATTAGGTCCAGTTGTGACCAACTCTGGGGTTGCGGCGCTTATCTCGCTTTATTGGCCAAGGGAGCCGGCGTACAGCTTCCGGGTCATGTGGCCAGCATGACTAAGCCGCACCCCGGAAATGATCTCTTTCAGCTTCTGCCTTCTGGAAGAAGGTACAGGGTAATAAAGACTAGGACTAGCCGCCTGAGAAACAGTTTTTATCCAAATGTGATTTTGGTTTTAAACGCAGTGTAAGGTCTCTGTGGGAGTATATTGTATTTAATTATGGGGTATCAGAGTTTTTAGGGGGCTAACCAGGCTGGGATAGCTGGGATAGCAAGGCTTGTTGGTTTCTGAATGTCTGATGTAGATTTTTTGTTGTTCTGTAGAGAACAATGACAATAAAGATTATCGTATCGTATCTGGGCAACTGCTTTGCTTCCATGCCTCCTTCAGAGAATCACTCAGCAAAGCATCCTTCATCCTAACACACCTTGAAGGGCTGTCCTTGAACCACAGTTGGCGACGGCCGGTTGCCAAGCAACACTTCAAGCTAAAGATCTGAAGATGCCTGACTGAAAAGGCGACAAACCGAAGGAATGGGACTTCCTCAAACATCCTCCTTACCTTTTCCAGCTCTTCCATCTTCGCCGCCAAAGACTCAAACAGCTCCTTATCCGCAGAGTTTGCTAACAGAAGGAAACAAAAGGTGAGGAGAATAGAAACTATTTATTTACCTTTTTAAGGCGGTGCAGAAAACTGTGTGGAATAGCAACACACTCGGCTCAGTCATTCAGAGCATGAGACTCTCTATCTTGGGGTCGCGGGTTCGGGTCCAACGTTGGGCAACAGGTTTCCTGTGGGCTGGTGTGGGGGACTCCCTGGTCCTGAATGGGGTAACTGTGCCCCTGAAGGAGCAGGTGTGCAGCCTGGGAGTCATTTTGGACTCACAGCTGTCCATGGAGGCGCAGGTCAATTCTGTATTCAGGGCGGCTGTCTACCAGCTCCATCTGGTACGCAGGATGAGACCCTATCTGCCCACAGACTGTCTTGCCAGAGTGGTGCATGCTCCGGTTATCTCCCGCTTGGAGTACTACAATGCACTCTGCGTGGGGCTACCTTTGAAGGTGACCTGGAAACTGCAATTAATCCAGAATGCGGCAGCTAGACTGATGACTGGGAGCAGCCGCTGAGACCATTGGTCCTGAAAGACCTACATTGACTCCCAGTACGTTTCTGAGCACAATTCAAAGTGTTGGTGTTGACTTTTAAAGCCCTAAATGGCCTCGGTCCAGTATACCTGAAGAAGTGTCTCCACCCCCATCGTTCTGCCCGGACACTGAGGTCCAGCGCCGAGGGCCTTCTGGTGATTCCCTCACTGCAAGAAGCGAAGTTACAGGGAACCAGGCAGAGGGCCTTCTCGGTAGTGGTGCCCGCCCTGTGGAACACCTTCCCATCAGATGTCAAAGAGATAAACAACTACCTGACATTTAGAAGACATCTGAAGGCAGCCCTGTTCAGGGAAGTTTTTAATGTGTGACATTTTAATGTATTTTTAATCTTCGTTGGAAGCCGCCCAGAGTGGCTGGGGAGACCCAGCCAGATGAGTGGGGTACAAATAATAAAGTGAGAGCTGGACCATAAAGAAGGCTGATCACCGAAGAATTGATGCTTTTGAATTATGGTGCTGGAGGAGACTCTTGAGAGTCCCATGGACTGCAAGCAGATCAATCCTCTCCATTCTTAAGGAAATCAGCCCTGAGTGCTCACTGGAAGGACAGATCCTGAAGCTGAGGCTCCAATACTTTGGCCCCCTCATCAGAAGAGAAGACTCCCTGGAAAAGACCCTGATGATGGGAAAGATGGAGGGCACAAGGAGAAGGGGAGGACAGAGGACGAGATGGCTGCACAGTGTTCTCGAAGCTATGAACATGAGTTTGACCAAACTGCAGGAGGCAGTGGAAGACAGGACTGCCTGGCTTGCTTTGGTCCATGGGGTCACGAAGAGTCGGACACGACTAAGTGAGTAAACAACAACAACAACAAATTATTATTATTATTATTAGACTGGTCTGCAACTACCAGGGCAGCAGAGCTCAGGTATGAAAGTTCCTAGTTCTTACTCACGGGAAAACATCATCATCCCAGTGCACTCCATATGTTCTGGACCACAGCTGCAGCCAGCACATCTGGAGGGCGCCAAGTTGGCGAAGGCTGCCCTAGGGGCTCCCAACAACGCATGTGGTACCTACTCAACACAGCCACCTCGAGGACAGCCAAGTACTTGGGGTCGTCTTTGGAAGCCAGCCTCGCCAAACACCCATCCCGGCTCTGGTTGAAGGTGGGCTTCACCGCTTTGCAGAGGACATTCAAGAGAGGCTCCTTCGCGGCGCTCTTCTCCAAACCGTTCTGTAGAAAGGAAGAACAAAATTCGCCACGGTTAGGGCTTTGCCTAGGGCAAACTTGCTGGTGGCTGCCACCCTGGTGGGAATCGTTTCCTAACACGGGGGCAGCGTCAATCATGATCTTCAAAGCAAAGAAAAGTGTGGGGTTCACACAGAAACTGGGGCGGGGAATCAATGGAATGAGAAGCCTCCAAGTGACTGTAGCAGCTCTCCAGTCTCCTAGCTGCCGCAGTAAAATCTTCTTTCCAATGCATGGCATGAGAAGACTCGCATTGTTAATGCTGTGAGCCTTTCTTTTTTATATAAATATAATGTTTTATTAAATTTTGTGTTTTGCAGTTTAAAATACTCATTTTACATCCTTAAGATATCAATGACTTCCCTTCTTCTCTTTCCATGGTTCATTTTACATATCATAAATCTCTGCATATTTTACAAAAACTATACCATTCAGTATTCCATTATTGCTTCCATCTAAACTTGTTTATAATAATAATAAATAATAATAATTTATTATCTATACCACGCCCATCTGGCTGGGCTTCCCCAGCCACTCTGGGTGGCTTCCAACAAAATATTAAAATACAGTAATGCATCAAACATTAAAAGCTTAATGTCCCCTCACTGCAAGAAGCGAAGTTACAGGGAACCACGCAGAGGGCCTTCTCGGTGGTGGCGCCTGCCCTGCGGAACACCCTCCCAGCAGATGTCAAGGAAATAAAAAACTACCTGACATTTAGAAGACATCTGAAGGCGGCCCTGTTCAGGGAAGTTTTTAATGTGAGACATTTTAATGTATTTTTAATCTTTGTTGGAAGCCGCCCAGAGTGGCTGGGGTGACCCAGTCAGATGGGCGGGGTACAAATAATAAATTTATTATTATTATTATTGAGAGACAATGGAGTGTGCCTCCAGGGGTGTTAACCACTGTGTTAAGCAGAACCAAAGTGACCTCCCTAGGGGGGAAAGGTCTGTTTTCCAGCGATATCTCCCCTTGTTCTTCAGGCTGCTTAGTCCAGGAGGCAGTGAGGAGTTCAAAAGCCGCCTCTTTTCAAAACCACGAGCCGAGTCAGGCTTGGCCTCTGTCCCTCCGCCTGGTCCCCTGCCATTCTTTATCTGAAGCCTGCAGCTGGGAGATCGACAGGAATAGTAACTCCCACAGGGTCTCCTCGCGGGACGAGGGAGGGGCTGCTTTCTGCCACCCCTGCAAAGGTCGCATTTCCGCCCCCTAAAAAAGGAATGCAAGAGACGGCGTGGATCCCCACTCAGTATCACAATAAACTCGACTCTCCCTTCCTCCGTCCACATGGTAACAGCCTGGCCTCAAGGAAGCTACAGTTCTGAAATGGTCCAAGGGTAATAATAATAATAATAATAATAATAATAATAATAATTATAATTTATTATTTATACCCCGCCCATCTGGCTGAGTTTCCCCAGCCACTCTGGGCGGCTTCCAATCAAGTGTTAAAAACAATACAGCATTAAATATTAAAAACTTTCCTAAACAGGGCTGCCTTCAGATGTCTTTTAAAAAGATGACAGCTGCTTATTTCCTTCACATCTGAAGGGAGGGCATTCCACAGGGCAGGCGCCACTACCGAGAAGGCCCTTTGTCTGGTTCCCTGTAACCTCACTTCTCGCAATGAGGGAACCGCCAAAAGGCCCTCGGCACTGGACGTCAGTCTCCAGGCTGAACGATGGGGGTGGAGACGCTCCTTCAGGTATACAGGACCGAGGCCAGAAAGTCAGAATGTAAAGTCAGAACGGATCCTCACCCTCCACTGCCTTGCGGAATATCTTTGGACCCCATCAGGCAGGCCTAGAAAGGGGTTTTGTCGTCTGGACCTCCATGCACACTTGCCAGGCTTGCGCTCCAGGGAGGTCTCTTCGGTGCTTCTGACGCACCGGTTTGACTTCACCCCCAGAGGCGCACTACAATGTCTCTCAAGAACAACAGCATGTCAGACGTTATCAATGAGTGGCAACTGAGATGCCAATATATCCTACAATGACAGTGAAGCGAGGGAGAAGAGTTTGGATTTGATATCCCGCTTTATCACTACCCGAAGGAGTCTCAAAGCAGCTAACATTCTCCTTTCCCTTCCTCCCCCACAACAAACACTCTGCGAGGTGAGTGGGGCTGAGACTTCAGAGAAGTGTGACTGGCCCAAGGTCACCCAGCAGCTGCATGTGGAGGAGCGGGGAAGCGAACCCGGTTCACCAGATTACGAGTCCACTGCTCTTAACCACTACACCACACTGGCTCTCGATGTACAATATCTGGACACATTAAAAAGGTAAAGGACTCCTGGATGGTTAAGTCCAGTCAAAGGTGACTATGGGGTTGTGGCGCTCATCTCGCCTACCGGCCAAGGGAGCCAGTGTTTGTCCACAGACAGCTTTCTAGTCATGTGGTCAGCATGACTGAACCACTTCTGGTGCAACGGGACACCATGACGGAAATCGGAGCACACGGAAACGCCTTTTATCTTCCCGCCTCAGCGGTACCTATTTATCTACTTGCGCTGGTGTGCTTTCGAACTGCCAGGTTGGCAGGAGCTGGGACAGAGCAACAGGAGCTCACTCCGTTGTGGGGATTTGAACCACCGACCTTCCGATCAGCAAGCCCAAGAGGTTTAGACCAGAGCGCCACCCGTGTCCCAGACACAATAAAACGCCACAGTCTTAACCCACAAGGTTTTACCAGCATCACTTAGCTTCAGTTAATAAGAACATGAGAAGAGACTGCTTGACAGGATAGCGGCTCATTTAGTCCGGCATTCTATTCTCGCAGTGGCCCCTTATTGTTTGTTTGCACAATTTCTTTTATTTAGCAGGATTTATACCGCCTATTATTATTTTTTAAAACCCTTATGTGGTTTACATAAAACAGTCTAAACTGTTCACCAAGACAACTGTGATCAAGACAGATGTTTAAAACAGCAGATTTAACATGATATTAATAGACAGGATTGTAAGTTTTTATATGCAGTGAAAGCAGCAAGAATATTATTGGCACAAAAATGGAAGCAAGAAGAATTACCGACGAACGGAGAATGGCGGATGAAATTGATGGACTATGCAGAACTGGATAAATTAACAGGAAGGATTCGAAACCTGCGCGACTGGAGTAAATATACAAACTATTTGAAAAGTAATTGTAATGAACGGATTCCGCTAGTAGGATTGCAGGAAGTTTTGTAAGGATGACTATTTGAAATATTGCAAGAAAGACCATGAGGAGAATTATTAGTTAATGATAATTAAGAGTAATAGAGAAATTAAGAAATGCAGAATAAGTGATAAAGAATGGAAAATCATCAGAGGTGTTGACGGACGTCTAAAATATTGTATAAGATAAGAAGTTATGTTATACGATTGTTGGAAATGATATGTTAGAAAAAACCCAATAAAAATGTATATATATATATATAAATGAAACAGCAGATTTAACAGAATACAGTGGTACCTCAGGTTAAGAACTTAATTTGTTCCGGAGGTCCGTTCTTAACCTGAAACTGTTCTTAACCTGAGGTACTACTTTAGCTAGTGGGGCCTCCCACTGCCGCTGCGCGATTTGTGTTCTCATCCTGAAGCAAAGTTCTTAACCCGAGATACTATTTCTGGGTTAGCGGAGTCTGTAACCTGAAGCGTATGTAACCTGAGGTGTCTGTAACCTGAGGTACCACTGTAATAAAAAATAGATAAATGAATAGTTTTTAAAATAAATATACGCATAAATTTATCTGGGTAGATATACAAAGAAGTGTTCAGAAGGCACCGGCCACCAAACCAACTACGTAATGTCAAGAAGCTGGGAGTTGCAAAAGATAGGTGGGACCGCACTAAAAGATGGATTTTTTTTCTTTGCAAATGCAGAGCTCGCTTTATGTGGTAGCAGTTACGTCTGCGAGCGAAATGTCTCTGTTCTTCCTCCCCAGGAGAGACAGGGGTTCCTCAGTTGAGGCAGCTGAAAGCAGAGCAAAGCTCTTTCTCGCTTTCTTTTCCTGGGTGGGTAAGGCCGAAGGGGGAAATCGATGTCCCGGATTGCTCACTGCTTTGTCTAAATATTTGGAGAAAGACTCTTTGGAGGTGCTAAGGGACGGGGACAGGACGCCACGGCCTGCCAGACAGGAAGGAACAGTCCCTGGGCGTGGAATGGCATTGTTAAGATGGATTGTTAATGGGGAGGGGGTCAAGGTCTCCAGGAGAACAGGGCTGCGCCTGAACATTGCCTCCCCTCACTCAAAAATAAAAACAAAACAAAACTAGATCATATCCCTTTCCCTTTCCAAAGTTAAAACTGACACACTGTGGCAAATTTAGGATTTTAAACAAAGCTACTCAGGGACAAAATGCGAGGATAAGGAGAAGGGGTTGGAAGAGGACAGGCTGAGATGGGAGGGGGTTTGAGGATGGGGAAGGGGTGGGAAAGGGAGTGTGGTCTCTCTCTCTCTCTCATTGATTTATGAGGGAAAGAACTCTGTGCATGCTCAGAATTGCTACTACCAACTATTGAAAGGATTCTCCTGAACAGTGGGCATTTTTGCTCTTTGTTATTTAATAACATTTTATTCTTTTTTCCATACATGAAAGTTACATTTGTTACTCAACAATTGCCGTATTTTCCCATGTATAAGATGCCTCCATGTATAAGACGACCCCTAATTTTTTTTAACCCAAAATTAAGAAATTAAGAAATTAAGTTGTTTGGCTTTTTTGTGGTGGGGTGGGGGAGGTCGCTTCCACCAATCGCTCGCCCGCCTGCCTGCCACTGCCGATCGCTTGCCACAGCCACTGCCAATCGCACACCTCGGCGCAGCCGCCAATCGCCTGCCCACCTTGCCACAGCCACCAATCACCTGCCCAGTTGTCACAGCCAATCACCAGCAGGCCTTGCCGCAGCCACCAATCACCCGCCCAATCACCGCTGCCAATCTCCTGCTTGCTGCCGCCATTAATCACACGTTCCGCCCCACTGCATTCACTATCAGTGTATAAGACGAAACTGAATTTTTGCCTAATTTTTTCTTAGCAAAAAGCACTGTCTTATACACAGAAAAATACGGTATATTCCAATGCAACAAAACTAGCGACTTCCTGCTCAGCCAACACCGATGTTTCTAACCAAAATGACATACAGATGCATTTTAAGGTTCCTTCTTGTCTAATTTCCTTCTCTCTAACATGCTGCTTAATACAGTCTGCTGTTTTCTTACACTGCTGTGGTCCTCAGGTATGGGAAACTGCCTTTTTATATAGACTAGAGAGGGTTTCCAGTCTTCCTTAAAAGATTCTAAATTTGTCTCTTTTATCAGTGCTTTAAATTCTGCCACCTCTGCATATTCCAAGATTTTCATCAACCGTTGTCCCTTTGAAGATGCTCTTTCCTCCTTCCATTTCTATGCACAGGGAATCCTTGCTGCTGCAGCCACATACATAAATGCTGTTGAAGCTTCCTTTGGGATTGCGCCGACTGGATGAGGCCAGTCCGGTACCCTTCCCCCACCCCTTCCTCCCCCCCAAAACCCACTTTGCACCCCTCTATGGCCTTTCAAGCATTGCACATTCTTTGGCGAGACTTAACAGGCCTGGGCAATCTGAGCTAATCGAATTCCCACACTAGCAGGAATCTAAAACTAACATCCCTTCCCCAGAATGAGGTAATGTCACTTGAATCAACAAACCGAGCACCAAACACATGCTGAATCAGAGAGAGAGAGAGAGAGAGATTAGGGTGGGGTGGAAGGAAGAAAACCCCCCACACTGACCCCAAACGGTCAGACATCAAACCCTGAGCATGTTGGAGTTATAGCAGGAATTTGGTTCCTGGGTTTTTGGACCAGGTTGGTACATTAAAGGCTCAGGAGACAACTCCCCCCAGCAAGAAAGAGAGAATACAGTCATACCTCATGTTAAGTTTGCTTCATGTTACTCTGTTTCAGATTGTGTCTTGTGTCGACCTGGAAATACTGGAAAGGGTTACTTCCGGGTTTTGCCGCTTGCGCATGCGCAGTAGTGCTAAATTGCGCTTCGCGCATGCGCACAAGCACCAAATCGTACCACACACCTGCGCAGATACGGCACTTCAGGTTGCGGGTTTTTCACGTTGCGAACGGGCCTCCGGAACGGATCCCGTCCGCAACCAGAGGTACCACTGTAATCTGAGATTCCCACAAGTTTAAGGCTGGAACTAAGCAGCCTTTAGCTCGGCTAAAGACGCACGTGAGGTACAATGCCAAATTGGCATAAGGGGCATTTGGTGATAAGAAACAGCTGGTAATAAGAAAGAGGCATGCTTCACCCTCACCCTCCCACTGATTCCTTATCTTCTTTATCTATCAGGGCAGAGTTTGGAGGAGAATAAGAAAACTTCCAGAAAAAGGCTCCCTTGCAAATGTCAACTCCACACCCAATTTTGGGCGTCACTAGGCAAACGAGGGAAACCATTGTAACTTTGCCATTTCCTGAAGGGAAAAGTATAGTGAAGGCAGGTGTCAACAGGCAGGGAGTTCCAAAGTGTTAAGTGATGCCACACGAAAAGATCGAGTCCTTACAAATGCAGAACAGGGATTATGTGACGCGGGTGGCGCTGTGGGTTAAACCACAGAACCTAGGACTTGCCGATCAGAAGGTCGGTGGTTCAAATCCCCGCGACGGGGTGAGCTCCCATTGCTCGGTCCCTGCTCCTGCCCACCTAGCAGTTCGAAAGCACATCAAAGTGCAAGTAGATAAATAGGTACCGCTCCGGCGAGAAGGTAAACGGCGTTTCCGTGCGCTGCTCTGGTTCGCCAGAAGCGGCTCAGTCATGCTGGCCACGTGACCCGGAAGCTGTACGCTGGCTCCTTCGGCCAATAAAGCGAGATGAGCGTTGCAACCCCAGAGTCGGCCACGACTGGACCTAATGGTCAGGGGTTCCTTTATCTTTACCTCAAATGGGAGCTGTTGGTTGGGCATATATTGGCAAGGCAATACCTCAAGTAAACTGCGCCCAAGCCATTAAGGACTTTATATACCAATTGCAACCCTGGAAAAGACCCTGACGTTGGGAAAGATGAAGGGCACAAGGAGAAGGGAACGACAGAGGACGAGATGGTTGGACAGTGTTCTCGAAGCTACCAGCATGAGTTTGACCAAACTGCGGGAGGCAGTGGGAGACAGGAGTGCCTGGTGTGCTCTGGTCCAGGGGGTTACGAAGAGTCAGACATGACTAAATGACTAAACAACAAAGCAACCCTATGCATTTACTAGGAGCAGGAACGTTGCAACAAGTGTTGAAAACGACCCCAAATGGAAGGAGTCTTTGTGACCCTCGTGAAGAGGAACTTGGAATGAGGCAAGTGGGTCATCTGAGCCCTCGAGGAATGTGTTAGGAAAGACCCAAATCCGGGTTTGGCTTTCTTCACTGACCCATCCACCGAAATTGCTTCCCACCGATCTACATGATCTGCTGCTGCTTTCAATGTGGGGTGGAACGCCTCAGGTAGGACTGGGGGGAAGGGAGGAAAACAGGCTCTGTTTGAATTTTGCCGTGAACCCAATTTGCCCTTCCTGGAACGGCACAGGGGCTGAAATGCAACTATCCTTCAAAACGAACACTTTACCGAAATGTTGCACTGCAAACGTCCAACCACATTTCAAGAGGAAGTGTGCATAGATTGGTGAAAATAACAAAAATGCACATTGCAAGCCAACGTGCACAGACAAATGTTTATGTGAGGGGAAATGCACACTGAGGCATTTTTTTAAAAAAAGAAGACAAAACAAATTTGCAAAACTGACACCTATATGTGGAAAACTAAAATTAAGACTGAAGAAACCCGGGAACTGAAAGAAATTGACCTGTTTGTCTACTCCAAGCCTCAGAGGGTCTTGTTATCTGTTGAGAACCACCTGGGACAAAGGAGGGTTATTTTATTCATTTCTCCTCCTCCTAAGAGAGGCCTGAACGGAAGACACCCATTATTTCACAGCTGAATCTTGCCCTGCAGGGGAGCGAAGGAAGGTGAGGGAAAGGAAATTGCTATTGTGGGAATACCCCCAGAACACCCCAAATAACTGTGGGGTTAGACAGTTCTGGAGGATTTCACGAGGGTCTCTTTCAAAACGCAATTGGCGCTTGTCGTTAGCGATTATTTCCGACAACGGTTATGTCCCTGCGAAAATCAGACCTGCAGACTTCCTGACTTGGCTGCCGGAAAAGATGATATCACAGCTGCCATAATGAGCTGAAAGACACTTGATTCACACGCTTGCAACTCAACTCACAAGGGACAGGGGCAGGAGGGAGGGTACTGGAAACTGGAAGCCCCCATAACTGTACTTTACCCGCTGTCTATTTTTAGCTGAATTGTAGGACTAACCTGCTGGGCATTGCATCAAGCACTTTGCAGAGTGCACCCTGCAAATATTTAAGTCCTAAAAATCGCAGCTGGATGGGGTTTTTTTAGTCGATACTGACAATTCAGAGCTTGTTCTGGCGCCTTTCAAACCACCCACTTCAAGTTAAAATGCGAATCCATTCCCATATGCAAATACACCGGCTGAGGTAGGTACCTGGCCGCTGTAACTACACCCAGTTGGATTGCTGCAATTGTGTGGCAAGCGGGGCAATCCTCGAAGAGTGTCTGGAATCTGCAGAATGCTACGAGCAGTTTGCTATCTGGAGCGGCGAGGAGGTGGGATCTCACTAATTAAAGGTGCTGGTACTAGCATGGACAGCTTGGGACCAACTAGCCTGAGTGTTAAAATCCACTCAGGAGGGTTTGCTGGTGCTCAGGCATTATCAGTAAGCTTTGCGTATTGATTTCCACATTAGTTGAACTTTTAAAGGTCACTTGTAATAATATGCATAAGGTTTGAAAACTGGATAGTTAAGAGTGTGAGATTCTGTGGACAAGTATAAATAAGTAAAAAAAAATTGGAACCAGGAGGAGGAGTTGGAGGGAAGTCAATTAAGATGTATGATTTTGATTGTGATGTTCTTTGGGGGGTTTTTTTATTGTATTTTTGTTATCATAAAATTAATAAATTGTATCCAAAAGAGGGGGGGGGGGGTTGCTTTTTCCAGGGTAGTGGAGATGGCAAAGAAGGGACTTGTGGCCAGGTGGCGGCAGCAGTGAGTAAAGTATGAGGCCAACCGGGGAGCTATCACAGCCTAACAATTTTAAGAAACTGAACGCTGAGCATTGTTTAAACTTGAGGGTCTGCAGAAAACGATCCAAAAGGGAAAGCACTGTTATGTACTGAAGTTCTCACCCTGGGCCAGCAGGGGGATACTGTAGATAGTTATGCAAATGAAGGATTGAAAGTGACATTCAGTGATTGGATAGTTACAGAATATGGCAACAGTTACATTGTTCTGGAGCTCTATATAAGCAGGCTGACAGAGCTCCTCAGTTCAGTTCTGTTCCAGCTTACAAATAAAGAGCTGCTTTGGAAGAATCGCTGTGTCGTCTGATATGTTCGCCCACAACTTAACACGCGCTATTTATCTCCCCAGGATAAATAGTGCTTTTTTTCCCCCAAGGAGAGGAGCTCCATAAAATTCTAATCATATGAGACCACCAAAAAGAGACGCCTTGGGAGGTACTTACACATGGCGTGGATTGGTTCAAGGTCAAAATGATTGCCTGGTCTTCTGGTGGCACCGCTTTTTCACAAACAATCTAGGGGAAAACCAGACAACAAAAAGTCTGAACGAATTCCCATGGAATGGAACAAAAAACAACAACACAGTATCTCTAACGAAAACAAAGGCTGTCCACGAATGCAAACCTCTGGCCTCACCCTCGTTTGGCTCTGCAGGGAAATAACGCAGCTGGAACCCAGAAAGAAAAGTCCTGAGAGCTCTTTACTGAGCAAGCGGAACCAAAACGGTGTATAATTTGAAGGGGGAAAGAAACGGAAAGGTTTCACCTGTCTTCCTCCTGGCCTTGTACATAGCAGGGAGACCTTCAACCAAAGCACACAGGGGGAAAACTCCCTCAGAAGGAAGCAGAGAGTTAAAGGATATACTGCTTTGGGCTGAGCCCTGGGTACCTTGGTCTGGGCTACGAAAGAAGTATCGGGAAACGCGACGGGGGGCTGCGGAGAGGCTGAGGGGGTCTTCCTTGTGACTGAAGTCCCAGAACTTGAACTGGGCGGTGGTGGAACCGCTCCCGCCGTATGCGTGGCTGTGCTGCCCGCCGTCCCCACAAGTTCTTTCGTTGTCGCCGTTCTCGTTGTTGACTCGGCTTTCTTTGGCTTCTCTGTGGGCGCTGCAGCAGGGACGACGGCCTTGCTTGTAGATTTCTCTGTTGTAGAAGCAACAGTGGTGACGCTTCCTGAACCTGGCGTTGTGCCTGGGCTCTTCCCTGTTTAAAAAGAAAAAAGCCAGGGTAAGGAAAACCAGCACTCCCTCCTAATAATTATTATTAGCTAATTGATTTTTGAATTTTGAATTTTACTGTTATTCATGTTTTTATACTGTATTGTATGCTGCTTTTATAATTCAGTGTTTTAAGGTGTTTTAAATTTGTTGTTAGCTGCCCTGAGCCCGGTTTTTGAACCGGGAAGGGCGGGGTATAAATAAAATATTATTATTATTATTAGCAAAACCACGACTTTCATGGTCAGTTTTTCTTTTCACCCGAGAACAAGGCAGGGATTTTTCTGAATAAAGCACCTTGCAGTCTGGGCTCACAGCCACCTTTCACACTGGCGTCTCTTCCGCTGCACCTGTTGAACTCTCAGCCTCATGGGAGGGCGTTCCACAGGGTGGGCGCCACTACCAAGAAGGCCCTCTTTTGACGAAGGGTGGTATATAAATTTAACTAATAAATAACAACAACAACCACCACCACTGCTGCCAGCCAGTGTGGACAGCACTAGACTAGATGGGCCAAGGATCTGAGTACAGTACCTGGAGTGGCAGCAGCTGAACTGCCTGGCTTCAGAGTCAGGGCACTTGTCACCACAACGCCAGAGTGTGGCGTCGAGGCCACTGCTTTTGACCCAGCGCCTGTCAAGGACGTTGTCGTCTCTCGGGGGGCCGCAGGTGTAGTTTTGGTCGACGGCGCTACAGTTGCAGAGGGTGGTTTGGGGGTGGTTGCAGCCACTGACGTAGCTATGGCGACAGGAGATCCCTTGACTCCACTTGAAGTTGTGTCTGTGGGTTTATTAATGGTCCCCGTGGGCGTACGCAGTGGGGGGCTTCCTGCAGTTGTCAAGACACTGCTTTTGGCTGTAGTAGCAGAGACGGTGGTCTTCAGGGTCGCCACATTTGCCGGTGGAGGAGCAGTACTTCCGGGGGTTAAGGTGGTGGAATTAGCACTGCTTGTGGGCCTCACCGACGTGCCACTCATGGTTCCAGCTGTGGTAGTTCCTAAAAAGACCCAGAGAGTTAGGCATGTTTTGGAAACGGTTAACTTGCTCTCTTTCTCCCCTCGCTACAACCTTCTGAAGGACATAATCATTGCTAACATCTTTTACTAAGCAGAGGATAGGTGGGCCTCTGCCATGGATGCTTCAGTCGAGATTCCTGCAGAAGATCCTTGCAGGATCAGGCCAATGCCCATCAAGATCCTGGTTCCACAGCGGCCAACCAGGCATCCTTGCGAGCAGGACCTGAGGACAACAGATCTCTCTTGGCGTGCGATTCCCAGAAACTGGTATAAACAATTGGCTTACATGCTGCCAGCTACCCTGGGATAACCGTTGCTTGACATGTGAGATAGAGGCTGAAACAACAAGCTATGAGCCAAAGTACAGTCAGTGCAAGGAGAATCGTAAACCTTTTTTCTGTCTGAGGGCCACATGGACAAGCACCCAAGGGCCACACATGCCACGGGTGGGTAGGGCCAGAGGGGGGGGGAATGGGTGGAGCAATGGATACAAATATTGCATACACACTCTTTATCCTCCATCCAGCCAAGCAAGGAACATGTTCAAGGGCATATTCCAGTCAGGCAAAAAACATTTGGGGCGCAAAGGAGGGTCAGTGGGGGGGGGGGCAGTTAGACGGGCTGGGAGGAAATCTGGCCCCTGGGCTTCAGTCTCCTAAGCTTTGTGCTTGCACTTTGAATTTGACCCAGGCCTACGAGAGACACAGATTTCCTCTAGTTCAGATTGAGATCCTGAACTGTTGGTTGCGAGTCAGGATAGAGCAGTTATACCTAGAGGCAAGCTTTCGCTATTGGTTTGTTTGTTTGTTTGTTTGTTTGTGTATTTTATTAGAACAATCTCATTCATAAAGACATAAGTGATAAAGGAAAAGGAAAAACAAATTCTCAAAAAGAAAGGGGCAAAAATTATACAGTAGGTAAAATCTATACATTTCCGTACCCTGTCCTATAAAGAAAAATAACGTTATACTCCTGATACAACTCTGGTTATTCACAATGTATTACATTCTGTCTAAACTCATTCCAAATACAGTGGTACCTCAGGTTACATAAGCTTCAGGTTACAGACGCTTCAGGTTACAGACTCCGCTAACCCAGAAATATTACCTCGGGTTAAGAACTTTGCTTCAGGATGAGAACAGAAATCGCATGGCAGTGGCGCAGCGGCAGCAGGAGGGCCCATTAGCTAAAGTGGTTCTTCAGGTTAAGAACAGTTTCAGGTTAAGAACGGACCTCCGGAACGAATTAAGTACTTAACCCGAGGTACCACTGTATTATAAATATTTCTATTTAAGGCCATATTGGAGCAGAACACCAAAGACTTAAAAACAAAACAAAAACAAACGCAAGAAAGGAAAAAGACTCGTCTCATTCCTTCCGTCCCTCCTCCACCTTCATCTGAGCCATTTAGGGGGTCCTCTTGCATCGCGTTCCTGATTCTTGTCTTGGGGCCATTTCCTATCTGGGCAACTTCCTTCTACGTCCAGCCACCTTTGGTGACACGGCGCTTAAGGCTGGCTCAGAGTCTATTAATAGCAGGAAAGGGAAATGCAAAAGAATAACTTCGGGAGGAGCAGGAGGGGGACACACCCTGCCCAGCCTGTCCTGAGCTTGCTTGCGCCAACGTCAGTGGCATGGAGCCATAGAGGTGGTGGGATGCGAGGCAGGGCTGTCTGAGGAACCACTGACACTCCTGAGTGTGGGGACTGTAAGCTGGGCTTTGGGAAAATCCCTGCTTCCCCTCTGCAGCCTTTTCCGATTAAGTGGGAGCAAGGGGTTAAAGGAATCAAAGGCTTCTTTGCAGACTCTCTCAAGGGCAGCTGAGGTATGAGGGAGACTGTGAAGAAGAGAAGGTCCCAGAGTTGTATTTCTCTACTCCCTGGATTTTTTAAAAAATTGTTTGCCGTAAGCAAGGGAAGCAATGAATCTCACCAAAATCAAAATCCGGTCAGAAGCAGAACTTTCCTGCTGTTGCAAACAAACCTCCAAGTTGTCTGAAGATGCCTAGTTTGCTCAGCACAAATTGCCTATGTAAAAATGCATCGTTTGAAGGGATATTGCGCAGCAAAAATGTATACGCTTGCGAAAATTGCAGGCAGAAATGGGCGTCTTAGGAGAATTTTGCACTAAAACGGTGATGACTTTTCAGGAGGACTTTAAACAGGCAAATAAATCACAAACCGACATGGAAATGTTAAGGACTGGAGCTAAGGTCGGAAAAATGGGAAACCGAAATTGAGATATTTGCGCATTCCTAGGTCCAAGTTTCATTCCTCCCTTGACGGGTCACCAGGGCAGGGTTAACTGACGGTGCTTTGGCCTTTGAGCTGAAGATAATAAACACTTGTCTTTGCCGCCAGGGAGAGGTTAAAACCATTCTCAAAACCCACACGCAGTTCTTGCTCCCTATCGCACACAAACCTCCGAGGGGACAAGCTGTTTGAGGATGTGTTGCTTGCTCTGCTCCCAAGGCGCTGGCTAGATAAAAATAATTTTCTGACTCGGGCCAAGCGGATGGAGGAACTCTGCCTCCTGCTCTTATCAACCCGGCCCAGACAAGGCCAAGAAGGGTAACAGGTTCGTGACGGGCCTCGCTCTACGAGATAGCTGGGGCAGGGGGTGGCTGGGGCGAAGGCTTCTAGCCTAGTCTGGGATGGGATCGGTGGCTGGCAGGGAAATAAATGTTCACGAAAAGCACCATATGGTAGCCTTGGAAACCCAGGGCCCGTTTGCCAGGCACAGAGCTCTTATTCTCAGTTGAAAATGTCTTGAGGAAGGGCCTTAGTGGTTGAGAAGAAGAAGAAGAAGAAGAAGAGGAGGAGGAGGAGTTTGGATTTGATATCCCACTTTATCACTACCCGAAGGAGTCTCAAAGCGGCTCACAATCTCCTTTCCTTTCCTTCCCCACAACAAACACTCTGTGAGGTGAGTGAGGCTGAGAGACTTCAGAGAAGTGTGACTGGCCCAAGGTCACCCAGCAGTGGAGGAGCGGGGAAGCGAACCCGGTTCACCAGATTACGAGTCCACCATTCTTCACCACTACACCACACTGGCTCTCTAAGCATCTCTTGAGCATCCCCCAGCAACTCCAATTAGAGTTGGGGACCCTGTCTGAAACCCTGGGAAGCTGCTTCCAGTAGTCCTGTAATGTCAGTGTCCTGTCAACATCTAGGAGCCTGTAGGTTCTCCATTCTGACTTGAAGGACCATCAGCTTGCAGGGCTTGGGGAGGTCTCTGCTTTGAGAATTGGAAGAGTCGTGGTGCATCAGAAGAGACAATACTGATGGTCTGTCAAAAGAGGCTGCCTTATCATGAGTCAGAACATGGATCCAGCTAGTTCAGTATCTCCTAAACCTACTGGCAGGGGCTGTCCAGGATTTCAGGCAGGGGAGCCTCTCGCAACCCAACCTGGAGATGCCAGGGGCTGAACTTGGAGAGCCAGCGTGGTGTAGTGGTTAAGAGCGGTAGACCCGTAATCTGGTGAACCGGGTTCGCTTCCCTGCTCCTCCACATGCAGCTGCTGGGTGACCTTGGGCCAGTCACACTTCTCAAGTCTCTCAGCATCACTCACCTCACAGAGTGTTTGTTGTGGGGGAGGAAGGGAAAGGAGATTGTTAGCCGCTTTGAGACTCCTTTGGGTAGTGATAAAGCGGGATATCAAATCCAAACTCTTCTTCTTCTCCTTGTACATGTCAAAGCAGATGCTCTAACACTGAACTGTGAGCCACCAGCAGAATTGCAGTGTGGCATCTTCCTTTAATGGCAGCGCAGTCCCTACTGATTTTCGGTTCCAACAAAGCTGAATTTATGTTCCTATAAATTATCGCTGGGCAGGGCTGATGCCCGAAGCTGAACAAAGAGACCCTCTTTTTTTTTTTGCCAAGTTCTTCCAGGCTGACAGAAACAGATTTGCAAAGGTTGAGCACACCATTTAATTTGAGAGATTTGAACCACAAAAGATGCCCTTTTAGTACTGGGTTAGCTTCTCGCTCTGCATACCTTTCGCTTCAAACCTGAAAGCCGGTGAGCGGGGAGAAAGATTACTGTTTTTAAAATGAAGCTAACTATTGACTTGCTAATAAGCCGTGCCTGTAATATCGGCCCTAACATTGACCTCGTATATTTGAGTCGCAAGAAAAAAACCTCACGGTCATGAGTCTTATGAGACAATTGAAAATATACCGTAGTAAAGACCAGAGGTTTTGGCTGGCAAATTCATAGTCACGTAAGAAATTTGCCCCTTCCTCACTTCAAGGAAAGTTAAAGCTATGGTTTTCCCAGTAGTGATGTATGGAAGTGAGAGCTGGACCATAAAGAAGGCTGATCGCCGAAGAATGGATGTTTTTGAATTATGGTGCTGGAGGAGACTCTTGAGAGTCCCATGGACTGCAAGAAGATCAAACCTATCCATTCTGAAGGAAATCAGCCCTGAGTGCTCACTGGAAGGACAGATCCTGAAGCTGAGACTCCAATACTTTGGCCACCACATGAGATGAGAAGACTCCCTGGAAAAGACCCTGGTGTTGGGAAAGATGGAGGGCACAAGGAGAAGGGGACGACAGAGGACGAGATGGTTGGACAGTGTTCTTGAAGCTACCAGCATGAGTTTGACCAAACTGTGGGAGGCGGTGGAAGACAGGAGTGCCTGGTGTGCTCTGGTCCAGGGGGTCACGAAGAGGCGGACACGACTAAATGACTAAACAACAACAACATTTCAAGGAGCGCTTTCTCATGAAGGGTACTTCCTGACAGGAGTTCATTGTGGAATTGGTTTCTATTTATTTTATTTAATTCATTTGTATACAGTCGTACCTTGGATCTCGAACGCCTTGGCTCCCCAACAAACTGGCTCCTAAATGATCGAAACCTGGAAGTGACCGTTCCAGTTTGCAAACTGTTTTTGGAAGCTGAACATCCAACCAGGCTTCTGATTGGCTGCAGGAGCTTCCTGTGTGATGGGAGCTCACCCCATCACGGGGATTTGAACCGCCGACCTTCTGATCGGCAAGCCCTAGGCTCTGTGGTTTAACCCACAGCGCCACCCACATCCTGCAAGTTTGCTAGTGAGCTTTAATTTCATATCTTTGGTGGGGGGGTGATGTTTTGTTGAGGGTTCTATGGGAAGGGACAGCTAAGTCAAGCTGCAACGTCTGTTTTGGACCGACCATCCCTTCTCTTCCTGCCTGACAGCTCCTCTCTCATTTCCTGAGCTCTGTGAGTTGGTTTTTTCCATCTCTCTCACCGCGGAAGATTTTCCAGGTTTTCCCGGAAATTTGTTCATGGAGAACAGCTTGCGGGTGGGGGGCAATAGGTGTATTTATCCAGCGTGCTCCTTTTGAACAGATGTGCGAGAAGTTCTCCTTCTGTGTGCGCTGGACAAGCTTTTTGGGTTGCCCTTCCCCCCTTGAACCGCTCCATTGGGTGGATTTGCTCTGTCACCTTGCCGAACTTCAGCTTCCCCTGCCTTACTATCTCATGGAGTGAAATTCAGCAAAACAAATTTATTGTGAGGAAAGAAAGCAGCTCGATGCAGAGAGGCTGCAGCCTTGGGGCCTTTTTAGTTCAGAGATTATGCCTGGCCTGGAGAAAGCAGACGAGGAAAGTTTGTCTCCGTCTCTCATAACACTAGAAATTGTGGACGTCTCATGATGATCCAGGACAGCTAAAATAAAGTCCTCCTTTATGCAGCGCGTAGGAACTTGCTCCCACAGGAGACAAAGATGGCCACCAATTTGGATGGCCTTGAAAGAGAATTAGACAAATTCATGGATTGACTGAGGAGATGACTGGGGAGACCTGGCCGGATGGGCAGGGTATAAATAATAAAATTATTATTATTATCACCACCACTACTACTACTACTATGCTCTGCTTTCACCCAGTGAGCTTCATGACTGGGTGGAGATTTGAACCCTGATCTCCCAGGTCTTAGTCCAACACTCTAACAACGACACCCCCCTAGCCTCCTAGAGTCCAGTTCCATAAATTGAGCAGGTAAATAAATACGGGGAAAGCAAAATGTCACTTGGAGAAGGATGTGAAATATTTCCTTGAAGCTTGGATTTGTTTTATTCTGGATTGTTTAATCTGACGATTTAATGTGTTGTAAACTGCTTTGAGGTTTTTTCTTTAAAATATAAAGCAGTACAGTCATACCTTGCGTTACAGACGCTTCAGATTGTGTTTTTTTGGGTTACAGACGCGCCGAAACCCGGAAGTAACGGAACAGGTTACTTTCAGGTTTCAGAGGTCGTGCATGCGCAGAAGTGCTAAATTGCGCTTTGCGCAGAAGCGCCATATTGCAACCCACGCGTGCGCAGGGCATGGCGGGTTGTAAACGCTGCGGGTTGCGAATGTGCCTCCCGCACGGATCACGTTCGCAACTCGAGCATCCACTGTATATAAATGAAATAATGAAGAAGAAGAAGAAATTTCACTGAGAAAAAAATAGTGCCTAGATATTCCGCAACCTAGGTTTAAGGTGCCATTTGACAATTAGCTAATACAGTGGTACCTCAGGTTATAAACGCTTCAGGTTATAGACTCCGCTAACCCGGAAGTAGTACATTGGGTTTACTTTACTTCAGGATGGGAACAGAAATCACATGGCGGCAGTGGGAGGCCCCATTAGCTAAAGTGGTACCTCAGGTTAAGAACAGTTTCAGTTTAAGAACGGACATCCAGAACGAATTAAGTTCTTATCCCGAGGTGCCACTGTATACCTGAGTTTCAAACACTGGTGTGCTCTAACAATGCTTTCGAATCTCTTGTGGGGCAAACCTGACCACCAGCCCTTTGCAAAACAGTGCAACTTATTTTTGTGTTCTGCAGAGTCCTGTCCCAATACAATGCAAAGGGAACAATACAACGTCGCCCAGTTATGCAATCATATCTCTGCCATCGGCTCAAAGGCTTTTTGTGCGAGATGGTCTTTAAATAGCTTTGAATGGGAGAAAGGGGGGAGGGCTGGCGTTCTCCACCCTTAAAAGAATGGGAGACTCTCCCCCGCCTGCCAAACCTTCCTTCTCGTTCGTGGATGTTGGGAAGCTCCACCGTGAATACCCTTTGTTTAAATCAATGCAATTCTTGGACAAATGAAAATAGGAGACCCAGTTGTCAAAGGGCAAGGTGGAGACCCACAGGGGCTGATACGACCTCTTTCTCCCAACTTGAAGGCAGTCTTGGGGTTCCCCAATTTGGGACTAGAGGCACAGGGCTGGGAGATGGGAATAATTCTCTTCCTCATAGTGCCCCCAACAATTTAAATCCCCTTCCCATTGGGCAACGGGACAGGGAAGATAGGTGCAATATTGGGATGAGGAATCACAGAATTGCTCACTTGGAACGGGCTCAGAGGGTCATCTAGTCCAACCCCCTGCAATGTGGGAATCTCAGCTAGAACACCCCTGACTAGAGAATAGAATAGAACAGAATTTATTATTTATACCCCACCCATCTGGGTGCTTCCAACAAAGCATTAAAATACAGTAATCTATTAATCATCAAAAGCTTCTCTAAAGAGGGCTGCCTTCAGATGTCTTCTAAAAGTCTGGTAGTTGTTCTTCTCTTTGACATCTGGTGGGAGGGCGTTCCACAGGGCAGGTGCCACTACCGAGAAGGCCCTCTGCCTGGTTCCCTGTAACTTGGCTTCTTGCAGTGAGGGAACTGCCAGAAGGCCCTCAGCGCTGGACCTCAGTGTCCGGGCTGAATGATGGGGGTGGAGACGCTCCTTCAGGTATACTGGACTGAGGCCATTTAGGGCTTTCAAGGTCAACACCAACACTTTGAATTGTGCTCGGAAATGTACTGGGAGCCAATGTAGGTCTTTAAAGACCGATGTTATGTGGTCTCGGTGGTCGCTCCCAGTCACCAGTCTAGCTGCCGCATTCTGGATTAGACGTAGTCTCTGGGTCACCTTCAAAGGTAGCCCCACGTACAGCGCATTGCAGTAGTCCAAGCGGAAGATAATCACAGCATGCACCACTCTGGCAAGACAGTCTGCGGGCAGGCAGGGTCTCAGCCTGTGCACCAGACAGAGCTGGTACACAGCTGCCCTGGACACGGATTTAACCTGTGCCTCCATGGACAGCTGTGAGTCCAGAATGACTCCCAGGCTGCGCACCTGGTCCTTCAGGGGCACAGTTACCTCATTCAGGACCAGGGAGTCTCCACACTCGCCCGCCACACTTGTTTCACCTTCAGATATTTGAAGATCAAGAAGGGCATGGGTATCAGGCAAGATTCGAGCTCTGTTACTTCTCACAAGCCCCTTTCTTGTGTAAACGCTAAAGGTAAAGTAAAGGCAACTAGGGGTTGCATCGCTCATCTCGTGTTTGTCCACAGACAGCTTTCTGGGTCATGTGGCCAGCATGACTAAACGGGACATAGTGACGGAAATCAGAGCAGCACACGGAAACTCCGTTTACCTTCACACCACATCGGTACCTGTTTATCTACCTGCACTTTGTGCTTTCAAACTGCTAGGCTGGCAGGAGCTGGGACAGAGCAACGGGAGCTCACCCCATTGCAGGGATTCGAACCGCCGACCTTCCGATTGGCAAGCCCAAGAGGCTCAGTGGTTTAGACCACAGTGCCACCCGCTTAGGCGTTTTCCCCCAAAGTCATTGTGCAGCCCAAATCCTATGCTTATTTACTTAATGGGACTGGCTTCCTAACAACCCAGTCCTCTGCAAAGGCGTGCTGAAGCACATGCAGAATCCTGCAATCTCATGCTCAATGACCTCAGAGTATGTCCCACTGACCACAATAGGGCATAAAAAGGTAAAGGGACCCCTGACCATTAGGTCCAGTCGTGACCGACTCTGGGGTTCCGGAGCTCATCTCGCTTTACTGGCCGAGGGAGCCGGCGTACAGCTCCGGGTCCTGTGGCCAGCAAGACTAAGCCGCTTCTGGCGAACCAGAGCAGTGCACGGAAATGCCGTTTACCTTCCCACCAGAGCGGTACCTATTTATCTACTTGTACTCTGACGTGCTTTCAAACTGCTAGGTTGGCAGGAGCAGGGACCGAGCAACGGGAGCTCACCCCGTCGCGGGGATTCGAACCGCCGACCTTCTGATTGGCAAGCCCTAGGCTCAGTGGTTTAACCCACAGCACCACCCGAGTCCCACAATAGAGCATACACAGGGAATAATCGTGATATCAACATAGGGATGAATTATAAGGCCAACCAGATGTCGCCTCTCTCTGCTGCCTTCAAGCTGGAGTTTGCAAGAGGGGTGGAAGACCACCAAATTTGGGGGGGGGGAGGAAGGAAAGGGAACATCAGTGTCCCCCTCTTTTCATTTTTCCAGCTCTGTACAAAGGCTCCCATCTGGCCCTTGTTGTTGACTCATGGCTCAAGGTTGGGGGTGACTGTGGCACAAGCTTCAAGAAAGCATCCGAGCAATGTGGCTTCGGGGATGCTCGACGTCTCGTTCCCACCGCTCTGCACAGCAGTGGGATGTTGACACAGTCTGTGTCTGGGCATTTCCCGTCTGAAGCTGGAAGGAATGTAGGGGGCAAGACTCTGGCAATGCGCTAAAGGAGGGGGAAAGGGAGGGAGGCGGCTGAAGAGTTTCCAGGCAGATGTCAGCCCAGGCCAAGGTGGTCCTGGAAAAAGGCATTCCTGGTGGAGTTTGCAGAAGGTGGCAAAGTCTGGTGCGGACTGCGCACCCATAGGACACACAATCTGGGGACTGCATCATCCAGGTAGGGCAAAATCACTGGATGGATGTGCCGCCTTCAGAGAACATCTCTTTCCCTGGTCAAGGGTATAAGAAATTCTGAGCACCTTCAGCTAGAACAGCTTGCAAAACCTGCAAGAGATGCTCTTTATAGCAGCACGGAAAATGTGCCTCATTAATAAGAGGGGGATATTTTACAAACCGGTTTATCCTAATGGCATATAAATCACAGGTTCGGACAAATGTCAGCCTGGCTTGTTCAGCAATGTCTAGGCAACACGATGACCATGTACATATGCAATAGACAATCTTTATAGAATTCCTTCAAACCATAACAAGTACAAAATGAAATCTTTAGTCTCAAAGTCTCTCTGAAAATCTTTAAATGAAGCGAGGTACCAGACTCTGTGCGATGAAAGACAAGCTGTGAAGCTTTGTGTATTCAGCAAATATGATGTCCAACACTGAACAGTGATTCCGGATATTTCTGTTTCATAGAATTCTTCATCAGCGTGGTGGGAGGATATAGAATTGCTTCATAAACCCATCTTATTTCGAATGAATGTATATAAATGAAAATATCAAATGCTGTGGAACAGTGCTCACGTAATAATGTAGTCACTGCTGTTCAGAGGTCTAGTTCAAACATAAGAGTTTAATCAATCATGGTTCATTGGCCTGCAACCTATTATAGTATGGTTTATTAAATTTGTATACCGCCCTTCATCTGAAGATCACAGAGGGCTAGAGCGTGGGATTCTTAATCTCAGGGAAATGGGTTCAAGTCCCATATTGGGCAAAAGTTTCTTGCACTGCAGTGGGTTGGACTAGATGACCCTTGTGGCTATCACGGCCTCCTGTGGGAGCCTTCTGAAATATTTCTCTCTGTTGGTACCTTGGATGGATTCAAATTGATTTCATGTACATCCTATCATAGACTGACTGCTTTCTTTGCTGTGCCTTCTGTTGTCAGGTGAAGACTGTTTTATTCCAGCAGGCTTTTGGGGACTGCCTGTATTTTAAGGAAAGGACTTTTAAATAGTTCTGCACTATTTTTACTCTCTGTATTTTAACAGGTCTGCTTTCATATTGTTCTAATTTAATTTTAAATACTTTTAAGCAATATGCATTCAGCCTTCTGCATTTTATCTCTGTTGTTTTAAGATGAGTAAGTTGCCTTGAGTCCCAGTCTGGGGAAAAGGCGGGATATAAACAAATATAATAATATGATTTTTTAAACATTTTTGTATTTATGTTTTTTTTAAGTGTTTTTTGTATAAAACACTTTTTTGTTTAAATGGTTTTATGTTGTAAGATTTTAAATTGCTTTCAGTTGCCTCGCGGGTAGGGCTGGGCGATAGAACAATATATCGTCCAAAGCCGGTTTGAAATCCATATCATGATACTTGTTTCATAATTTTTGACCTGGCAATATATCACGAATCATGGTGTGTGTTTGTGTGCTCTGCAAAAATCACAATGTGGGGAAAAACTGTGAAGCCACCCATTGCCTCTACATAAAGGTAAAGGGACCCCTGACCATTAGGTCCAGTCGCGGACGACTCTGGGGTTGTGGCACTCATCTTGCTTTATTGGCCGAGGGAGCCGGCGTACAGCTTCCGGCTAATGTGGCCAGCAGGACTAAGCCGCTTCTGGCGAACCAGAGCAGCGCACGGAAACGCTGTTTATCTTCCCGCCAGAGTGGTACCTATTTATCTACTTGCACTTTGACGTGCTTTTGAACTGCTAGGTTGGCAGGAGCAGGGACCGAGCAACGGGAACTCACCCCGTCGCGGGGATTCGAACCGCCGACCTTCTGATCGGCAAGCTCTAGGCTCTGTGTTTAACCCACAGCGTCACCCACATAGCACCGTCCTTATTTCAGACCCTGTGATATATCAGTACATCACAATGTTTTTTTTTTTTTTATATAATTTTTTTATTAACCCTACAAACAAGTTTTATACAATACAAACAAACAAAAAGACATACAAACATGTATAATTTCATAACCTTTTTTTTCATAACCCTCTCTTCTCGGACTCCCCCAAACCTCCCCTTCCTACATCCCAATTCCCAAAATTATTTCAGCAAATTCTAAATAATTTTATCAAATATATTTTTCTTATTTTTTTTTTCCTTCAACTTAATCTTATGTCGCTGTAATCTCCTTTTCTTTCTCCAAACCTCGACATTTTAACATTCCTCAATTTTATGATAGTTCTTTAAATAGATTTTAAATTTCTTCCAATCTTCTTCCACCGTCTCTTTCCCCTGCTCACGGATTCTGCCAGACATCTCCGCCAATGTCATATAGTCTATAACCTTCATCTGCCACTCTTCCAAGGTGGGTAGTTCTTCTGTCCAGTACATCACAATGTTTAGGCTGGTGAGATATCACAATGTTGAAAACCAGGTATTGCCCAGCCCTACTCGTGGGAAGCCATTCATAAATGAAAATAAAGTAATAATAACTTATACACACAGACACCCCAACCTGGATTGGAGGGGGTTGGACTAGATGGCTTCTGAGGTCCCAACTCTAGGATTCTACGATTTGGAAGCCTGGCTGTCCTTACAGTCCACACAGATGCTTTAAATCAACGTGAAGCGTGCTCACAATGGTCGACTCTTGCAATACACACAACAAGCCAGACAGACACTCATCCCAGCTCCCCAAGCGCTAACAATCTCACAAAGGCTCCACCAGCTCCTCTGCACTGAACAGGAGCTGATAAGAGCAAACAAACACAGTTGCGCCCCTGGAGAGCCTTGTTAATTTGGGCTTGCTGATTTTCTGTGCAGACAGCAAGATAAGCCCTTCAAAGGCTGTTGGCTGAGCTGGATCAGAAGGATGCCCACCCCTTAAAAAATAATAATAATTAAAAGGGAGGGGGGAAAGCCAGCTGGCCACCGGTCTCATAGCCTTCCTACATCCTAGACGCCAAGAGGCTGAAGACGAAATCGGCTTAGCGCCCGAGGCGAATGAGTCCTCTTCCCAATAAGGCCAGAGGGCTTGTTCCATTTCACACGTCTACAGACGAGGAGGGAAACTGAAGCAGGAGAAGTGACCCCAGGAAAACAAAGAGAAAATCCAATTCCTTCTGCCCTGCTTCAACACACACACACACACACACGCGCAATATGGCTGGCATCTCTTTTACTATTATTGCTATCGTTTGGCCCGGATATCCTGGAGCCATTGCTAAGGTAGGAGGCGATTTGCAAAGGAAGCGCTGGACCCCAGAGTTGTGCAATAATAATAAATAATAATAATAATAATAATAATTTTTTATTATTTATACCCTGCCCATCTGGCTGGGCTTCCCCAGCCACTCTGGGCAGCTTTCAACAAAATATTAAAATACAGTAATGCATCAAACATTAAAAGCTTCCCTAAGAAGGGCTTGCCGGCTTTTCCAAGTCCCTGCAAAAGCTAAGCCATTCTGGGTGGCAGCCAATGCTGCCTGCACTGACTGGCAGCAGCGCTCTAGGAGTTTCAGGCAGGGAGTCCCTCCCAGCCCTGTACATGGAGAAGCCAAGACTCAGCCTGGCACCTTCCACATGAAAAGCAAATGCTCTGCGCATGAGCTACGGCCTTGACAATGTGTGCATGGAAGACAGATGTGTTAAGTCAGACCACTGGTCTACCTAGACCAATACTGTCTACTCAGACTGGCAGCAGCTCTCATCAGTGTCTCAGCCAGAGGTCCTCTCCAGCACTTCCTACTTTATTCATTTTCAAAACTATAAACATACAACATCAAACAGTACAAAATCCAAATATCGAGATTACTCAGAATCTCTTGACCTCCCCACATCCCTTCCATGGGCCTTTTCATTCTATTTTTAACTGCTTACCAGTACTTCTCCACTTTTTCATCTTCCTAAGTTATCTATACGTTCTGTTACTTTACAAGTGTATGTAAAATCCTGCTAATGTAGGCCAAAATAAATAATAATAAAATAATAAAATAATAAAATAATAAAATAATAATAATAATATAATAATAATAATGATAATGATAATAATAATAATAATAAGAAGAAGAAGAAGAATTTATTATTTATACCCCACCCATCTGGCTGAGTTTCCCCAGCCACTCTGGGCAGCTCCCAATCGAGTGTTAAAAATACAGCATTAAATATTAAAAACTTCCCTAAACAGGGCTGCCTTCAGATGTCTTTAAAAAATAGGATAGCTGCTTATTTCCTTCACATTTGAAGGGAGGGCGTTCCACAGGGCAGGCGCCACCACCGAGAAGGCCCTCTGTCTGGTTCCCTGTAACCTCACTTCTCGCAATGAGGGAACTGCCAGAAGGCCCTCGGAGCTGGACCTCAGTGTCTGGGCTGAATGATGGGAGGGCCGCAGGCTGGGGGTGCCTGCTGTAAACAGTTAAAAACTTTGGCAGAATTCTAAAACAACACTTGCAATGTAACTAGAACTATGGTGAGAATTAAGTATTAAGAAAATATGGACAACATTATAAGATGCGGTTGGAAAAGAGTAACGATGGAAACAACAGAAGGTGTGGAGGGGAGACTGGGGATTCAAAGAATCCTATGTGTACCGTATTTTTCGTCCCATAGGACGCTCCGTCCCGTAGGACGCACCTAGTTTTTTGGGGGGAAATAGAGGAATTTCCCCCCCCTTTATTTCCCCCCCCCAAACCAGATCGGGGAACAGCGGGATGCCGGCGCTGCGCCTCCCCGCTGTCCCCCGAGCTTGTGGGGCTGGCCGATGTCTGCCCGGCGCGCAGGGCGCTCTGCTTCAGGGCACCCTGCACGCCGGGAGGCAGGCTGCTATCCGCAGCGTGGGGAGCCCTGCGGGAACTCCCGCGGGCTCCCCAGGCTTGCTGATAGCTTCCTGAAGCCTGGAGAGCGAGAGGGGTCGGTGCGCACCTGTATTCGCCCCATAGGACGCACACAGATTTCCCCTTCATTTTTGGAGGGGAAAAAGTGCGTCCTATAGGGCGAAAAATACGGTATATGATTATGATTTATGTGTGATGATATATGTTAAAGGCAAAAATGAATTATATATATATATATATATATATATATATATATATATATATATATGTATAGAGAGCAAAATGAGGGGAACGGGAAGCTTTGCAAGATGGAAGTTAATGCAAGATAACTCGCTTGATCAATGCCACCCCCCCAATCCCCTCACATGAAACCTGTCTAGGTGAGAGTCGATCTTCCCTCTTCTGTTTGCTTACTTGCATGTACTTTGCTGGGTTTGCAGAAACAAGACGTATTAATGCTGGCGCTCACCATGTGTGCACTTAAGCCGCGAGGAGGGGAGAAAGGGGCTCTCTGAATAATTCAGAGGAAAGCGCCAGAATGACCAGCTAAGCAAAGAATCCTAGACAGCACAGAACTTCCCCTTGACCTGGGAGTATTCGCTAATGTGCATTCAATATCTAGTAATGGCTAGTCAAGAGTCTCACTCAGCCCCCTTGGCCTCAGAAAGCCCAGTCTCTCAGCAATTTTATTTCACGGGCTTAGGTCTTCCTCCACCTGTTAGGATGGTAAAGGTAAAGGGACCCCTGACCATTAGGTCCAGTCGTGGCCGACTCTGGGGTTGTGGCGCTCATCTCGCTTTATTGGCCAAGGGAGCCGGCGTACAGCTTCCGGGTCATGTGGCCAGCATGACTAAGCTGCTTCTGGCGAACCAGAGCAGCGCATGGAAACGCCGTTTACCTTCCCGCCGGAGTGGTACCTATTTATCTACTTGCACTTCGACGTGCTTTCGAACTTTTGGCAGGAGCAGGGACCGAGCAACGGGAGCTCACTCCGTTGCAGGGATTCGAACCGCCGACCTTCTGATTGGCAAGTCCTAGGCTCTGTGGTTTAACCCACAGCGCCACCCGCGTCCCTTGTTAGGATAGTACAGAGGATGAATGGTGTGACTGTCTTAGCTTGACACGGCATTATGGCTGCAAGGCTGTACATCAGGGTTTTCCAAACTTGGGTCTCCGGTTTTTGGCTTACAACTCCCACAATCCCTAGGCTAGAAGGACCAGTGGTGAGGGATGGTGGGAATTGTAGTCCAAAACCAGCTAGAGTAGAGTCCCTAAGCTTGGGAAAACCTGGTCTAGATCAAGGCATTATGAACCCCAACTCCAATCAGCCCAAGCAAGCATTGCCAGTGGTCAGGGATGATGGGATTTGTAGTCCAAAACCTCTGGAAGGCACCACACTGGCTTCCCTGTTGATGGGCATTACAACAAGGCAACTGCAAGTCAGTATTGTTTAAAACAATGGAAAAGGCAAAAATAAAAAGAGGGGGATGTAGAAGAGACTTATGGCTGAGCACCTACAGAAATGGCATGGAAAATGAATAGGTGGTCCAGCCCATCACTTATGCAGACTAGGGTTATAGCAATACAGTGGTACCTCAGGTTACAGACGCTTCGGGTTACAGAAGCTTCAGGTGACAGACTCTGCCAACCCGGAAGTAGTACCTTGGGTTTAGAACTTTATTTCAGGATGAGAACAGAAATTGTGGGGGGGCAGCAGGAGGCTCCATTAGCTAAAGTGGTGCTTCAGGTTAAGAACAGTTTCAGGTTAAGAACAGACGTCCAGAACGAATTAAGTTCTTAACCAGAGGTACCACTGTAATAACTCTGTACAGTGGTACCTTGAGTTACAAACGCCTCTGGTTACAAACACTTCAGGTTACAAACTCCGGAAGAGTTAACTCGAGTTGAGAACTTTGCCCCAGGATGAGAACGGAAATCGTGTGCCGGCGGTGCAGCGGCAGCAAGAGGCCCCATTGGTGAAAGCACGCCTCTAGTTAAGAACAGTTTCAGGTTAAGAACGGACCTCTGGAACAAATTAAGTTTAGTGTATAGTGGTACCTCTGGTTAAGAACTTAATTTGTTCCGGAGGTCCGCACTTAACCTGAAACTGTTCTTAACCTGAGGTACCACTTTAGCTAATGGGGCCTCCCGCTGCTGCCGCACGATTTCTGTTCTCATCCTGAAGCAAAGTTCTTAACCCGAGATTATTTCTGGCTTAGTGGAGTCTGTAACCTGAAGTGTCTGCAACCTGAGGTACCACTATACTACAAAGATGTCATAAAGGATGGCAACATCAACCCCACCACATGGGAATCCTTTGCAGACGACCGCAGTGCCCGGAGTCAAACAGGTCATGTATCCACAGCAATGACCAAAGGAGGAATGACCGCAGGGAGGAGCGCAGAGAGAAGAAGTGCCCTGGTGCACCTGCAGGAGCACAACCGGACGCCTTCATCTGCCCTAGCTGCAACAAAACATTTCTCTCCTGCATCACTCTCTACGGCCACAGCAGCAGCTGTGACTTTCCAGCAGTTTGACTTCAACCCCAAAGGTGTTCTGCTCCATTGTCTCTCGAGACAGATGGATGCCAACTAACAACAACAACTTACCTGCTGCCCTTCATCCTCAAATCCCAGTGTGCACTACAACACTACTAAACAGCCAACAAAAAACCTCTCACTTTGGGTCCCTAGAACATTAAGGAGGTTCTATTGTGCTGGTTGAATTCAGAATTCATCATGCGAAAGGCTGGGCTGCATGAATCCCAAGCCGGAATTAAGATTGCCGGAAGAGATATCAACAACCTCAGATATGCAGATGACACAACCATGATGGCAGAAAGTGAGGAGGAATTGATGCTTTTAAATTCTGGTGCTGGAGGAGACTCTTGAGAGTCCCATGGACTGCAAGAAGATCAAACCTCTCCATTCTTAAGGAAATCAGCCCTGAGTGCTCACTAGAAGGACAGATCCTGAAGCTGAGGCTCCAATACTTTGGCCCCCTCATCAGAAGAGAAGACTCCCTGGAAAAGACCCTGATGTTGGGAAAGATGGGAGGGCAAAAGGAGAAGGGGACGACAGAGGACGAGATGGTTGGATAGTGTTCTCGAAGCTACCAGCATGAGTGTGACCAAACTGCAGGAGGCAGTGGAAGACAGGAGTGCCTGGCGTGCTCTGGTCCAGGGGGTCACAAAAGTCGGACACGACTGAACAGCAACAACATTGTGCTGGTTATTCGGCGTTGATCGGCCATTTTGTTTCTCTTCTAAAGTTAGCGTTTCGAAGGGTTTTCTTTTTTTAAAAAAGAAAAGCATTGCTTTCATTGTATTCAGGTGCGAGGAAGGGTGGGGCGCTGCCTCAAGTCCCTTTGGCCTCTGCCGGAGGGAAAGGCATTATTGTCTCTGTGTTCCTTCTCCGCCGAGACTCCTGGCTCCCTCTCTGACCTTGGGGAGTAGAGGCAGCGCTTTCCTCCTGGGCCTCCGCCTTTCGCTGGCTTTTAATACTGGACGCTCCAAATCGGCCCATTTCCTGGCTCCCTGCCCTCGTTCAATCGTAGGTCCTTACTTACCGGCAGCCTGTTACTCACAAGGAGACCTTGCTTGGGCCCAAGGGCTCATTTCAGGCCACTGCAGCGAGGGTGACTCACTCCTTACTCCTCAGGGGTCAGATGACTGGGGAGTATGGAGGGGCAGATCTGTCAATTTGAGGTTTTTTCTCTCCCCAGTCTTATGTCCAATTTCTACATCCACGTCAGCTTGAGAATTCTTCACCCCCTAAAAAAAAGGTCCCCATGAAAATTCACCAGCTTTTGACTGCACACCTCTCCAAACAAAATTTTGCAAAGCAGTTTTCCTGAACATAATGCATGTTTATATGCTATTTTACATTAAACCCTGCAGTTATAGGCACACTTTCCTCTAGAATACAGTGGTACCTCGGGTTAAGTACTTAATTCGTTTCGGAGGTCCGTTCTTAACCTGAAACTGTTCTTAAGCTGGAGCACCACTTTAGCTAATGGGGACTCCCACTGCCGCCGCACGATTTCTGTTCTCATCCTGAAGCAAAGTTCTTAACCCCAGGTAATATTTCTGGGTTAGCGGAGTCTGTAAAGCATCTGTAACCTGAAACGTCTGTAACCCAAGGTACCACTGTATGCATTTTTGTGCACTTAGCCTGGCTGGCGTACTGAAATTGCAAAATTTGGAGAAGAGCGAATTTTGAACTAGGGCCATGTTTCGGTTCACATACTGTTTTGCAAAGTGCAAATTAGGTACATTTGCTTTTAAATGCAAACTGGGGCTCTTTTCGCTCCCAGCCAGTACGTACCACAACTCAGTTCCTGCACCTCTCAGGTGGGTTTAATTGCCATTGTAAGAGAATAAGGGAGGCGTTCATGGTGAATGCCAGCACCTCTTTCTCTAGGAAAATAGCACTCATGCAAACTAAATCGGATTTCTTCCCCCAGGCCTACTGTACATGGCGGGAAGAGTAGTCTGACTGACTCCTCCATCTCAAAGTTTCCCATTTTTCCTTGATCCCCTTCTTTGCACTATATTTTTCCTTCAATCCTCAGTCTGGTCATGGCTCCCCCCTTTTAGGACTGTCTCCAGAGAGCAGCAAGGTTGGATCTATGCTAGGATCCCCAAACCAGCAGAGGATTTTGCAAATCTCTCCCAGATGGCGGGCAATGCAAGCTAGCCTCAGCTCCCAGCAGGTGATGAGGCAAACTGTATTGTACATCGCCTCTTAATCTTGAGGGCCAGAAGCCCTACTTTGTTTCCTTTAGACTTCTCAGACTTCACAGGTGTGGTCAATAAAATATCTAGTGAGAAATCTTTTTGTAAAAAATAAATAAAACAGATGGTCAAGATACAGAGCTGGGACACCAGTGCAGTTAGGGAAAATGTATAAAACTAGTTCAAATATACAGTGGTACCTTGGGTTAAGTGCTTAATTCGTTCCGGAGGTCTGTTCTTAACCTGAAACTGTTCTTAACCTGAAGCACCACTTTAGCTAATGGGGCCTCCTGCTGCTGCCACGCCGCTGGAGCATGATTTCTGTTCTCATCCTGAAGCAAAGTTCTTAACCTGAAGCACTATTTCTGGGTTTGTGGAGTCTGTAACCTGAAGCGTATGTAACCTGAAGCGTATGTAACCTGAGGTACCACTGTATGTTGGAAGTGTAAGGAAAAGGAGGGGACATTTTATCATATGTGGTGGGACTGTAAGGTAATTAAATTTTTTTGGGAAATGTTATACAATGAATTGAAGAAAATGTTCCATCTAACATTTGTCAAAAAACCTGAAACATTTTTGTTAGGGATTGTAGGGAAAGACCTGCCAAAAAAGCTGGAAAACATCTTCAACAATAGCCGCGAGAGTCCTAATAGCACAAGGATGGAAGACTGAAGATATTCCAACTAAAGAATCATGGCAAGAAAAATGGATGGACTATGCAAAACTGGCAAAATTGACACATAAGTTATGGGACAAGGATAACTATGACTTTAAGGATGAATGGGAACCCTTTACAAAATATTTGAAGACGCAACAAACTGAACTGGACTCCTTGGCAGGTTTCGAATAAACATTCACAAACTTTTTATTGACAATAATTAGTTAAATAATTTAAGGATTTATACAACTTTGTAACATGCAGAGAACAGCAGTCTCAGAGAAACCAAAGACTGGAACTGAGGGAAGTCGGGGGGTGGGTGGGTTCTGTGTGGGAGGGTGGGGGGAAAACAGGAAAAAAATTAAGGACGATATGTTTTGGATAATATGTTTTGTTTAATTTTTCACCTGCGGATGGTCCATGAATCAGCGTGTTTTTACATGAGTAGAATGTGTGCTTTTATTTAAAATGCATCTCTGGGTTATTTGTGGGGCATAGGAATTCATTCATTATTTTCCCCAAAATACAGTCCGGCTCACCACATGGTCTGAGGGACGGTGGACCGGCCCTCTGCTGAAAAACGTTGCTGACCCCGATCTACCCCTCTGGCCAACTCTGATTGGCAACAGCTACCTGGGGACTCAGGTAGAGAAGAGCCTTTCCCATCCCCTGTTACTTTACCTTTTCAACCTGAGATGGGACGGGACTGTATATCACAGATTTTCTGCATGCAATCCACGCACTCTGCTACTGAGATAACGGCCCTCTGGAAAATTCTGCCAGGAGATGTTAAAACATCCACATGGCGCAGTAAGCAATCAGCTGCCTTCCGCAAGGTCATTAGCAACCACAGGGGTTTCTGTAGCAGCAGAGGTGGAAAAGGACTCTGCAGTATTTTTCAACTTTGGCTCCGCAGGTATCCTATCATATTTCACAGAATCATAGAATCATAGAGTTGGAAGAGACCACAAGGGCCATCGAGTCCAACCCCCTGCCAAGCAGGAAACACCATCAGAGCACTCCTGACATATGGTTGTCAAGCCTCTGCTTAAAGACCTCCAAAGAAGGAGACTCCACCACACTCCTTGGCAGCAAATTCCACTGTCGAACAGCTCTTACCTGTCAGGAAGTTCTTCCTAATGTTTAGGTGGAATCTTCTTTCTTGTAGTTTGGATCCATTGCTCCGTGTCCGCTTCTCTGGAGCAGCAGAAAACAACCTTTCTCCCTCCTCTAGGTGACATCCTTTTCTATATTTGAACATGGCTATCATATCACCCCTTAACCTCCTCTTCTCCAGGCTAAACATGCCCAGCTCCCTTAGCCGTTCCTCATAAGGCATCGTTTCCAGGCCTTTGACCATTTTGGTTGCCCTCATCTGGACACGTTCCAGTTTGTCAGTGTCCTTCTTGAACTGTGGTGCCCAGAACTGGACACAGTACTCCAGGTGAGGTCTGACCAGTGCAGAATACAGTGGCACTATTACTTCCCTTGATCTAGATGCTATACTCCTATTGATGCAGCCCAGAATTGCATTGGCTTTTTAGCTGCCGCGTCACACTGTTGGCTCATGTCAAGTTTGTGGTCAACCAAGACTCCTAGATCCTTTTCACATGTACTGCTCTCAAGCCAGGTGTCACCCATCTTGTATTTGTGCCTCTCATTTTTTTGCCCAAGTGCAATACTTTACATTTCTCCCTGTTAAAATTCATCTTGTTTGTTTTGGCCCAGTTCTCTAATCTGTCAAGGTCGTTTTGAAGTGTGATCCTGTCCTCTGGGGTGTTAGCCACCTCTCCCAGTTTGGTGTCATCTGCAAATTTGATCAGGATGCCCTTGAGTCCATCATCCAAGTCGTTGATAAAGATGTTGAATAAGACCGGGCCCAAGACAGAACCCTGTGGCACCCCACTAGTCACTCTTCTCCAGGATGAAGAGGAACCATTGATGAGCACCCTTTGGGCTCGGTCAGTCAGCCAGTTACAAATCCACTGAGTGGTAGCATAGTCAAGACCGCATTTTACCAGCTTCTTTACAAGAATATCATGGGGCACCTTGTTAAATGCCTTGCTGAAATCAAGGTAGGCTACATCCACTGCGTTCCCTTCATCTACCAGGCTTGTAATTCTGTCAAAAAACGAGATCAGGTTAGTCTGACATGACTTACTTTTCAGAAATCCATGCTGACTATTGGTGATCACAGCATTCCTTTCTAGGCGCTCACAGACTGTTTGCTTAATGATCTGCTCCAGAATCTTCCCTGGTATTGATGTCAGACTGACTGGGCGGTAATTATTTGGGTCCTCTCTTTCCCCTTTTTGAAAATAGGGACAACATTTGCCCTCCTCCAGTCTGCCGGGACTTCACCTGTTCTCCAGGAATTCTCAAAGATGACTGCCAGTGGTTCTGAGATCACATCTGCCACTTCTTTTAATACTCTTGGATGCAGTTCATCTGGCCCTGGAGACTTGAATACATCTAAACTAGCCAAGTATTCTTGTACTATCTCCTTAGTTATTCTGGGCTGTGTTTCCTCTGCTGAATCATTTGCTCCAAATTCTTCAGGTCGGGCATTGTTTTCTTTATCGGAGAAGACTGAGGCAAAGAAGGCATTGAGGAGTTCAGCCCTTTCTGTGTCCCCTGTTTGCATTTCACCACCTTCTCCTCTGAGTGACCCCACTGTTTCTTTGTTCTTCCTTTTGCTACGAACATACCCATAAAAGCCGTTTTTGTTGCTTTTAACCTCTCTAGCAAGCCTGAGTTCATTCTGTGCTTTAGCTTTTCTGACTTTGTTTCTACACGTGCTGGCTATTTGTTTGAATTCCTCTTTGGTGGTTTCCCCCCTTTTCCATTTTTTGTACACATCCGTTTTTAATCTTAACTCAGTTAAAAGTTCTTTAGATAGCCACCCTCGCTTCTTTAGGCACCTTCCATGCTTCCGTCTCATTGGTATTGCCTGACGTTGTGCTTTTACTATCTCCCTCTTAACAAACTGCCAGCCATCATGAACTCCCTTTCCTTTTAGTATTACTGTCCATGGGATCTCACCCAGCACTTCCCTAAGTTTTATGAAGTCGGCTTTCTTAAAGTCAAGAAATTGAGTCCTAGTATGCTTGGCTGCTCCTTTCCGCTGTATAGTAAACTTCAGAAGAGCATGATCACTCGCGCCTAATGATCCTTCCACTTCTACCCCACTAACCAGGTCATCAACATTGGTTAGGACCAGATCTAAAATGGCTGTTCCTCTTGTTGCATCTCCCACTTTCTGGACAATGAAGTTGTCTGCAAGGCCAGTCAGGAATCTGTTTGACCTTATGCTCTTGGCTGAGTTTGACATCCAACAAATATCCGGGTAATTGAAGTCCCCCATATTTGACCACTGCTGTCGCTGGATGGCAATTATGTGAGCTGTATTTTTCCAACAGTATCTGGGGACCCACGTCCGAAGAACCCTGTGCCAGAAGAACCCTGTGTGGCGGAAATCTGACTCTTGGACAAGCCAGTCAAAGACCTTAGAAGGCTACTCAGTGTTGGGAAGTCCAGATCAGGGAGACAGGAATCTGATACCCTCCAAAAGGTGTTCGATTGCGGATCCCATTATTCCTGACAACTGGCCAGGTTAACTGGAGTCCGGTAATATCTGGAGGGACACAGGTTCCCCCACTCCTGGCTTAAAAGAAGCATTTAATTAAATAATCATCATCTGAGAAATGGTTTTTTGAGGGAAGGAGACTGGCTGCACGTTCTCAGCTTTTGTATTTGATCTTTAAAACCACTCTTTGCATTGTACTCCCAATTCACCGCCGGGTGTGTTTTAATTGGCACTGTTTTGAAGCTGCAAGCAGGCCCAGGTTAGCGTTCTGCGGAGCCATGTGGCAGGCTATTTGCTTCAATAAATAGGTCAAATCAAAGAGAAATCTTCTGGGGCCTCTGCAGAAAACAGATCCCCAGAACAAACGGCCTAGGTCCTGGTGCAGACTGACTTCTGGGAGTTGCTGGGAGAGGCTGGTCAGAGGTGGTGCAGGAGAAGTGAAAGAAAGTCTTGGAAAAGCTACTTGGTGTAGACCAATTTCACAGATCAGTGAACACAGTGGACTCCTTTGCTGCAGGAAAAATACGAGAGAAGCTGAGCATCAGCCCTGTCTTGGCTTCATGGTCCACTCCTGCTAGCAAACTCACGCAACTGAGCCATTCCATTGGGAAATGGGGAACCAGAAATGATTCACTCTGAAGTCAACGGTACTGCAGAAAATACAGCGATTGTGTGGGATAGGTGGCTGGAGTCAGACAACGGTTCCAAATACAGTGGTACCTCGGGTTACATACGCTTCAGGTTACATACACTTCAGGTTACAGACTCCACTAACCCAGAAATAGTACCTCAGGTTAAGAACTTTGCTTCAGGATGAGAGCAGAAATCGCGCGGTGGCAGCAGGAGGCCCCATTAGCTAAAGTGGTACCTCAGGTTAAGAACAGTTTCAGGTTAAGAATGGACCTCCGGAACGAATTAAGTACTTAACCTGAGGTATGCGACAACGGCCGCGAGGATAATAATCAGCTAAATAGTTTGAGGATCTATAGAACTTTGTAACATGCAGAAAACAGCATTCTTAGAGAAACCAAAAACTGGAACTGAGGGAAGTCGGGGGGTGGATGGGTTTTTTTGGGGGGGAAGGAAAAATGGGAGGGGGGGAAACAAGGATGATATGTTTTTGGATAATATGTCTTGTTATAATTTTGTGTATATATATATATATATATAGATAGATAGATAGATAGATATAGATATAGATATTATATATATAAAGTACTTAACCTGAAGTACCACTGTATGTTGAAGAAGTCATTTATATGTAAGTGGTGCATTTGGGTATGGGGATTATTTAGCTTTCCTGGCCACAACGCTAGCAGTCCTGTTATTATAATTTCCAACATTCCTTTCCCACTGTGCTACCCATTGTGTGATGAAACAGAGGCTTTTGGACCGACCTCCCAGCATGCTGTGCTACCTTTCCATCACACCAGTGGGCGTACCGTGGCACAATGAGGAACGTCATTGGACGACACCGATCTCCTCCATCCTTCCCGCACCTGCGGGCTTCTGTTCCCCCATGACTCATCTATGAAAATGGCGAGAAAGGACTCCTCCTTCCATGTAGCCATGAAGAGCTGAGAAGCATCAGCCGTCATCCGAACTGGGAACCGTGGTAATGTCAACTATGGTTAGCTTGAACAAGCCAACCCAAGGAACCATGGTTTGACGTTGGCTTAAGGCTGTCACCCCAGGCAACACACCAAACCACATTTAAGGGGAACTAAAAGGAAAGCCTTCCATATTCCGCCACTGGGTCGTGCAGCATTTTTTGTGGGGGGGAGCGGGGAAGAGTGTGAGAGCCCATGGTTTGTTCCTACTGGTTCATGTGGCACTTGCAGCATGATGTGCAAATTCAGCCAGTTTCAGGTAAACTTTCGTGCTTCCTACAGCACTCCTTCATAATGCCCACAAACAGCAAATATTGCACTTATCCCACTACGTCAACTTATTTCAAGCTTGAGTCCCCAGATGTTGTTGGACTACATCTCCCATCATCCCCAGCTAACAGAACCACTGGGCAAGGATGATGGGAGTTGTAGTCCAACCACACCTGGGGACCTAAAGGCTGCTCTATGCAAATGTTCAGCAACATTCAGACTATATAGGGCTACCTTTGAAGGTGTCGCGGAAACTACAGCTAAACCTGAATGCGGCAGCTAGACTGGTGACTGGGAGCGGCCACCGAGACCATATAACACTGGTCCTAAAAGACCCACATTGGCTCCCAGTACGTTTCTGAGCACAATTCAAAGTGTTGGTGCTGACCTTTAAAGTCCTAAGTGGCCCACTATACCTGAAGGAGTGTCTCCACCCCCATCGTTCAGCCCAGACACTGAGGTCCAGCTTTGAGAGTCTTCTGGCGTTTCCCTCCCTGCAAGAAGTGAGGTTATAGGGAACCAGGCAGAGGGCCTTCTCGGTGGTGGCACTCGCCCTGTGCAATGCCCTCCCATCAGGTGCCAAGGAAATAAACAACTATATGACTTTTAGAAGAATCTGAAGGCAGCCCTGTTTAGAGAAGTTTTTGATGTTTGATGTTTTATTGTGTTTTAATATTGTGTTGGGAGTGGCTGGGGAAACCCAGCCAGATGGGTGGGGTATGTATTCATGTATGTACGTACAGTGGTGCCTTGGATTACAGACGTTTCAGGTTACAGACGTTTCAGGTTACAGACTCCGAAATAGTACCTTGGGTTAAGAACTTTGCTTCAGGATGAGAACAGAAATCGTGCAGCAGCGGCACGGCGGCAGAAGGCCCCATTAGCTAAAGTGGTGCTTCAGGTTAAGAACAGTTTCAGGTTAAGAATGGACCTCCAGAACGAATTAAGTTCTTAACCTGAGGTACCGCTGTATGTATAAATAATTATTAACATAATTCATTTTATGCTCCGGTTTTGAAGGATTTACTTCCAAACATGGTTACACTTCTTGTGCCTTCAAGGAGCAGCCAAAGTTGTTCTTTTTCTTTTTTTAACAAAAACCACACACATCCTAAATACAATAAACAGTAAGGTCCTACGGTCTTTTTATTTAAAATTCTCAACTTCCGCTTATTTGGGTCTCCAAGTGGGAGAGGTCTCTTCCCCACTTTCCTGCTTTTTAGCCTGGAAGGGAAACTCCCTTCCGACTCAACTTCAGAAAGAAACTCATCTGGGCTTTCAAAAAAATGGAGAAGAATGAATAACAGCTGAGCCATCTCAAGAGTGTTCTCCCTGATAAGGGCCGTTTGACGGCACTGAGGCGTCCTTTGATCTAGGTGTAGTTTTGACCCTGACACAGCAGACTTCCACAGTTCAGTCCTGCCGGAGATCGCCTTGCTTAGCTAATTGGGAGAATAACCCGCGGCACTGAGTCAATATCCCTCTAAACAAAGGATGCCGAAATCCTCCTTAATCTCAACCAAAAGACCAACCCCACCTCCGACCCCCAACTCCCAGAAATTCACATCCTTTGAAATCAGCCATGGGAAGAGTTGCTTCCCCTACGTTCAAAGTGCGTTCCAGCTGAGAAGAGCGTTATATCTGTCAGACTTGGCAGGGTTGCACACCATCCCAACGGGTCGGGTTTGATCATGACACAACGCTGTTTCTCGCTGCGTGTTATTTGCTTCTTGGGGTGTACAAAGTTTAGGCCCAGCGCCATGACAATACTGACGAGAGGATGAGCGAATGTGTCCATTTTGGCTCATCTCCACATCTTGTTTTGCAAGGCTCAAGTTCAGCTCACCTCACTTCCACATACGTCGGCGAATTCTTTCGTTTAACAGGCCCCCACAAAAACTCAAAAACTGGGGTTTTTTGCACATTAATTCCCACTACATTGTGCACACTTGCTGGGCGAGCTTTTCACTGACAGACGCAGTTGTGCACGCATGCTTAGGTCGCACAACTGCATCAAAAAGTGTGCAGGATTCTGGCTACTGTGAGAACAGAATGCTGACTAGCACATTTAGGGTCCCCTAGCACATTTAAGGTCCCCATCCCTAATTTGCGGGTTGCCATCCGATTAGATTTCACTTTGATTCTGATTTGATTTTAGGATGCATTTTAATTGATTGCTTAATTTTACGGTAATACGTTATACAGTGGTACCTCAGGTTACATACGCTTCAGGTTACATACGCTTCAGGTTGCAGACTCTGCTAACCCAGAAATAGTGCTTCAGGTTAAGAACTTTGCTTCAGGATGAGAACAGAAATCGTGCTCCGGCGGCGCGGCTGCAGCAGGAGGCCCCATTAGCTAAAGTGGTGCTTCAGGTTAAGAACAGTTTCAGGTTAAGAACGGACCTCCGGAACGAATTAAGTACTTAACCCGAGGTACCACTGTATATTCGATGTTAGCCGCTCTGAGTCCGGTTTTGGCTGGGGAGGGCAGGGTATAAATATTATTATTATTATTATTAGATGGGCTGCGGGCCTGATCCAGCAGGCCCTCTTCACGTTCCCAAGTTCAAACTGCTAATTTGACCCACAAACGTGAATTTGTTAGGCTCACGTTAAACAGTGAATTGGACGGATTTCTCCCTCATTGCCAACACCAACCTAACATCACCACCAACCAACGGGATGGAGTGATACTCACATGAGGAAAGCCTGAAGCATTCAGGAATTTGGAACGTGAGCAGAGAAAGGCAACTAAGATGATAATAATAAAAAATAATAATAAATCTTTATTTATACCCCGCCCCTCCCGGTTCAAAAACCGGGCTCAGGGCGGCTAACAACAAATTTAAAACACTTTAAACACTTAATTATAAAAGCAGCATAAAATACAGTTTAAAAACATGAACAACAATAAAATTCAAAAATCAATTAGATAATCACCAGGGCTAGCTGGCTGAATTAGTCCTACTTGGGCCAGTGAGGAGGCCAGGGGAGAATTAGCTGTGGGGTCTCAGAGCGGGTGATCTTCATAAAAGGGGAGGGGGAGGAAAGAGAAGGGAAATAAAAGATCAGGCTGAATTCAAATTAAAGGCCAGGCGGAATAGCTCTGTCTGATCAAGGGTCTAGAAGCCAAGCCTTCTGAGGAATGGTTGAAGGAGCTGGGTAGGTTTAGCCTGGAAAAGAGGAGACTGAGAGGAGATAGAATAGCCATCTTCAAATATCTGAAGGGATATTTGGGAACAAGCTTGTTTTCTCCTGCTCTTGAGGGTAGGACTCGAACCAAAGGCTTCAAATTAAAAGCAAAGGATATTCTGACTCAACATTAGGAAGAACCTTCTGACAGTAAGAGCTGTTCGACAGGGGAATGGTCTCCTTCGGGGGGGTTGTGGACTCTCCTTCCTTGGAGGTTTTTAAACAGAGGTTGGATGGTCATTTGTCATGGATGCCTGAGTTGAGATTCCTGCATCACAGAGGGGTTGGACTAGAGGACCTTTCGGGTCCCTTCCAACTCTGCAGTTCTATGATTCTAACACTATCCAAGAGCACCAGTCTCTCTTATGCAAAGGATGCCTCCAGTCACAAGCTGCGATTCCAGTGAAGTCGCCGAGAATATATACTGTTCTGCAAGCCTGCGGCGTTTATTGGAAACTGCAGAAGGATGAGTTTCTCCCTGAAAGGCTGATTCCTCTGGGAGATTAGTTACAGGCAACTTGAGAGGCAACCGAAGGCAAAAAATGCAATCTAGGGGGAACGGAGACAGGTTGGGGTTGCCTGTTTCTTTGCAGCAGATCCTGCAATTTGCAAGTCACGAATGTTCTAGCTCAGTGTCTCTGGAGAGCAGAGATGCCCACCTAGGTATTATGTGACTTTTAGAACTCATTTTGTACTCTTGCAGAAGCCAGAAGGACTCGGCCATCAGAGCTCGTCTTATTATGCTGCAGGCACTCTGCTGTGGGAAACTATATATATCTCGCTGCATATCTCCACGTAACCCAAATAGCAAATCAGAACTTCATGAGACAAAACAGCTAAAAACTAGACCCAACCAAGTGAAGGCTGGTATTGGATGTTACCTGCTGCCAAAAACTTTACAGTGGTACCTCAGGTTAAGAACTTAATTCGTTCTGGAAGTCCGTTCTTAACCTGAAACTGTTCTGAAACTGAGGTACCACTTTAGCTAATGGGGCCTCCTGCTGCCACTGCACAATTTCTGTTCTCATCCTGAAGCAAAGTTCTTAACCTGAGGTATTATTTGTGGGTTAGCGGAGTCTGTAACCTGAAGCGTCTGTAACCTGAAGTGTCTGTAACCCGAGGTACCACTGTATTTGGGTCTTCTTAGTTTCTACGCTGTTGCGGGGCTCAAGTCTGCTCAAAATTAATTTGGAAACTCAATGCAAATAGAGATTATTTTGGGTGAGAGGTAGAGCAGCTGTTCAGTCCCTGGGATCTTCAGTTAGGGTGGGAATGTCCCCTGCCGGAAACCTGGAGAGCTGCTGCCAGTCAGAGTAGACAACATGGAGATAGATGGAGCAATGGGTCTGACTTAGTAGAAAAGCAGCTTCCTAGATTAGGAGTAAGAGGTCATGAGAACCTTTCCCATGTTGAGCACGGGAAGGGAAAGAGAGGATACACCCTTCCAGGTAGCTGTGGGATAATCTTCTCTCCTCAGAGTCAATGACAAGCAAGGGCCACATCCCGGAGGAGGTGGGAGAGAGATGTTGAGTAGACCACCTAATAAATAAATAAATAAATAATAATAATAATCATTTTATTATTTATACCCTGTCCATCTGGCTGGATTTCCCCAACCACTCTGGGTGACTTGCAGCACACCTAAAACATAACAGAACATCAAACAATAAAAACTTCCCTAAACAGGGCTGCCTTCAGATGTCTTCTAAAAGTCAGATAGTTGTTTATTTTCTTGACACCTGATGGGAGGGCGTTCCACAGGGCAGGCGCCACCACCGAGAAGGCCCTCTGCCTGGTTCCCTGTAGCCTCGCAATGAGGGAACTGCCAGAAGGCCCTTGGCGCTGGACCTCAGTGTCTGGGCTGAACGATGGGGGTGGAGACGCTCCTTCAGGTATACAGGACCGAGGCTGTTTAGAGCTTTTAAGTTCCGCACCAACACTTTGAATTGTGCTCGGAAACTTACCGGGAGCCAGTGAAGATCCTTTAGGATTGGTGTTGTATGGTCTTGGTGGCCGCTCCCAGTCACCAGTCTGGCTGCCGCGTTCTGGATTAATTGCAGTTTCCGAGTCACCTTCAAAGGTAGCCCCACGTAGAACGCATTGCAGTAGTCCAAGTGGGAGATAACTAGAGCATGCACCTCTCTGGCGAGACAATCCACAGGCAAGTAGGGTCTCATCCTGCGTACCAGATGGAGCTGGTCAACAGCTACCCTGGACACAGAATTAACCTGTGCCTTCATGGACAGCTGTGAGTCCAAAATGACTCCCAGGCTGCGCACCTGGTCTTTCAGGGGCACAGTTAATCGTTTCAGGACCAGGGAGTCCCCCACACCCACCCAACCTCTGTCTCCCAAAAAGAGTACTTCTGTCTTGTCAGGATTCAACCTTGCCACTTTCCCATTGTTCTGCTCTTGAAGCAAGCCAAGGAGCTTGTGGGGACCAGCTCTCCAAATCTAAAGCAAGCTACCCTGGGCTCGGCCAAATCCTTGCATCACAGAGCACATTGCTTGTAGGCCTGCGTTGCTTATTATATAATAGCGCTCAAGACATTTGCCTGGGTGCATGTGTGCATTTGGAGAGAGACAGCAGCGAGGAAGAAAACCCAATTGACATGGATATTCCGGGATCTCAGCAACTCAATAAGGCTCAAGAAAGTAGGTCACTCTTCTGAGAGAAAAAGAGAAGATTAAGAGGCAGCCTCAGAGAGGTCACCGAATTCACTGGAGATGAAGAATTTGTGAGAGATTCCATTAAAAACAACAACGCCACATTCTGCAAAGCGAACCCTTTTTAATATATAGTAGAGAAATAGCAGACAGCATGGGAGATCCAGGCCCCCTCCCTCCCCGAAGAAAATGGCTCATTACGGAAGGAAAGGAAATGGAATAAGCACTTATTAATCAGAGCTGACCAAGCCTTTCCTGAAAAAGGCCGATAAAAATAACACTTTGAAGTATCCCAAAGTATACGTGCAAAAAGGTTACAGATATATTCTCTCGATTCTGGAAACAGTCCTGAAAGGCATGGACTACATCCAATTCTACTCCTGCTCAGAGTAGACCTACTGAACTAAATGAAAGGTGACTAACTTGGGTTCATTCATTTCAGTGAGTAGAATTTAACTGGGCGCAGCACAACGTTATTCATACTCAAGAGCCAACTCCCAGAAATTAATAGACCCAAGCCAGTCATGTATGTATGCAGCCAATAGGTCTGCCTGGAGTAGAATTTGGTGCAGTGAGATTCAAACACTTGCTCCTACACCTTTAGCCCAGCATCCTGTTCCCACAGTGGCAGACCAGATGCCTTGTGGGAAACTTACAAGAAGGATCTGAGCACACGCTGGCATTCAGAAGCATAACCATCCTGGCTGGCAGCTATCAATCTCCTCCATGCATTAATCTGATCTTCTTTTAAAGCCATCTAGGTTTAAACCTAGACAGCATCTTAAAAAGCAGAGACATCACCTTGCCCACAAAGGTCCATATAGTTAAAGCTATGGTTTCCCCAGAAGTGATGTATGGAAGTGAGAGCTGGACCATAAAGAAGGCTGATCGCCGACGAATTGATGCTTTTGAATTATGGTGCTGGAGGAGACTCTTGAGAGTCCCATGGACTGCAAGATCAAACCTATCCATTCTGAAGGAAATCAGCCCTGAGTGCTCACTGGAAGGACAGATCCTGAAGCTGAGGCTCCAATATTTTGGCCACCTCATGAGAAGAGAAGACTCCCTGGAAAAAACCCTGATGTTGGGAAATATGGAGGGTACAAGGAGAAGGGGACGACAGAGGACGAGATGGTTGGACAGTTTTCTTGAAGGTACCAGCATGAGTTTGACCAAGCTGTGGGAGGCAGTGGAAGACAGGAGTGCCTGGTGTGCTCTGGTCCAGGGGGTCACGAAGAGTCGGACACGACTAAACAACATCATCAACAAGGTTTAAACCTAACCCTATGAGGAACGGTTGAAAGAGCTGGGTATGTTTAGCCTGGGAAAGAGGAGAATGAGAAGAGATATGATAGCCACCTTCAATTATCTCGAGGTCTGCCCAATGGATGATGGAGCAGGTTTGTTTTCTCCTGCTCCGGAGGGTAGGATTCGAACCAATGGCTTCACGTAACAAGGAAGGAGATTCTCACTCAACGTCAGGAAGAACTTCATGACAGTAAGAGCTGTTTGACAGGGGAATGGAGGTTGTGGACTCTCCTTCCTTGGAGGTTTTTAAGCAGAGGTTGGACGGCCATCTGCCAGGGAGGTTTTATCCGAGATTCCTGCATTGCAAGGGACCCCTGGGGTCCCTTTCCAACTCTACAATTCTATCATTCTAGGTCTGTGGCCATCACCACCTCCTGTGGGAAAGGATTCCTGTGCAGTTTATTTCACATCTTTTGCAGAAAATGGGGCAGACCAACGCATGGACCACAGACGTGGCCCAGAAATAAGACTGTTCTTGTCAATCCCTAGGCAGCCATATCCTGAGACGTCAGGAGGGAAAGGATGAATGTGTCACCCAGCAGGTGACAGCCGAGCGATCTGTGGGATCCCGAGGTAGGCAGGAGAGAGCCTGTCACGGCCCATCACTCCTGAGGGGCAAGTGGAGTTGTTACAACAGGACTACCAGGCATGGGTTCCCTGCTTCATTGACTCGCCCTTCTGCTTTTTCAATCCTAGCAGGTTAACACCTGGAAACTAAGCAGGTGAAACTTCTTACGCAGATGGAGATGTATAGAGGCTGTAGCTCAGCGCCAGAACATCTGTTTGGCATGCAGAAGACGCCAAATTCAATCTCCAAATGAGGCTGGGGGTGAATCTAGTCTGAAATCCTGGATAAACCAAAAGTTCTGCCTTGGTATTATTATTATTATTATTTTGCCAAAAAAAAACAAAAAAAAAACTCAACAGCTTTTCTGTCTAGAAAAGTTCCACTGTTTGAAATATGGCAACCCTACTTTACCAAAAGGGACGCGGGTGGCGCTGTGGGTTAAACCACAGAGCCTAGGACTTGCCGATCAGAAGGTCGGCAGTTCGAATCCCCGCGACGGGGTGAGCTCCCGTTGCTCGGTCGCTGCTCTGCCTACCTAGCAGTCGAGGGTGGGGGTGAGCTCCCCAAAAAGGCTAGCCTGGGTGGCACAGTTGCTCCAAACAAAGGGGGGAAACTCCAGAAAAGTTCTGCAGGATCTGAAGAAGGAAAAGACAAAGCTATAGGAGACCAAATAGCCATAAAATGGTAGCAACCGTTTGAACTATTTCCAGTGGGAAGTGGCAGAAGCTCAGCTATATACCGTATTTTTCGCTCTATAAGACACACCTAGTTTTTGGAGGAGGAAAACAAGAAAAAAATTATTCTGAATCCCAGAAGCCAGAACAGCAAGAGGGATTGCTGCGCAGCGATCCCTCTTGCTGTTCTGGCTTCTGGGATAGCTGCACAGCTTGCATTCGCTCCATAAGACGCACACACATTTCCCCTTACTTTTTAGGAGGGAAAAAGTGTGTTTTATAGAGAGAAAAATACGGTAAGCTAGATGCCAAATGGCTCCTTAAACCAAGGTTCCAGTCGTGAAGACGGAATGGCTAGCTGCCATTTTGGGGCAAGACGGCTGTAAAGTCTCCTTTCTCAAATGACTGTGGCATCTGGCTAGTTCAGATGGCAACTTTGAGCTAGGGGATGAACTTTGGAGAACTTAAAAGGAGAAAAGCCACTTGATCCAGGGATTGTCCACACACACACACACACACACACACACACACACACACACCATTTTTCGCTCCATAAGACGCACCTGACCATAAGACGCACCTGACCATAAGACGCACCTAGTTTTTAGAGGAGGAAAACAAGAAAAAAAATATTCTGAACAAAACAGTGGACGTATGATTTCTGGGGTTCATGCTGTTGCTACAGACATAATATGGGATCTGATGGTGAATTTGGGGTGACCCAATGCAAAAATCCTGAGGATCCATGGGCTTTTACCTTCCCCCTCCCAGGCAGCCTCCTTTATTGCTAGAGTCCCTTATCTCCCTCCCGATCGCTTGCCGATCAGCTGCTCAGCGGCTTCGTTTCAACACCCCCTTCCCTCTTTCTTTAAAAAAAAAAAGGGACCTGCAATTTGGCTCCAGGGACCACGCATTCGCTCCGTAAGACACACAGACATTTCCCCTTACTTTTTAGGAGGAAAAAAGTGCGTCTTATGGAGCGAAAAATACGGTATATATAAAAGTGGCCTATTCCGACCACCTTTTCTCAATCGCAACACAGACCACTCATAATGTAGGAATATTCTCCACAACTGTTAGCAGGACAGCAGGACGGGGTAAGTGAAGACAAACGACAACAGTTAGCTATAACGTTGTTCACCGCTCCTGCTCAGACCGTACATGAAAAGCGTTTTGGTTCCTGAAATTCATTCTGATTGTGCAGATAAAATATAACAGATAGAATTCTCCAGGATGGGGTAATAGTGTGTGAAAGCAGTCAAGATCTAAGGATCCCCAGAAGGTGGAGATGTCAGGTTATACTATTTTGTATATGGGCTGTAAGCTGCCCAGAGTGGCTGGGGAAACCCAGCCAGATAGGCAGGGTATAAATATTATTATTATTACTTGGTCACTAGTGGCCGATAGTCAGGTGTAAAAGTGTGCCTGGCTAATTTCGAACACTGCTCCTATGAGAAGTGGTAGGACACCTGCTCTGCATGCAGAAGGTCCCAGGTTCAGTCCCCAGCATCTGTAAGCAGGGCTGGGAGAGAATGCAGTCTGAAATCCTGATTGAGGGCAGCTGCTGCCAGTCAGTGTAGACAACAGTGAACTCGATGGACCAGTGGTCTGTGGCTCAAGGATCTTCCTACAGTCCTAACTGTAAAATTATCTCTAAGGTTTTCAAGGTACTACATGATGCTTCTGCATAAGAAGCGGCCATTAAGAACAATTCATAATTTAAGCCTTACTATGGCCCAGCTGATGTGGGCGGCGCTGTGGGTTAAACCACAGAGCCTAGGACTTGCCGATCAGAAGGCTGGCGGTTCGAATCCCCGCGACGGGGTGAGCTCCTGTTGCTCGGTCCCTGCTCCTGCCAACCTAGCAGTTCGAAAGCACATCAAGTGCAAGTAGATAAATAGGTACCGCTCTGGCGGGAAGGTAAACGGCGTTTCCGTGCGCTGCTCTGGTTCGCCAGAAGCGGCTTAGTCATGCTGGCCACATGACCCGGAAGCTGTACGCCGGCTCCCTCGGCCAATAAAGCGAGATGAGCACTGCAACCCCAGAATCGGTCACGACTGGACCTAATGGTCAGGGGTCCCTTTACCTTTTACTGACGAAATATACAATAATAAGAGTACATTCATTTGTAAAAAAAGGAATATATAATGGGAAAGACAGGAAGTCTAGTGTGTTGGTATGTATATGATTTTTTGGGGGGGGGAATTGTTTTTCTCTTTGTTCTTTTTTTTGTTTCATTTTCTTTCTAGGTATATAAAATTTGTATATAATTTTTGTATACATGTTGGAAATTATATTATAGTTAGTTCTGTAATGTAATATGACAACGTTTACCGATGTAATATAAGAATGTTAACAAATAAATAAAATGCAAATTTTAAAAAAAGAACAATTCATAAATTAAGCCTTACAATGGCCCAGCTAAATGTCATCTTGTAGGCATAAATGTGATACGGATCACAAACTTAAGCGAGATGTCGAAGCCAGCGGTGAGGAGATGGGAAGGGAAGCGATGTTAAGCCCTTTCCAAAGGAAGCGGAAGGTTTGCTCTCATCTGCCCTACGATTGTGGAATTTGAGGAAAAAGCCTGGCATGCCTTTGCAAGGTCTTGCTAGCTGGGGGCTGTGCAACCGCGATGTAGAAGAACGTTCACAAACATTCCAATTGCTGAGGCTGAGAAACAGCAAGCGACGCATAGCCAACGCAGGGTGTAGCTCTTTCAGGAATGATAAAAGGTTGGTTTGAGGGGGCAGAACACCTCGTGGGAAGCCTAGGGGCAGGAAGAGCTGAACGCTACAGAAAGTTAAAGGGAGGATAAGAAATCACACACGGGCCTGGGGACAGGAAGGTCTAGGTAAGAGGAGGGAAGCTTTTCCAGGTCTGGGGCTGCATTCCCTCGCGGCGGGAAAGTAGGCAGAGCCACCCACGTCTGGCTTTGGACCAAACACAATGCAATGTTAAATGCGCATTTAGCATGCGGGTTTTAATAATTAGTCAGCTGTAGGGAGGCTGATAATTAACAGGGTCAGAGCAGGTGTGAAGGGAGAACTTTAGACATTCCTTCACAGCTGTCACCTTGAGGAAAACCCCTCCCTCCAAGTGCTATTTGTACTGAGAGGGAATTCCTGCACTGGTGCCATTAGGAGATTTCTTTCCCAAACAAACACCTGCTTTAGAAAGCTGATGCCCAGAGCCGATGCAATTTTCATTTTACAACAAACAAACAAACAAACAAACAAACAAACAAACAAACACCCTATGCTAAATGCAAGGAGGAATTTAACCTGCAACTTAGCCCTCATTTGCCAAACCGTGATCTGCATATCAGCATCAAGCCTGAGTTGGTGGCCACTTGCAAACCATAGTTTATCCAATGCTGTCAGCTCAGATATCATGGCAAACCATGGTTTGTTGCTACATCTGAACCATGTTCATGCTTAATTCAGATACCATACCGAACATGTCCGCTTGAGAAAGGGGTTTTTCTGCAGGAATGTTTTCTGCTCTGCGCCTGTTCTGATACGGTTAATCATCAGCCTCACCAGAGCTGATGTAATTTGTATTTTACAATGAAACACTTCTACGTTAAGTGCAAAGAGGCATTTAACTTCTCCTGTACTTTGGCCCTCTGTCACTCATTTCCCCAGCTGAAAAGGATCCCAGGCAGCAGGACTTAGAAAAGACTTCCTGCCAAACACAGATGCTATCAGTTCAGATATCTGGACAAACCATGGTTTGGCAAACCATCTGAACCATCCTCATGCTCAGTTCAGACACCAGACCAAACCATGGAGGTGCAGTTTTGCAACAACCATACTTTAGAACCCAAATCACGGTATGAGTTTCCTAATGTACAACAGGAGCACTACGGCTGAGAACAGCTGACCTGGCTGCTTTCCTTTTAATTTATCTCAGCCCTCGTCTTTCTAAATACTCATCACTCTGCTTCGCTCTCATTCCACCAAGCAGTAGCCCTCTGACTTATGACTTCTCCATGACATCGCACAAAGAAGTGTCTGCAAACCCACCTCAAGCCATGGTTTCCAAGTTAACAGACAACTGCAAACCATCCTTTCAAATTAAAAAAAGACTATTAATGCCTTTGAGTGAGCATCTGCGTGGCTTAAAATGATGGCTGGGGAAGACACACAGGCAAGCCAAGCCCCAGCATGCACCAGACTCGTCTTGGACTTCCTTGAGTGGGAATGGACCTCCTGATTAAAGGTCCTGATGGACCTTTAAAGCCCTAAACGGCCTCAGTCCAGTATATCTGAAGGAGCATCTCCATCCCCATCGTTCTGCCCAGACACTGAGGTCCAGCTCCGAGGGCCTTCTGGCGGTTCCCTAACTGCGAGAAGCCAAGTTACAGGGAACCAGGCAGAGGGCCTTCTCGGTAGTGGCACCTGCCCTGTGGAACGCCCTCCCATCAGATGTAAAAGAGAACAACAACTACCAGACTTTTAGAAGACATCTGAAGGCAGCCCTCTTTAGGGAAGCTTTTGATGTTTGATGTATCACAGTATTTTAATATTTTTTTGGAAGCCGCCCAGAGTAGCTGGGGAAGCCCAGCCAGATGGGCGGGGTATAAATAATAAATTATTATTATTATTATTATTATTATTATTATTATTATTATTATTACTGATTATCTAGAGTGGCATGGGCTGGTTACTCATCATCACTGTCTCCACCATGGCCCAAGGACCCCACTGAACACAGCACCTGGCTGAGCTGGCTTAACAATGTGCATCACAGTGGTACCTTGTTTCTCAAACGCCTTGGTACCCAACCAACTTGGAACCCAAACACTGCAAACTCGGAAGTAAGTGTTTCGGTTTGCAAACTTTTTCTGGAAGCCGAATGTGCTCCATTTTGAGAGTTATGCTTCCGATTTGAGTGCCACACTTCCATTTTGAGTGTTACACCGAGGTCTGTCTGTCTTTGCTATTTTGCGTTGTTGTGCCTCTTTTTTTGTGACTGTGTGGAACCCAGTTCAGCTACTGATTGACTGATTGTGTGACTGCAGTACATTGTTTATTGCTTTCAGCAATGGTCTCATTAGATAGTAAAATTCGTGTTAAATTGCTGCTTGAAGGGTTGTTTTTAAAAGTCTGGAACGATGAAGATGATGGAGTATATGGAACTTGCCGAACTGACTGGGAGACTCCGAGACCAGAGAAAAGAGACGGTGGAAGAAGATTGGAAGAAGTTTAAGGAATATTTGAAAAAATACAGTGGTGCCTCGCAAGACGAAATTAATCCGTTCCGCGAGTCTCTTCGTCTTGCGGTTTTTTCGTCTTGCGAAGCACGGCTATTAACAGCTTAGCGGCTATTAACGGCTTAGCGGCTATTAACGGCTTTAAGAAAAAGGAAACAAACTCGCAAGAACTCGCAAAACCCTTTCGTCTTGCGAAGCAAGCCCATAGGGAAATTCGTCTTGCGGAACGACTCAAAAATTGCTAAACCCTTTTGTCTAGCGGGTTTTTCGTCTTGCGAGGCATTCGTCTTGCGGGGCACCACTGTATGTTAATATTTAAATCTTAGAATAGCTTTGGAAGTGGATATAGGCTGTAGGGTTAGAAGTAGAAGATAGTGTATTTTAAAACAGTATTATTTGAAAGTGATTAAATGTGAAGATTTTTATGGTTAAAGTAAGCGTGATAAAAAAAATGGTAAGAAATTATGACATATGTAAACTGCTAAAAATGAGGTAAAATGAAAATCAGATAGGGGGGACTTGGGGAAGCCCACCTAGCAATGTTTAGAAAAAATAAGGATAAGACAAGAATTTGTTTGTATTGTTTGCTCTTCTGTATGTGTTGTTTATTTGTGTTATAAAATCAATTTTTTTGAAAAATAAAAAAAATAAAAGTCTGGAACGGATTAAGTTTGAGAGTCAAGGTTACAGGTACCTCGGGTTACAGGCACTTCAGGTTACAGACGCTTCAGGTTACAGACTCCGCTAACCCAGAAATAGTGCTTCAGGTTAAGAACTTTGCTTCAGGATGAGAACAGAAATCTTGAGCCAGCAGTGCGGCAGCAGCGGGAGGCCCCATTAGCTAAAGTGGTGCTTCAGGTTAAGAACAGTTTCAGGTTAAGAACGGACCTCCGGAACAAATTACGTTCTTAACCCGAGGTACCACTGTATGTGTATTTTAATGAACTGAATAGAGCAAAAGATTATGAGTCATGGGGGCATGGAGAGTGTGTGTAAGAACTTAAACTTGTTGGCATCCGTCTGTCTCAAGAGACCGTGGAGTGAGCCTCTGGGGGTGAAGTTAGCTGTGTTAGCAGTACCCAAGTGACCTCCCTGGGGCGCAAGCCTGGGCAGTGTGTCTGGAAGTCCTGGGCTGCCCAGACGACAAGATCCTCATCTCCTGATGGACTTTTCGGAGCTAGCCGACCTGACTGGAAGAGTCCGCGACCAGAAGGAGGAGGAGTACCAGGAGGAATGGATGAAATTCAAAGACTATTTAGTTAAATATGCTAAGATAACTTAATTGGAAACACTTGCAAATACCAGATAGGCCTTGGATTTAAATATGTGATGTTAGAGATTAATATGTTTAAAGTTAAAATGAAAAGGAAGAAAGATGTTAAGTGATTAAGTTAATTTTATGAGAAAATTGGTTTTGGAAAACTGTTACAATGATATACACTGAAATTCAGCCAGGGGGATTCGAGGAAGTCACTTAACAATGTTACTAAGATTGGATTAAGTACAGTTAAGATGTATGTATGTTTGTTTGTTTAAAAATTCTGGAAAAGCAATAATTTTTTTTTTAAGAAAAAAAAGACAAGATCCTCATTTCCACCTCGCTGATGTGGTCCAAAGGAGAGCAGGACAAGATGGTTGGCAGTGGCTTGGCCGCAAGACTTGCTGGAAGGAGGCACCATCCAAACATCTTAGGGTCTCATCTGTGGATTTTTGTAGGGTTTGCTCCCAGGGTCTTTCTTCTCCAGAAGATTTCCCACAAGGCAGCAGTGGTTTAGGACCAGAGTTTTCCTTTTCCTAGATGGGCTACCTCCCCAGATTGACAAGCCCCATCTGCCCCCATAATGCTTAGCTTATCCCCCCCCCCAGTTGCTATTCTGTTAATGTTGTTTTATAGATTATCAGTGTCGTATTGATTAGTTAATGATACAATATGACTTGGGCTGGAGATTTAGCTCATTATTTATTTCCCGCTTTGTTAACACTGTTTTATAGATCGCAATTTTTTTATCGATGATTTGTAGCTGCTTTATTGATAATTTTGTTAATCGTTTTATATGATTTGTGCTGTATCTATGTGATGTTCTGTTATGTCCTATTGTTCTGTATTGTTTGCAAGCCGCTTAGGGATTCATTTGAATGAAAAGCAGCACAGAAATACTATTACTCACCACTTTTAATTTTTGCATGTTGAATCTGGGGGGGGGGGGGGGCTGAAGGGAGATTTGCCCGTGATCAGCGGCAGAAGAAAGGAAAGCCACCGGTGATTTGGAGGCGAGCGAAAGATGCTGAGAGGTGCAAGTCTCACTTTCTCTAGGGCAAAAAGGCTGTGGGCTCCTTTGAGGCTGAAGACAGCTCTAGTAGTTACTACGCACACAAAGCAATCTGAATTAATCTTTCTGTCTGGCAGGATCACTTCCACTTACAGCTTCTCGACAGCGCATTCAGCATGCATCAACAGATGGCCTGAGCTTTGTGAAAACAAGCAAGAACAGAGAAGGAGAAAGGGTGGAGATTTCCTTTTGCGCTGCCCCTCCGGGGGAAAAATAAAGTCATTTCCCTCAGTCTGCATGCCTTCCTTGCCACGGTTTCTTGTGCCTTTAAGAACAGTAAGGTAAAGGTAAAGGGACCCCTGACCATTAGGTCCAGTCGTGGAGGACTCTGGGGTTGCGGAGCTCATCTCGCTTTATTGGCCGAGGGAGCCAGCGTACAGCTTCCAGGTCATGTGGCCAGCATGACTAAGCCGCTTCTGGCAAACCAGAGCAGCACACGGAAATGGTGTTTACCTTCCCACCGGAGTGGTACCTATTTATCTACTTGCACTTTGATGTGCTTTCAAACTGCTAGGTTGGCAGGAGGAGGGACCGAGCAAAGGGAGCTCACCCCGCTGCGGGGATTCGAACCGCCGACCTTCCGATCAGCAAGTCCTAGGCTCTGTGGTTTAACCCACAGCACCACCCGCGTCCCTCTTTAAGAACAGTACACCATGCAAAAGAAAAGAAGAAATACAATCCAACAGGAGCAGCTTATCCCAGCATGGATAACACCACCTGATAAATTTCGGCCTGACATGCAACTGCTCTCATCATGAGCCAATCAGGGAAAAGAAGAAGGTAGCAACTCTGAACAGAGTAGGGGAAGGTGGAGGAGTCTTGCCTCACTTCTGGAGTTTTTGTGTGACAAATCACTAAATGCAGCCAGAACTCAATTCTTCCCTGTCTGACTTGCCTCGTTGTTACTGCTCTACCAATGCCATGTCGCATCACCCTGAAATCTGTGCCTAACCACAGGATCCATAAATGCCTTTGAAATCTGTGCCTAACCATGAGATCTAGTAACTTACTTTAATTTAATAAATAATCAAAACAACAGGGTTCTTGAGACATTAGCAAGCAGCTGTCGGCTTCTCAAAATACCCCCAAAGGTCTTATCCTGCAAATTGCAGTGGCTCCTCATTCTTCCACATGTTATTGATGCTACTAATAAATGCTACTTTTTTTGGATGTGGCAAGAATGTATACAGCCCTTCATGAGATTCTTTTTCAGCCTGCCTTTCCTCTGTGAAAGCAGGTCGCAGCAGAAATGTTTAAAGGCAAGAGTATCATTTTATGGGAGGTTGGTGGTCAGTAGCCACACATCTGGAAGTGAACCTGTGAATGGAGACAAGCAAAATAAGGACACAACTCTGAGCAGCATTTAACCAAACCATTCTCAGAGTAGTCAGGCCCATAGGAATCAACTGATCTATTCCAAGTAGGACTAGTTGTGGGTCATCCTTTATCAGCCTGAGGAACTCATAGCTCTCCAGATGTTGCCAAATGCCAATTTCCATCAGGTCCAGCCAGACTGATGGAAATTATAGTCTAGTAAAATTTGATGGGTGGCGTGGGTGGCGCTGTGGGTTAAACCACAGAGCCTAGGGCTTGCTGATCAGAAGGTCGGCGGTTCGAATCCCTGCGACGGGGTGAACTCCTGTTGCTCAGTCCCTGCTCCTGCCAACCTAGCAGTTCGAAAGCACGTCAAAGTGCAAGTAGATAAATAGGTACCGCTCCGGCGGGAAGGTAAATGGCATTTCCGTGCGCTGCTCTGGTTTGTCAAAAACAGCTTAGTCATGCTGGCCACATAACCCGGCTGTACACCGGCTCCCTCGGCCAATAAAGCGAGATGAGCGCCGCAACCCCGGAGTCGGTCACGACTGGACCTAATGGTCAGGGGTCCCTTTACCTTTACCTTTCCTTTCAGCTTCTGCTTTCTGGAAGAAGGTACAGGGTTATAAAGACTAGGACTAGCCGCCTGAGAAACAGGTTTTATCCAAATGCGATTTTGGTTTTAAACGCAGTGTAAGGTAGTCTCTGTGGGAGAATATTGTATTTAATTATGGGGTACCAGAGTTTTTAGGGGGTTAACCAGGCTGGGATAGCAGGGTTGTTGGTTTCTGAATGTCTGATGTAGATTTTTTCCAATTTCGTTGTTCTGTATGGGACAATGACAATAAAGATTATCGTATTTACTAAAATTAAGAGTCTGCAGGACAGGTTCCAGGCAAAGGCTGGGGAAAACGAGAAATTGTAGCAGAATCAAAACGACTCCTCCAAGGTCACGCAGGCTCAAGGAGGAAAAACAACTGAAAACTCCTGCCGCAAGCCACTAGGCGATCCTTCCTCACATTTTCATAGGGGGCGGGAGCCAAGCTTGTTAAAAAGGGATGAAAAGGCCCTTTGTTGTGGTTCAGTTCCCAGGCATCGCCTTCAGGTATTCAGGAGTGACTGTACAATATTGTACATTCATGATGTACAATCAGGGCCATAGCTCAGCGGTGGGGCATCTGCTTGGCATGCACAAACTCCCAGGTTCAATCCTTGTCCTCTCCAGGTAGGCTGGGAAAGATGCCCCACATGAAATCCCAGGCAGCCACTCCCGTTGACCAATAAAAATACTGAGCCAGACGGACCATTTGTCTGGCTTGGTATAAGGCAGCTGAGGTCCCTATCTTCCTATATACATAAAAACGTAAGGCTGTTGTCACGCTGTAGTTCACTGGCTGCACAAGCTCCAGTGCGATGACAAAATGGTAGGCAGATGAGCAAGCAAGTAGTGTGAGGGGCAGATGGCCCAGGAGAGCTATTTAACGGGGGGGGGGAGATGCTCCTTTAAAGGGGGCAAGCTGGGAGGAAGGGGTGGGTGAAACGCAAAGGGAGGAGGGGTTGGCCAGGTGTGGGGGAACGGGGGTAGGAGAGTGGAGCAACGAATGGCAGCAGACCCCAGTATTCCTATGGAATGTTTTTTTAAACATGTCTGTAGCTTGATTTTTTTAAAAAATGGTGAGCCAGATTCAAAATGGGCAGTTCAATAGCATTTGGGCATTGCAAAGAATTCAAATAGTGGAAAAGTTGTATTATGTTTGGTTATGCACATATTAGAAATTATGTTTCTCATATGAAGGAAATAATTCTAGAACAATGGAGTCTCCTTTCCAGTGTTCTGATAGAGGTAGCGATTTCAAAAGTTTCCAATTTGACATACTAACATGAATATTGTTGTAGTAAAAGTATATGGGACAGTTGTACCTGAAAATATAACCACCTGTTTTGACAGATTGTTAGGAATACCCGGAACATGGAACAAGGGTTATACTCACTGGAAACAGCAAATGCTGTGCAGGCAAATAACCCTGGGTTCAAACCCTGGCATCTCCAGGTTGAGGGAACTCAGATGGAAGGGCTGAGGAGAACTTCTCTGCCAGAGAGGGTGAAGAACTGGCGGCATGTTACAGGCATTGTGGGGGAAAGAAGAGTTGTTAAAGTGGGCAGGAGAGCTTTGGACACCAGAAAGTAGGGAATTGAGAGACACAAGCAAAAATATAATCAGAATGCTAATGTGAGGCCTTGCAAATGTTAGTCTCCAACTCCTCTCAGCATCAGCCACTATGGGCAACAATCATGGATGATAGGAGTGGCAACCCATGACTTCTGGAGGGCACCACTTTGCCTACCCTAGGCAGAGAGATGGGGAGGGAAACTGGCACATCTGCCTTGGCACTAGTGCAGTTCATCTGTGGCCCTCCAGATGTGGTTGAATTGCAGCTTCCATCATCCCAGTCTGTTGGCTGGGGAGGATTATGGAATCCCAACTGAGTGCTCACTGGAAGGACAGACCCTGAAGCTGAGGCTCCAATACTTTGGCCACCTCATGAGAAGAGAAGACTCCCTGGAAAAGACCCTGATGTTGGGAAGGAGAAGGGGACGACAGAGGACGAGATGGTTGGACAGTGTTCTTGAAGCTACGAACATGAGTTTGACAAAACTGTGGGAGGCAGTGGAAGAAGGGAGTGAATGGCGTGCTCTGGTCCATGGGGTCACGAAGAGTTGGACACGACTAAACAACAACAACCAGAACCAGAGTTCTATTTCAATGCTGGTGGCAGGACAGGATGCGCCACCACGCCATGCTAGCTTAGGGGGCACCGGTCATGTTGTGTAGTACACACCCCACCTGCCACCTGAAGCAGCTATTTCCCTCTGCTGAATGCTGCAACCGGCCCTGAAAGGAGAGGAAGTACATCTTTGGCCCTCCAGATGGTGCTAGACTACAACTCCCATGATCTTCAACCCTTGACCGAGTTTAACTGGCACTGATGGGACTTGGAGTCCTGCAGCGTCTGGCTGGGGGCGCCAAATTGAGGAAGGATGCTGTTTTCTAGCACCAACATCTGGAAGAGGTAAATATGCCAGAAGAATGATAGTAAAAAAACTAAGAACATGGCTACGGGTCCAATCACCTCCTGGCAAATAAAAGGGGAAGAAATGGAGGCAGTGAGAGATTTTACTTTCTTGGGCTCCATGATCACTATAGATGGTGACAGCAGTCACGAAATTAAAAGACGTCTGCTTCTTGGGAGAAAAGCAATGACAAACCTAGACAGCATCTTAAAAAGCAGAGACATCACCTTGCCAACAAAGGTCCATATAGTTAAAGCTATGGTTTTCCCAGTAGTGATGTATGCAAGCGAGAGCTGGACCATAAAGAAGGCTGATCGCCAAAGAATGGATGCTTTTGAATTATGGGGCTGGAGGAGACTCTTGAGAGTCCCATGGACTGCAAGAAGATCAAACCTATCCATTCTGAAGGATATCAGCCCTCAGTGCTCACTGGAAGGACAGATCCTGAAGCTGAGGTTCCAGTACTTTGGCCACCTCATGAGAAGAGAAGACTCCCTGGAAAAGACCCTGATGTTGGGAAAGATGGGAGGGCACAAGGAGAAGGGGACGACAGAGGACGAGATGGTGGGACAGTGTTCTCGAAGCTACCAGCATGAGTTTGACTAAACTGTGAGAGGCAGTGGAAGACAGGAGTGCCTGGCGTGCTCTGGTCCAGGGGGTCACGAAGAGTCGGACATGACTAAACGACTAAACAACAACAAAATGATAGAAGTTCCTCTGGGCGTGGTGAGGGGGGGATGGGAGTCTAGCTTGCTGTCCTGGGCAAAGAATTTCCAACCAAAAGCACCACCTCATCACCCTCCAACCAATAACAATGAAACTAGCAATTAAGCAGCCTCTCCTTCACATTGTGCTCAGCAACAGGATTTCCTCCAAAAACAACAAGGGCTCAAGTCAGCGCCTAATTCAGGGGGATGTACGGAGAGCAGGTGCAAAAGGGGAATCAGTCACCTGCGCCACCAGAAGCTCTGCAGAAGGGGCGGATTTCAGCAGGAACAGATGACCACGTTTGCCCTGGGCTCCTTCGGCAAGACGACGGGATATACATTTAACAAACAAGCAAAGTCTCAACGCTGCAGAGCTGAGAACAGCTGCATCAGTCAAAATTTCCACTATGCAACATTTGCATCCTGCTATCTACTGCATCTGTTCATCTTATTATTTTTGTAGATGGTGGGGGGAGGGGACAAAGGGCCACCCTGCACATCCTCCACCCCCACTTATTATTCGTAATCAGCAAAATGCCCTTTGTTATATTGGGTGCTGTGCTAGTGCATGCAAATGAACTGGAGTTTGTGTATTCAACAGATCTGGGGTGGAGGGAGAGCGAACCATATTTCTGTTGGGCTTTGGTGCAGAGAAGAAGAGTTTGGATTTGATATCCCACTTTATCACTGCTGTCAGATAGCTAGGGTGGTTGCTTGCAAGTAACCAGGCAGGACTCCGAGCTGACTTTTAGAGGTTTTATTTGGTGCAAAACTATTTACAGTGCAGAACCCCAAAGTTCATGTCTTCCTCAATCGCTAGCAGAATCTGGGACTGGCTTTTTCCGGTTTTGTCCCCAACTTTGTCACCCCCAGCCTTTTTCTTGCTTCTTTGCGCTTTACCCCTCTGCGCAAGGTAGGCAACGGAAGAGGCGTGATTCCGTCCTGGCTGGCTTGACCCTTATCCCTTTCCCTCTTCCCCACTGGAGGCGTGGCTTTCCCCACCACAGGAAGAGGAACTGCTTCGCAAGACTTTCGGAGGATCCCTGTATCCCAACGGCCCCTCTACCTCCCTTCCCTGTTCCGATGGCAACTACCCTAAAGAGTCTCAAAGTGGCTCACAATCCCCTTTCCCTTCCTCCCCCACAACAAACACTCTGTGAGGTGAGTGGGGCTGAGAGACTTCAGAGAAGTGTGACTGGCCCAAGGTCACCCAGCAGCTGCATGTGGAGGAGTGGGGAAGCGAACCCAGTTCACCAGATTATGAGTCCACCGCTCTTAACCACTACACCACACTAGCTCTTCCTACAGAATCCCGAGCAAGAATGAGGGCTGCTGGTGGGTAAACTTTGACCCCCTGTGCTGCCTTCAATACAGTGCTTCTACGTTCTCCCTATAGGAGTGAACAGCAATTTCCCCCTTATATGGGATGTAACTTAGGGTCACACACTTCAGGGAGGGACCCTGGGGATACAACGTGCTCTTTGCGGACAGAGATCCACTGTCTTCCTTATCCTACGGTATTCCTGTTTGTGGAAGGCAGGGTAAGGGTAGCTCTGGGGCAACCCCATACAGAAATGAATTTGAAGGCAGGTGACCCAGCTACTCAACTAGCAACCCAACCCAAGAGTTGAAATCAACAGTGCATAGAAAGTTGCCAAATCAGACCACTGGGTCCACCTACTATTGTCTACACCAGGCTTCCCCAGACTCGACCCTCCAGATGTTTTCGGCCTACAACTCCCATGATCCCTAGTCAGCAGGACCAGTGGTCAGGGATGATGGGAATTGTAGTCTCAAAACATCTGGAGGGCCGAGTTTGAGGTAGCCTGGTCTACACCGACAGGCAAGGGCTCTCCAGGGGTTCAGGCACCGGGCATTCTGAGCTCCACTAGGAGGTGCCAGGATTGACCCAGGAACCTTCAGAATGCAAAACAGATGCTCTGTCACTGAGCTATGGCCCTTCTTCCCCAGGATAAACAATTTGTTTTGGGTTGAGAAACTGTTGACAGGCTCCTGCATAGTCAGTGTTGCATTAACTTCTTACAAAAAGGAAAAAAAAATAAAAATTACCAGGAGATTTGCAATAGCAATGGGCATTCAGGTCAGCAAATCGTGAGCAACGGTGACCAGAACCACCCACGCAAACGCCTCGTCCTATATGACAGGGATAAATCACGGTGCAAAACGGTGCGTCAAGAGTTGTGGAAATGGGCTACGGGTGGAAGCAAAAGAAAACAAGGTTTTCAAAAGCTGAACAAACATAGCCGGGAGTGCGATTCGGTGTGAGTAAAGAGGCTGTTTTGGCTACTAATGAAGCGAGAGTGTAGCTGGTGACCACAATGTCTGGGGTTGGACCCTGCACCAGGCCTGGAGAACCTGTGGCCCTAAAGATTGCTGCTTGTCTCCAATGTCCCTCAACCCTAATCAGCATGGCCAACGGTCAGGTAACGGTGGGGGAAACAGACGTCCCTGATTCCTGCTCTGTGCTTGCAGACTGTCCCAAATCACAGCAGGCTTTGCAGTCTAGCAAGCCCCAGGCTGAGCATGCTGGCTTCTGCATGTTGGAAAGCGGCTTTTAAAACTAGAGATAGAAGAAGAGTGGTGTGTAGCAGCAAGATGGTCAAGCTTCATCACAAAAGACAGGTTCTAGAGAGAGCAACAGAGGTCTGCAACCCACAAATCCTGTGCAGACAAACTGACATCAATAAATCCAAGCAGATATAATTTTGTCCAACGTAACTAGCAGGTGTTTTGCCCAGCAACACTGGGGCCCTCTTTATCCCAGATACCCATTATTATTTACTGATTTCTACCACGCTTCCAATGCACAAAGCCTGAAGACTTTAGAGCAGGGCTGGGGATTATTTTGGCCTTCAGATGTTGGTGGACTACAACTCTCCCAGCATCCCTGACCATTGGGCATGCTGGCTGGGGCTGATGGCAGCTGCAGAAACACCTGCCACAGCTGCTTTGGGGTCCAGGTGAAGACAATCACATCCCTATTGGGAAAGACGCAGTTAACCAAGTTATATGCACGTTGTGAGAAAGGAGGGGGTGAAAGAATCTGGAGGGATCTACCAGCCAAAGCGGTATCACTGCTGCAGAGGGCCAAATGCAAGACAGCAGCAGCAGCACCATGTGTTTGCAGAGCAATAACAACAGACGGGAAGAGCATATCGCAGTGGTACCCGTATCCATGCAGCTCAGACCAGTTCCTTAGCCAGAGGATGCTGTGCTGTAACGCCAAAGGAGGCTGCTGCAAAGCAACAGGCCAGCCAGAGGCAGGATGCAATCTTGCACATGGATTTGGCAAAATATATCTCTATAAAATTAATACTCCAAGACATACTTGTCTAAAACCCAGCTGCTATTATTATTATTCAGTACATTTATATACCACCCTTCATCCAAAGATCTCAGGGCGTTTCACAAGATAAAAATACAGGATAAAAGAGACTTATACTGTCCCTCCTTTATGTTTCACCTGGGGATTGTGAGCTCTGCTCTAAAGTATCAGCATATTTAAGTGAACCAATACCCCCTATCGCCCACGTTGGTTTCAAAAACGTCCCATTGGCACGTGCAAGGCAGACAATGAAGACACCCCAATCCCTGCTCAAAAGGAATTAAGTTGAGGAACTGTAAAACGAATATTATTGATATGCCTTTAAAGCAAAACAAACATGCTCTTTCCTCCTACTTGGAATCCCGGTCTCTAACCTCGATGTCAGCTGTGGTTATTCAAGGAGGAAACTCACTGCACATGCTCAGAAACACCCTTCTCAAGAAACACTTTCGATATTCTAAAGCGGAACAGTGGCAGCAGCTAGCTCCTACGAGGCCCATTGACTTCAACCGCCAGAATTTTGCGCTGGGTAAGAGTGTTGCTGTGGGTCCCAGAACTGGATCAAATGTCTAGAGTACATCCAGGTCCACAAGTGTTTGAAGATTTATCCATCTCTGTGTATGGGGGGGGGGGGGAGAGTTCCTCAAAAATACAGCTCTAAGGACAGGTGACCCCATCCTTGCCTTCCCAGCCCTTTGACAACTGCGAGTCAAGTCACTGGGGAAAAGGCTATGATTCAGCGGTGGAGCTCGCACTCGGTGTGGAAAAGATCCCGAGTTCGAATCCTGACGTCTCCCAGTTGGGGTGGGCAAAATCCTGGAGAGCAGCTGCCAGTCTGCGTAGGCAATACTGAGCTAAAGAGACCAACTCTTTGACTGATGAGAAAACAGCTTCCTATGTTACTATCACAGCCGGGGTGGGTGGGACACCGGGAACTGTACCTGGGACCTTCTGCACGCCAAGCAAGTGTTCCACGCTCCTTCCTCTCCAAGAACTGCACCCGTTTGGAGGCGATACCAACGTGCTCCCCCCCTTCCTGGAAAACAACAACCCCGCACGCTCGCGGGCCAGGATCCTCGCGATCCCCTGCCCCGCCGCCCCGCTTCCCCTTGGATCCCAGCTGGCAAAGTGCCCTTACTTACCCCTGCAGGAGGAGATTACGCCGAGCAACAGCAGCAGCAGCGCCGAGCGCATGGCGAGCGCTGCTCCGGGTTCCCCTCTGCGCATGGGAAGAGCGCGGACCCGCCGGCCGGGATGCCTCGTCGGGCGAACTTTGCCGGAGATCCGACCCCCGGCAGGATCAGTCCTTTCCTGGGGGTGGAGGAGGAGGGGAGCAGAAAGCGGCGAGCTGGTGGGGCGACGCCAAGCGCACGTTGCCTTCTCCTTTCCCCTCCTTTGTTGTCCCCGTTTCCTCGGGATCCTCCTCGCCTCTTTTCCCGGAGATCTGCTTGGCAAGGGGGGGCCAAGATCCGGGACCCGCAAACCAGCCGATCCTGCGCTTCCAGCTGCAAAGCGAGCCCGGCGCTGCACCACCAATTACCGCAGAGCGCTCGGCTTCCTTTCCTCGCGTCCGCCTTTGGCTGACTGCGCACGCTGCTAGTCCCGACTGCGCACAGCTGCCTTTGTTCGCGGACGCATCAGACGCCTCGGCTGCTGTTGCTGCTGCTGCCCGGACTGCGATCCCGCAAGCTGGGACCCGGCTACTACGATCGAACGCTGAGGAAGGAGACGGCGCCCTGATTGGTCCGGAGCTCTCCAAGCCGGCTCCCTGAATGGCTGGGGGTTTTCCCGAGCGGCGATTGGCCAGAGCGCCTGCTTGTCCGTTGGATCCCACCCACTCTCTTTTTTTTCTCTGCAAGGGAGTGGGTTTCTCTTGGCCAAACTTGAGGGTCAAGCTGCAGATTCTCCACCCCTTTCCAATTATTATGCCGGTGAGCTGAATCATAGAATCGCATGCCCTCCAACATTTGTCCAATTACAATAGTAACGTCCTATTCTTCTATTATTATTATTATTATTATTATTATTATTATTATTACTCTATCCTGCCACTCTGTTTGGGTTACCCCAGCCACTCTGGGCAGCTTCCAACATATATATAAAATATAATCAGACATTAGACATTAACAAACTTCCCTATTCATGGCTGCCTTCAGATGTCTTCTAAAGGCTGTATAGTTGCTTATCTCCTTGGCTCAGGGCTTATATAACTCCATACCCTCCAACATTTCTCTGATGAGAATAGGGACATCCTAAGGGACGCGGGTGGCGCTGTGGGTTAAACCACAGAGCCTAGGACTTGCTGATCAGAAGGTCGGCGGTTCGAATCCCCGGGACGGGGTGAGCTCCTGTTGCTCAGTCCCTGCTCCTGCCAACCTAGCAGTTCGAAAACACGTCAAAGTGCAACTAGATAAATAGGTACTGCTCCGGTGGGAAGGTAAACGGCGTTTCCATGCGCTGCTCTGGCTCACCAGAAGCAGCTTACTCATGCTGGCCACATTTACTGGCCGGCTCCCTCGGCCAGTAAAGCGAGATGAGCATTGCAACCCCAGAGCCGTCCGCGACTGGACCTAATGGTCAGGGGTCCCTTTACCTTTACCTTATGGAAAAGCAGGGCACTCTGGGAACCAGGATGGCTTCTGTAAATCTGCGACTGTCCCTGGAAAATAGGAACATTTGTAGGGTCTGTCTCACACCAAGAGGCTGGGTTAAGCACTTAGCACCCTCCCCTCTCTCCTAGTTCTCAACGTAGGAACATAACAATCAAATACTGTTGTTGTTGTTGTTGTTGTTTAGTCGTGTCCGACTCTTCGTGACCCCATGGACCAGAGCACGCCAGGCACTCCTGTCTTCCACTGCCTCCCTAGACTAATAATACCCTAGACTAATCTTTGAACTGTGAAGCTTGAAGATCACCATTGCTGAGGAAAACACATCAAACAATTTCACTGCATGTGCATTTTGACATGTCCTTATTCTTCTTACGCTTGCAACATCCTGAATGCTGGGAAGAAATTGCCGCCGGAGATCATTTGGATGGAGTTGGATTGCGCTGTTGGTTGAATGGGAACCAAACCAGTTTGTCTTGTAAAGGGACAGACATGAACTGGAATCAGTCCCCTTTTGGACATGCTGAACTTGAACTCAACTCTTTCCGGGCTCTGTTGCCGCTAGAACTCCTAGGAAGGCGATATAGTTTTAGCTTTATGGCACAATCAAAACATGTTTCTCAAATGCAGCCGAGTCAAGCCTTACAGCAGGCATAGGCAACCTCAGCCCTCCAGATGTTTTGGGACTACAAGTCCCATCATCCCTGACCACTGGTCCTGTTAGCTAGGGATCATGGGAGTTGTAGTCACAAAACATCTGGAGGCTGAGGTCTCCTATGCCTGCCTTTCAGTTTAATAACACCGTCCAATATCACATGTGCAACCACTGGCTGCTAGCAATGTCCTTGAGCTGTGCGTGTCCTGGCCGAAGAGGACAGTCATTTTCCGTGAGAACAAACGGGCATGAAGAACTGAAATTGTGGGAAATGCAGAGATCAGCCTGAGAGATCTCCAAGGTAACTGGATACTTTTCAGGGTCCCCGAGGAAAGGATTTCTTCACACTGTGCCTAATTGATTTGTGGCATTTGTTGCCACAAGATGTGTTGATTAATGGCCATTCGCTTAGCTAGCTTTAAAGGGGTGGTTAGACAAATTAATGGTTTGCTAATGCCTGCTGGTCCTCATGAGGAAAGGCTAGAAGTGATTGCAGCAACTGGACCTGCTGGAGCAAAAGGTTGCAGAGTGAAGCTCTTCCATTTAGGCGACCATCCATTTCATAAGGAGGCCATCCATAAGCCCTTTCCCAGGATATTGCATTCCGTCATATTAACCCCCCCTTTTTTCTTTCCATCTCCTAACAGGATACAAGTCATTGCTCCCAGTACATTTCTGAGTACAATTCAAAGTGTTGGTGCTGACCTTGAAAGCCCTAAATGGCCTCGGTCCAGTATACCTGAAGGAGCGTCTCCACCCCCATCGTTCTGCCCGGACACTGAGGCCCAGCGCCGAGGGCCTTCTGGCGGTTCCCTCATTGCGAGAAGCAAAGCTACAGGGAACCAGGCAGAGGGCCTTCTCGGTGGTGGCACCCGCCCTGTGGAACGCCCTCCCATCAGATGTCAAAGAGATAAACAACTACCTGACATTCATAAGACATCTTAAGGCAGCCCTGTTCAGGGAAGTTTCTAATGTGTGACATCTTAGTTTATTTTTTGTCTTTGTGGAAGCCGCCCAGAGTGGCTGGGGAAACCCAGCCAGATGGGCGGGGTACAAATAATAAATTATTATTGTTGTTGTTGTTGTTATTGCAAAATTGGGATGCACTGTGGCAGAATCCTTCAGAGCAGAATACTCCTGTTCAGGGTGCCAGCCAGCCAGCCATGCCCTGTTCCAGGACACTCCATTCCACTCCCCTCTCTTTTGCTTTTCGTCCTCCTACAGATATGTGGCATTCTCTGACTGCTACCACGCTCAGTCCCCGCATGGCTCTTTAGCAATCCCACTGCAAACACAGACCACCATGTAGCGAGTAGCTACCTACCACAACGTACAAGTAAGCACGTTAGAAATCTGTTCAACCTCAGCACTCTCCATATACGGCTTCCTCAAACTCAGCCCTCCAGATGTTGTTGGCCTATAACCCCCATGATCCCTAGCTAGCCGGACCAGTGGTCAGGGATGATGGGAATTGTAGTCTCAAAACATCTGAAGGGCCGAGTTTGAGGAAGTATGCTCCATATGGCGATCATTTTACCTCATCCCTTTATCTGAATAGAAACCCAGAGAAGCAAAGGGACTAGTAATGGCCTCCTCAATACCAGCTTCTCCAGCTGCTAATATGTGGCCTGGTCAGTCACCTGTGGCTACTTATGTTCACTGCTGTTCCCATTTCACAGGTAGGAGGACTGAGGCCAAGAGATGGCGACTTGTCCAGTCGTGTCCCAACCGAGAGAGCCCATTGCTCCATGGTAGAGCACATTGTCAAAAGTACACGTTCAGTCCCTGGCATCTGTAAGTAGGGTTGGGAGAGACCCTTGTCTGAAACCATTGCCAGTCAGTCAGTGTAGATCAGAGTTTCGCAAACTTGGGTCTCCAGCTGTTTTTGGAGTAACACTGACAACTGGTCCTGTTAGCTAGGGATGATGGGAGTTGTAGTCCCAAAAATCTGGAGGGCGAGTTTGGGGATGCCTGCTCTGGAAGGCTTCCTATTGGCTACCCTAGGTGTAGGCAATATCGAGCTACAATGGATCAATGATCTGACTTGGTACAAGGCAGATTTCCATGTTCATATGGCTTCCCCACCTCCCTTAGCTGTGGATTCAACCCAATAAGAATCCAGACCTTCCCGGATGACCAGCTGTCTGGCCAGTGTTGCACAGCTCAGATGAAATGTACAGACAGAGCCGTGGCTGTGAATTGGGCCCATTGTCTTCCTAGCTGTGCCATATTGTGATGGGGCATTTAGGCCAGATGTTGATCAGCTACTGATTTAAGCTTTGCCAGTGGTACCACTCAGTATCAAGGCACTGGTGTCACCAGGCTGGAAGGCTCCCAGCAGCTGCCTCTGACACACCGGATATTGAGTAGCAGCCAAACTACATGTTACATACAAACGCGTGAGGAGCAGAAAATATTCTGCTGCTGTATTTTCCTACGGAACATTTTATCATTTCTCAACCCCACCTCCAGCTGTTTCATGAAATTAATGCAGATCGTAATGTGTGGATCAAAATGTTAAGCCCAGTTAAAATGGGCAGTGTCAAAGTTCTAACTGGCTTCCCCCACTTTAGAGAAATGGCAAGGAAGTTTTTAAAAATATGCATTGCATGGAGAAAGGGGATAGAGAATAGTATTTCTCCCTCTCTCTTTATTTTGTAAAAATAATTTTATTAAAGATTTAAACAAAACATATTATCCAAAAACATGTCATCCTTATTTTTTTCCCCATTTTCCTCCCTCCCCCCACCCTCCCACACAACCCCCCCCCCCCGACTTCCCTCAGTTCCAGTCTTTGGTTTCTCTGAGACTGCTGTTCTCTGCATGTTACAAAGTTGTACAGATCCTTAAATTGTTTAGCTGATTGTTGTCAATAAAAAAATTGTGAATGTTTATTCAAAACCTGCCAAGGAGTCCAATTCACTTTGTGGCGTCTTCAAATACTTTGTAAAGGGTTCCCATTCATTTTTAAAGTCACAGTTATCCTTGTCCCATAGCTTATATGTCAGTTTTGCCAGTTTTGCCAGTTTTGCCAGTTCTGCATAGTCCATCAATTTTTCTTGCCATGATTCTTTAGTTGGAATTTCTTCAGTCTTCCATCCTTGTGCTATTAGGACTCTCGCGGTCGTTGTCGCATACATGAAGATTTTTTTCAGGGTTTTTTTGGCAGGTCTTTCCCTACAATCCCTAACAAAAATGCTTCAGGTTTTTTGACAAATGTTAAGTGGAACATTTTCTTCAATTCATTGTATATCATTACATCATTTTTTAATTACATTATTTCTCCCTCTCTCATAACTTTAGAACCCAGGGAGATAAAGCCCTGGGATAGCTCAGTCGGTAGAGCACAGGACTCTTAATCTCAGGGTCGTGGGTTTGAACCCCATGTTGGGCAAAAGATTCCTGCGTTGTAGGGGTTGGACTAGATGACCCTTTTGGTCCCTTCCAACTCTACCGTTCTATGATTACTTGGGTGGAGAACTGCATTGCAAAATTCAGAGAAGTGTGATTTTTTCCGAAGAACGGGATTGTTTCGGTTCACACACTTTTTCAGAAAGTCTGAATTTATAATTTTATTATTTATATGCTGTCAATCTGACTCAGTTGCCCCAGCCGCTCTGGGCTGCTTCCAGCAAAATATAAAAACACAATAAAACAGCAAACATAAAAAACTTCCCAGTACAGGGCTGCCTTCAGATGTCTTCGGAAAGTTGTGTAGTTCATTATTTCCTTGACATCTGATGGGAGGGCGTTCCACAGGGCGGGCGCCACTACCGAGAAGGCCCTCTGCCTGGTTCCCTGTGACTTCACTTGCGTGGCGAGTTCCTGCCTCCCCTCTCGGAAATAAAGACACGAGACACAGGATTTTAGGTTAATGGGTCAAATTAGGCCACAACTTTATTGATTACAGGAATTGAGCGGTATTGGCTTAGGCATTGGTCTTCTCAGCTAACCGACTTCAGCCCGCTTGCTTGAAGACCAGCAAGGGTTAACCACCAGTAGGGGGAGTCCTGCTGATGCACATCAACTAGGAGCTTCCCCAGGGTCATCGCTCGGGGGCGTGCCGTAGGCCCATACCTCCATAGGCTTAGGACAAGGCCATGCCCCCCAGAATCCTTTACCGGACTACCCTTTGACCTGGGGGAAGGTGATGGACCTTCCTTCCCCCCGCTTTCATCTACATAACAATACCCCTACCAATGCCTAACAGCCAATGCCAAGGAAGTTGTGATGATTTGCTACGAGGTAGGCGAAAACCAAAAGGCTGGTGCCAATTTGCCAACTGGGAAAATTCCTACCAGGCCCCTCAACGGCGACCAACTGAAGTCCATAGCAATGTCAGGGCCTAACCTAAAGGCTGGGTGGGTGGGAAAACCTGCTTGGCTGTAGTGGGAAAGAGGGGGGTCCTGGGCTGCGCTGGCCCTAAATAGGGCAGGCCACACACCCCGGACCAGCCGATTGGCTGGCCGGGGGGAATGACGTGGCCGAGGATTCCCCCAGTATCGTGGGGGCTGGCCGTCAGCGCCGCGTGCGAGGGGAGGGGCGTGAATCCCGCAACCCCACCTCCTCTCTAGCTCGGAAGTGGCTTTCTCGCAGTGAAGGAACTGCCAGAAGACCCTCAGAGCTGGACCTCAGTGTCTGGGCTGAATGATGAGGGTGGAGACACTTCTTCAATTTTGGGGTGGGTTGACCTTTAAAGGTGTATCAAAGTTCTCCATCCCTATTAGCCAGGAAGCTCCACTGGAAACAATAGGTTAAAATGCATAGGATTGCACTGATAGAAATCTCTGTCCAAGTTAGAAGGTGTGCTGGAAGGTACGTACATGAGTCACATCACATAAATTTTACCTTTTGTTTTCTGCTGGTGGTAGCATTTGCTGCTCTGCATACTTGCCCAGAACGATCGTCGGAGCCATCAGGAGAAAATAACAAACAAACCCTGTACGTTCTGCAAGTCCTGGGACTTGAGGTTGGGCTGCGATCCAGGCATGGCTCACTTAACCGCCTGTCTGAGTTCCCCAGTAATCCTATGTTATTGAATGTCATCACCTCCCCAGTTAGAGCAGCGGGGCCCAAAGTAATAATGTTTGGAATTCAAACGTGGGATTAAGGCAGGAAGATGATCACAAGGGCATCAGCTACTTACCTATGCAGCAAAACAAACAGGGGGATGAATAAGGGCTGCCTGCAGGGTCAAAATATATGGGAAGGAGAGATGGGTGGAAGAAGGAGGAAGAAGACGAAGAAAAAATACTTTCAGGCTGACGTCTACCTGGCAGATTCCTCCATCTTTGAAAGGTGAAGGAAGAGGCCAAATGTGGAATGAAGTTTTTAAAAACAGCGTGGGGGGGAGGGGAGAGGAGAAAGAACACACCAAAACTCGTGGAGATCCAATACAGTGGTACCTCAGTTTAAGAACAGCCCTGTTTATGAACTACAGTGGTACCTCAGGTTACAGACGCTTCAGGTTACAGACTCCGCTAACCCAGAAACAGTACCTCGGGTTAAGAACTTTGCTTCAGGATGAGAACAGAAATCGTGTGGCGGCGGGAGGCCCCATTAGCTAAAGTGGTGCTTCAGGTTAAGAACAGTTTCATGTTAAGAATGGACCTCCAGAACGAATTAAGTTCTTAACCCGAGGTACCACTGTATTCGGTTTACGAACGCCGCAAAACCGGAAGTAGTGTCCTGGTTTGCAAACTTTACCTCAGTCTAAGAACAGAATCCAAATGGTGGAAGGGCACCGACAGCGGGAGGCCTCATTAGGGAAAACACGCCTCCATTTAAGAACGGTTTCAGGTTAAGAACGGACTTCTGGAACGGATTAAGTTCGTAAACCAAGGTACCACTGTAATGTTGAATGTTGGAAGATTCAGGACTGAGGAACGAAAGTATTTCTCCAAACAGGGCTTAGGTGAACTATGGAAGTTGCTTCCAAAGGAGGCAGTGATGGAATAAAAAAAAATCATACAAAAATGCATATATTAAGGAAATATGTGCATAAGAACTTCATTGTCAGTGAAAATTGCACCACAATGCATTGTTAAAGAAAGTTGCTTGCAAAAAATTTGTGCACTGGGCAACATAGCAACACGCAAATGTGTAACTGGCGAAGCATGTTCACAAAACCTGCCTATATCAGGGCAATTTACATTGCAATGCAAAATATTATGAGAAGTGCATGCTTTAGTGCTGACAGGTTTTTTTTGGTTTTTTTTTGTAATGGCTTAAAGAAAATCACAAAGTGCTGCAAAAATGTGGCGAACTGAAGATCAGGAAAATGAGAAACTGAAAGGAAGGGATTCACCCTTCCCTGTGCTCAACTTGATTCGCTTGGAAAACTTTTGACCAGATTTGCTTTATTTCTGTTTCTATACCTTCAGAAATGGAATTGTGTAGAACGAGAAAGTAGAAACAAACAACTGAATCTGAATACTGAAGTGGAAAGCAAGTTCTCTGCAGACAAGATCAATGGTAAACGCTTGGTTCAGGATGTGTTCTTTTATTACCCTTGTTTTTGTATGCAAGTTTGCCTCATATTAAAAGGGACGCGGGTGGCGCTGTGGGTTAAACCACAGAGCTTAGAACTTGCCGACCAGAAGGTCGGCGGTTCAAATCCCCGCAACGGGGTGAGCTCCCATTGCTTGGTCCCAGCTCCTGCCAACCTAGCAGTTCGAAAGCACAGTGCAAGTAGATAAATAGGTACCGCTCCGGCAGTAAGGTAAACGGCATTTCTGTGCGCTGCTCTGGTTCGCCAGAAGCGGCTTAGTCATGCTGGCCACATGACCGGGAAGCTGTACGCCGCCTCCCTCGGCCAATAAAGCGAGATGAGTGCTGCAACCCCAGAGTCGGTCACAACTGCACCTAATGGTCAGGGGTCCCTATACCTTTACCTTTACCTTGTCTCATATTTGCCAAGTATATTTTCCCTGTTGTGAAGCATTTGGTACCTCAGTACAGTATATGCAATTTTGTATGCATGGCTTTGCTGTAGAACTTCACTGTAAAATTCAAATAAGTGCAAGTTTCAAAAGATGGCTTTGCTGTGGTTCATGTATTGCTTTGGAAAGTGAGAATGTGGTAGATTCATCTTTAAATGTGAACTGAATCTAATTTCTGTCCTATCCCTACCTGGGGCACAAGCCCAGACATCTCCACCCCCCTCCAGCTAGGTGTTGATGTCTGAAATCAGGTGGTAAACTGAGCACACTCGACAAGGAGCAACAATACAGCTGTGTTTAATATGTACACCTGACCTCTCTTATTGAACTAATCCAATCTGCTTGAGCAAGTGGCAATCTGGAGGGGTTATTGCTAACACATTCCAGGAAGCTGGGATTTGTGCTGTGTGCCTGAGACTTTCTGTTTCATGCCTAGTGAGCATATAGTATTTGTGTGTGATCTGCAGTGTAAACAAACAGAACCTCATTGCTAACAACAGTGCGGGCAATCGGGGTGTGTGTGTGTGTGTGTGTGTGTGTGTGTGTGAAAACGCCCCTCCAAGCACCCTGAGTAGATTCCCAAACCCTTTGGATAATTTGTCCGATGCAATGAAAAAGGCTCAAGCCTAGGAAAAGCTCATTTGTCTCCTAATTACTCTCAGCACACTTAGCAAACTCCCAGCACTCTCAGAATTCTACGGGGGAATCCATGACTATTTAAAGTGGTATCATTGTGCTTTAGGGACGCGGGTGGCGCTGTGGGTTAAACCACAGAGCCTAGGACTTGCCGATCAGAAGGTCGGCGGTTCGAATCCCCGCAATGGGGTGAGCTCCCGTTGCTCGGTCCCTGCTCCTGCCAACCTAGCAGTTCGAAAGCACGTCCAAGTGCAAGTAGATAAATAGCTACCACTCTGGCAGGAAGGTAAACGGCGTTTCCGTGCGCTGCTCTGGTTCACCAGAAGTGGCTTAGTCATGCTGGCCACATGACCCGGAATCTGTAAGTAGATAAATAGGTACCACTCTGGCAGGAAGGTAAAAGGCGTTTCCGTGTGCTGCTCTGGTTCGCCAGAAGCGGCTTAGTCATGCTGGCCACATGACCTGGAAGCTGTACGCCGGCTCCCTTGGCCAATAAAGCGAGATGAGCGCTGCAACCCCAGAGTCAGCCACGACTGGACCTAATGGTCAGGGGTCCCTTTACATTGTGCTTTTAATGTATGGGGTGAATGTTTAACATTGACTGAAGTTTCCCCTCCTTCTGCAATTGCTCACTTTACTATTTAGCTCGATGGAAGAATCCCCCAAGACAACCCCGTGCTATTTTGTGATACAGGCATTGCCAGAAGACATCTTTCTTATAGGTGTGGATGCGGCTGGGCTGCCTTTACGTTCTGCAAAGAATTTACCCCACTTACTTCTTGGCTTTCCTGTACACACTGTACACACACACTGTACACACTTCATTGAAGAAGGCACCTAGTTTCCTTGGCCTTTGGCTGCTGAATTCTTAGGGTGCTGAAATATACTCAGAGTCGAGAGTGGATTTCATGCTCTTTATTCAGCTCATAGTGGTGAGGAGGAATGGAAGTTCCCCCAGAATGTCTGCTTTATATACATTATTTACACAATGGCCCCCACGTGATTGGCTAATTCTGGGATTCTCCTGTAGGCTAATCAGGTTGCGGATTCACTTCCACCTGGAGCTGGATTGGGTGGCTCCTGTGGACCAATCAGACTGCTGCATTCTGAATCCTATTGTTCTAGGACCAATCAGACTGCTGCATTTTGGATCCAATTCAACTCAGCACATAACAGGTGCATTTCCAGGTTTCCTGCAGGCGTCTAGTTGGCCACTGTGAGAACAGGATGCAAGACTAGATGGGTCTTGGGTTAAGGTTACCAGATTTTTTTCAATGAATCCAGGGACACTGTTCAACTTCAATGGATTTTGTATGGGGACTGATTTGCAAGTCCGGATCTGTCCCTGGGAAATGGGGACATCTGGTAACCTTACCTTGGGTCCTTGATCCAGCAGGGGTGTGCTCTTATGAATTTGGTTCGCTTTTCGCTATACAGTGGTACCTCGGGTTAAGTACTTAATTCGTTCCGGAGGTCTGTACTTAACCTGACACTGTTCTTAACCTGAAGCACCACTTTAGCTAATGGGGCCTCCCACTGCTGCCGCATTGCCGGAGCACGACTTCTGTTCTCATCCTGAAGCAAAGTTCTTAACCTGAAGTACTATTTCTGGGTTAGCGGAGTCTGTAACCTGAAGCGTATGTAACCCGAGGTACCACTGTATTCTGAATTGCCAAAGGGAGGCATTTATTTATTTTTTTGGTCTTCTCCATGGGCTACAAATCACCTTGCGTACAGTAATGCAGAAAGGTGGCTTGTAAATTGAAAACTAACGTGAAATGAAGATTGAGAAAAGAATTAAACACAACGACGATGAAGAAAGAAAAGAAAACCCAGTTAAAATTTTCTAGAATATTTCCAGTGCAGTCTTCAGCACTGAGGTTTTCTGATAATACTAACAGCAAGCTAAATAAACAGACCCTGGTTTCAAAACGCAGGTAGAGAGATGAGCATGACTTGCCATTGTTCTAGAATAATCCATCTTTGAAGAGCTGTATCACTGTATGTACAGTTCCTTTTTCATGTCTCGTTCAAGGTCAGTCCCAATGGAAAATTTCCTTGCCACGCTGAAAAATTGCATTATTCCCCGTCACAAAGGGCCCGTTTCAACAACCAAATGTTTCAGAGATTGAAAAGCTGCCAAGGACGTTTGGGAAAACCAAAGCAAAAGCGTGTTTTTGTGTTTTTGTTTTAATTTCATCTTTTGAGCAAGCAAGGGGACAGCAGATCTGCCAACGAATGAAGACTCTTACAGTGTGAATGTGGGGAAGAAAAATTGACCTGGCCATCGAACAATAAGTGGTTTTTCTCTCTCCCCAAGCCAATGGGCATCTCCTAAAGCTACCCACCCAATTTTAGGAAACCCCCACCTCCTCAGCACAATTAATTCAATGGTTTTCCTCATTTCCTGCAGTTTAGCTGCAAAATGCCAGGGGGTTGCCACGGCGACACCTCAAACCCTCGCCGGGTTAGATCACTCTTTAATGCTGACAGCCAGCCAGAGGAATTTGGCTATTTGTTTTAAAGATAAAAGCCGCAAGCTCCCTGACATTCTTCCCCAATTTCGCCCCCCATTAGCTGCGTTCTTCTGTCATAACAAAAGCATGTGAGGGTTGTGAGAGGGAACAGGGAAGAATGTTAAGCTGAGAGCCGGGCACAGAGGGGCTCGAAACGCACGTCTGAATGGGCAGCCATTGAAGTGGGGAGGGTGGGAAGGTCCTGTGTGAGTGCCTGGAGGCGGTTGGAGGATGGATGGCGGCTAACAGATTGAGGTTGAATCCTGACAAGACAGAAGTACTGTTTTTGGGGGACAGGGGGCGGGCGGGTGTGGGGGATTCCCTGGTCCTGAATGGGGTAACTGTGCCCCTGAAGGACCAGGTGCGCAGCCTGGGAGTCATTCTGGACTCGCAGCTGTCCATGGAGGCGCAGGTCAATTCTGTGTCCAGGGCAGCTGGCTACCTGCTCCATCTGGTATGCAGGCTGAGACCCTACCTGCCCGTGGACTGTCTCGCCAGAGTGGTGCATGCTCTAGGTATCTCCCGCTTGGACTACTGCAATGCGCTCTACACGGGGCTACCTTTGAAGGTGACCCAGAAACTGCAATTAATCCAGAATGCGGCAGCTAGACTGGTGACTGAGAGTGGCCGCCGGGACCACATAACACTGGTCCTGAGAGATCTGCATTGGCTCCCAGTACGTTTCCGAGCACAATTCAAAGTGTTGGTGCTGACCTTTAAAACCCTAAATGGCCTTGATCCTGTATACCTGAAGGAGCGTCTCCACCCCCATCAATCAGCCCGGACACTGAGATCCAGTGTCAAGGGTCTTCTGGCGGTTCCCTCATTGCGAGATGTGAGGTTACAGGGAACCAGACAGAGGGCCTTCTCAGTAGTGGCGCCCATGCTGTGGAACGCCCTCCCTTCAGATGTGAAGGAAATAAGCAGCTATCCTATCTTTAAAAGACATCTGAAGGCAGCCCTGTTTAGGGAAGTTTTTAATATTTAATGCTGTACTGTTTTTAACATTTGATTGGGAGCCGCCCAGAGTGGCTGGGGAAACTCAGCCAGATGGGCGGGGTCTAAATAATAAATTATTATTATTATTATTATTATTATTATTATTATTATTATTTAAGGCAGAAAATGTTTTGAGGAGATGTAGTCAATGCAACGTTCTGTAGATGCTACTGGACTCCAACTCGTTTAGCTACTGGACTAAATGACTAAACAACAAGTTATTTCCAACACTACCTGTCTTACATCTCAAGTAGTGGGGTAGACTGTGAGCAGGTGAGCTCCTCCTACTTTGCTGCCTCATCCTTGAACCAGACGTGGATTTGGACACTCTTACAAACCGAGGAGTCCTTCAAACAGAGGACTGTTCTTGGAAATCAGACTAGCTTAGTGGATGGAGATTAAGGGACTGTGCCAAAAGTATTTTTGCAGTGTCCTTTTCCAGCTGTCTATCTGAAGCAGCCCTTCAACCGTTGATGCACAGGATGCAGGAACATAATACGAATTTCCTTGCAGCCACAGGGGCTTGAGCACAGTGTATTGTAAGGAGGTGGTTTCCCCACCTCTGCGCACAGTAGACAAATGCTGGAACGGTTCCAATGTCATCCCTGATTCCCTGCAGTTTCCCCCGATTGTTACCTTTGAAAAGTAGCATTGAGAGAATGCACCCCATGCCCAAATCCACCCAACAGAGCATGCTCAGCCTGCCTTTCTCCAGATATTTTCTCTGCCAAAACCTTTTCTGTTCCTACTCCCTGACCCAATAGGCGTTGATGCACATCTAGGCAGATTCCTACTCTTAGGGGCTCCCGTCTGTGCATTTCAGGAGTGCACAGCGGCCATCGGTGAGAACTGTGGGATGTGAAACACAAGAGCAGTCAAGTACAACATTCCTAGAGTGGACATGTTTACACATGGGGAGGAATGTTTGTCCAGTCAGGAGGTAAACTTCCTGTTTCCTTCTGGGCTGGGACAGACTAGAGGTGGGCGCGGCCTCACCTGTGCAGGTAATGACAAAAGCACAGGGCAGCCATCTCTCTCTCTTTGACTACATCGAAGAAGCAACATCTGCTTAGTCAAAGATGCTCTCGTGGCCTCCAGGAAGTGGAAGAGGAAGAGGAAGTGGGACTGTCTCCTTATGAGATAGTTTCCAGGTGTATGTTACTTTTCTAAGCTAACCCTGCCTTCTGGGATCCGATTGTGAACAGAATGTGAGTAAACTCTTTTTATACTTTTATAGAAGACTGTGTTGTGTCTTATTTTTTATGAGGGAATAAGGGGAAAATACCAGATCAGTTATTATAGAGGCTTTAGCGAGCCTGAGCAAATGCATCTGCTGTGAGTTTAAGAAGGGGAATGTTACTCTGCTAAATTGTGAACTTGTTTACACAAGTTGGAAAGGCTATAATCAAACAATATATCCTCTCCTGCATCCCTGAACATTCCCACAAGAACTTCAGAAGAACCCTGCTAGACCCAGCAAGGAGCCATCATCCTAGTCTAGCATCCTGTTCTCCCAGTGGCCAACCACATGAGCAGCTCGCAAGCAGGACCTGAGTGCATCAGCACTGTCCCCACATGTAATTCTGAGCAACCAATCTCAAGAGGCAAACTGCCTCTGACCGTGGAGGGAGAACCCTGCCATTGAGTTTAGTTGCCATCGGTAGCTGTTACTCACCACCCCAGTCTCCAAGCAGTGAGAGGTGTCAAGAGTTCCAGCTCTTACTCAGGGTTCTGTTTCCATGGAAGAAAGGTCAAGAGAGACTGTGATGTCTTTAAGATATGTGGTTTTATTTACATACCGGTATATATATAGGTAACGGTTAAGGACTCCTGGACTGTTAAGTCCAGTCAAAGGCGACTATAGGGTTGCGGCGCTCATCTCGCTTTCAGGCCTAGGGAGCTGGCCTTTGTCCACAGACAGCTTTCCGGATCATGTGGCCAGCATGACTAAACCGCTTCTGGCTCAACAGAACACCGTGACAGAAACCAGAGCACACGGAAACGCTGTTTACCTTCCTACCAAAGCGGTACCTATTTATCTACTTGCACTGGTGTGCTTTCGAACTGCTAGGTTGGCAGGAGCTGGGACAGAGCAACGGGAGCTCACCCCATTGTGCAGATTCGAACCGCCGACCTTCTGATCAGAAAGCCCAAGAGTCTCAGTGGTTTAGACCACAGCGCCACCCGCATCCCATATTATGCCTATATATATATATATATATATATATATATATATATAATAGGGGAGATCTCACAGCATCAACACCTCAACAGATCTTGCTTCTCCATTAGTCACAGCTTTGGATCCAGCACAGACCCGAAAAAGGCGGAAGCTTAATTGAAAGCATTAGGGTGGGCTGGACTAGTGGGGAAAGCGAAAGAGGTTGAGGTGGGGACTTTTGCAATGTGAAATTTCGGCAGCGTTTGTCTCTCTTTGTTTCCGCGCATTGACCCAGACAGAGAAAAAGGCAGAAGAATCCCAAGAATTTCCAAGAGCCTGCTCCCAGCCAGCTCTGCCTCTCATCCACCCCCCCGCCCTGAAAGTCCCTTCATCCGCTCATGTCTCTGAGCCCACACTGGCTGCCAGTTGACAAAAGAATTGCTGAGGAGGAAAAGGAATCCATGACAGCGGGCAGCTGTGGGTGGGGGTGGCCTTTGGAGAGTTGCGTTTTCGCTGTCAAGATCGCCAGGATGGTGTCAGGAGAAGATAAGGAGAGCCTGAGTGCTGGACCCATTCAGTTCTCACAGTGACCAACAGACACCCATGGCGAGCACACAAGTAGGACCTGAGCACAACAGCCCCTCTTCCTATGTGTAATTCCCACTAACTGGTGTCATACCCTCCAATATTTCTCTGATGAAAATAGCGACAGCATATTCCATAATAATAATAATAATAATATTTAGACCCGCTCCTCTGACTGGGTTGTCCCAGTCTCCCTCATATATAAAAACATAATAAAACATTCAACAACTTAGAATGTTAGAGTGATGTTGGACTGAAAATAAGCGGTTTCCAGCTGTACAGGTTAAAGTTAATGATAGACTAAGATTAAGATTAGGATTAAAGATGTTTAAAGAAATGGAAATCTGACAATTAAGAGGGAAAATTTTAATGTTATATTATACTAAGATTAAAGATCAGGTTTAAAGAAATTGAAGATATATATTACAATATTATATTAAAGTTAAAGATTGGGATTAAAAAAGTTGAAAAGAAATTGCTGGACAAACAATTTGGATTGGAATACAAAAGAGGGAGGTATGAGGAAGTCCAGAAAATAAGCAAACTAAAAAAAACGGAAATGGAAAAGAGATATTGTTTTTAATTGTTATGTTTTTTGTTTTTTATTGTTGAATTGTGTTCTTTTTTGTGTGTTCTTGTTATCTTTTTTTTTGAGATATGTATAGTGTATGTTCTTCTTTTCTTTCTTTGTTGTTCAAACTTAAATAAAAATTATTTACAAAAAAAACAAAAAACAAAAAACATTCAACAACTTAAAACTTTCCTCTACAGGGCTGCCGTCAGATGTCTTCTAAAGGTTGTGTACAGTGGACGCTTGGGTTGCGAATGTGATCTGTGCGGGATACATATTCGCAACCTGAAGCGTTCGCAACCTGCAGCTGCGCGTCAGTGCACCCACGGGTTGCAATTTGGCGCTTCTGCGCATGCGCGACTGCCGAAATCCGGAAGTAACCCGTTCCGGTACTTCCGGGTTTCGGTGGTCCGTAACCCGGAAAAACGCGACCTAAAGTGTCTGCAACCCGAGGTATGGCTGTAGTTACTTATCTCTTTGGCTTGCATAACTCCATAGCTTCCAACATTTCTCCGATGAAAACAGGGACGGCCTAAGGAAAAGTGGGACATTCTGGGATCAAATCAGGAAACGAGACGGCTTCTGTAAATCCGGGACTGTCTCTGGAAAATAGGGACACTTAGAGAGTCTGTGGTATTCAGAGGGTGCTTTCAACAGTGGAGGTAGAACATAGCCGTCAAGGAGATACGCGCGTGCGCACGCACATACACACACACACCTGCCCTTTTGACTGGGTTGCTCCTAGCCATCATTGATAGTATTGTTGTTGTTGTTTAGTCATTTAATCGTGTCCGACTCTTCGTGACCCCCTGGACCAGAGCACGCCAGGCACTCCTGTCTTCCACTGCCTCCTGCAGTTTGGTCAAACTCATGCTGGTAGCTTCAAGAACACTGTCCAACCATCTCATCCTCTGTTGTCCCTTTCTCCTTATGCCCTCCATCTTTCCCAACATCAGGGTCTTTTCCAGGGAGTCTTGTCTTCTCATGAGGTGGCCAGAGTATTGGAGCCTCAGCTTCAGCATCTGTCCTTCCAGTGAGCACTCAGGGCTGATTTCCAGTGAGCACTCAATGGCTAGGTTTGATCTTCTTGCAGTCCATGGGACTCTCAGGAGTCTCCTCCAGCACCAGAATTCAAAAGCATCCATTTTTTGACGATCAGCCTTCTTTTTGGTCCAGCTCTTACTTCCATATATCACTACTGGGAAAACCATAGCTTTCACTATACAGACCTTTGTTGGCAAGGTGATTGATAGTATTATTCACCCTAAAACTGCCGAATCCCCCTTTTCAAAGTCATCCAAGTTGGTGACCATTGCTACCCGCTGTGGGAGTGACTTCCATGGTTTAACTATGCACTGTGAGGAGAAACACTCTATTTTGAACGATGTCAATCAACATCTGATGATCTCCTTCTACTGGTCCACAATAGAAAGTGTCCTTTCATACTGCATCACGGTGTTGTACGCTGGTTTGACATCAACTGATAGGAAGAGCCTACAGAGGATGGTGAATACAGCACAAGATATTATGGGCTGTCCCGTGAATCCGCTGGATGAAATAGCGGAAGAACGTTGCCTCAGGAGAGTGAGGAAAATTCTCAGGGATGATTCACACCCTGGCCGGCACTTTCTTGATCTCCTGCCCTCGGGCAGAAGATATAGAAGCATGATTAGTCGCACCAACAGGGTAAAGATCAGCTGCTATCTGTGGGCTGTTAGGCTGCTGAATGAAAAGATAACAACAGGGCAACTGACTTTTGGGTTTGGTGTGTGTGTGTCAGTAAACAAGTGGAATTCAGACTAAGAGAGCTTAGTGGGGGGTGCTCGTGTAATCTCACTGTATACAAGTTGTACAAGTGACAATAAAGTATTTCAATTTGTCTGTCCTGAGCCTACCAACATCCAGCACTGGCAAGAGCCCTTCTGGATCACACCAACAGACCATCGAGTGCAGCATGCTGTTCTCACATCATGGCAAGGAGCCATGAATTTGCCAAATCCTGTTCTTTTTTTTAAAAGCCATCCAAGTGGGTGGCCCTCATTACCTCTTGAGGGAGTAAATTCCGTAGTTTAACTATGGGCTGCTGTATGAAAGAATACAGGCGCAGTCAAGCCTGGTGTTCTTGTGGGAATTTTCTCCACTGAAAAGCGAGAGTGCCTGATGGCACTTGCCATCAGGCAAAAGTAGTCACACGCCAAGGCAAGGGTGGGAGTTGAATGCAGACCGCCAGGCCTCTCTGTCCAAAGCTGCCTAGGCCACGCCTCCTCTTCTCAGGCCACTCCCCGCACCCACCCTGCTCACATCCACTTTCCTTCCTCCAGCCCACCCTTGCAATGTGGCCCGGAGGAGATTGTCTATAAAAGAATGTGGCCCCTAATCTGGGAAAATATTCTCCACATCTGCTCCAAGGACTTTTTTTTGCTGCTAGTGACTGTCTTTTTTTCAACTTGCCAAGCTCCAAAGTGAGCTTTTTAATACTGCTTTGCTCCTATTCTACCTTGCTGTATCGATTTTGCAGCTGTCTTCTCGGTTTGATTTATTGGATGTTGTTTTAATTTGTAAACCACTATGGAATTTTTTATGAGTAGGTGGTTTGTCAATCTTTTAAGTAAAATAAACACGGACATGCAAGTTTCACCTGCTATTTTATTGCTGACGGGGTTATTGAATGTCTAATTTTACGTTAATATGTTTTGATTGCTTAATCACCTGGGGGATTTTTTTGCAAAACGTGCAGTAGAGATACAGGGTTGTACCCAGTTAAGTTCTACTCTGAATAGACCCATTGAAATCAAGCGTCTGTGATTTATTCCTAAGCCTAACATCCTAAGCATTTTCACTGGGAACATTTGTTTAAAGGTGGATGAGGGCAGATGTAAAACCAAATGAGTTTTAATGCGCTTGGAGCAGTCATCATTGTACTTAAACTCTGCAATGAGAGAGTAAGAATTTATTTCCCAAACATCTTTCTTCAATACACATCATGTTATGTACTGAGTTGAATAGGATCCAAAATGCAGAAGTCTGATTGGTCCTAGAACAATAGGATTCAGAATGCAGCACTCTGATTGGTCCTAGAACAATGCAGCAGTCTGATTGGTCTGCAGAAGCCACCCAATCCAGCTCCAGATGGAAGTGAATCCACAACCTGATTGGCCTACAGGAGAATTCCGGAATTAGCCAATCACGTGCAACCCATTGTGTAAATAATGTATATAAAGCAGACACTTTGAGGGGACATTTATTCCTTCTCACCACTATGAGCTGAATAAAGAGCACGAAATCCACTCTCGACTCTGAGTATATTTCACATCAGAATGACCAGTGCTGATAAGCAACAGTGGGTGAGAATTATTGCTCCCATGCCCTGATTATGGGCTTCTTAGAGGCAGCTGGATGGTCCTTAAGGGGACCAGGAGACTGGAGTAGATGGATCATTAGTCTGATCCATGCAAGTAGGACTAACATTGGTTACAACCCACAGAGTTGGGCAGATCCTTGGAGGCCTCTAGTCTAGATCTGAAATGTGAGATGGAGAAGGAGCAACCCTGACTGACGGTTGTTGAGTCTCCACTTGATAGCGTCCAGAGAAGGAGGTCCCACCACCTCCCAGGGCAGTCTATTCCAGGATCAAACAGCTCTGGCCATTAGGAAATTCCTCCTGGAATCCTCTTCCCCACGAATTCCATTCATGGGCTATAATCCTGCCCTCTGGAGAAACAGGAGGCAGGTCTGCTTCATCTTCTGCATGACAGGCTTCCAGATATTTGAAGGCTGCTATCACATCTCCTCTTCAATCGTCGGTTCCCCAGGCTAAGCATACCTCTCTGACGAACCCCAAACATCACCTGCAGAGATGAGACCTAAGAAGGTGTGAGAAGGGCAGTTTCTGTTGAATATTGAAATTGAAATACTTCATTGTCACTTGTAAAACTTGTATACAGTGAGATTACACAAGCACCTCCCACTCAGCTCTCTTAGTCTTAATTCCCCTCGTTTACTGACGCACACCCACCAAACCCAAAAGTCAGTTGCCCTGTTGTTATCTTTTCATTCAGCAGCCTAACAGCCCATGGACAGAGGCTGTTCTTTACCCTGTTGGTGCAACTAATCATGCTTCCATATCTTCTCCCTAAGGGCAGGAGATCAAGAAAGTGCCGGCCAGGATGTGAATCATCCCTGAGAATTTTCCTCACTCTCCTGAGGCAACGTTCTTCCGCTATTTCATCCAGCGGATTCACGGGACAGCCCAAAATATATTGTGCTGTATTCACCACCCTCTGCAGGCACTTCCTATCAGTTGATGTCAAACCAGTGTACCACACCGTGATGCAGTATGAAAGGACACTTTCTATTGTGGACTGGTAGAAGGAGATCATCAAATGTTGATTGACATCGTTCTTTCTCAATAATCTGAGGAGATGGAGTCTCTGTTGGGCTTACTTAACCACCTGGGTTGTATTTATTTTCCAAGTAAGGTCTTCACTGAGATACACTCCTAGGAATTTAAAGGAAGAGATATTAATTAAAATATTAATGCTGAGAACCAAACCCAAGGTTGGAAAAAAAATGAGAAATTAAGGCAAATCTAAACATTGTTCCTTTTGTCTCAGGACTGGAGCTAAGAGGCAGAACTGAGTGCTTAGAGGTTGATCTTTGATGGAGCTCAGTACAAAAAGGGGCACAACTGATAATAATAATAATAATAATAATAATAATAATAATAATAATAAAAATAAAACAAGAACCCAGTCCTGTGTGGGAGAAAACCTATCCTTTCATCTTGCTAATCTATTTCCCAAAGTAGGAGGCAGTTAGACTCTTCCTGCTCCATCCCCTCCTGTGGCCAGCTGTCTATACTACAGCCGCCCACCAGACTTTAACCCAGTGCTGTGGAATGCCGGCTGATGGGGTGGTCTCTCTCTCATGGAAAACAGCCTCTTTTTCTCCACTGTTCTGCTGTGAAACCACAGCCATTCCCTTCCACCCCACCCTAGAGCTCAGCGCACATCACCCCTTTCCCTGAATGCTCCCACAAGGTGTTTCCTCTCCTGCGGACGATAATGGAACTGAATGCTATTTTAAGACCCATGTTTGTTGGCTCAGCCTGATGCAGTGCTGGGGGAAAAAACACAACTTGATCTGAATCACAACTAAACATGTTTACAGTCATCTCGGGGTGAAGACAGATGTATCGTTGTGTGTGTGGAGGGGTCATCTGGATAACTGAGAGCAGCAAAGGTGGAGGACCAGCGTGCCTTTGAATAGCAATGGACGTGACTTGAATTTTGAACGGATGCCCATTGCCCTGAAAACAAATGCCTTCGAATGGATGCAGCAAAACTTGCACCAGAGCCACACTTTTTCATCACTGTCTTCATCCCGAGAAACTATTGCCTTTGTCTTCATCCTTAGGAACGTTAAATATCTTGAAGGATGGGGAGGGGATTGAATTAGGCTCAAATGGACCCATCTGTTTTGTTTTTAAAAGCAACCAAATTCTTACTAGTGAGGTAGGGGAGCTGGGGGAAAATCACATCAGGCAACCAATGCACCCCTTGGGTTTCAGATAGTACATGTGTTGTTTAATAATAATAATAATAATTTATTATTTATACCCCGCCCATCTGGCTGAGTTTCCCCAGCCACTCTGGGTGACTCCCGATCCAGTGTTAAAAACAATACAGCATTAAATATTAAAAACTTCCCTAAACAGGGCTGCCTTCAGATGTCTTTTAAAAATAAGATAGCTGCTTATTTCCTTGACATCTGATGGGAGGGTGTTCTACAGGGTGGGTGCCACTACCGAGAAGGCCCTCTGCCTGGTTCCCTGTAACTTTACTTCTCGCAGTGAGGGAACCGCCAGAAGGCTCTCGGCACTGGATCTCAGTGTCTGGGCTGAACGATGGGGGTGGAGTCGCTCCTTCAGGGATACAGGATCTGAGGTTGTTTAGTCGTGTCTGACTCTTCATGACCCCCTGGACCAGAGCACGCCAGGCACTCCTGTCTTCCACTGCCTCCCGCAGTTTGGTCAGACTCATGCTGGTAGCTTCGAGAACACTGTCCAACCATCTCGTCCTCTGCTGTCCTCTTCTCCTTGTGCCCTTCATCTTTCCCAACATCAGGGTCTTTTCCAGGGAGTCTTCTCTTCTCATAAGGTGGCCAAAGTCTTGGATCCTCAGCTTCAGGACCTGTCCTTCCAGTGAGCACTCAGGGCTGATTTCCTTCAGAATGGATAGGTTTGATCTCCTTGCAGTCCATGGGACTCTCAAGTGTCTCCTCCAGCACCATAATTCAAAAGCATCAGCCTTCTTTATGGTCCAGCTCTCACTTCCCTACATCACTACTGGGGAAACCATAGCTTTAACTATACGGACCTTTGTTGGCAAGGTGATGGGTAGATGAGTCTAAAAAGCCCGGAACAGTTGTGCAATAGATGTTGACCCACCATGGGAGCTGGAGACCATTGGAACTGGTAGGGTGGAAGACAGAGAAACCAACATTAAGGGGACTGGGAGCTAGTGACAGGTACAGCCACCACCTGTTTGGTGGCAAGTCAGAAGGCAGGCAGAGGGGTCTGGCTGAGGCCAGACTGAGGTTGATAGGGCAATGCCCCTTTCACGCTAATAGACCACCTTCTCCTGTTGGTCCACCATCTATCACAGTGTTTCCCAAACTTGGGTCGCCAGCTGTTTTTGGACTACAACTCCCATCATCCCTTGCTAGCAGGACCAGTGGTCAGGGATGATGGGAATTGTGGTCCCCAAGCAGCTGGAGACCCAAGTTTGGCCAACACTGATCTATCACATCCTTTTGCTTTGGGTTGAATTAATGGCTGACTTGCTGAATATGCTGGTTAGAAGCTGAGGATATTTCACCGGAGTGGGAGAAAGCCAGAGCGTTGCAGGGTGAGGCTATAAATCTGGCTTATTGGCTAACGAAGCTTTCATACTGCCTTGGCACCAATGGTCCAACCCTGAGCCAAGGCTTGCAGGCAGCTAATTAAATTCAGTGGCTGTGATACAAGGAGGGGATTCTTGGAGGAGAGAGAGAGAGAGAGAGAGAGAGAAAGCAACGAAGTTTCTGCTGGGTGAAAACTAGACTGGTGGGCCGAAACTGGAAATCAAACAAATGCGGCCCTCAGTGCCTCTGAATCCGGACCCCGGGACTCTTCCCCAAGTTACACAACCTCACCAGGCCACACTTTCCTCTGGCTTTACTTCAGATCCTCCTTCAGTCAATAAATTCTTCTACCACAAAGACAAATGGTTTGCATGAAATAAGACACTGGGCTAACTAATACAAGTGAGAGGACCCATTTGGCCCTCCAGGTGTTGCTGGACTACAACTCCCATCACCCCTGACCATTGGCCATGCTTGTTGGGGCTGATGGGAGTTGTAGTCCAGGAACACCTGGCAGGCCGAATGGGCCCTCTCACCTGTATTAATTAGTCCCGTGTGTTATTTCACGCCAACCATTTGTCTTTGTGGTAGAAGAAGTATTGACTTTGGCTATTATGGAAAAAATAATATAAACTATGTATCTCTGGAGGATACCAATCATTTCTGATAACTATTTTTTTGGGGGGGGGGAGTTATTGATACAATGTTTGATTGTTATTGGTATACATTTTTATCTAGGTATTTTCGCACTACCTTTCAGGTCAAATCTTCACTCAATGAAGTGAAAAAGGGATGGGAGTGCCTAAATGAATACCTTAAAAGCCCAGGTTTGAGGACAGAAATCTGGCTGAGTCTGGAATAAGCTTGTGAAGTGAAAGGATAAGAAAGAGGGATTTATATCTAGATGCTAGGATTGAGATGATAAGGAAAACAGGAAAACAGGAAGACATAATGAGAGGTAAAGGAGGTACTGTGGGATTGGTGAAAGTCAATGTTTGTTTTTCTTTTTAGTGCTTATATTATTAACATGTAAGATATGGAAATATTTTTTGGTATGCTGGTTTTTGTGTATTGTTATTTTTCGATATTTTTCGTGTTGTTGTGTGGAAAATACTAATAAAATTTATTATAAAAAAACCAAAAAACCAAAATGCTCACTCAAGGTGGTTTGTAATTAAAACCTTATAATCATTTATTCTCCCCCCCTTTTTTTTACGATTATACCTCAGTTTGGAGACTTTTACTCAAAAATCCAAGGAAGGAAGGAAGGAAGAGAATAGGAAAGAAGGAAGGAATACAGAGAACAGGAGAGAGGGAAGGAAGGAGATTTCAGGGGGGAAATGGTGAAATAGCTTTCATAACCCCAGTCGCATTTAATCATGCAAAGCCGAGAGACTTTATGAACATCTAAACATTTGTCTTTGAGATTACATGTGCTTGGTACAGGAAGATGGGCTGGGGCAGTGTGTTTCTTGAGACTGCGGTTTTTTATTTTATTTTTTTACAAGTTGAAGCACTTGGAAAGAATGCGGACAGGGCGCAGGAGATACCTGCCTGCCAGCGAGAAGAGGCAAACTCTGGCTGAACCCGCCTTTTATCATGGGGGGACGTGGTACAAGGTGGAACGCTGTTTAGACACAAAATCCAACCTGCGCCTGTGAAAAGGACGAGCATAAATTATAGTGATTGGAGAGACGGCACACTGCAGAGCGAGGAATGAAAAATTAATTACACTGTTTCTTTTTCAGCTCTCTGCCTGACTTTGGAGAAATGTTGGAGGGTATGGAATAGGACGTTCCTATTTACATCGGTATGGAATTATGCAACACCCCCGCCCTCTGAGCCAAAGAAATAAGTAACTAGACAACCTTTAGAAGACTTCTGATAGCAGCCCTGTACAGGGATGTTGTTTTAATGTTTAATGGGTGGCATGTTGTTGTTGTTTAGTCATTTAGTCGTGTCTGACTCTTCATGACCCCCTGGACCAGAGCACGCCAGGCATTCCTGTCTTCCACTGCCTCCCACAGTTTGGTCAAACTCATGCTGGTAGCTTCGAGAACACTGTCCAACCATCTCATCCTCTGTCGTCCCCTTCTCCTTGTGCCCTCCATCTTTCCCAACATCAGGGTCTTTTCCAGGGAGTCTTCTCTTCTCATGAGGTGGCCAAAGTATTGGAGCCTCAGCTTCAGGATCTGTCCTTCCAGTGAGCACTCAGGGCTGATTTCCTTCAGAATGGAGAGGTTTGATCTTCTTGCAGTCCATGGGACTCTCAAGAGTCTCCTCCAGCACCATAATTCAAAAGCATCAATTCTTTGGCGATCAGCCTTCTTTATGGTCCAGCTCTCACTTCCATACATCACTACTGGGAAAACCATAGCTTGAACTATACGGACCTTTGTCGGCAAGGTGATGTCTCTGCTTTTTAATGGGTGGCATATAAATGACAAAATTTTTATAATAATTATAATGGAATAGGCCAGGGATCAGCAAACTTTTTCAGCAGGGGGCCGGTCCACTGTCCCTCAGACCTTGTGGGGGGGCCAGACTATATTTTTTTTGGGAAATGAACAAATTCCTATGCCCCACAAATAACTCAGAGATGCATTTAAAATAAAAGCACACATTCGACTCATGTAAAAGCACCAGGCAGGCCCCACAAATAACTCAGAGATGCATTTTAAATAAAAGGACGCATTCTACTCATGTAAAATACGCTGATTCCCGGACCATCCGTGGGCTGGATTTAGAAGGCAATTGGGCCAAATCCGGCCCTCAGGCCTTAGTTTGCCTCTCCATGGAACAGGGCATCCCTATTTTCATTGGAGAAATGTTGGAGGGTATGCGCACAACTCTCAATGCCCTTAACCAACTTCAGCTCCCAGAATTCTTGGGGGAAGCTATGACTGTTTAAAGAGATGTTTTGTAGTAAGGTTAAAGCTTACTGGGGGGTGATATATAATGAATTGAAAAGGATGTTTAAAATAACGTTTGTAAAAAAAAAAAAAAAAAACCAGAAGCTTTTCTTTTGGGAATTATAGGGATAGAACTACTTAAACTGTATAGAAATTTATTTGTGTATGCTACTACAATGGCAAGAATGTTACTTTCCCTAAAATGGAAAGAAGCCCAGCAAAGGAAGAATGGATACAAAAACTTATGGAATACGCAGAAATGGCAAAACTTCCTGGAAGAATAAGAAATCAAGATAAAAAACTTTTTATAAAAGAGTGGAAATGGTTTATTGAATATTTACAGATAAATTGTAAACAGATAAGAACTGACAGGATTATTGTAGTAACCTGCAGTATTTTAAGAGTATATATTTAAGGTGGATGAATAATGAGCAAATTAAGTTGATCTGGATATGTAGAAGATATTAAAAATAAATTTAAGGAACCAAGGAAAGGGGAGAAGTCAAGTTTCTAAATGTTAAGATGAATGTAAAATTGGGGAAATGTATAAATCTGAAGGGACACGGGTGGCGCTGTGGGTTAAACCACAGAGTCTAGGACTTGCCAATCAGAAGGTCGGTGGTTCAAATCCCCGCATTAGGGTGAGCTCCTGTTGCTTCGTCCCTGCTCCTGCCAACCTAGCAGTTCGAAAGCACGTCAAAGTGCAAGTAGATAAATAGGTACCGCTCCAGAGGGAAGGTAAACAGCGTTTCCGTGCGCTGCTCTGGTTCGCCAGAAGCGGCTTAGTCATGCTGGCCACATGACCCGGAAGCTGTACGCCGGCTCTCTCGGCCAATAAAGCGAGATGAGCGCCACAACCCCAGAGTTGTCTGTGACTGGACCTAATGGTCAGGGGTCCCTTTACCTATAAATCTGAAAAGTATATATAAAATTTAAAAATAAGAAATATAGTGGTGTCATAGCATTTTAAATGTATGCTCTGAATGTATGGCCAAACTTGTGGGCCGTCCTAGACAGAGAAAACCCTCATACCTCAATGGCCGGCTGTGTCTGTAATTCAGAATGTTGGGTGGAACTTGGAAACGGGGGAATCTGAAGAGCACACTTCTGAATTCTTTCAAGTTATCTCCAAGTGGTGCTTCTTGGCTCTTCGCCCGATGGCCCCAGACCTCTGTTATTTGAAAAGGTTCCTCTTGCCCGGGCTTCAGATGAGGTTGACCTTAAAGGGTAAGGAACCTGCCCTGCCTGTCATCCTGTAACAGGCGCTCCCAGCCTCTGAACCAGAAGATGTATGTGTTTATTTCGGAACATTTCAAGAGCAACGGCGTGGAGGAGTTTGAAGGATTTCTTTGGAGGGATTCTTGCCTTGGGAGGAGCAAGATTCTGGCAGAAGATGCACATCGCCAGGCTCTGGGTTTGCGGAGAACACAATTCCCACATCTCATTTTGAGCATTCTCTGAAGTCAAATGTCAGAGCATCCTAGACAATGACATATCCTCCCAACGTCTCACCAATGAGATTTGAGACATGACTCTACCTAGAGATGAACGAATCAGTCTATTTGCGGCCCAGGTCACTCTGTGTTCGCCCATAAATTTGTTCTGTGCTGTTTCCTCATTAATCTGCCGTTTAGTTTAATTAAGCTTTGTCAAAGTGCAAGTAGATAAATAGTTGCTGCTCCGGCGGGAAGGTAAACGGCGTTTCTGTGCACTGCTCTGGTTCGCCAGAAGTGGCTTAGTCATGTTGGCCACATGACCCGGAAGCTGTACGCCAGCTCCCTCGGCCAGTAAAGCAAGGTGATTGCTGCAACCCCAGAGTTGTCTGCGACTGGACCTAATGGTCAGGGGTCCCTTTACCTTTACCTTTAATCTTGGTTTGCTGCAATGCCTGACCTGGACCATTCAGAGTGGAGCTGTAGTCCGTCCTGACACTATCAAGCAGACATAGGCTTGATTCACACACAGTGCCAAATTTTAATTATGTTGTAATTTGTACAGTGGTACCTGACACACTTGTGTACTGAGCAATTAACAATCCAATCATTCAATTAGGCACCCATTAGTGCTGTGGGTTAAACCACAGAGCTTAGCTGATCAGAAGGTCGGCGGTTCGAATCCCCGCGACGGGGTGAGTTCCCGTTGCTCGGTCCTTGCTCTTGCCCACCTAGCAGTTTGAAAGCACGTCAAAGTGCAAGTAGATAAATAGGTACCACTCTGGCAGGAAGGTAAACGGCGCTTCTGTGCGCTGCTCTAGTTCGCCAGAAGCGGCTTAGTCATGCTGGCCACATGACCCAGAAAAGCTGTCTATGGACAAACGACGGCTCCCTCGGCCTGTAAAGCGAGATGAGCGCCGCAACCCCAGAGTTGTCTGTGACTGGACTTAACTGTCAGGGGTCCTTTACCTTTTACCTTTTTTAAAAAGATCCATCACCCAAGTCCCTAGAGAGCCAGTGCCCATCAGAAGGGATGATGCTGAACTAAATGGACCAATGGTTTGACTCAGTATAAGCAGCTTCCAACATTCCTGATATTACCCCTAAAAGCTTGCATACAAAATCCAGTCCTCAGACCAAACCACCATTACAACAATCAGTTTTCACAAAACAAGTAATCTCATATCCCACCTTTTCCCTGTACTCCTGAATGGCAGGGGGTTGGAATAGATGACTTCTGGGGTCCCTTCCAACTCTACAATTCTATCATTCCCCAAAAAAGGTTCTCGCTGAACACTGACAACTGGGAAACACTGGCCTGTGAGCGCTCCAGTTGGAGAAGAGCTTTTTCCAAAGGTGTCATGGGCTTTGAAAATAAATTAAAACAATTCTTTAAAAAGATAGTTAAAAAGACTCTTCTTAAAAACCTAAAAGCTCCCTTAAAAGAATCAAGTCTTCAAAAAAGTTATAGGATCTAAGAAAGTCTTTAAAAGAATCCTTCCAAAAGAATTTAAGAATTATAATGTAGCACCATAGAGACCAACTGAGTAGTTTTAGGTATAAGCTTTCATGTGAATGCACACTTCTTGAGATGGGCTTTGAAGACACTCCATCTCAGGCCGCAAGGGAGAAACGTGCTAAGAAGAAGGCACACTTGGCAAATCCACACCGTGATCAACTCCCGCGCGGAAACCTATGTCCCCACTGTGGAAGGATTTGTGGATCCAGAATTGGCCTCCACAGTCACTTACGGACTCATTGTTAAAACCGTGTTTATGGAAGACAATCTTACTCAGCTATGAATGATCGCCGAAGAAGAATAAGATTTAGGTTGAGCAAGGTTGTTGCATCGTGTGCCCTTGGGGCAGTTCATCTTACTGTACCACAGCTGAAACACTTGACTTGTTCTTTTTGTTTTTACAGCCTCTTCTGCCAAGGTTCTGCTGGTAATTCCTGCATCCCACTTCGGGGAAGAACAACATCCTAGCTCCTCGGCTGATGATTGTTCATCTAATAAGGACACCTGAGCTTTGGATGGAGACAAATGGTTTTGAATTACCTGCTGCAGACGAAGCCTCCATTCACTCCCTAGCATATTTGGAATATTTTCCTTCCAGATCTTTGCTACGTATCCACCCCCGCCTTTACTGATTATTCCCCTGCAGTTATTAGCTCTGTAAAACATCTCCTCCCCGGAAAGTGAAGGGAGGCCTTTTCGTTCTGATGTGTGTAGCAAGTGCCCTAGGAGCAAATGGAGCTTTGGCTCACCAAGGAGATGTGATGATAGCATAACACATTAAATAACATTGAAATGAATAAATAAAACATATCATAAAGGTAAAGGGTAAAGGGACTCCTGACTGTTTGGTCCAGTCACGGACGACTCTGGGGTTGTTGCGCTCATCTCGCTTTATTGGCCAAGGGAGCCGGCGTACAGCTTCCGGGTCATGTGGCCAACATGACTAAGCCACTTATGGCGAACCAGAGCAGCGCACGGAAACACCGTTTACCTTCCCGCCGGAGTGGTACCTATTTATCTACTTGCACTGCGTGCTTTCAAACTGCTAGGTTGGCAGGAGCTGGGACCGAGCAACGGGAGCTCACCCCGTTGCCGGGATTCGAACCGTTGACCTTCCGACTGGCAAGCCCTCGGCTCAGTGGTTTAACACACAGTACCACCCGTGTCCCAAAATATATGGTGCGATCCCTTAAAATGTGAAAGTTAAAAGCAAACTCAAACCAACAAACAATGTGAGCAGATTAAAAACCGTGATGTGTTTTTATATTGTGGTTTTATGTTGTGAACCACCCTGAGATGGGGTGCTATACAAATAATAATAATAATAATAATAATAATAATAATGTACCAGTGGCATCTCCAGGGGTGGCTGGAAACATCTTCCTGCCTGAGCTGCTGCAGAGCTGCTGCCAGTCAGTGTAGACAGTATGGAGCTAGATGGAGCAATAGTCTGACCCAGGATATACAGCAGTCTCCAGGGGTGCCAACTCACCCTCAGGGTTGTGGGTGCCCGCCGCTGCAATGCAGATGTGTGACGTCAGACGCACGAGCCTGCACATAGTGTGTGTGTGACATCACACCATGACATGCAGGTGTGTGAGTGTGACACCGCACACCCATGTGGTTGCGGCAGTGGCTCCTCTTCCTCTCTGCAGCCAGCGAGGCACCCTTTTCCGCAGGGAGGGGCTCGGATTCAGAGGCAGAGAGACTCTGGACTCAGCTATACAGCTGCAAACAAATGTGTGCTAAGTCCCTACCTGTATTCATTGTATACATACGATTGTGTAACATCTGACCCGTCTACTGCAGTTATTAAGTTTGCAGATGATACCACCATAATGGGTTTAATAACAGGTGGAGACGAATCAGCGTATAGAGGGGAGGTCCAAAAAATATCTGCATGGTGCCTAGGGAACAACTTGCACCTTAATATCAGCAAGACAAAGGAGATGGTGTTGGACTTTCGGAGGAAGAGAGGAGAACTAGCCCCCCTATACATCGGGGACAGCTGTATGGACAGAGTCTCTTCCTTTACATTCCTAGGAGTTTATCTCAGTGAAGATCTTACTTGGAAAATCAATACAACCCAGGTTGTTAAGAAAGCCCAACAGAGACTCCATCTCCTCAGAGTATTGCGGAAGAACGGTGTCAATCAACATTTGATGATCTCCTTCTACCAGTCCACAATAGAAAGTGTCCTTTCATACTGCATCACGGTGTGGTATGCTGGTTTGACATCAACTGATAGGAAGTGCCTACAGAGGGTGGTGAATACAGCACAGGATATTATGGGCTGTCCCGTGAATCAGCTGGATGAAATAGCGGAAGAACGTTGCCTCAGGAGAGTGAGGAAAATTCTGAGGGATGATTCACACCCTGGCCAGCACTTTCTTGATCTCCTGCCCTCAGGCAGAAGATATAGAAGCCTGATTAGTTGCACCAACAGGGTAAAGAACAGCTTCTATCCGTGGGCTGTTAGGCTGCTGAATGAAAAGATAACAACAGGGCAACTGACTTTTGGGTTTGGTGGGTGTGCGTCAGTAAACAAGGGGAATTAAGACTAAGGGAGCTGAGTGGGGGGTGCTCGTGTAATCTCACTGTATACAAGTTGTACAAGTGACAATAAAGTATTTCATTGAAAACATTTCAAGTGTGTTTTAAGTGCGATATACAATGGGACACTAGATAGCGATGATGAGCCTGATGGAAAATTCAATGTATTTTTTTTAAAAAAGGCTTTAAAGAAGCATTTTCAAAGCGGTTTTTATATGTGTCTAGATTCCACCTCTGCCTCCGCATCCGAGCCCCACCCCGCTGGAAAAGGTGCCTCACTCACTCGCTGGCTGCGGAGGGTGGAGCTGAATTGCTTCCACTATCGCTACCACCTTTTCTCATTGACTTTGTGGGTGCCCAGCCCCCCCATTATATTATTGTGCGTGCCGAAACACCCATGGCCCCCTGGAGTTGGCTCCTATGGCAGTTTCCTATGGTCCTAAGTGCAGCTCCCAAGATCCTTTGCGGGAAGGCTGTTAACGTGGCCAAAGCGTGCTTGAAATCTATGGTGCGGTTCTGAGCTCTTTGTGTGTGTTGGCCTTGCCATTTTAAGCGAAAACAAAGGACCTGGAGATGTGGACTAACTGCAGGAGCAGATTAGGCTCAAGGTCAATAAATAATCTGATCCATTTGGAGAAAGCACTCATGTGGCCTTCACAACCAACCGAAGGAGAAACAACAACAACAACAAAGTCTAGGATTGCCTATGAAATGAGAGTCTTTAAATATCCAGCGCGATTGTTTTTCGAGAGCGTTTTTACCGCCTTGGTAGGAAAGTTTATTAAAAACAGCCCTAGTTGGCTGGTGTTCTGCCACCGCCTTTTCCTCTGCTATGTTGAAGTTGTTTGATAAGAGCTTTCTGCCCCTTCTCTTTTGAAGCTGGTAGCGGTTTCCCCTGGAGAATGCAAAGTGTTCTGAACAACCGCTTGCGACGAATAATAAGCAAGACAAAGAACATTATTAAGAAACTGCTCACAGAGGCTGGTGGGGCGTGAGAGTCCCTGGGGGAATTTTCTCTTGGGCCTGTCCTACCATTCAAGCAATCTTTCTCTACCTTGGGTCCCCAGATGTTCTTGAACTACAACTCAGGTAATCCCTAACCACTGGCTATGCTGACTAGACTTCCGGGTCACTGCAGGACGCAACCAGCCCGGATACTGGGGTCCAGCTCCGAGGGCCTTCTAGCGATTCCCTCACTGTGAGAAGTGTGGTTACAGGGAACCAGGCAGAGGGCCTTCTCGGTAGTGGTGCCTGCCCTGTGGAATGCCCTCCCAGAAGATGTCAAGGAAATAAACAACTATTTTACTTTTAAAAGACATCTGAAGGCAGCCATGTTTAGGGAAGTTTTTAATATCTGACGCTGTATTGTTTTTAATATTCAGTTGGAAGCCACCCAGAGTGGCTAGGAAACCCAGCCAGATGGGCGGGGTATAAATAATAAATTATTATTATTATTATTACGTGAAAAAACATAACATGAAGCAAACGTGACATGAGGTATGACTGTACTGGGTCCAGTTCTGGATGCCACAATTTAAGATGGACATCGACAAGCTGGAATGTGTGCAGAAGAGAGCAACCAAGATGATCAAGGGTCTGGAGACCATGCCAGTTGAGGGAGTTGGGTATGTTTAGCCTGGAAAAGAGGAGGCTGAGAGGAGATAGGATAGCCCTCTTCAAATATCTGATTGTCACATGAAAGATGGGAGTGATCATGTTTTTTCCTGCTGCAGAGTGTAGGACCTGAATTAATGGCTTCAACTTACAAGAAAGGAGATTCCGACTGAACTTCAGGGCAACTTTCTGGCAGCAATACCTGTTTGACTTTGAAATAGACTTCCATGGGAGGTGGTGAACAGTCCTTCCTTGGAGATTTTGAAGCAGAGGTTGGTTGACCACCTGTCACGTTTGATTTACAGATAAACCACAGGGTCCCTTTGAACCTTACAACCATGATTCTATGATTCTGTGTACGTAAATAAATGGGGAAGAAGGGAAAAAACTCACAGTGAATTACACCACAAGATGGGCTTAAAGGTAAAGGGACCCCTGACCATTAGGTCCAGCCGCAGATGACTCTGGGATTGCGGCGCTCATCTCGTTTTATTGGCCGAGGGAGCCAGCGTACAGCTTCTGAGTCATGTGGCCAGCATGACTAAGCTGCTTCTGGTGAACCAGAGCAGCGCACGGAAACGCCGTTTACCTTCCCACCGGAGTGGTACCTATTTATCTACTTGCACTAGGTTGACAGGAGCAGGGACCGAGCAACGGGAGCTCACCCCGTCGTGGGGATTCGAACCGCCGACCTTCTGACCGGCAAGCCCTAGGCTCTGTGGTTTAACCCACAGCACCACCCGCGTCCCTTAAGATGGACTTATTTGTTCTTAAATTGATGCGTTCCCCTGCAGCAGAAAAAGGCAAGCAAAAGTATTCCCCAAGCTATGCCTGCCTTGCGTTACCATCTTTAACCTTTGCTCTCACAGGAGTGGCTGGCAGCTTAGGAATGATCCTTTTGCTGCTTCAAGATGACCAGAACGCTCTGCTCGGAAACCGAGATATTTTCTTTTAATTATGAAGAAGAAGACCGCACAGCTGTCGTTGGGCTTTTGCTCACCTCTTCTAAATGTTAGGCTCATTAGCATTCTCATTGCAGGCCAGCTGTTTCATCTCATTTGTTCGTTTAATTAGTCCTCCAACACATCAGGAGTAACGCCGGAGTTTTGCATCGAGATTTTTGTCCGTCTCCATCGGAAAAGAGAACATTTATGCCTACTTCAGCAGCTCTAGCGTCTTGAGGCTCTGGGAACGGTGCTGTCAGCAAATTTAGATGCTTGCGATGCACAAGAGGGGTCCTCCTGGAAGGGTCAGGTCAGGGAATCTAACTGTAGGAAGAGGCAAAATAATTGGTTGGAGAGGTAAGCTTGTTGGGAGTCAAGCAACGGAGCTTGCAATAAGCTACCTGAACTCTCTCTCTCTGTGTGAGAAAGACAGACAGACGAACAGAAAGGCAACATATTTCTCTCTCTTTTAGTAACTGTGAAATATACTCGGAGTCGAGTGTGGATTTCATGCTCTTTATTCAGCTCATAGTAGTGAGGAATCAAAGTTTCCCCAAAATATCTGCTATATATACATTATTTTCACAATGGGCCACACGTGATTGGCTAATTCCAGGATTCTCCTGTAGGCCAGTCAGGTTGCGGACTCACTTCCACCTGGAGCTGGATTGGGTGGCTCCTGCGGACCAATCATACTGCTGCATTGTTCTAGGACCAATCAGACTGCTGCATTCTGGACCCTATTGTTCTAGGACCAATCAGACTGCTGCCTTTTGGATCCTATTCAACTCAGTACATAACACCTACTTGTTGGTACAGTAAATCATTTCTTTTAAGGCTTTACTTCCTTCCTACTTATTCTCCAAGTATCATGCACTGGTTGGGAGGAACCAGGTGGTGAGCGGAAAGACGCCTCAGAGCCCAGGGAGTGCTGGTGGAACAACGCTGAGAAGTCCCATGGAGAAGGCTGGGAAGAAGAGGTATTGGAAGCGGTAGATGTAAGTGAGTGAGTAGGGAGATTCTGTGACAGAGAGGAGTCCAGACTCGGAGGCAGAAGCTGAAGCAGCAGAGGAGACCAAGAGGCAGAGATGAGTCAGGCTGGTGAAGAGTCATGTGTGTCTCTCTCTCCTGCTGCGACAAACTCCCCCTGTCTCCCAGAACCAGGAAAGGCATGAAGAGGGAGGAGGAGAGACTGGCTGCATGCAGACACAGTCTCCGATTGCTTGGAGAAAGCCTTGGAGAGGAGGAGAAATAGATAGCTATGGGGAGGCAGGAGAAAATCACCTGCTGTGCTCAATAGGCCTGACACTCAGCCAAGAACTAATAAAGAGTTAACTTCAGCATTGGACTGTGTGATTTAATGGTCAGCATGCTCCGTGACGGGACACGGGTGGCGCTGCGGGTTAAACCACAGCTCCTAGGACTTGCCGATCAGAAGGTCGGTGGTTCGAATCCCTGTGACGGGGTGAGTACTGTTGCTCGGTCCCTGCTCCTGCCAACCTAGCAGTTTGAAAGCACATCAAAGTGCAAGTAGATAAATAGGTACCACTCCAGCGGGAAGGTAAACGGCGTTTCCATGCGCTGCTCTGGTTCGCCAGAAGCGGCTTAGTCAAGCTGGCCACATGACCCAGAAGCTGTACGCCGGCTCCCTCGGCCAGTAAAGCGAGATGAGCGCCACAACCCCAGAGTCAGCCATGACTGGACCTAATGGTCAGGGGTCCCTTTACCTTTACCTTTTATGCTCCGTGACACCAAGTTAGCTCAAGTTAGCAGCAGTGTGAGTCAGCATGGGCTAGTGGTAACTTCTTGGTTCTGTCTTGGACACAAGTAATGCCTGTAGCCCGAATACAGTCGTACCTTGGAAGTCGAATGGAACTCGTTCCGGAAGTCCGTTCGACTTCCAAAATGTTCGGAAACCAAAGCACAGCTTCTGATTGGCTGCAGGAAGTTCCTGCAGCCAATCGGAAGATCCATTGGGCGTTCGGTTTCCAAAAATAGTTCGCAAACCGGAACACTCACTTGTCTGTGGCCATGATTTCCCCCAAAAGCTATTTCCAGACAGGCGTCAAAGGATGCTCTGGGCAGAGCTCACTGCAGCAATCTAACCCAGCAGCCACCACAGGGCATGTAACTGGGGCATCATTTGAATGATGTTGTTCCTGAAGTGGCCGTTGGATGAGTGGAGGTAAAGAAGAGACTTGTTAGATGGCACAACACTGTTTGGCCACCATATGTACGGAGAGAAGAGGGCACTTATGGAGCTTGCCAATTCCTTCTGGCTCGGGAGGATATGTGGAAAGGGCAGAGGGGATCATTTTTTTTTCATTTTCTGCAGCTGGCTCCCACTCGAACGCCTTTTATAAATCAACCCAGTCAGAACATTCCTCCCTCTCGTTGTCAGAGGAAGGCTTTTAACTCCTTCAGGCTGAAGAGACGGAGGAGGAAATGATGGAGGAGGTCAAAGGGGGGGGGGAGACTTTCCCCTCCCAAAAAGCTGGCATCTCTGGGATGAGAGTCCTGCTGGGTCCCCTGTTCTCGGGCAGGTGCTGTACAGAGAAGATGTTTTGCCCTGTAATTTATTCCTGGTTTACTGGAAGCGGAGAAATTGCCGCCACAACTCTGTGCCAAGGGGAGGAGGGTGTTTCAAGCTAAACAATGGGGATTGCCCCCCCTTCTTTCCAGGGCTGTGTCTCCTCTAGGCTTAAGGGGGAAGCAACAAGACAATTGTTGCTGAGTTAGCCCCAGTTCTGAGCCACGGACGTTTCCCACCCATGAGGATAATAAAACAGGCCTACATTGCAGGGAGGGGGTTTTGCATCTGAAAACCATGCAGTGTCAGACGGAGTGCCTTTCCCTCAAAGCGGATGAGGCATTCTGTTTTTGACAAAAATTGAAATTGAAATACTTGTACAACTTGTATACAGTGAGATTACACGAGCAGCCCCCACTCAGCTCTCTTAGTCTTAATTCCCCTTGTTTACTGACGTACACCCACCAAACCCGGAAGTCAGTTGCCCTGTTGTTATCTTTTCATTCAGCAGCCTAAGAGCCCACGGATAGAAGCTGTTCTGTACCCTGTTGGTGCGACTAATCAGGCTTCTATATCTTCTGCCCGAGGGCAGGAGATCAAGAAAGTGCCGGCCAGGGTGTGAATCATCCCTGAGAATTTTCCTCACTCTCCTGAGGCAGCGTTCTTCCGCTATTTCATCCAGCGGATTCACGGGACAGCCCATAATATTTTGTGCTGTATTCACCACCCTCTGTAGGCACTTCATATCAGTTGATGTCAAACCAGCGTACCACACCACGTGATGGAGTATGAAAGGACACTTTCTATTGTGGACCGGTATACATAATGTATAAGCAGAGACATCACCTTGCCAACAAAGGTCCGTATAGTTAAAGCTATGGTTTTCCCAGTAGTGATGTATGGAAGTGAGAGCTGGACCATAAAGAAGACTGATCGCCAAAGAATTGATGCTTTTGAATTATGGTGCTGGAGGAGACTTTTGAGAGTCCCATGGACTGCAAGAAGATCAAACCTATCCATTCTTAAGGAAATCAGCCCTGAGTGCTCACTGGAAGGACAGATCCTGAAGCTGAGGCTCCAGTACTTTGGCCACCTCATGAGAAGAGAAGACTCCCTGGAAAAGACCCTGATGTTGGGAAAAATGGAGGCCACAAGGAGAAGGGGATGACAGAGGACGAGATGGTTGGACAGTGTTCTCAAAGCTACCAGCTTGAGTTTGACCAAACTGCGGGAGGCAGTGGAAGACAGGGGTGCCTGGCGTGCTCTGGTCTAGGGGGTCATGAAGAGTTGGACACGACTAAACGACTAAACAACAACAATACATTATGGTCTGGAGAAAGTGGATAGAGAAAAGTTTTCCTCCCTCTCTCGTGATGTTGGAATTCTTGACCATCTGACAAAGCTGAATGTTGGAAAATTCAGGAGAGGTAAAAGAAAGGATTTCTTCCTCACACAGCACAGAGTTTTTGGCAAAACTTCCTCCCTCAGGAGGCAGTAATGGCTGCCAGTCAGGATGGCTTTAAAAGAGGATTTGGCAGATTAATGGAGCAGAAGGTTTATAGAATAACCATTCATAGCGCGGCTTCACATATTTATCTTCTGGAAAGATGAGACCATAATACAGTACTAGAGAAGATGTTTTCCATGGAGAAATCTCAGGTTCAGTCTCAGGAAGAGACCCCCCGACCCCAGGCGACCCCCGGGAGGAATACTGACTCATGACAACATGTTATGGGATTAAAATTGGCCTCAACTTTATTAAACTTTCAGATGTAGGGAGACCTTGGCTTAGGCACTGGGCGTTTATCCCTCCCAGTCCCCGGCCGGGGATCTGGGAGACATCAGGGTTATCCAAACTGTGTGGGGATTGGGCTGGCTCTGGAAAATGTATGTTTAAGCAGAGAGCCCGACACCCAATTTCACCGCAACTCAGGGGAGAGCACTGACAACCTAACGGTGTATGGCCAGTGACTCCCCTCAACACAACCCCTTTAATGGGGAACCCTGGGATTGCCGCCGCAGAGGGGGCGTGGGTCACTGCTTCATGCCCCCCCGTCCCCATTTGGGGAGGATAGATAGATAGGATTCCGCCCAAGACCTGAAACCGCCAAAGTTGTGATGTTTTGCTATGGGGAAGGCAAAACCTGCCGATGCAGGGAAATTCCTTCCCGGTCCTTCAACAGCAACCATCAATGACCGTAGCAGAACCCGCATACCTGTAAAGAAGAGGTTAACCTGCAAAAGGAAGGCATAAATTGAAATTGGAATACTTTATTGTCACTTGTACAACTTGTATACAGTGAGATTACACGAGCACCCCCCACTCAGCTCTCTTAGTCTTAATTCCCCTCGTTTACTGACGCACACCCACCAAACCCAAAAGTCAGTTGCCCTGTTGTTATCTTTTCATTCAGCAGCCTAACAGCCCATGGATAGAAGCTGTTCTTTACCCTGTTGGTGCAACTAATCATGCTTCTATATCTTCTGCCCGAGGGCAGGAGATCAAGAAAGTGCCGGCCAGGGTGTGAATCATCCCTGAGAATTTTCCTCACTCTCCTGAGGCAACGTTCTTCCACTATTTCATCCAGAGGATTCACGGGACAGCCCATAATATCTTGTGCTGTATTCACCACCCTCTGTAGGCACTTCCTATCAGTTGATGTCAAACCAGCGTACCACACCGTGATGCAGTATGAAAGGACACTTTCTATTGTGGACCGGTAGAAGGAGATCATCAAATGTTGATTGACATCGTTCTTTCGCAATACTCTGAGGAGATGGAGTCTCTGTTGGGCTTTCTTAACCACCTGGGTTGTATTGATTTTCCAAGTAAGGTCTTCACTGAGATAAACTCCTAGGAATTTGAAGGAAGAGACTCTCTCCACACAGCCCTCCCCGATGTACAGCGGGGCTAGTTCTCCTCTCTTCCTCCGAAAGTCCAACACCATCTCCTTTGTCTTGCTGATATTAAGGTGCAAGTTGTTCCCTAGGCACCATGTAGATATTTTTTGGACCTCCCCTCTATACGCTGATTCGTCTCCACCTGTTATTAAACCCATTATGGTGGTATCATCTGCAAACTTAATAACTGCAGTAGACGGGTCAGATGTTACACAATCGTATGTATACAATGAATACAGGTAGGGACTTAGCACACATCCCTGTGGTGTGCCAGTGCTGATTTTTAAGGAATTAGATGTTACATGTCCAATCCTCACTGTTTGTGTCCGATCTATTCGAAAGTCTTTAATCCAGTCACAGATAAACTGAGGGAGGGCAGGGTGGGAGAAGCTCTGGAGCCAACTGAGGACTCCCAGGTAAGTTCCACCCTCTATTGTTTGTGCAGGGTGGTCCTAACCCTACCTGGTCAACTCCCCTGGCAACCCCTCCCCAGCTGGGATTGGTCAACTGTCTGAGGTTAGGTGGGAACCTTCAGGTATCCATCTTGGGGAGGCGAAGGCAGTCTAACTGTCCCGGGGATCGTGTAGGGCCAAGGGGCTGCGCACGACCATGCAAAAAGCGCCCCCCCCATTTGAAGTGGGGAGCAGTCATTGTCTGAAACCCTGGAGAGCCACTGCGAGCCAGTGTAGACAGTATTAGCTAGATGCACCAGCTGAGCTTTCTATGTTCCTTGGAAGACAAGGTGGCTGGGCCAGTGGAATTCTGACAAGTTAGTGACCCTACTTTTCAGGGTTGTTGTGTTTACAGTGGTACCTCGGGTTAAGAACTTAATTCATTCTGGAGGTCCGTTCTTAACCTGAAACTGTTCTTAATCTGAGGTACCACTTTAGCTAATGGGGCCTCCTGCTGCTGCCGCACGATTTCTGTTCTCATCCTGAAGCAAAGTTCTGAACCCGAGGTACTATTTCTGGGTTAGCGGAGTCTGTAACCTGAAGCGTCTGTAACCCAAGGTACCACTGTATTACTGAGATAAGTTGTGGAAAGTATTTGAAAGCACATATGGGACAGGGGAAGGTGTCAGATACAAAGGACATGATCCAGTCATAGCTGAGCACTAAGATAGGAGCGTTGAGGTTGTGCTGAAATCTTTCCTGAAATCCAGGGGAATTAAAAATGTTTAATCATGCTGCACGCATTAGCTTTATTACATCACATTGAAAATAAAGTGGCTACAGAAACCCATTTTTAAAATAAAAAAAACCTCCCTTTGCAGATCACCCTCAGCAGTTCCCTCACCCTCTTGCAAACGCATGCAGCTGCCAGAATCACAATTAAGCTATTAAAAAAATTTAAAACGCGCCAAAAAATAAAAAGCTATTGAGAATATTGCAGAGAATTCTGAATGCTCAATCGACATTCATTAAGATTTGTGGCTCGAGGTGATCACGGGAGGAAGAAAACTTTCTTTGCAATTTGTAAGCTACCACACACCCTAAAGGTGATGACTTTTAAAAATAAAAAACGTCCTAAGCAAATAAATGCAATTTTATTTTTGTTGTTTTTGTTGTTGGCATCTAAGCATTATTATCTTTTGCACGTACAACTGAAGCAACTGGATATGACTCACCCCGCTCCAAAAAAAAAAAAAATCATTTCAGCACAAGATGCCGTTGTACTGCAAAGTACAAGGGGAGCTGAGTTTGATCTGACCGAAGCGAGAGAACACGCCACACAAAAGCCAGAGAATGTGGATTAGCGCTAGCCAAACTCCTGTACCTTCACGGCTATAAATCTACTGTTAGGGATCAAGGGTTTGATGAAAGCAATCATCTCTGATGGGAACGTCCTCTCTGCAAGAGATGTGTAACCGCTTTGATTTTTCTGGTGGGCCTGCTCAGCGTAACTTTGCAGACAGGAGTGTCAGGAGAGCTTTTCCGACCTGGGAGGGCCGGCTCTGAAGTGCTCTTCTCAGCTGGGGGAGGCAGACCAGGCCTGGCGAGCCACTGCAGAGCAGGTACCAGGAACGAAATCTTAAGGTGAAATTCCTCGCATTGCTGGGATATCGCGGTGCCCTGTGAAACACTGCTTTGGGATGCGCTGGGAGCTGGCTTGCCTGTTCTCAGAAGGGAGGGGGGGGATTTTAAGGGAAAGGAATTCTTTCATGATGCAGCTGTCGGAGACAAGAAGAGATTTGCTGGGTCAGGCCAAAGCCCCATCGAATCCAGCCCATTCATCGAGTCCAGCAAGCAGAACCTGGGTGCAACAGCATTTCAGGAATATGACGAAGTTCGGCTTGGGTCCCACACCCTCCACATGACCCGGAAGCTGTACGCCGGCTCCCTCGGCCAATAAAGTGAGATGAACGCCGCAACCCCAGAGTCGGCCACGACTGGACCTAATGTTCAGGGGTCCCTTTACTTTACCAACAGGACTCCCCTAGAGTTTTCATTTCGTTTCATTTCACTTTTAATTTGTATGCTGTCTTTCTAAATAAAGGTAAAGGTAAAGGGACCCCTGACTGTTAAGTCCAGTTGCAGACGACTCTGAGGTTGCGGCGCTCATCTCGCTTTACTGGCCGAGGGAGCCAGCGTTTGTCTGCAGACAGCTTCCGGGTCATGTGGCCAGCATGACTAAGCCGCTTCTGGCGAACCAGAGCAGAGCACGGAAACACCGTTTACCTTCCTGCTGGAGTGGTACCTATTTATCTACTTGTACTTTGACGTGCTTTTCGAACTGCTAGGTGAGCAGGAGCTGGGACTGAGCAACAGGAACTCACCCCGTCGCGGGGATTCGAACCGCCGACCTTCTGATCGGCAAGCCCTAGGCTCTGTGGTTTAGACCACAGCGCCACCTGCATCCCTGTCTTTCTACATACGTGAGCCATTTTACAAGCTGAAGAAACAACAAGGTCAACAGCAAAGATCACACACGTAATGAAAATCTGATCCAACACAGAAAAGTCACAATATCTTAAAAATAACCAACTTGTAGCAAATAGAGCAATATTCAGTAATCCGTTTCTCGGTGACTGGGTTGGAATACAAAGGATCGGGTAGTCCTTGAGATATCCTGGCCCCATGTTGTTCTCTATCCCTGATTTGTTTTAAAGAAAGCCTGTCTAGGTTTCCTGAGCAGATTCCCAGTCATTCACCAAGGAGACTCAGAGCTGCCTAGGTTTCAGCAAAGTTGTATGAGATACCCTCAGGTGACCCCACAAAGCTCCCTATCTCCCTGGCCCCAGGTTCGGGCTGAAGCTGACCAGTGTTTGAACGCGACTCATGTAAGAGTTCTGCTAAACAAAAATACCCATTGTTTCTCATTTGCTTCTTAACACCAGTTGTTTAGTATAAATATTTGATCTTCCAACAGATGTCCTGGCTATGCACTTTTTAAGCATTCCATGTGTAAGGATATGCTTTTGGCATCCCTGTTAATTTTAGTTCTAACTTTGTCTTAGTTAACCTCACTCCAGGTAGTTCCTGATGCCGACATTTTTGTAAATACATCGGTTCCTGATGCGTCAGAGCACATGTTATGTACTGAGTTGAATAGGATCCAAAATGCAGCAGTCTGGTTGGTCCTAGAACAATAGGATTTAGCATGCAGCAGTCTGGTTGGTCCTAGAACAATAGGATTTAGAATGCAGCAGTCTGGTTGGTCCTAGAACAATAGGCTTTAGAATGCAGCAGTCTGATTGGTCCTAGAACAATGCAGCAGTAGGATTGGTCTGCAGGAGCCACCCAATCCAGTTCCAGATGGAAATGAATCCACAACCTGATTGGCCTACAGGAGAATTCCGGAATTAGCCAATCGCGTGCAGCCCATTGTGTAAATAATGTATATAAAGCAGATACTTTGGGGGGGGGCATTCATTCCTCCTCACCACTATTAGCTGAATAAAGAGCATGAAGTCCACTCTCGACTCCGAGTATATTTCAGCACACTTACATCATCTTTCTTAAAATCGTATTTCTTTTATTAAGTTTTCCAAAAATTTAACACATACCTTTCAATACAGAAAACTTTTTTTCTTTGTTGCTGCATGGTGTTTTTATTTCCCTTCCCTCTGTTGCAGCCTGACTTCTATCTCTGATCTCTTAACAACACTATTACAACATTTAAGTTCTTCTGTTGCCTGGTCCTGCTCCCTTGTTCATCATAGCTCCCTGCAAAGGATCATGGGAAGTGAAGCTTGCAAGGGAGAGCGCTCAGAATTTTGGCTTCAAGAAAATCCCTTTATAGCAGGTGTGTTGGCCCTCCCGTTGCTGCTGAACTACAACCCCCATCATTCCTAGCAATGGCCAGGAGCAGTAAAGGGAGTTATAGTTCAGCAACTTCTGGAGATACAAAGGTACCCCCCACTCCTGCTTTATTGAACTATAGTGCTATAGTTCCCGGGCTTCCATTGGTGGGTGAGAACCATAACTCTGAAAGAGGTTTCAGACTGTTTACATGGACAATGTAGGCAACCGTCTCTGAGGTCAGAGTCTCCTTAGAATCATAGAATCATAGAGTTGGAAGAGACCACAAGGGTCATCGAGTCCAACCCCCTGCCAAGCAGGAAACACCATCAGAGCACTCCTGACATATGGTTGTCAAGCCTCTGCTTAAAGACCTCCAAATAAGGAGACTCCACCACACTCCTTGGCAGCAAATTCCACTGTTGAACAGCTCTTACTGTCAGGAAGTTCTTCCTAATGTTTAGGTGGAATCTTCTTTCTTGTAGTTTGGATCCATTGCTTCGTGTCCGCTTCTCTGGAGCAGCAGAAAACAACCTTTCTCCCTCCTCTATGTGACATCCTTTTATATATTTGAACATGGCTATCATATCACCCCTTAACCTCCTCTTCTCCAGGCTAAACATGCCCAGCTCCCTTAGCCGTTCCTCATAAGGCATCGTTTCCAGGCCTTTGACCATTTTGGTTGCCCTCCTCTGGACACGTTCCAGTTTGTCAGTGTCCTTCTTGAACTGTGGTGCCCAGAACTGGACACAGTACTCCAGGTGAGGTCTGACCAGAGCAGAATACAGTGGCACTATTACTTCCCTTGATCTAGATGCTATACTCCTATTGATGCAGCCCAGAATTGCATTGGCTTTTTAGCTGCCGCGTCACACTGTTGGCTCATGTCAAGTTTGTGGTCAACCAAGACTCCTAGATCCTTTTCACATGTACTGCTCTCAAGCCAGGTGTCACCCATCTTGTATTTGTGCCTCTCATTTTTTTGCCCAAGTGCAATACTTTACATTTCTCCCTGTTAAAATTCATCTTGTTTGTTTTGGCCCAGTTCTCTAATCTGTCAAGGTCGTTTTGAAATGTGATCCTGTCCTCTGGGGTGTTAGCCACCCCTCCCAGTTTGGTGTCATCTGCAAATTTGATCAGGATGCCCTTGAGTCCATCATCCAAGTCGTTGATAAAGATGTTGAATAAGACTGGGACGAAGATATTTTCCTTGCAGAGGAACATATCCTTTTGAATTATATACCCAACACACGGAATCTAACAAAGAGACAGTATGAATTTGACCCTTAGACAGTATCTTAAAAAGCAGAGACATCACCTTGCCAACAAAGGTCCATATAGTTAAAGCTA